ACCAAAAATTGTTCAGCATTTTAAAATACCATGGTGTATGGGATACAAAAATTTCAAGACGAACTTAAATTTGCCTTTTAATTTTCGAGGTATCATTTAATTTTTTTTTTTTTGCATTCAAAAGGGTGAAACATTCCTATTGATTTTATAAATGGATTTTCTTACAAATATATTAATAATTTACACCTGTATGGTTATTTTGTTTAAAAAAAGCTCAACACAATGCGTAAAATTCAAAATATTTATTTTTAAACCTTTTTTGTGTGTGTGGTAGAATTTCACGATCGAGGGTTGATTTGGTCGATTTGGTGATTTTAATTTAATTTAAATTTTTGTTAAGTCGTGAATAAAAATAGAAGTTTCGAGTAGCTGGTGTAGTAATTGGCAGAGTGCGGAACATTGCAATGAGTGTGTCCGTGCATAAGAAGGCACAATGGAGTGACGCGCGGGGTCACGCTTGGCACTGGAAAAGCGCACCGAGAGCGGTCACTGCATGCGAGAGAGCGAGTTCAGCTTCCTGTTGTTCGCCGCAGCCGCTTGTTGCTTTTATTCCGACGGTCTGCACGCCGTGGCTCTCGGAATGACCGACGCGATACCAGGAACGCACGCCGCGATTCTCGCGATCACGAGGCGCCGAGCAGGCGAATTCGCCTCGCTCCATTATTTGTTATTTGCCTTCGCAGCGCATTTTTCACTGAATTGAAGAAGTTCAATTTTTCAAATTAAATAATATATCCGATATGATAAGGAAAATTGAAAGCGTTGCTTAATACGCCGGAAATTGATTGGCATAATGATATCTAATAATTATTCAGCAAATAATTCATTGTATTGAAAATGAAAAATATCCTCCTTTGATGAATTGAAATTCTTTTAAATAAGAAAGTTTAGTATTTTTTTTTTCAAATTATAAATTAATAATACCTGTAAAGGTTTTTGCATGTAATTAAATAATATACTAAAGGTTTTTGGTGTCAAAATTATTTAAAAAAAAAAACCATCCAATCACGTTGTAAATAAAAGTTCAAATAATATTAATTATAGCAATCATTTTTAAGAATATTATTTAAATAGTGTGATGTGTACAATACAATAACTAATTGAGTTTAAGAAACCTTATATATTTTTATTTTATTTTTTTAATGTAAAGCTGTTTTATTTATTATTTTATTACAAGTTCAGCCAATTTCCGAGGAAATTATCGGCTGGTGCTTATCAGACTAATTTTTCAAATTAGAAGCTTTTAGTACACAGATTTTTTTTACAGTGCTTTTTATCAACATATTTAATTTAGTTTTAACATTCATTTTTTTATCTGTGTTTCTCATCATTATGAATATAAAAATCATATATTTATTATTGTTTATTCCAGTTTATTCTTCACAAATAAAGTCGTACATGAAAAGCAAATAATGTGAAGAAACGGCAGCACCTGTGGCGAAGAAGTCGCTAAAACGCGAACACACGTGATTGGTTGAAAGATACTGAAATTATATCTTTTTTTAAAACTGATAATTTTGCCATTCTAGAAACAATTGAATTTTGATTTTCCTATAAAAGCTTTTGTAATTAATTGAATTTGTTGCCTTTTACCTTGACCGTTCTCGCCACAGGCTTGGTTTAATGCTTTGATCTTTTACGTGCCAATCGTTAGAAATTAAGAAAAAATTGGGAAAACATTACCCGGTCATGTTCATCTTCGTTGAACTAATGAAAATGAATAATAAAATTAAAAATTTATTATGTTCACAAATATTAAAATGTTGTTTATGTGTCTATCACATTATTTGCATTCGATACAATTCAAATATTTACAAAATAAATGTTAAAGTTGTTAGACAAAACGGCACCACTAGTAAAAATTTTGCTAAACTTTCAAGATGAAAACCATTTTTTGCCTCAGTGATTTGTTTTTGTTCCAATATGAGTTAGCAATAAATTAAAATAATTTTTTTTTTATGGAGGAAACTCTTTGAATTAATTTTAAGACTAAATTTCAAATGATATTGAAAACGGTCACGCTTGATTTAGTAAATTTTTCACTTTTGCTCTAAACGGGCAGAACGCGGCGCGTCCAGAAAGGAGCACGAATCACCAAAATTTGATTTAATAAATTTTTAAACCACAACTTTAAGGTTTCTTATGGTAATTGAAAAGGGCAAGGTTTTCAAAAATTTAACAAATTTATTTTCCTCAAAAAGGGCCGAATGCGTTTTGCGGCCAAGGCTGAAAGCTTAAATTGTGTGAAAGGAACTAATTTTATAGATGTCTCTATTTAGCTATTTCTGTTAAATTTTAAAATTTTTGCTCGCTCACTCTTCATTTAATACTTTTGAATTCATTATTGCTCCAATTTTTATTATTAAATAATAAAGACGAAAAAGGTCTTCGCGATTGTTCTTGTGGTGGCCTCTTGAGCCCATCGCTACACTTTTCCTTCAACAGGCACGATTGCCTTGCATAAAAGCTACCGCCATCTGCTGCGTAACCCTTTGATCACCAGCAGGTGGAAACAAAAGGTGGGAAAATGTGAACTCTGCTCATCATTATTACTTCGCGCGTTTGTTCAAGAGTACATTATTTAAAATTAGAAATTGTAAATGCTGGACAATTGCAATAAAAATTCATATTTTCAATAGTACATTATTTTCAATTATCGCTTTTTATTGTTTTTGATTTGGACAGCTCCATTCATTTTTATTTGCTAAATTCCTGGTAAATTCTAAATTAATTCATTTATATCTTTATATGAAATTTCTCCCCATACAACTTTTTACTCTATGACAAAATTAGTAGGGGCGATGGTGTAAATTTCATGAACTGGTCATAAAAATAAAAATGTTATAAAATGTTATAATAATGATACCAAAAATTCAAAGAAGACAAGAAACTTTAATTTTCAAGAATTAAACCTGGGTTGCTTAAGCTTTTCGAGAGAATTCAAAGCTCTTGAGATCTAAACCTCCGCGAATTCAGTAAAAATCACTTAAATCTTAAAGAACATAAAACTGAAAATATTAGACTGAACAATGCAAGCAAACTCTAACTAAAATGTTTATTTTGAAAGCTTAAAAATGGTTTACTCATAGATGATAATAGAAAATTATTTTTCGTCATAATAATAATTCCTATAATTATAAAAATATTACATTTTTTCTATTCATTTTTTTCCTTCATTTGTAATTTTCGGCATTGCCTATGAAGACCAATAATTTGTTTCATTATATTTTATAATTTTATCTTGAAGCAGATCATTTCTACCGAGTGAATTGCAGCGCAGATGGTCGATTTGTTTTTGTTTTCTCGTCTCTGGCTATTGAATCAATCCAATCGAACACTGGCGGCTGCGACTGCCTACATTAAAGGGGCAGTGCGGAGATGATGAGTTTGGGAGCGAACGCCTCAGGCTCGTACCTGTAATTATCCTATTTCGTGATAAGGCCGCATTCCTGCTCCAATGTCAGAGGGCATCTCACTCACACCTGTTCTCCTCTCCTGCGCCGCTCTCTGCGCCTCTTCCATTTTTTATTTTTAATTCTGCGCCTGCCTGACTTCGGAGCACCATCCAATGATTATTGCACCGCCATTAAATATAGACACTCATTTATTCCCTGCAAAATTACTTTTCTCTAAAGTAAAACAGCCAATGATTGATGGATTTTTGAGAGGCAAATATAAATTTTTGCAATGTATCAAATAATTTGCAATAATTTTTTTTCTTTGATAATTTGATTTTCGTTTAATGATATATTGCACTTTTTTTTTAAATAAAGCTACATTAAATGGTTGAGCTCCGAAATGTTAATTAATTATGAAAGTAAACAACATATTATTTAAACAAACTATTTTTTTTACGTTTAATATAGAAAACTATCATTTAATGGTAATTAATTTAATTGGAGAAGATTAGTGTTCAGCCTCGTTGGTTCATTAATAAAATGACTGTTTTAAATATAAGCTTAATATTTACCCAACGAATTTTTTTATAACAATATTACATTAACGTGCACGGAAAAATGGCAAGGAAATTTTTTATAAGGAGCAGGTGGTGTGATGAAGGTCATCTCAGTGTTTATAGGTGCGGAAAATTAGTAAGAAAACCTCATTCATTTAAAGTGGATGGTCGCGTGAATCAATTTTTCTACATATGAAGCACTAATGGCGTCTGCGTGGAGGCACTTTTTTGGTCGTCTCAACGCCTGAAGCCAAATTCTCTAGTCTCAGAGTGTTTACAAATAAATAATAATATTAAATAAGTATAAATAAGCTTTGCCTTGCTATGAATTTGCTCATTTTATGAGCAGCAAAAAAATATAAATGAAAATTGAGACAGTGAAATATTCACTGAACAACCAAAGGCAACAAATATAGAGATGCATTATTTAAAATGAAGATAATAATAATTAAGAAGAGGGGTTTTTAATTTTGTTTTTATATTCCGAATTTCAATGCATCAGAAAATGTATTACAAAATTACTTCTCTTGTATAATATTTAAATTTGTTCACCAAAACAAATCAGCTCCAAGGCATTATATAAAAAAATATTATAAATTTCTTTAACTTTTTGATCATTTGTTCACATTTGAATTTTTTTTTTTTTATTATTTTTATGACAAGAGGAGAATAAACAACAGCAATAATAAAATAATGGAAAATAAGGTTTCCGTCTACAATTTTTTTATGTAAGATTGATTCTTACGAATTGACAAGCAATAAAGCAATAATTTAGCTCATTATTTGTCATTACCGCACCTTCCAGCAATTGCATCCGTTTTATTTAAATGTGAAAATCAAATTAGTTTTCATTCCAAAATCAAGTAAAAGAAACTGGAATATTAAAAAATAATAATAATAATTAATAATAAATCAGGCGCCGGTTCATATTATGTGCATGCAGGTGTAGCGCGAGTGTTGTTTTTACTCATCAGGTTGGCAGGCGTGCTGCCTACCTGCGGCACAGGTTCAGGTAAAAAGCAGATCGGCTATCCGCGGAGCCGCCGCGGAGCTGAGAAGAGCAGTCGGGCGGGCGCGAGCCGCGAGCAAACGAGGAGGGAGATCGCGACGACGGTTGCCCTGCGAGTGCTGTTGCAGTTGTGAAGGGTGCGGATGCGCGACGAGGGGCGATGAGCGGGCGACGGCCCTTCGAGGAGCCCTCCTAGCACCGCCATGTCGCAGAGAGACCTGTCCGAGGTGAGTCCAGGTGTCTGTTGTTTGGACGGTCGGTCCACCTGTGGAATGCAAGCAGCCTCCCTCCCGCCCCCCTCTAATCCTTGAGAGGAAAAAAAACACCGCGGCTTCTTTCGCTTTCCATCGCCGCGGCGGCTCTCGGCCTTTTTTTAAATTACATCCGGTAATCTTTAATGATTTTGCTTCGATTTCGGGCCCTGCCGACCGCGCCAGGTAGATTCGTCGTTATAAATTGCCGGCGAGAAAGATGAAACGGGCCGAGAAAAAGGAGGTGTTTTGTCGTTGGTGCCTTCGCCGTGTTTTCCGAACGCCTCTTTCATCTCGTGATTGCGTAAATCGCAATTGCGTAGCTTTTTCTCGAGAGAATCTTTGTGGAAATTTTATACAAAAATAAAATATAATTTTTTAAACGCTCAATGGGTTTAGAGTTTGTCTGAAAAATGTTGAAATTTGTAATGATTATGAAGCTCAAATTTATGCTTTGATAATGGAAAACTTAGGTCTAACAAAATGATTTTTCGGATTTTTCCTAAACTTGTAAAAATCATTTTAAATTTATTGATAAGATTTTTTACTAATTCAACTATATAATTAATATAATTTAACTAAATTCAGATGGATAGCGTATTTATTGAACACAAAAGATACTTCAAACAAATGTTTTTGAAATTTTGCTCTGTGCATCAATAAAATGATTTTCAAATGGAAGAATAAGTTAATATTAAATTAAGTTAACGTAATTATATTTAAATCAATAAATTTACTGCAAATTTAATGTTATTTATATTTCAATTTTTTAGAATTGGAAAATATGAAAAATAACCGCGAGCAGACTTTTTACTTTTATCATCCATCTTTCAAACGATTTTCATCCTTTGGAGGTATTTAATTTATTATCCCAAGCCGCTCTCGCACCAGACTCTTGCAGACCCGCAATCATGAGTTGCTGGTGCGCCGGTTAATTATCATGTTTTGCTTTGTGCACGATTTGGCCATAAACGAAAATCCATTTAGTCTCTCACACAAGCAGGCTGACCTGTTGCGAATTCTACCGGCATTTTGACCGGCCGCCGATAATTACACTCTTTTAAGTTCCCCGAAATTTCGTAACGAGCGCGAATAATGCAACGAAGAGGATATTATATTGTTAAAACGCGTTTGTGACCTTTTGATCCACACCAAAATACCTGATTTTTGTGGGAAACCTAAATTCTGAAGGTTGAAATTTAATTTAATTAAATATTATTCAGCAAATTCATTAAATTTCTTGGCGCTAATGTGTAAAATAGAACTTGAGGATGTCTAAATTAATTATTTGTTTGGAAATTAAATTAATTTTTGGTAATCAATCGAATGAAGAAGGGAATTTGTATTGATAAATTAAAAAAAAAAATACAAAATTAGACAAACCAGCATCATTTTTAATCAGTGTCAGTTCAGACAGAAATAACTACTTTTTAATTGAGCTTCGCTGTCAGACTGCATCATGCGAATCCGTGTGCTGCAGACCGGAAAATTTCATGTTGCCATTACTTGGTACAAGTCACTTTAATGCCGGCCATTCGTCATACACAAAAACGAGCACCAATCTAACGCGGTCTAAAAAAAAGAAGAGATCCTGCGCACGATTTCCTTTGCAAACAATGACGCATAAACACAAAGGGTGTGCTTTTGTGTTTTTTGTTTATTTATTTCCTCCATTGTTTATTCTTTTAAATTTGATTTTGCAAAGATTGGATTCGTCTATTCATTTAGTTTTTTCATCTCGTTATAACTGATTTCTTTGCGTAGCTGATGATTTGCATGCGTTTCGAAAACTAAAATGAATTCCAATGTCGGTGGCGAGTTATTTTTTTTTTATAAAAGTTCCCACCGTGGCTGCGAGAAACAATGCAACTTTAGCGCACCTGAAATTCTCTCTCCGTCAGCACAATCATCTTTATTATATTTTCTGTTCTTTTTCACATAAACACAAGGCCAGCTCCCCATTATTATTATTACCTGCTGGCTCATGAGTGAAAATAAGCAGCAGTATATGCGGTGATTATCCACATCTTTCTCTCTCTCGCACTACAAAAGTCAATGCCCATAATTGTTTGCTCGGAAAAAGAAAAGCAAATAATTTTTATTGCTCGCCTCTTTTTCCCGCAATCTTCTCTCTCGTTAAGGAAAGATTTGTAGGAGTTTTTGTTTCTTATATTCCGCAGAGATGAGTCTGTGAACTCTCAAGATATGGAGGTTGATTAACCGCAGATTTATGGGAGATTTTCCGCGTCGGGCGGTCAAATTATTAGATTGCTTAATTGGGGCATTTTAATTGGTCGGTAGGCTGATTGTGAACTTTCCCATGCTTATATGAAGTATTAAATTTAAATTATATTATTGCTCTAAACCACAATTAATTTAATTTTTATGATCTGATAAAAGTCTGGAAAAGAATTTTCTCACAGGCAATTTTAAAGATTAAAAATCTAAATATGGTCAATTATTGTAGAAAATAATTTAATAACATTGGAATTTATGTTCTTTTCTGGGACGCGAATATTCTCTAAAACATAAAAAAAAAACTGAATAATTTTATTGTTTAAACCCCTCCTGAAATTTTTTTATTTCTTAAAACTGGAAAATGTTTATTAATAATAACAAAAAATCTTAATTTGGTTCAAAATAATTTTATTTAATTTATTCTTTTATAACTTTTGAGCATCGCATCCTCAATTGAGGACTTCAGATGAAAATTATAAGGAGCAGAAAAGCTTTCCAATCAAGTTGCAGCCGCACGTTGCCAATGTTTAATATTAATTGCTTGCTTCGCTTTCTTCTTCATCTCCCTGCCACTTCGGCGGCTACCAACGTATCGGGCATAAATTATTGATGGAATTCGCATGTGTGCCGTTTGCAGAATGAGTTGGAGGCGCCGTCGGAGCTGCCGGCCGCCAACCGGCTGCTGTTCTTGGAGAAGGTGCGCCAGTCGAACGCCGCTTGCCAGGCCGGCGACTTCGGCACCGCAGTCTCCCTCTACACCGAGGCTCTGCTCATTTCCCCGGGACACCCTGTCCTCTTGTCCAACAGATCCGCGGCCAGGATCAAACTGGGTGACTTTCAGGTAAAAATTTATTGAAGGACGTTTTTATTTGGATTGATAAAATCTCAATTTGTCAAATTCCATTTTTATTCTTGTTGTTATAATAATCTTTAATTAATTATTAATTTTTCCTCAAAGAAATATTTTTTTTTTTAGCGCTGTTGTCATTTTTTTTTTTTTTCTAGTAAATATATTTTAATTAAAACTATTATTTTTTCCAATGTTTTTTTAGTCTGCCCTTCAAGATGCGTTGGCTGCCAGGGAAACAGAGCCGCGTTGGCCCAAGGCCTACTACCGACAAGGGGTGGCCCTGCAATGCCTCGGCAGACACGGCGACGCACTGGCCGCCTTCAGCTCAGGCTTGGCCCAAGATCCGAAATCGACGCAGCTCATCAGCGCTTTGGTCGAGGCCGCCATGAAGTCCCCATTGCGTTGTAAAATCTCAACCAAATTTTTACCAATTGAAATTTATTATTTATCCCTTAAAAACAGCCACCCTTGATCCGACTTTCCGCCAACTGAAAGCAATGAAGTTGGACTCGTCTCCTTTCGTCATCATTTCTGTGGTTGGCCAGGAACTTTTGGCCGTCGGACTCTACGCACCGGCAGTGGTCGTGCTCGAGGCGGCCCTCAGAATCGGCACCTGCAGTCTCAAACTTCGGGGCTCGGTTTTCTCAGCTTTGTCCTCAGCGTACTGGGCGTTGAACTCTCTCGACAAAGTAAAGCACTTAAAATTTATAAATAATTACGAATTTTAATTTTTATAATTTTTCTTTCAGGCAATTAGTTACATGCAACAAGACCTCGCTGTGGCCAAGAGCCTCGGAGACATTGCTGGCGAGTGCAGAGCCCACGGAAATCTTGGCTCGGCCTACTTCAGCAAGGGCAGCTTCAAAGAGGCGCTGACCTCGCACAGATACCAGTTGGTGCTTGCCATGAAGTGCAGGGACACACAGGCCGCCGCGGCCGCTCTCACTAGTCTGGGCCATGTGTACACGGCCATTGGCGACTACCCAAACGCGTTGGCCTCTCACAAACAGTGCGTGCAACTGGTCAAGCAGATGGGCGACACTCTGCAAGAAGCGCGAGAGATTGGAAACGTTGGAGCCGTTTATTTGGCCATGGGAGACTTTGACAGTGCTGTGAGTTTTAACTTTTAATTTCTAAAAAGAAATCATAAAAAAATTCAAATTGAATTTTTACGTCTTAGAAGAATCTTGTGTTATTTTTGTTTTTGCTTATTTGCCCACTTTTTTTACATCTATATTAATAATTATTACTTGTTAAATTTTATTTTCACAATTGAACTTTAAAAATTCATAAAAATAAAGTAAAAAAGTGCGTTTTTGTGCCTTATGTAAGAAATTATTATTATTATTTGCGATTATTTTGGAATCTGCCTTTTCAGGTTGACTGCCACACGCAGCATTTAAGGTTGGCCAAACAGCTTGGAAACAGAGTGGAAGAGGCCAGGGCGTACAGCAACTTGGGCTCGAGTCACCACTTTCGACGCAACTTCGAACGAGCTCTCGCCTTCCACGAACACGTCCTCCGCATTGCTCTGAAGCTGAAAGACCGTTCGGTGGAAGCCAGGGCGTATGCAGGACTGGGCCACGCAGCCAGGTGCATGGGCGATTACACGCAGGCCAGGAGGTGGCACGAGAGGCAACTCGACTCTGCCTTGGCCACCAGAGACAGGGTCGCCGAAGGGAGAGCCTGTTCCAATTTGGGCATTGTTTATCAACTGCTAGGAGACCACGATGCTGCCCTCAAACTGCATCAGGTACTTTTCAAATTTGAATTTAATATTTTTTATAAACATTATTATTTTCTCAAATTAGGCGCATTTGGCCATTGCAAGAGCCCTTGGAGACAGAGCGGGGATGGGTCGAGCGTATGGAAACATGGGCAATGCCCACAGTGCAATGGGCTACTACGAACAAGCAATAAAATTGCACAAACAGGAGTTGACCATCAGCAAAGAGGTCAACGACAGGTCTTCGGAAGCGTCGACGCATGGCAACCTGGCTGTGGCTTACCAAGTATGAAAGCTTTGTTGATAAATAAAAATAATTTTTGTTAATTTTTCACTCGAATTTTAAGGCTTTGGGCATGCATGAAAAAGCTTTAATGCACTACAGAGCGCACCTGAACATTGCCAGAGAACTGAAGGACGCCGCTGGTGAGGCATGTGCGCTGCTCAATCTGGGAAACTGCCACAGCTCTAGAGCAGAATTCTCTCTCGCAGTGCCTTTTTATGAAAACTATTTAATGCTTAGTCAGGTAATTTGTTTTTAGACAAATCTTCTTTGACTTTATTATAATTTAAAATATTTTTAGGAAATGCATGATGTTGAAGGCGAAGGCAAAGCTTGCCACCTCCTAGGCTATGCTCATTACTGCCTAGGAAACTACAAGGAGGCGGTGAGGTACTACGACCAAGACTTGGCCCTAGCCAAAGATTTGCAGGACAGAAATTCGATGGCCAGGGCTTACTGCAATCTTGGTTTGGCCCATTTGGCTCTCGGTGCCCACGCCACAGCTCTGGAGTGCCAAAAGTACTTCCTTGCCATCTCTCACATGACCAAAAACGCACCTGGGAAATTTCGCGCTCTCGGGAATATGGGAGATGTTCTTGGAAGGTCGGGAAACATGGAGGAGGCGGTCAGAATGTACGCCCGGCAACTTGCTCTTGCCAGAAATATTGGCGATCGATCTTTGGAAGCCGCCGCGTATGGTGCTTTGGGCAGAGCAAACAGAACGTTGGGCTTTTTCGACAAAGCACTCGGTTTCCACACTCAGGTAGAAAATTTTCTAATATTTTTTAATTTTTGTATAATTTATGAAATTTTGAAATAGGAATTAACGCTCAGACAGGAAATGAGTGACGTCCGCGGTGAGTGCAGAGCTCACGGCCAGCTCGGAGCTGTGCATATGTCCCTTGGAAATTACACACATGCAACAAAGTGTTATTCCGAACAACTCGAGAGAGCCAGAGAGGTTGGAGAAGCGTCTTTGGAAGCTCAAGCCTATGGAAATTTGGGCATTGCAAGACTGAACATGGGGCATTATGAAGACGCCATCGGCTATTTGGAGCAGCAGCTGGCCACTTTAGAGCCCCTTTGTACGCCAACTTCTCTTCTTGATAAGGTAAGTAATTTTTTTTAAATATAAAAAGACCTTAGACCCCTTATTTAATTTTTATGAAATAGGGCCGAGCACTAGGAAATCTCGGAGACTGTTACGAAGCTCTCGGAGATTGGGAGGAGGCGATTCGATGCCATGAACAACACTTGACTCTGGCCAACCAACTGCACAGCCCCAGAGATCAGGAGCGAGCTTATCGAGGCTTAGGAAATGCACACAGAAGCTTAGGAAACCTGCAGCAATCCTTGGTCTGCTTTGAAAAGCGCCTCGTCGTTGCTCACGAGCTTGGAAATCCAGACGCAAAAATGGCTGCTTATGGAGATCTAGGGCAAGTGCATGCTGCCATCGGACAGTTTGAGCCTGCTGTGAGTTGTCTGCAGCATCAACTATCGATAGCTAGGTAAATTTAAAAAGCCTCCAAAAATTGTCCTTTCATTTTTCTTTAAAAAAAAAGGGAGCTTGGCGACAAAGCTGCTGAAGGCGAAGCTGCCAGTGGACTTGGAACTGTCCTTCAAAAAACAGGAGACCTTGAAGGCGCCTTGAGACATCACACTCTGCACCTGGCCCTTGCAGAGGAACTTGAATTAAGCTCGGCGCAGGCCAAGGCGCACGGAAATCTGGGTATCACACAAGAGGCCCTGGGAAACATGATGGAGGCGCAGCAGTGTTACGAAAAGCAACTAGAACTATCAGTGCACACCAATGACCAAATTCAACAGACCGCCTCTTACAGTTCACTTGGTAATTTGCTTTTAAATCTCTAAATTATCTTGCATCACTATAAAGTTTTGCCATCTCAGGTCGAGTGCAGCACGCCCTTGGAGATTCCGGAGCAGCTGCCAATACGTTAGCCAGAGCTCTATCCCTGGCTCAACTTCTGGGCCGCAGGGAGGAGGAAGCCAAAGCTCGTCACAGGCTAGGCCTTGCACTATGGGCCCAGGGTGACATTTCTGCAGCTGCGTCACAATTGGAGCGTTCGTCGGCAATGCTCGAGACTCTTCGCAAAGAGGCCAAAGACCCCGACGGACGACTAGCCTTGTTTGATTTGCAGACAGCGTGTTATCAAGCCTTGCTGAAAGTGTTGGTTTCTCTTGGCCGCTCTTCAGAAGCCCTTTTGGCTGCTGAAAGGGCCAGATCAAGAGCCCTGAATGATCTTATTGAGCAGAGAAGAGGAATGACTGTTGGGTAAATAAAATTTTATATACTTTATGAAGCAATGTGAATTGTTAAAAAAAATTATTTATTCATAGACAAAGAAGTTCAGCGTCTTCCGAGGTGACCCCAGCATCACTCCATTCCCTACTTTCGATTGTTGACCACCAAAAAGCCGCTGTCCTTTACTACAGCATTTCTGCTGGATGTCTCCTGAGCTGGTGTCTTGTACCTGGCAAAGGAGTTGTAAGGTTCAGCGAGCAGAACTTGGACAAAGATGACGAGGGTTCAATTTTAGAGAGCTACATTCAAGCTGTGAGAGAAACTTTAGGAGTTGAACTGGCAACAACTAGCATGTCCAAAGGGTACAAAAGCTTGTTTTTTTTTTATACAGTTGCACAATACCTCAAATTTCAGGCTGAAGGGCATGATGGCCTTGTCGTTGAATGACGGAGGCTCCCAGACTGGCAGTTCTGAAACTGAAATGACTGAGTTGTGGAGTCAGCACCTGGAGCAGCTGGGTGAAAGGCTCAACCACGACGGAGATCGCACTGGCTTTTTGAGGATGGTTAACAGAAATCATGCGTTTAACTGCTCCAACTACAGTTTAAGCAGCTTATTCAGGTAATCTATTTTAAAAATATTGCTGTTCACAATGTAAATTTTTTTCTTGCAGCGTGGCTAGTGGGCCTTCAACGTCAACCCCAAGCCGAGCAGGCTCGCAGAGGTCGAGGCGCGCACCATGGCAGGGACCGGCCTGTATTTCTGCTCTTTACCACATGCTGATCGCACCTTTTGATGAAATTCTTATTCAAAGTAAGAATTTATAATGAAACCATTTGTATAAAAAGTAAATAAATCTAATTTTAGATGGAAGCCGAGATCTAATTTTGGTGCTTGACGGCGATTTAATATTGGTTCCATTCCCTGTCCTGCGTTCATCCGGCACATCTGATTACCTTTGTGAGAGATACAGCATGCTGGTGGTTCCTTCATTGAACTCTCTGTCTGGAATGACCTCAAATGCTCAGCAGCAAGCTCGACTTCAGAGAAGAGCCAACAAAGTCAGCAGACTTTATTTTTTTTTAAATTTTTGTTAAAAATTTGAATTATTTTACCAGACTTTGACTGAACTTGGCGCTCTTGTGGTCGGAAACCCAAAACTCCCTGCCAGTATCACAGAGCAATGGGGCTGGAATAATTTGCCTCTTGCCGAACAAGAAGCGCTCATGGTCAGTGAGCTGTTGCAAACGTCGTCTGCTCCTGCTCTTTCCCCATCAGGACCTACCCTTCTTGTCGGAAGAAATGCTTCAAAGCAAGCAGTGCTCTCAAGACTGACCACAGCAGACTGCATTCACTTTTCAACCCATGTGTCTTGGCAACTTTCTGCAATTGTTTTGGCACCTCCATCTCCAACAACAGTAAAAATAATTTACTCTGCATTTGAAATATATTTTTTATTTCCAAATCTTCAATATTGATTCAGGTGGAAATGTCATTGAACTCGCAAAAAAGAATTGCTTCTCCCGAAGAAATGGATCCCGAAGAAGAAGGTTCAGAGGTAAAATTTTCATAAAAAATTAATCATTGCGCCTGATTTAAAACTTTTACAGCCAAGCTCGGAGCCTGCGTCCTTGTCAGAGTTCCTTCTTACTGCTGCTGACCTGGTTTCTCTGCGCCTTAGAGCAAGACTAGTTGTCTTGAGTTCATGCCACACCAGAGAGCAACAAACCTGGGCTTCAGCAGATGGAGTTGTCGGACTCACCAGAGCCCTGCTTGCCTCTGGAGTCCAATGTGTTTTGCTTGCTCTGTGGCCCGTGCCAGACACGGCTGCAAAAATTCTTTTGAGAGCATTTTACTCAGCTCTCCTTCAGGTATACAAATCATTCTTATTAAAATGAAATTTTTTATTTATGAATTTTGGTACAGGGCGCAAGAGTGAGTCGAGCCCTTGCAGAGGCGATGACGACCGTTCAGCATACAAAGCACTTTGCTCACCCAGCGAACTGGGCTGGATTTGTACTCGTTGGAGCTGATGTGCGCATCTGCTGCAAAGGAGCCTTAGTTGGTCAAGCGCTAGGACAAGTTTTGGCTCGTCCTGATGAATGCCGAGATGCGTTGAGGGTTTCACTTCACCTGATTGAAAAGTCTCTGCAAAGGATTCAGAGAGGACAGAAAAACGCCATGTACACTACTCAAAAATCAATCGAAAACAAGGTACACCAGCTAAAATGAAAATTACAAATTTAGGGAAAAACTAAATTCACATCTAATTCAGGTTGGGGATATTCCTGGATGGAGAGAACTTTTGGTGGCTGTTGGCTTTAGATTTGAACCCGCTGCCCATGGAATTCCGGCTTCCGTTTTCTTCCCTCAAAATGATCCTGGGGAGCGTCTGTCGAAAGTCAGTTCATCTCTACAGGCTCTATTAGGCAAGCAAATTTAGAAAAAAGTTGAACTTTCATAAATTGTGTTTCCCTGCACAGGATTGTCAGCAACAAGTCTGCACGCCTTATCTCGTCTGCTGAGTAACAGTGAAGCAGCTCGAGAGTTGAGTGCGGTACTTCGAAGAATCCAAACTTCTGCCAATCCTGCATCTGAACTTGAGGGATCTTCCTCAAGCTCGTCGGCTTCTCAAACTGGCTCAGTTAGCGGATTCTCGACTTCCAGCACAGTTGAAGCAGCACTTACTGTAAAACTATGGCGAGAGCCTGGTGTCCACGAACTTCTAGCTTCATTAGGTAATTAACGAGAGATAAATTTTGAAATTAAAAAATTCATAAATTATTGTTAGGACTTGATTTGATGGAAGTTGGCCAGAATGAGGTGACTCTCAGAACTGGAAAGCAGGCGTCACGAAGAAATATTCAGTTTGCACTTACAGCCGTCAACACACTATTTGGTAAGTTATTATAAATGAGCACTAGAAAAACTTTAATTAAAAACCCATTTTTTTTTTTTTAGAATCTGACGAATCTCCAAGAAGTGCCAGCCCAGACTGGTCATCTGTTAGTGACGAAGAGGGAGAAATTGAAGAGTCAGACAACTTGGAGCTGAGCCATCCACTTGTTCCTGCGCCAGGCCCATTGGTTCCCCAAAGCTCAACCCCTCTTGCTCCTCCACTTCTTTTGGGCAGAAGAGGGGCATTCACTAGTTACGTTAGAAGGCGAGGAGAACCTGACGGGCGGTAATTTTTTTAGGAAATTATGTGATCAAGTTTTATTAATTGAAATTTTAAATCAGGACGGCTGTTGAAACCGGAGTGACACATTCAAGGGCCAGTGGAGGCAGAGAAAGCGACGCTGCTTTCACTCCTAGTCCGGTAGAGCCGCCAGCTCTGGCCCTCTCCTTACTGCATCAGACCAAAATCAAAAACCTGTACACCCCAACCTCAAGTACCTCAACCACAGGTTAGCATATTTAATCTCTTTATATTTTAAAATTTCTAATTTTTATTTACAGGACGCAGAAGGCCAGATTCGTCGAGCAGTGCCAGCAGCTCGGCCACAACTGCAACTACTACAGACTGGGAGGGAGCTGCAACTTTGACAATGGTGAGGCGCCACGCGCCTTTGCCAAAGGCCTCTGCTCCTCCACTTCCTCCTACTAATGCCCCTGCCTTACCACCTCCGAGACACGGCTCGCACAGTTCGGATTCATCGGACATTACGGCGCCGCCACCTCAGAGAACCACCAGACTCTCCATTGCTCCCGAGACTCACTGCATTCAGGTTAGTTTTGATTTTCATATTCATTTTAAATTGAATCTTATTTGAAATTTTGTTATCCATAGGACCATATAATTGCCACCCAGCTGAGGCGCTTGCAGCACCAACTTGCCCCCATCTCTGACGTTTACCATGAGAGGAGACTCGGCCTTGGTTTGGCACCTACATTGAGTTCCTTGCTGATGGAGCAGGCTGCGGAGCAACAAACTCCCTCAGGTTGATTTCAATTTTTTGAATCAATGCCTGTTTCATAGATTTAATTTGCCACAGTGGTTGAGAGCTCAAGTTCCACATCAGGCCGAGACCAGGGTGACGGAGGCCTGTGCTCATTGCTTGAAGAACTGGCTGCCGAGAACACGGATTCGTCCAGTACAAGTGGAACCAGCAGTAAATTGCTTCTGAGCTCGAGAGCATTGCTCTTGCAAAGCAAAGGTACGATTGGCGCTTTTTAATTATAATATATTTTAAAATATAATTTTCAAACAGGTGACCTTGTTTAACCTGAACTTCGATGACACCGAAAGTTGAAACTCCTGAGAAGCCCAACAATACAAGGTAAATTAATTGCCACCCCGAACATGTGATATATAAAGTCATCAAGAGCTCATTTGATTTTTGCTGACAACGCCATCACGCTACATCTCAACGCGTTTTAAGGACAATATATTTTATTTTGCATGAATATATATAAAAATAAAGTGAAAGAAAGAAAAAATATAAAGCCTAAACAATGAACGTACAAAGAAAATTGACATGTTTTTATTTCAGCCAATTTTTAAAACAAATTAAATCTAGTTTTAATTAGTCGACAGTCAGTTGTCTGAAAGATCCCTCCAATCCAAAAAGCTCTTGGTGCGTTTTCGGCTTGCCAGGTCTCTTGCTCTCGTCCACTCCGCCTGTTTCCTCCATGAACCACGGGTCATAAGTCCGCAAACGTTTAAGCCAAGCCTCTGTAATTTAACTTGATCTATTAAACGGCCGCTGGAAAATTTTATATTTACCATTTAATTCCTTAGTAGAGCCGGCTGTTCCCCCATACTCGGACGGCAGCAATCTTTGAGGCACATTTTTATATAAGGACTCCATATTTTCCCCATGAGCGTGCATCTGGAAAAATAATTAAATTCAATTTTAACATTGAAAAACACTTAATATTAAATCAGATACCCTTTTCTTGAGCTTCTCTTTTGCAAAAGTTTTGAATAAGCCAAAGATGGTTTCAAACATGGGCGGCGTGTGAACGTAGTTCAACCCTTTCTCGCGAAGAGGAAATCCTTCCTATTATTTTTTTCTAGTAAAATTTTAATTAATAATTTATATTATGTTCCACCTGCGAGCAAGTCATGACTTTTTTAATTAGCGCGGGGGTCATTTGAACGCCATGATTGAGAGTGACATTTTCCAAATCGATGATGCTCACAATGCCACAGATCAACATTTGGTCATCCTCTCTGATCATATAGTCCATGGCCATCATCACAACCTTAAAAAATAATGCTTCAATCCAATTTTAAATCAAATTATCAATTAAACCTTAAACACAAGTTCCATCGGATGTCTGTCAGGGTCGTTTCTTGCTGGGCGCACGAGCATGACACGACAGCCTTCGTCGTCAGGTTCGGGCAGAGGAAAAAACGAACTAAAATAAAACTCAATTTAAATATTGTAACTAAAAAATAATACTAATTACCCATTCTCCAATATCTCCTTGATGGCCTGCTCCTTCAGATTTCGCACGCCAAAAAATTCTGGAACAATGGTCCGCATGGTGTAGTACATATCGATTTTCTCCTTGGTCCGCTCCAAGCTGAATTTGCACCCACGCAAAAAGGACACCAAAGTCTGGTCGTCCGGCGCGGCCAAAATGTGTGGCTGTTTTTTGAGCCAGTCTCGAATTGCTTGGACGTCCGCGGACCTTCTTTTCGGGTCTTCGTTCAGCTCTTTTTTTGCCACTTCCAAGAGCTTCGGGCTCAATTCGCGAATTTTCAACTCTTTCGCCATGGCCAACCAAAAAAGAAACAAACCGAGATCAAGAGTCTCTGTGGATAAAAATTTACTTTGAATATTGCGTTAACTCTTTTATTTAGACGCACATGTGCATGATTTTTTATCTTTTCGTTATCTAATCGTCGGCACAATTTTCGCCTTCAGTTCGAATCGACTTGGACGATCTACAAATATCTCTTTTTTATCAGAAAAGTGTGATTTATTGCCCTCTGATCCCACTGCACTGCTATCACGTGTGTTGCTATTCAACATTGAGAAAGTTAATATTTGTACGTTTAATACATGTAATAATATATTGATTATATTTTTCACCGTTTCGTCCTTTTCAGTGGCACGATCGCTCATTGCAGGTTTCTGCAAGCGTTATTTTAGTATAGAATGAGCATACGTGTGGGCTAGAGAAATCGTACAAAATCGCCACGAATAAATAGCAAATTCCTCCATATAAAACTATTGTAAGGCAGAAAATAATCAAGGCCAAACACACTTTTCTCTCTTTACAGTATTTCTAAAGCCAACGCGTGTGGTTTTATCTTGAAGTACTCAGCAATTTTTTTATAATTCAATTATTTGCATTATGATAAAAAAAAAGCTAAACGAAGATTTTCAACACTGCGTTTTTATCAATTTTAAGCTAAATTTACGAATTTAAATACAATTATATTTTCTTTTTCAAATCACAGTGCAGCTATGAATAATAAAGTTCTACGTCCAGACTAGAGTTAATTATGCAAGCCGTGCGTGCGAATTAATGCACTTGAAAGACTTCACTGGAACATGTTAGCTTCTTGCCATGGCCATGTTTCGATTTGTGACCTACTAACTCATAAATGAATGAAATCTTCCATGCTGCTGAAAAAAAATAAATCTTTATTTTTTTCACACAAAATTTAATCTAAATTTAATTTGCGGAATGAACCCTCCATTCCGAACAAATCCTGCGCGGTTCGTGACTTTCCCACTCTCTTCTTTTCATCCACGCCGTTTTTCTCGTCCGCCACAAACCAGTCGTTGAAGGCAATTACTTGTTTGACAAAATCTCCTATTAAATTTAGATTTTTCATTTAATTTCCCTATAAGAAGTAAAAACATACTGCCCAGATCGTCGACAGACGCAGCATCACCTCCATATTCCTTTGGCAAAACCTCTTTAGGAACTTTGGTGTACAAGGATTCCAGGTTTTTTCCATGCACAAATGTCTAAAAAAATATTTCTTTTTCAAGCCGAAATTTTTACGATAGTCGCCCGCACCCTTTGGTTAATTTTTTCTTTACTGAAGGACTGGAATAGTTTAAAAATCGTGTCCATAAACGAGGGCATGTAAATGAAATTCATTGCCTGCGGTCTCAGAGGGTAGCCTTCCTAAAATAGAATTTACAATTTTGATTTTTTTTTATTTATGTTTAGTAGAAGTTCACGATCGAGGGTTGATTCTTGGTGATTTGAATTTAAACATCGGCTTTTCCTCGATGGGTTTTTGTGAGTTTTATATTATTTTTTCTTAAACAATACAAAACTCACAAAAACCCATTGAGGAAAAGCCGAAGTTTAAATTCAAATCACAATTAATTTTTTAATTCATCTTTTGAAACGACGTTTTTACTTCCGAGCAGACGGAAACTTTTTTGATAAAACTGGGCATCATTTGCGTGGCGTGTCCTAACTTTGTCTGTGACATGTCCATGACGGTGACCGTTCCCTTGATTATGGCCACGTCGTCGTGCATCATGATGTGGTCCATCATCATGAAATTAACCTAGACTCTTCACATTAAATAAATATTTTTATTTTTAATGCCAAAATACCTTCATAATATCCTCCATTTTTACTTTTCCTGGTTCGTCTTTTCCACCGATCATGTTAAAGACGCGCCGCCCTTCTTTATCAATTCCGACGGGGAAAAAGAATCTAAAATTAATTTTACCTAAATTGAGAAGTCCCTAAATTATATAAATTTACCCATAGTCCAATATGTCTCTGAGTGTTTGGTTTTTGGTCAAGTCACGATTCTTGAAAAGCTCCGGCACCATAGTTTTCATTGTGTAGTACATGTCCAGCTTTTCTTTCGTCCTCTCCAGACTGAATTTGCAACCCCGGAGGAAGTTAATGATCATTTGGTCATCGGGCTTGCCGATTATGTGCGCCTGTTTTTTAAGCCAGTCGCGAATCGCTTGGACATCGGCTTCCCTTCGTCTCGGGTCCTCGTGCAATTTTTCCTTTGCATGCTCCAACAAATCTAGTGAAAGTGGACGAATTTTCAAACTACCCACGTCGTCCACCATGTTACTAACCGCACTGTTATTGAGGCTCATATGGCACCGTTGATTTTTTTGATAATAAATTATCTTATCTGAAAAATAAATGATGAGTTTTTTAATTGAGTTTTCTGTAAAGTGAAAAAAATCAATAAATAAGGTACTATTTTTATTCAATTTTCATGATATATGTGCATTTTTTACAATTTTATTCAGTTTTTATTTTTCAAAATTATCAATCAATTGAATATCAAAATTGGTTTCAAATTAAATTTTTCCAGTATAAATTTTCGATTTTTCAGTCTATACTAAGTTGGCGGAAGGATCCTTGCATGCCGAGTAAATCTTGCGCAGTCTTGCTGTTTCCAATCCTTTTCTTTTCGTCAACGCCGTTTTTCTCGTCAGCCACGAACCAATCATTGAACTCCATCATTTTTTCAACAAAATCCTCTGAGAAATATGCATTTTTTGTTAAACAGTTTTCGGAATAATAAAAAGAAACTCACTTCCTAATTCTTCAACCGATCCCGCGTCGCCTCCGTATTCAGTCGGCAGAACTTTCTTGGGCACTACTTCATACAAATTTTCCAAATTTTTTCCATGCACCGATGTCTGTGCAAATTTTAATTTAAATAAAAAATTAATAGAAATAATCAATCATGGCAAAAGAGGGAAAGATAAAACATACAAAATTGAAGCGAAAAGGTGATTTGCCCCTGTTAAATTACTTAATTCTTGCGCCTCCAACCAATTATAGGACCAAAAATTTTGGATGCAAATATTTTTATGGAGGTCTACATGGCAATTTAAAAACTTGAAAAGTTGGCTAGGCTAAAAAAATGCTGGATTTTAAAAATAAAATACTAAAAGCTTTGTCCCCTTCAATTTGGAAACGGTTTTAAATTTTTCATAGCTATCATTCATCATTTAATGGAACATTACAATGCTTTAATTTAAAGAAAAAAATTTAAACATTAATTGTAGCTCGTGTCTTGGTTTTTCTTTCTCTTAATTTCATATAAAAAATTTAATAATATTACCCGGCGGTTAATTTTTTCCTTGGTAAACGTTTGAATCAGTCTAAAAATCGTGTCCATCATCGATGGCATTCTTACAAAATGCAGACCCTGTGGTCTATAAGGGAAGCCTTCCTGGAATAAATTTAATTTTTATTAAATCTTCATTTGAATAATGTAAAAAATTAGTACCGCTGAGCAGACTGAAACTTTTTTAAGAAAACTCGGCATCAGCTGCGTTACATGCCCCATTTTCACTTGCGACATATCCATGACATTCACATTTCCCTTGACCATGCAGATATCGTCGTGCATCATTATGTAATCCAGCATCATAAAATGTGCCTTCATAAAATCATTTTTATTTATTCATTGTAAAGAAAGTGGGTCCAACAGTGTGCTTTTTTTAACTGCAGTAAATTATTTTTGTTTTTAATAAATTGGTTCCGCCGATACCTTCATAATATCTTCCATTTTGGCTTTTCCCGGCTCATCTTTTCCACCAACCAAGACCAACACGCGGTTGCCTTCGTCGTCAAGCCCGACAGGAAAAAAGAACCTTCCAAATATTAAAATTTAATATTTTAAAAACATAATTTTTTTAGTTTACCCTGTATTCATAATTTCCCTGAGAGCGTGATTTTTTGTAAGGTCGCGATTCTTGAAAAGCTCGGGCACCAAAGTTTTGATGGTAAAGTACATGTCCAGTTTCTCTTTGGTCCTCTCGAGGCTGAATTTGCAGCCTCGAAGGAAGCTGACGATCAACTGGTCACTCGGATCACCGATGATGTGATTCTGCTTCTTGAACCAGTCGCGAATCGCTTGCACGTCGGCGGCCCTTCTTTTCGGATCTTCATTTAACTTTTTCCTCGCGTATTCCAACAATTCGGGCGAAAGTGGACGAATTTTCAAAGTGCCCACGTCGTCTTCCATGTTGTCGTCTACGTGATTAACGTGTTGGTGAAAAGCGTTGACTTTTATCCTACAATCTTATCATGACGCGTCTACAAATAATCCACTGTCTGCTGCATGCAGATTTAAACGGCTATATTTATATTGAATAAGAATTTGGACGCAGATTTGTTCAGAAATCATGGAAAATTTATATTTACTATTAAATATCTAATTCTTCTCCTTTTTGTTAGTATCAGGCAAAAAATCTTGTCAGCCCGATAATGGTGCAAAATCCCACTTTAATTTATATATTAAATACATTTTTTTTTTAATTCTGTATTATCCAAAATTCAAAGTTATTTAATGTTTTACAAAATTTTGTTAGAAAAACCAGAGATTTTCAAGAGAGCGTCATTTATATAAACAACAATAAATTTTTATTTCTCTATTATTTTGAATTTTATCTGCTTGAGTAATTTTTTAAAACTTTCCTAAAAAAAAAACATTTTTATAGCCTTAATAAATTTAATTTCATTTTTAAGTTAGTCTAGAGAAAGTTGGCGAAAAGAGCCTTCCATCCCAAACAAGTCTTCCTTTGTTCTTGACTTTCCAACGCGTTTCTTTTCGTCCACGCCATTCTTCTCATCAGCCACAATCCAGTCGTTGAAAGCAAGAACCTTTTCAGCAAATATTTCTACGATTTTTTTGTCACATTTTTATTTAAACAATAATATAGCAAAATAAAGAAAACTCACTCGCCATAACATCAGTCGATTCAGCGTCACCCCCATATTCTTTTGGCATAATTCTTTTCGGAACCTGTTCGTACAAACGCTCCAGGTTCTTTCCATACACGTGAGTCTAGTCAAATTTTTAATTAATAAGTATTTAATTCAAATGGTTTAACTCACTCGTCGGTTCACTTTTTCCTTGTGCATACTCTGCATCCACTTGAAAAGCGTTTCCATGAAGGAGGGCATGTTTAGAATGTGGCCCGCTTGTGGTCGGAGCGGATAACCTTCCTGAGATTTACAAAAGAAATTTCAAATATAGAATAAAAAAATATAAAACTAAATTGCCCATAAGCCATCCGCTTCATAAAAAATTTTGGTCGTCAACGTTATTATTTACATTGTTTATTCTTAAAAAATCAAGTCAATAATGAAGGAAAGACAAAAAAAATGATAATTATCATTATCAATTTAAAAAATCCAGCAATTTTTTTCTACCCGAGAGTTTTTCGTTTCAAAAGATTGTAATTATCATATCGTTCAATTTTCTGTGTTTCTGCAATTTTTTATTCACCTCATTGCAAATATGCGATTTCTTCATAACGCTAGGCATCATTTGAGTCATGTGACCGAACTTCAAATTGCTAAAGTCCACAATGCTCACTATTCCTTTGACCACCAGTGCGTCGTCATTCATCATAATGTAGTCCATGATAACGTAATTTAACTGAAAATAAATTATGCTATTAATAAAAATATGAGCGAAGAAACTTGAGGGGACGTTCTTTAGAGAAAAAGGGCTCATTTAGAAAGTTTTTAATAAAACTAAAAAAACCTAAATGCACATGATTAACAGTTTTCCAATTTGCAATTTAAAACAAGGAAGAACCTGTAAGTATTTTTCACTGAAATAAAAAAGTTCTATTCATTCTTACCCTCATGAACTCTTCCATGTTCATTTCACCAGGCTCCTCTTTCCCGACCGTAATTAAATAAACTTGGCGCCCTTCGTCGTCCTTCTCAAGCAGCGAAAGAAATGATCTTTGTCCAGGGTTGAAAATTAATTTAATTGTTTGGTTAAAAAAAATTAGCATATTATACCCCCTGAACAATACTTCTTTACAACGAGCGTTTTCTTTACTGTTCAAGTCACGGTTCTTGAAAAATTCAGGCACCATCGTCTTCATCGTGTAGTACATATCGAGTTTTTCCTTCGTCCTCTCCAAACTGAATTTACAACCCCTTAAGAAATTGATGATCAGTTGATCCTCGGGTACGCCGATGATGTGCCTCTGCTTTTTCAACCAATCCCGAATCGCTTGCACGTCGGCCACTCTCCTTTTCGGGTCTTCGTGCAATTTTCTGATTGCGTGCTCCAGCAAATCGGGAGGCAGGGGCCGAATTTTCAAGGGACCAACGTCGTCTTCCATGTTTTTAAATGTACTAAACACTATCTTTTCCCACGAATATATCAGAATTATCTTATCAGGAACGTTGTGTATCAAGATAAGCAACGTGCCTTGCACTATTATTAATTATTACATATATTTTGAAGAAATGCAGATATTACATTCAAAAGAAGTTTATAACATTGAGCATTTGCTAAAAATGAATATTTCACTAATCCAGAGTTAGCTGACGGAAGGAGCCTTCCATTCCGAACAAATCCTCTTTCGTCCTCGATCTTCCAACTCTTTTCTTTTCATCCACACCGTTTTTCTCGTCAGCCACATACCAATCATTAAAATCCAAAATTTTTGCTGAAAATTCCTCTGAAAATTTAAATTCAACATTTATATCAAAAGGAGTTAATTTTTAATTTCTTTTGTATTACTTGCAAGTTTGTCTGATGACGGTGCGTCACCTCCGAAATCCATAGGCAACGTTCGTTTTGGAACTGCTTTGAATAATGATTCAAGATCTTTTCCGTGTGCATGCATCTATGATTTTGAATTTAAATTCAAGATTTTTTTTTATATAATAAAATATTTTACTCTGCGGTTCATTTTCTCCTTGTTAAAAGACTGAAACAACTTCAGCAGCGTCTCCATGAACGAAGGTATGTTAATGACGTGCATTGCTTGGGGCCTGAATGGATATCCCTCCTTGAAATAAAAAATTTTAGTGAAGAACTTGCTACTACTGAAGTGAGAAAAGCTGGCTTTGTTCTCGTTATTTTTTTCAACAATTTTTAACTACGCTTTTCTCGCTTATCATAATTCTTTTGCCACAAATTTTAAAATACCTCTGAGCAGACAGAAACTTTTTTCATCAAGCTCGGCATAAATTGAGTTGCGTGTCCCAGTTTCATGGCGGACATATCGTTAACTATGACAACCCCTTTCACTACGGACACATCGTCATTCATTATAAAGTAATCCATCATCATGAAGTTTACCTGAATATTTTCTTTAAATTTCGCATTTTGAATACAAATTAAATAACTTCACCTTTATCACTTGCAACGTCAAGTGCTTTGCAGGATCGTCCTTTCCCCCGATGCAAAAATATACTTTTCTCCCTTCATCGTCGATTCCGGTTGGAAAGAAAAACCTGAATTTGTTTTAATTATTTATAATGAATTATACAAATTTATTTTATTTACCCAAGATCCAACGTCTCTTTCAAGAGAGTGTCTTTTGTGAGATCGCGATTTTTAAACAATTCGGGTACCATCGTTTTCATTGTGTAGTACATATCGAATTTCTCCTTCGTCTTCTCCAAACTGAACTTGCATCCCCTCAAAAATGATATGATCAACTGGTCGTCTGGGTCTGCATTGATGTGCGCCTGTTTTTTGAACCATTCGCGAATCGCTTGAACGTCCGCTTCTCTTCTTTTGGGAACTTCGTGCAATTTTTTCTTGGCATATTCTAACAAATCAGGAGGCAAAGGCCGGATTTTCAAGTTACCCACATCGTCACCCATGGTTTATAAACGAAAAGCAACTAAGCGATGGGTGACTTTTCCACAAAGCCTTATCTTATCGCGGATCGAGCTATCAGGATTTGCTGGTACTTTTGGTTTAATATAATTTAAAGCTTATTCAACAATCTTGCTAAAAAAGTTAAATTATAAAAAAAATTATTTATATTTCTTCTTGTCCAATAAATTTGCATTTCATTCTAGACCGTAAAAAATTAAATCAATTGTCGATTTGTTTGCTTTCCTTATTTTCTATTAATTTACTTTCGCACGTGGCAGGCACAATTGTTGGTAACATATTAATAATTTAAGCCACTATAGCCACAAATGTGTATCTCTCAGCCAGTAATTTTCGTTTTTTAATCATTACAAGACTTAATCTAAAATAATATTTCAAGTTAAAAAAGGAGAGGAGACGGTCAATTGAAACTTTCTTCTTGCTCAATATATCGCCATCAAAATTATTTCTAAAGTTATTTTAATATTCTTTGATTTTACTTGAAAGTCCTTATTATTTTATAATGGTTTATTTATTGTTTCGATGCATGAAAATCAATCTAGCGTAAGTTGTCGGAAAGAGCCTTCCATTCCAAACAAATCTTCTTTTGTTCTTGATTTTCCTACCCTCTTCTTCTCATCCACGCCGCTCTTTTCATCCGCCACATACCAGTCGTTGAAAGCATATATTTTTGAAATAAAATCCTCTGAAAATTTAACAGAAAATTAATTAAAAAAATGAGTACCTAATTATGAGATTTATCACGTACCTGCAAGTTCTACGTCTGATGGTCCATCACCTCCAAATTCCTTAGGCATCACTCGCTTCGGAACCTTTTTGAACAAAGATTCAAGATCTTTCCCGTGGACATGTATCTGGGTATTAAATATTTTTATAAATTAATAGATGGAAATGATATAAGAGGTTTCAATATTAATTACTCTCTTATTCATTTTTTCCTTGTTGAAAGACTGGAATAACTTGAACAGAGTTTCCATGAAAGTGGGCATCTTAATCATGTGCATGGCCTGGGGCCTAAATGGTAAACCTTCCTGATTTTTTTAAAAAAATTTCAGAAACTAGTGTTATTGAATTATAATTATTTATTTAATTTACCTCGGAGCAAACTGAAACTTTTTTAATTATGCTTGGTAGAAATTGAGTTGCATGGCCCATCTTCATTGCTGACATGTCATTGACAATGACCACCCCCTTCACCACAGATACGTCATCGTTCATCATGAAGTAGTCCATTACCATGAAATTCATCTTTTCAATTTTAAATATTAATAAAAATTCTTAAAATATATCCTTGAATACTTTCAACATGTGGACTACACAATTTTTCGAGGGATCATCTTTACCCCCTATGAAAAGATAAACCCTTCGACCCTCGTCGTCTATTCCACAGGGGTAAAAGTACCTTAAATTTTTGAATATTTAATGCCTTTAAATTTTTCAATGAAAAATATACCCAAGTTCCAAAACTTCTTTCAAGGCTGCATCTTTCGTGAGGTCGCGATTTTTGAAAAACTCTGGCACCATCGTTTTCATTGTGTAGTACATGTCGAATTTCTCCTTCGTCTTCTCCAAACTGAACTTGCATCCCCTCAAAAAGGAGATAATCAATTGGTCGTCTGGGTCTGCATTGATGTGCGCCTGTTTTTTCAGCCACTCGCGAATCGCCTGCACATCTGAGGCTCTTCTTTTGGGGTCTTCGTGCAACTTTTTCTTGGCATATTCCAAAAGATCAGGCGGCAGGGGCCGGATTTTCAAATTACCCACATCGTCAGCCATAGCTTTCAACACTCGAATAAAACTAAGAAAGTGCACGAGGCGCACGCGTTTTCTCCTCAGGACCTATCTTATCTGCAATCGAGAAGCTATCTTGACGATTTGCTTGAATAGTGTATGTGTACATACATTACTAATGAAATATAACTGTAAGTGCAATCATCTGATCTGAATAATCAATGAACACAATGTAAGCGTTTGATGAAAAAAAAATCAATTATGAAATTCCAAAAATATATTTTTATATTTACTTTTTTAAATATCCGCTTTTATCAGCCGCGGTCACTGCTATTTTTGCTCTATATAATTAATTTTTATTTTTTTTTTGCATTTTTTTATTGCTTTATTCTTTTTTTTTAATTTGTTTAGTCTGGTATAAATCTTAAATCATCAACTAAAACAATGCATTTAATCTTCATCACCACCTCACTACTCACAAGATGAAAACGGGCTTACTTTAGTGTGCTTTACTGATAATAAAATTATCACCCATCACTTTAAGTACCTTTTTTCTGTCAGTGAGAAATAAGAAAATGATTTTAGAGCAATTGAAAAAACGACCGATTTGAATTATGTAACTGAATATGATAATTATTTGTTTATTCGTAACAAACGAGAGAGTACAAAATTAAAAAAGAAAATTAAAAATTATGACAATTTTTAAGCAAAGTATATAAAATATTTTAATTAATTTTAAAGATTGTTTATTTAATTAGTCAACGGTCAGTTGCCTGAATGATCCTTCAAGACCGAAGAGATCTTGCGATGTTTTTGGTTTGCCAGGCCGTTTCTTCTCGTCCACTCCGCTTTTGGCGTCTTCCAAGTACCAGTCGTTAAACTCAAGAAGTTCCCTCACGAAATCACCTGATTTAATTCATCAAAGACTTTCAAAGTTATCTAATTATTGCATTTTTACTGTTTATTTTCTCAATGGGTCCCGCGGTGCCTCCGTACTCGCTAGGCAAAAGTCTCTGCGGCACATTTTTGTACAGAGACTCCATGTTGTGTCCATGAACGGCATTCTGATTTTCACCTTTCTTAATTGCACGATTAAATACAAAAGACATTTTTTACCCTTTGTCTGATTTTCTCCTTTGCAAATGTGTTGAATATGTTGTAGATCATGGTGAAGAAAGACGGCGTGTTAATGAAATTTTGGCTTTGCGGTCTAACGGGAAATCCCTCCTGTGAAATTTGAGTCGAAGTTATAATTTAGATTTAAATTTTGTTACAAATGATGTGTTTGTTCACCTCGGAGCAAACCGAAACTTTTTTCACAAAGCTTGGTGTCATCTGGGAAACATGCCCCATTGATAAGCTGCCCATGTCCATCACGTAGACTGACCCCTTAACAATGGCTCTATCGTCCTTTCTAATGATCATGTCCATCATCATGAAATTTGCCTGTAATTTTATTGCATTAAACTAAAATTTAAAAGCATTTTATGTATGTATCAAAATTATAAAAATTACACTCAACCTCAGTGAAAAATTGAAAAAGATAACGTGATTTTTTTTTTAATTTTCAACTAAGAAGTTGAAATTGATAAACTGTTATATTAACATAAGAATATATTACTTTAAAGACATCTTCCATTTTAATTTTGTTCGGATCGTTCATTCCACCACGCAGCAGAAAAACTCTTCTGCCTTGTTCGTCAGGCTCGGGCAAAGGGAAGAAAAATCTAAATTTTATTCATGTTTATAAAAAAAACTATATAAATTATGATATTTACGCCAGGTCCAAAATTTCCTGCATGGTTTTGGATTTGAAATCCCTGCCATGGAAAAATTCAGGCAGCGCAGTTTTGACGGTGAAGTACATGTCCAGCTTCTCTTTGGTTCGTTCCAAGCTGAATTTGCAGCCACGCAGGAAGTTGACGATGGTCTGGTCGTCTAGCGAGCCTTTGATGTGCGGCTGCTTTTTTAGCCAGTCCCGAATGGCCTGGACGTCAGCGGCTCTCCTTTTTGGATCTTCGTTCAGATTTTTAATTGCGTGCTCCATCAAATCTGGAGGCAATTCTCGGATGTCCAAGTCGTCGATTTTTTTGCCCATTGCAAGCAGGAAAAATTACGTAATCCAAAAAGTTGAAGAAAAAAAAATGCAACTATCACAAACTTTGAGCAAAAGAGTTATATAAACGCTGGCGATAGGTTGAGGTTTATATCTAGTCGCTTGGTGAGATAAGAGAGAGGAGAGCCAATTCAAGATAAAAAAAAAAAAAAAAATGATGCAGCTCTGTGCAGGTTTTACAGTTTGAGATAAGACGAGCCAGCACGTTACCCAACCACGCGTGACTGTAAACGCAAAGTAAATAAAAAAAATTGTTCAAAATTTATAAAGAACTTTAAAAAAAGGGCTTAAAAATATTCAGTAAATAAATAGGCAGGTGGCTAAAATAAAATTTTTATTTTTAGAAAATTAATATTCGTTATCAAAGTTTCACCACAAAATATTATTTTTTTACTTTACCTAGATAAAATATAAAAATAGTTATAAATAATATAAATTTTTTTGCATTATCAGAATTTTTAAATTTTAAATAAAAAAACTTAATCTACAATTTCAAAAATAATTGAAATCTCTTCACCTTGCAAAAAAAGTGAAAAGAATATTACAAGCATATTAAGTAATCCGTCGCTTAAGCGGATTAAGAAGAAAGCAACATGGCATGATATTCAGTTCAGACACTCTTCACATTTATTATAAATATCTCAAGGCAAAGGGGAGCGAGTGTGCTGTTTAAAAAAAAGAGAGTCGAACACTTGTGTGACAAAAATTCACGTGTTGCAAGGGCATGCGGCTTTTCACTTGGAAGACCCACAAGTCATTGGTGGGCACCTCGATCCCATTACAGCCGCCCTTAATCTATCATAGGTGGGGTGCTTTCTAATTGAGTTGCTGACTGGTGCGCGAGGGTTACTCGGACGGCTAGTGTCGACGTTGCACTCCCCGAAATCGTTTCTCTCTAGCTAGACCAGCACGCTGACAACACCACGGCGAACCTCTACACCCACCTCATCGGCCACTGCATCAAACAAGTAAAGCAAAACAAAAGCATCCCCATTTTTCGTAGATTTTAAATCAAAAATCAAAATGCAATCCAGAAAAAACGCTTCCATGCTCACAAACAAGTTGCCCTCAAAAATGGAACTCATTATCTACTTGAAATTAGAGCTATTGCTAAATTTGCTTGTTTTTATTAAATTTAGTAAATTTTTTCTTGAAAATATGGACAGTAAAAAGAAGCTAATTTAAATATTTAAATGTACCCTAATTTTTTTTTAAATTACTTGACGACTATTTGAATAAATTTGCAGTTCTTAAAATATTTAATTAATTTCAAAGTTTTAATTGAAAAAATTTGCAAGAAAATCACAATTTACAAAGCATTTTGAAATTTTGGAATTAAAAAAAGAATCAAAGTTAAAAAAAGTTTATTAATTTTCTATTTGCGTTTTTCTAAGCTCTTTAATAATTATTAAATTTTTTTGCTATGTATAATAAAATTTACTTGAATTAATTATTAATTTTCAAAACATTTCTCGTTTATATCACGTTAAAAAGTTTTAGTAGACTCCTGCCAAAATCACGCTATGCAACCCGCGTACCTCCACTGTCGTGCAAGTGGCCTAACTATGAAAGTAGCAGGCGTTCCGCTCTCAATAGATATTATAATTTCTACGACGGGTTTTGAGTCTGGAACTTTGTATTGCAGGACTCCTCTTCGGGAAGTCTCTGCCAAGACTGCTCGATCGCGCTGAAGATAATCAACAAGTGGCACAATGGCCTGTTGTCTGTCCGAGGAAGCTAAAGAGCAGAAGAGGATAAACGCGGAAATCGAGAAGCAGCTGAAGAATGACAAGAGGAATGCGAGGCGCGAGCTCAAGCTGCTGCTGCTGGGATGCGGAGAGTCGGGAAAATCCACCTTCATCAAGCAGATGAGAATTATCCACGGCTCCGGTTACTCCGACGAGGACAAGAAAGGCTTCACTAAACTCATCTACCAGAACGTGGTCATGGCCATGCAGTCCATGATCAAGGCCATGACGATGCTTAACATCGAGTATGGTGACGCCGCCAGTGTTGTAAGTTTTAAACTAATATTAATTGGTGAATAATTTTGGATAATTTTTATTTAAGAGGTATTTCATGCAATGCATGTTAACATTAAATAAGAAAAATAATTTGATTTTATTTGTTATTCAGAAATATTTTGCCAAGTTTCTATAAAAATTTTCAAAAGATAAAATTTTTTCGCTGAATCTAGGAATTTCGACTTAAAAATCATTAATTGTAGCAAATACGGGAAGAATATAAAAAAATTTTAACGAGTTATACAATGATTATTATATATATTATATATTTTTTTCATTTGAAAAATCTCAAGATTTAATATTGAATGTATTCATTTTTTTTTACTCTACTCCTTCATTTTAAACAGCAAAAAGCCGAAACGGTCATGGAAGAGGATTTCGAAATGGTTACCTCGTTCGAACCTCCCCTTTCGACTTACGTTGAGGAATTGTGGAAAGACACTGGAATCCAAGATGCTTACGCCAGGCGTCGCGAATACCAGCTCACAGATTCTGCCAACTAGTAAATTGAAGTTAAATTTTTAATTAAATAGTATTTAATTAATAAATCTTTTTCAGCTACATGTCCGACTTGGATAGAATCAAGGCACCCGATTACCTGCCCTCTGAGCAGGACATTTTGCGAGCTCGTCAGCCCACTACTGGAATTATTGAGTACCCATTCGATCTGGACTCTATCATCTTCCGGTATTTTTTTCTTTTTAACTTTTTATATAGAATTTTTAACGTTTTTTCTTCAATTTTTAACATTCGGCCAGAATGGTGGACGTGGGAGGACAGCGATCTGAAAGACGGAAGTGGATTCACTGTTTCGAAAATGTGACATCCATCATTTTCTTGGCCGTGCTCAGCGAGTACGACATGATCTTGTATGAATCTGACAATGAGGTGCGTAGGCTAAATTAATTAATTTAAATTATTGAATCTTAAAAAATGTGCAACCAACCACGTAATTTTAATTAATATCCAACAAATTTTCTAAGTCAATTGTTAGACTTTTTAGAGAAAAATAAAATTAATGGAAAGAATTAAGACAAAGTAGTGTCAACTACTCTTTGAAAGCGCAGCAATATAATTTATATTAAAAAAATATATAATTATATAATTTCTCCAAAAACAATGTACTTTTCTGTTTAGAACCGTATGAACGAATCTCTGGCTTTGTTCAGAACCATCATTACCTACCCGTGGTTCGCCAATTCGTCCATTATTCTTTTCATGAACAAGAAAGATTTGTTGGAAGAGAAAATCGTCTACTCTCATTTGGTCGATTACTTTCCCGATTTCGATGGTAAACTTATAGTTATTTCAAGTAAAAATATTAATTAATTTGATTTCACACAAAAGGGCCGAAGCAGGATGACATTTCTGCTAAGAATTACATCTTGAAGAAATACTTGAACGAAAACCCTGACCCAGAGAGAACTTGCTACTCTCATTTTACAACTGCCACAGGTTAATTACAAGATTTTTTTAAATTATATTTAAAAATTTTATTTTACAATTTTTAGATACTGAGAACATTAAGCTTGTGTTCTGCGCCGTCAAGGACACCATCATGCAGAACGCTCTCAAAGAGTTCAACTTGGCTTAAAAATTGGATTTCGGCTGATTTTATTGATTTAATTTTGAATTATTTCATCTCCCTTATTTATGTTATTAAATTTGTTTTGCTGATCCAGCAAAAATCCACCCCGGCTTCTCTGATATTTCTTGTATAAATGAAAATGGCAGCGATGAATAAAATAAGTTATAAAATGTTTAATTCAACAGCAGTTTGATTCATGCGGAAAGATTTCAAAATATTTTCAAATTAATTATATTTAGAGTTAAAAAAAAAAATAATAGTCAATAAAAGCCACTTTCTTGTTCATAATTTGTGCACGATCAAGGATCTCTAAAAAATTCAAAACTACGCATCTCTTTTTTTTAACTTAAATAGCATCAGCCGACAATGCTCACGAATTGGCTATGGTTTTTAATGTTAAAGAAAACAAAAATGTCGCCCTGCGGCATAAAAAATTTGTAAATTTTCTATCCACAAAATAAGTTATTATTGTTTTATGTATATCTGAATTGCCACAACACATTATTAAAAAATAAATTCTGTAAAACCCCCGATATACTTTTTTTGTTTGTTTAATTTTACTTCACTTTTCGTTGTGTTTTTTTCATCAGACACGAACCAATATTATCGCGTTATAAACCTCAGAAAGGACATAAAGTAAAAAAATTTAATTGTATTTTTTAGTTTAATGTTGTATAAAAGAATGGCATAATTTTCTTTCCAGTTTTGAGCGTATAATTTTATTTGGAAATATTAATAAATAAAAATGAGATGTTGTAGTAGAATTTAGAATTTCACTATCGATGTGAGTTGAATTTAAAGTCAGCAAAGCCTGACAGTTTTTTGTGGCATTTATTGTTTCAGAAAAACAATATTGAAGAAAAGCTGAATTTTAATATTTTAATTCAAATCACAATGAGATCAGAATGAGATTTTTTTGCTTACAGTTTAATTTGATTAATATATATTTTATTATAAACATATATTTTTTTCAATTGAAATCAAATAAAATTGATCTTCGCAGCACAGGGATAGAAGCACGTGGCAATGGTACGCGTAATAGAAAATTGGTGACGGGCAAAAGTTTCAAGTTTTGGCGCGCAAGGGCGTCTGGCGCTGTCATGATGGCAGCTCCGACTGTTAGAGCTTTTGGCCTTCGCCATCTTGAGCAGATACGAGAGAAAATCACCCGCACATTTCACAGTTTTCTGCACCGCATTTTGTGTTTATTTGTTATCAATGAGTGCATCCAACATCTAGAGCATCTATGCTGATACCTGTGAGTGCATCGGGGCCGCCGCGGGCCGTACTTTGGGCCTCTGGGCCGCTTTGTTTGCGATGTGGCCGCCCCATTGGTCCGAGCTGTTCTCCAACTCGCAGGCCCTTTTCGGCCGCCCTGGCCGCCGACCCTGACTGCGTAGGCCGTCGTACTCGGGCCGATAAAGCCCCTGCAGACGAATCAGCGCCAGCCGGGGCCGATCGGCGCCGGCGGCGCCGCCGAACGCGCCAAACCAGGCCCTCGGCACCGTCAGCCCCACCACACCCATCGGCCAGTTTTGGCCCCGTTTTGGGTGTTTTCGCCCGTGTCGGCGTCGTCGGCGCCACATATTCGGCCCATCGGCGCTGAACGGCGGTGCCGGGGCCTTTGTTGACACTGGGGCGCTGGAAAGTGGCATTTCGGGGCTTGGCTGTCTGTCACACCACCATAAATAAATATACATTGAGGCTGATTTTTAAATTTTCTCAAATTTTGCATTTGAATTGGAAAAAAATTAGTTAAAAATTTTTGAAACAATTTTATGTCGGACTAAATTTATTGACAAGTAATCGGGTTTGCCTTCGAAATTCCAATCAAAAGTGTACTTTCCGATTGCCCCAAATTCAAAATAGTTCACTTGAATTGGTTAAATAATTCCAATTATTAAAAGCCTCAAAGTTTTTTGCATAAAATATTCTATCATAAAATATTTATATAATTATTACAAAAATTGTACATAATGTGGAATTTTAGAATTATAATTTTCTCCTACAAAAATTTTTGGTGGAATTTTTGTAAATCTTCAAAAAAAATTAAAACCAAAGCTTCCTGCATCTAAAAATTTGAGATTAATTTGTTGGGAAGGAGAACAGCTCGGAATTTATTCCCACTTGAAATTTCCCATCGCCGGCAAATTATCCTAATTATTCAATTTGCGCTGAAAGTCAAATGCGTGCCTTTGAGATAACAGTGCATATATCCATGTATTGACGGCGGCTTTCGCAATATTGTGGTTGCAGCAGTGAGGGAGTCGCTGCCAGGCCAGCGGTCTGACCACCTGCTCAGATCTGCCCCTGCACTTTGACCGGCCGCAGGTATGATGGCGTGTTGCTTGTCCGAGGAGGCCCAGGAGCAGAAAAGGATAAACCAAGAAATTGAACGGCAATTGCGGAGAGACAAACGAGAAGCCAGAAAGGAACTCAAACTCCTCCTGCTAGGTGAGAGACAATGATTATTTGTAATTAGAGAAACCGCGTTTAAGAAAGTTACATAATTAACAGAGAAGGAGGCAGGGTTGAAATTATCATAATTTTCTTTTTGCATGTTTAAATAAATTTTATTAGAAAGTAATAAATTTAAATAATTCAAAATCTTGAATTCATTACTTTCAAAGTAAATTTTATTATTGTTGACGATTGAATTTAAATTTGTTTTTCCCTCGCTTTTTTTCATATTTTAAAAATCAGATAGAGCAGGATATTTTTTTTTAAATGAAACAATAAATGACTCATTAAGGAAAAGCCAAATTAAATTAAAACACCATGAATACCCTCTATTGTGAAATTCTTCTACAAAAATATTATCATTGTTGATTATTTGTCAAAATTGTTACAGAAAAATTAAATTGAGGTAAACTTCAGAATTATAAAAGAAAAATGTATAACAATGGCTGACTTAATTCAATTAAAATTTTTTCTCTTGCAAAAGGAAAAACATTGAATGGAAAAATCACATAGGCAGAGAATAGGCGATCTCTAATTATCAAGGCCCAATTTAGAACCAAAAATCTTTTCTTATTCAATCTGCTTTTCCACTGAATTTTTTTTTTTTTCAAATTAATTATTTCACTCTTTATTTCAATCATATTTTTCTAATTGATCCGTAAAATTTTCATTCAATAATTTTTTTTAGTAACTAATATTTAATAAAATCAATAAACAACCAAAGAAATTCTAACTAATTTAAAACTATTTTTAAACAATGTTACTCTTATTACATAACCTGCAGTGCCGCCCTAGAATTATATTTGCAAAAATAGGCAAAATCATTTCCGCGCATGTCACCCTTTGAGAGTGATTCCATAGTTTCTCTCTCTCTCATTCCTTTCATTCTTCGAATAGCAGCCTATTATTTATCAAACAAAATTTTTGTCCTAGAACGATTCCCTCGTCATTTTTAGTCGAGAATTAGTGGGTGGCGAATAAATCGTGGCCTGATTAGCGGCGGATAATTGAAAATTTTCGACATGAACCGCCCGGCCGGCGGGTGCAGTGCTCGCGCGCGATGAGAGAGTGGCTGCCTGTTTTTGCCTGCGCTGCGCCGGCGTCCAAACAGACAGACACCATACTTTGCTCGGGGAGGGGCAATTTATTGATTTTTACTAGCAATCCGTGCCCAAGACCCATGCACCCTCTCGCGCCCCCTCTCGCGCCCCCTAACCCGCCCAACTTCCCAATTTGACCCCAGAAAAAAATCCCAAAATTTGCTCCAACTGGGTTAATTTTTTTAATTGATTATTTTAAAGTAAAATGTTTTTTTAGTGAATAAAAAATGTTATTTAAGTATCTCAGTAGAATTAGTTTCTTAAGTCTCAAATTATTAAATGTTTGATTTTTCCACGGATTCGCCAAAAAAATGTGTCGGTTTTTTCAAATTTTCGCTTCTGTCGGCTCGTTTTCATGTTATTTTGCTTTTAACCCCGTTTACTGCAGCCCAAGTCACGTGATCAACTCATTCACAAACTACGCACGCGCTCTCGTGGAGTCCGCCCTTGTAACTTTCATTGATACATCATTATGAATATTGTCTGTCTTGCTGCGCTGTTTATCAGTGGTAAACGCAGCGACGGACGACCGGCGCACCCACCCCAAGCTCCCCTTTAGTTGCGACCAAATTACAATTTATTTAAAAAAAAGAAGAATAAGTAAAAAATTTTTCAAAGAAAAATGTAAATTGTATTATTGCTTCACAATTAAAAATCAACATCTAGCAAATTTCAAGAAAATCTAAACTATTTTAAAACGTCTCGTAGATCATTTAAAAATTAAAGTTGTGTATTAAAAGTTCTGGCACTTTCTATGACTTCTACTTTTACAAAAATTTTATATGAAAATTTCCATGTTCCAGGCACGGGGGAGTCGGGCAAATCGACATTCATCAAACAGATGCGAATCATCCACGGTGCTGGTTATTCAGATGAAGACAAGAAGGGCTTCATCAAACTCGTCTACCAAAATATATTCATGGCCATGCAGAGTATGATAAGGGCTATGGACATGCTCAAAATCCAGTATGGTGACTCGAGGAACATAGTAAGAGACAAAATTACAACAAAATAAATAATAATTTCAAGAAATTTTGACTCATGATTGCTATTTAAAGAAACAAATAGTTCCATGTGGAATTCAGAAAAACAAAAATAAAGAACTTTCGCTTTAGAAATTTATTTATTGCATCTGATTATTACTAAAACATGGACTCTTTTGCTTCTCAGGACAAAGCGGAACTTGTCCGGAGTGTCGATTTTGAGACAGTGACAACGTTCGATTCCCAGTTCGTGGAAGCCATCAAAGACCTCTGGGCGGACGCTGGCATTCAAGAATGCTACGACAGGCGTCGCGAATATCAGCTCACAGATTCGGCCAAATAGTAAGTCACCGTTTCCCCTTCTCTCGTTGCAGTATAGTAGGTGCAGTCTGGCGAACTTTGTTGTGCTCCTTGCGGGTGACGGTGGTATTCGAATTTTAACTCTGACTTGTCTCCACTTGCAGCTATTTAATGGAAATTGACCGAGTCGCCGCACACAACTATTTGCCTACAGAACAGGACATTTTACGAGTCCGAGTTCCTACGACAGGCATCATAGAATACCCCTTTGACCTAGAAGAAATTCGTTTCAGGTTGATACTCGCAAAAGATCTCTTTCTGTTTGCGGTTGTGACGTGACATTTGCCTGCCTGGTTTTTTGATTTTTCAAGTTTGCACAATTCCGATCCACCACTTTTGATTTTACGACAATTTTATTTTTTACTTTGCATGTTTGATGGATTTTCTCTCTTTATTTTGCATACATTTTATTTTTGGCATGCTCCGTATTGATTTGAGTTTGCACGCTTGTTTGTTCCGCAGTTATCTTAGTGACCTAGACAGAATCAAAGCACCCGACTACCTGCCTACAGAGCAGGACATTTTACGTGCTCGACAGCCAACCACTGGTATAATCGAGTATCCTTTTGATCTGGACTCCATTGTATTCAGGTACTGGCCAAAGAAAACAAAATGAGAAACCGGCATAATTAACTAAGATAGCTTGTTTGATTGACAATTTACTCTCATTATTTCAAACTTTTTGCAAATTTGCACCCATTGAACCATTTTTTTTTCACTGAATTTTTGAGGATCATGTTTGCACTTATTTGGTTTGCGTTGTAGCATGTCCTGGTGTTCTATCTCAGTTTTTATTTTTCAAGCGGATTTTTTTAAACAAATTGCCAATTTCAGAATGGTGGATGTCGGAGGACAGAGGTCTGAACGAAGAAAATGGATTCACTGTTTTGAAAACGTCACATCTATCATCTTCCTGGTAGCCTTAAGTGAATATGACCAGATATTATTTGAGTCGGAGAATGAGGTACGTTTTTTTAATTGAAATTTTTAATTTGCTTCTAATCATTTTCAATTGCTCTGCAGAATCGAATGGAGGAGTCCAAGGCTTTGTTCCGCACCATTATTACCTACCCCTGGTTTCAGCATTCATCAGTAATTCTCTTCTTAAACAAGAAAGACTTGCTTGAAGAAAAAATCATGTACTCTCATCTTGTAGACTATTTCCCAGAGTTCGATGGTGAGTTACGCTTTTGAATTAAAATCAAAACTTGAATTTAATGCATGAATTTTCATTTGTCTAACGACAGGGGAAAATTAAGGTGATTTTGTTGTAAAGTACAGATTTGTAGGGCTAAAATTTGTTGCTAGTTTACTTCTGTGCTGCTGCTAACATTTTTTAATTCATTTTTGAGTCTATGATGGCATTATAATTTGTGTTACTTAGAATATTTCACTAAAAAGAAAATGATTATAGGCTTCACTTTTTTGCCTGCATTCATACTTGTTTCTAAACCGTAAATTATTTTAGGTCCACAAAGAGATGCTATCAGAGCAAGAGAGTTCATTCTTCAAATGTTCGTGGATATGAATCCAGACTCAGAGAAAATAATCTACTCACATTTTACATGTGCAACTGGTAAGAAACGTGGCCAACTTTTTTCTTTTTTAAACTCAAACTTGTCTTATTTCAGATACGGAGAACATTAGATTTGTATTTGCTGCTGTCAAAGATACCATTTTGCAATCCAATCTCAAGGAATACAACCTTGTCTAGACCCTTGGCCGGCACAAGAGGGGACGCAGCAGCAAAAGCACAAATCAAAGATCAACGTAACCACGCCCACACATTCATAACTAGAGACACAAACTCATTGGTCAGCCCTACGATGCAGATCAACGCCATCAAGTCGGTTACTAATTTGCCACTAAGTTGATTCATGTGTTTCTCTTACGCCGGTGAATCAAGTTCATTTGCCCACTCATCCTTTACACAACAATTTTCCAACTCAGCAGCATCTCTGGACCTACAAAAGCAAAAAAGAAAAATCGTCTGTCCCTGCAGGAAACTCCCTGAACAGCAGCAGCAGGACCATAGTGACTATTGCATTTCCCTCTGTTTGTATTCGTGAAAATCGAAAGAGCGATCAGGAATCAGTTACGGCAAAAGTGAGCAACTTTTCGTGACTTTCTAAAAGTGAACTCAAAACAAAAAGAAGATGAAGATTGAAGATGTGTCTCGGTTGTTTCAAACTCATTGTCGTTTTCCATCCTTTTCTAATTCTAACCCTGACACCTTAAGTAAAAATTCACTCTTGGACATCACAATTGGGCAATACAGTTTAGTGCCAGGAGCATTGACTAATTATGTATGTGGAGACTATCAAATTAAGAGCCTGTTGATGGTTTATCGATTAATTTCAGCAGTGGCTGGTGCTAGCAATAGCAATTGCAAACATTGCCAAACAAATTGATGCCAATGAAATCACAAAAATTCTGAAACAGTTTAAAGTGCATTGAATACCTACCATTTGTTGTAGAATTCCAAGTTAACATAGGATCACTTGAGAATTGAAGCAATAGAGCATAGGGGATCTTTGAAATCATTAATTCGAAGGTGATTTGTGATATTCTTTTTGTTTTCTTTGAAAAAGAGAGATTGTAACAAAAAAAATTACAGTGGCAGGATTTTTATATTTTCCGATAATTAACAACAAAAATTATCTTTTGTGCAGCTGCTGCAATTTTTCACACAAGCGCGCGCGCATTAAACACACCAAGAAAAAAAGTACATTGCATTTATATATGTTTCTCATGTTGACCAAAAGATAATTTTTCTTGGCCACTCCAAGAATTTCCACTACAATAGTCATGCTCTCGTCCCTCGAACTTTCCTCAACAGTGTTTATTGTTTTTAAGAAATTTGAAGCTGAGGACACAAAGACATTCTATTATTGCCATTCATATGATTAAACTCACTACAAAAAGAAAATTAAGAAACCTAGCTTAGGCCTTTTTGAGTAATCGGTGAAGGTGAAGAAGATTTAAACGAAACAAACACAAAACTTTCCCCTAAACTCTTGCTAGTAACAGTTGAGAACTTTCAAAATGTGAATTGCATCGTACTTGATACTAAAATTTAAAGAGGCATAATGACAAACATTCATCACTGCGTTTATATTTTATATGATAGGTCTGTAACTCTAATTATACCCCCCTCCCTGATTGTGAAAATGATTGACATTTTTTTATAGAATATATTATCATCCATGATTGAACACGGAAGTAACAGGCCCAAAAACCATAATGGAAAAAAGAAAAATCTTGCTAATTCCTTACAAAGTAAAAATGTCTGCCGTTTCAAAAATTTTAAAGGTAATTAATGAAGAGCAGAAAGTAGCAAGCTATGTGTATATTTGAAGATTAAAAATTAAAAGCAAAAACATACCAAACTCGGAAAAAAAAACTATATCGTTCAACATTACTAAAAAGAAAAGAAAAAACATCACCGTGAATGTTGATTAACTGCAAAGAAAAAAAGAAAACGAAAAAGGGTCTGTGTTATTTGAAATAGCTCCACCTTAATCTAAGTTTCTCTGTGAATCGTGTTTCGATTTTTCTACTTGCAAGAATGTGCTGCCCTTTTTGAAAGAAAAATATGTACGTCATTGTACGCACACACCAGTGAGCTATTTCCAAGAACACTCCACTTTTAGCTTGGCCAATCCGAATCATTATTTTTGCAGCCTTTAATTTGTACATAAGAAGTCTTGAAATGCATACACATCTCTCAATTGGACTCTTCTGCATTTTATTGTTTTTCAGAAAAAATGAAACACTGTATAGCAGGATTACTTGATATTTGTGAATACTTGTGGTAATGACGAAGATGATGATGATGGATGACATGTTTGTAAATAATAATAGGTATTTCAATGAAATTAGTCACTCCACGTGGTAATTATCATAAGGGTTTATATTTTATTTGTTAATTTAATTCGATGAAAGAAAATAAATGCGCAGAAAACTGTTAATAATTATTTGATGAATTGGAACTCTTTGGTCATGCACAAATATAACGGAAGGAAAATATAAATGGCCTCAAGTTCGAAACAAAAAAATCAATTAAACCACCCATAGTAAATTTTATTTTTCTATATACTTGCGATTCCTTCAAATTAATCACAAACCATGTAAAAGCAAAATTGAAATTGTGTTGAGAATACCGAAACTTTTTAACTGGCCCGCGCAAATTGTTTTTATTCATAATGTGATCATCATTGCACTAATTTTTGTTGTTGAACTTTTGAGCATTGTGTATTTTGTACATAAGAGTAAAAATGTAACTGCCATTCATTCGATTGGATGGGCCACATTAATTCACTCATTTCCTATGAAATGACCGGCCGGCCGGCCGATGGCGCGCCAAAATGAAACCCCGATTCGAATGCGAATTAAAAAAAAATAATGCTGAAAAAAATGTAACCAAAGCCGAGAACATCCCCTAAACGACCCTAAGCTGGCTTGTTGTGGGGTAGTCCACATTCGAAGTAAGGATATATAAATAGTAGCGAAACAAACATTTCTGATGCCCGTTTTTTATATATGTAATTGTAAGTAAGAAAAATATTCCACGCATGAGGTTGTTCTCGGTGGCAAATTGTATAATCGCGTGAATGGCCGCGCGCGCCGCTCCCAGCCGGCGCTGGACGATTTCCTCTGTAAAATAAAATTTAAAAGAAAAAAAGATACATCAAGAAGTGGCCTGTTGATGGGGAGTTTGTCCTTCGCAGCATTTACAAGGCACACACAAAACAATGTTATCAATTATTCTTAGGAAAAATGATTCTTCTGTGTGTTCATTTATTTTTGCATAGCTTGTTGCTAAAAAGACTTTATTTAAAACTAAATAAGTAAGTGGAATCATTAATGAGAGGAGAGTAATATTAAATAACGTTCGCGCCATTCAGTTGATTTATTAAATATAATTAATAATTATTGTATAAAAAGTCTTGGGCCATAATTCACGTTGGTATTTATTTCAACTGCTTTAGTCTCCTCGTTTCAGTCTTGTGAGAATTATTTGTTGTCAGAACCTAATTATTATATTTTATATATAAATTAAATAGAACTACCGCGGCTCTGGTCGGCCAACGACCTAACCGAGAAGCTTTATTCTTTAACTTCTGGTATAATCTAGTGCTAATTACGAGATGGTGAAAAATTAATCAAGAACACACACACACAAACATTTACATGCAGTGGGATAACTATTATGATTTTCTTCCAAATGCAGATTATATTTATGAGTTACGAGCATACCTTTGCTAGTTTGATACGAATATGAAAAGAAATTTACTCATAAGTTATACTTTGTTATTAATTATTCGATAATTAATGATGCGAAATTTGATTTCAACGATGGATATAAAAAAGTAATACAGAAAATGCATTATTCTGATTGTATGTGTGCTGAGGACTTTTTTCAAGAGTTCTTGTGGTAAAAAGAAAAATGTACGTACATGTGAATATGGCGTGAGATGCTTGTGATGTTACGAGTGTGAATGCTAGTGATCTGCGAGAGCTTTTTGAATGGTTATAGAAAAATTTGTAAACGCACTTCTTGTCAAAAAAATAAAACATTTTTTTCTGAAAGAGGATGTTGTTTTATTTTGATTATTTCTCTGATCGCCTATTACCACAAAATTACTACATAAATTATGGCAACGGTTCCGTTCTATTCATCGTCTTTTACTCGTGACAAAAAAAAAAATAAAAATTCATGATATGAATAATAGTGAAACTATATTTAATTTTAAATGTATTTATCAGGCAAATAAAATTTGCTGCAACTAAAAATTGCCTTTTAATTTTTGTTTTTTCCTGCGTTTTGAGTAAAATAAATTAAATATTAAACTTTTTATTAAGAAATTGTCATAAACCCAAAGAATTTGAGAAAAATTATTATTCAGTCTTTATGTAGAAAATATGTATTCCCGTTGACCACTGTTTGACTAGAGAATAAAATATTTTTTGCTATTGAATGTTCATCTTCCACTTTATTCAGATTTTGATTTAATAACTTTATATCATAGAAAGAAGTATGAAATACGGTACTTTTAATTAAATGAAAAAAAAATAATTTCACATCGTATTAAGATATTCTTCTCTACATAATAAACAATAATAAATAAATAATAATACACAATAATTTTTGATGAATTACAATTTTTTTAGAGTCATCAAACTTTGCTTTCGGATATATGAAAGGTTGAATTTTTTCCGTATAATGTTTTTCACTTTTCACAAGTTTTCCTTTTTTTCCATTTTTATTTTTTATTACCCTTTTCTTCTTTAGCCCAAGCTTTAGCCATTCTGTTCCATTAGCATCGCGCCGCAGGCTCGAAAAACGAGCTCACTGTGTCAGTGGTTACGGTTGCCGACACAGCGGCGTGGCGGTCGCGCGTTGTGATGGGTAGGGTATTGTGAGGGAGGTGCGCGTTTTCTTTTCAAAGCAAAACTCAAGCGGAATCCATCCACGGTAGCAGCGAAGCGAGTGCGAATCGGGCCACGCGTGTTTTGCGTTCGGAAATGACCCAGTGGGGCTCGTCGTGAGACCCAGAGACCTTCACGAACCTTTTGCAAGGTGAGTTGAAACCTTTTCGGCGACGCAGGGCGCCCGTTTCGGCGCCCAGAGGCCCCAAAATGGGCTCAAAAACCGACCCGCCATATTGACAGGCTGCCCGTGATCGAGCGAAAAGTGTCAAAGATTCGCTTCCCATTGATCTAATTCGGTCGCATTTATTGAACAAAAGGTGCTGGTGTTTCGTGCTGAGAATTATCTTGACCGGACACGGCCGATTTCAGACTCAATCGGCGCCGAATTGAACGTTCAGAAGGGAGGCGTTGCCCTTCGTGTGCAGTTCTCTCATCTCTGTTGTCATTCTGGTCCGGTGCAATTTGCATAACGAATATTGAAGTCTTGCATCAATTTGAAATGGGTCTTGAATTAGATCTGAAAATATAATTTGCACGCAGTTTGGCCACAAATGTGAATTTTGGGCTTTTTAATTCGGAAGTTTTGCGAGTTCCAAAATGCTGCTCTAGTTTGTTTTCGAACACCGATTGCTTTGTTTTTGTAATTATTTTCCCGGACGGATGTTGATCTGGACGGGAACTTTTATCTCTTTTGGCAGACCCGGGCAGACCAAACTTTTGTTTTGATTTAAAAATAATTATATAAAAGTCTTCCGTTTTAATCAGCGTGAAATAGTTTATGCAATTCATCTCGAAAGGCGATTATTTTTATTTCCTGGTTTTGTCTCAATTTAGTTCACATTTTTATGCTGTTTTTTTTTGTGTTTTAAAAAGTAGGAAGCCAAGTTCAAGTTGAATATAGGCAAAATTTTAAATTCCATGTTTAAGACTGTTCAATCCTTCCTGAATTCTACTAAATCTAGTACATAGAACGTTTGATGATACAAATGTTTGTTTCTTTTCCTCCCGCGGTTTTGTGAATATTTATTTTTGCTGCGTTCAATTTTGTTGATTTTTTAAGTGCATTTTAATAAAAATGTATTAATATTTCATGAGGTAATTAAAAATCTTTTTTAAATATACAAAATATAACTGTTAAGTAATAATTTTTTTATTTCTTCAAAAATGATTATTTTATTTCATTCATTTTAAATTTATTATAATTATGAGCAGTTTTTTGTTTATATAAGTCGGATTTCATAGAATATTAATTTTATCATAATTTTTTTTGTCTTACTAAAGCATTATTTTGGAAATGTGTACAATAAGCAGAAAAATATTCGATCGACTAAATTTTACAAGAAAAAACTAAAAAACCATTGGAAGTTTCTGTGGGATTGCCTTAAACTAGTTTGAATTTGTTACTACCTCAAATTATCAACATTTTGAGTATTTAAAAAAAAAATTAAAATATTCTCAAAAATAATGTTGATTTATTGTTGAATTGAATTAAAATGAGATTTTTTACTTTGGAGATTGATATTTATTTAAAGACTGAGATGGCAAATTATTTTCTTGCTCGACAACGATTTCCTAGTTTAATAATTGGCAAAATTGAACTGATCGATATGCAATTTCAGCAGCGGAAGTGTGATCGGAAGCTGCAGGATGGCCTCGTCGAGGCATCTGAACTCGGAGGCGATCCGGGAGGAGATTCAGCGCTTCGAGAGTGTTCATCCCTGCATCTACGCCATCTACGACTTGATCGAGCTGATGCAGGAAACCACCCTTGCGCAGAAGATCAGGGACCAGGTCGTCTGCATTGAAGGTCAGTCGCACAACATCAAGAAGTCGGTTTCATTCTTCCGGCAGCCGCGGCGGCGACGCAGGAATTCGCTTGTTTTGAGCCTCGAAACCGCAAACGCGCGCAATTCCGAGAGCAAAGCAAAGAAACTGTCAAGGCGATATCTTGATTTACGCCGTTGCTTCCATTTGCTGCAGATATTTTATTATTATTTTTTTTTATCAAATATGAGCAATTTTTTGCTAAATCGTTTTTTTTTTTTAAATTTGGCTTGTTTGTTTTTGCACTTAATTTATTTAAAAATTCCTAAAAATTCTATTTATTTAAATGATGGTTTGATTTTAAGCTTCACTTTTTTTCTTGAACTTCGACCCATGAGTTTTAGGTTTTGGGTATTTTTTTTCTAGAAACTGACAATTCTCTCCCAATTAAATTTCCATTTTCATGTTATATGTTACGTCGATTTCTTGGAAGAAATTATAAATCAGTTATAAATGATTAAATTATCATTTTGATAAAGCGTTTGTTATTGCTGTGGAAATTAATATATTCTAAAAAATATCTTTTAAACAAATCTAAATTTATGGTTAAAGTTTTCATGTGAAATCAAAATCAAAGGGATGTAATAAAAATTTGATTTAAATTATGGAAAAAGATACAAAATATCAATCAATTATTACAGCACAAGTAGAAATATTTGATCTCTGAACGAAAAAGTACTTAAAATAAAATAAATGCCAAAAATTGAAAATAAATTGGAGCTGTTGATCATAAATTAATTTCTGTGCCAAATTCTGTATGTACCTCTCATGACATTATCATGCGCATTTTTCATTGTTTACGGGCACAGTTGCCTTTGTTGCCACGCACAGAGTTGGTCGGTTTATTTAGTTTTTGTTTTTTATCTTCCATACATGCTGAAAACGCAGCCATTGTTCCCCTGCTTGGTTAATCCCCGCGTCTCTCGCCATTGAATTTGGTGTTGACACACGCACAATAAATTACATTGTTCGCCTCTATTTTTGGAGCAATCAAAGCCAAATTAGAAATTGCGCCGCTTTTGGAAATTCGCCTATTTAAGAAAAAAAAGGGGCGGTTTGCGGTCCTCCAGTTGTCAAACGTTTAATTGGTTTATGACCGCGTGGGCCAAATAAACGCTTAAAGTGCGAACACACAAGTGGTTTCAAGGAATTGTTATAGTTTTGAATTAATAATTTAATTTTTATTTGCCCAGCTTCTTATAGTGGGAAATAAGCGTGGAAAACATTGACGCATTAAAAATTTTTAATTTCCAAATCATTCTTATCAAAATAAGCAGCTATCTACAAAAATACCACCGAAGTTCTTGATTTTTGTTATTTAATATAAACAACATGCTAAATAGAAATTTCGAAATTGTGAAGACAATATTGTACCAAAAACAATCGAATATTTTACTTTTAAGTTTTATATAAATTATAAATAATATTTTATGATCTTTTAACTTTTTGATTGTTTTTACTGATTGTAATTTCCGTAATTTCCAATTTTATTTTCCTCACTGGTTAAGGAAGTATGAAGTTTGGCGTCTCGATTCGATCGTGTGAAAGGGTTTCACTTTCGCGAATAATCGCAAATTAACACGGACAAGTCGGTACCAGCAGGAGCAGCGAGCAGACAGTTGCACACCTATCACACCGCAATTTCCTGCCCCCTTCTTGAATTACATGCTTTAAGACTTGATACGCACGCCGATCCTTCCCTCATCTAATTTCCTTGTCTGCGTCCAGAACTTACCGAAAGTGTGCGATTTATCACATTAAAAAGCTTTTATGAAAATAAAAAGTAAATGAGTAAATTATCATTAAATTTATTTTTGTGCAACTCATTTTAACCATTCTCGATCCATATTTTCTTTATAATAGATTTATTATTTATAAAGATTCAAAACAAAATTAAAAAAATTTCATTTGAAAGATTTTAAAAATTATTAAAATAATTTAATTTTTCTCAATTTAAGTATCTGCACAATTCATCCAAATTTAATTGTCCTCCAGAAAGTTCTTCTCAACTGTTGAAAAGTTTTATGAGCCTGTTGGTTTAGCTTTTGAGAGGAGCAGTTCTTATTCGCAATTTTGTCTCGTAAAAATTTATTTTGCTCGGCTCCTGTGCGATTCGTGAGAACGAGCAATTTTCATAGTCGGCGGCGACAACAATTTTTCACGGTGCGATACGCCGACGACAAGCCAGCGTCGCTAAAAAATGAGTCACTGCACCCTCGCACGTAACGCGATCCCGCTCTTAATTTCCAAGTACGGTGCTCTTTAAACAAGGATCGTCGGCTCGTGCGCTAAATGAAAAATATAAATCGTAAGAAAATTCAATCACGATGCGACGAACAGGGCAGAAAACTCGATCGGATCACGAACTCTTTCGAGAGATCTGCTCTCTCATGCCAATCGCGAGCAGCTGGTTGCTGCGAATCGGGCATTTGTATGGGTAGATCGCACCAGGCAAGCCGCTTGGCACGCTAATTACGTGCAATTATCGAGGTTATAAAAAGGAACTAGAGTATAATTTATTATTTTTTTGTATCGTTGTGTGTTGATTATCGTGATTTTACAAGGGGCGTTGCTTTACTTTTTAAAGGTTTTTCCGTTGAAAATATACAATTTTCAGAATTTATGTTGATTAAGTTTTAATTATTTGTTTATTTTTATCTTGATTAATTTTATTTTATTTCTACGTTTAATTTTATTTATACGTTTTTCAATTTAAATTCAAATCAAATATAGTCAGTTTATGAAACCATGCAAATAATATTGCAGAAAATAATTTCCAACTTTTACCGCTTCATCGTCTCCTTGACTTGCTCGTCTGCCTTGTATAATTATTTGCCTGTTTCAATTGGTTTGGAATCTAGTTTGAATTGCTTTTTGTTAGACATGCCAAGAAGTTTTTTAATCGATAAGAGTTTATTCCGCTTATTGATACATTTCATTTCAATTATTGCACTAATTTGATGTTTTTTTCTCCGATTTTCTGTGCTATGCTGCAAATAGGGCGCCTCGCAATGATTAATTACTAATGAATTACTCTACAATTCAGCGTTGTGATGATTTATAATAATAATAATAATTATTTTTTAAATTTTGTTGTAGTTAACTTTAAATACTATTTGTAATTATAAATTTAAAAAAATCTTTGCTAGATTTCAACAAGAAAATTATTTACCCTTACTCAATAAGTTTTTTCCTATTCAAATTGAATTAAAAGCAATAAGAGATCCAAAATGAATTCTTTGAATGCTAAAAAATTCAATGCATTTTATGATGTAAAAATTTCCTTCCTCATTTTTTTGTTGCAAATTGATTGAATGTGTGAATCTTTTTAGGAAGAACAAAATTATTTCTTCTTAATTTCCAAACTTCAATTTTGAATTTTTAGGTGATTCATGTAAAAAGCCTCATGCCCAGGAGAGGGAAAGTCTCAACCCTTATCCCGATTAGTCACGAGGGTAAAACGAAGGCCGCACCAGCATGCGCGTGCAATTTCCCCGAAATAACGAAGCACTTGCAGCGACGGCGCTTTATTACAAACAAATAGTGCATGATTTCGGAGCTATTTCTGTGCCGTCTGTCTCGTCGTCGCGTGCGTCCACCTAGCTCTGGCAGCCCAAGTGACTCGCAAGAAGACCAGTTTTCCCACAGCAATTGATCCAATTTGTGGAAATTGCGAGTGCCTCTCTTGTTCGTTTCGCAGCCGCCGCACTTTACGACCGAAAAGGGCCGCCGCGCTTTTTTGCCCCGCGACTAATTCATTCGGCTTTGCGTCATCGCAATATCATTTTCCCTCTGCATGTGCACCATCGACCGACAAATTATTTCTTCCACCGTGGAAGCGCGGCGCCGTCGCTCGCAACAACCCAGTATGTACTTCTTTTTTTTTATCCTTTTTTGTCTAGTCTCGTTTCGCGAAATCGCAAAAATCGCAGCTCTCTCTCATGGCGTGGGTTGAATTTCGCTGCGAACCATCCCCTTTGTGAAACACACTGACGCAAAAGGGGTGTTATGACGTCGTAGTTTCACCCTACGTGAAGCAACTCGGCACGGCTAGAAAGAAAATTCTTAATTCAGTCGGTGTTTTATAATATTTATTTTTATAACTTTTTAAATCATTATATTTCATTGTTAATTTTTAATGAGAGTCAGGAAACAATTGAATTAATAATTTAAAACATCATCTTAAGTTTAATTTATTTGCATATTAAATTATAATAGTATAGAATAGTAGATGGAGTAACAGTATCAAAACTTATTACACAATCAAATGGGGTAAGACAGGGGGGATGCACGTCCCCATTTCTGTTCAATTACTCTTTAGCTGATATAAATAATATTCTACGAGATTTGCCAAACGTGAAAGCCATTTATTATGCAGATGATATTGTTTTAACCTCAGAAAAATTAAGTGACTTGAAAATTGCTTTAGCCAGAATGAAAGAATTTTTGTTAAAACGCAGTTTGAAACTTAACTTGGAAAAGTGCAAATTCATGAAATTTAGAAATAAGGGTCTAGGAAAATATGCATTAAGTGACCGCCTAGATTTAGGTGGAATTGAAATAGAGAGAGTTGCTGAGTTTACATATTTAGGAGTTACTTTTCAACCATCAGGAATCTCTTTTGGAAAGCACATTGAAAAAAGAACAAGAGCTGCATTGCTGGCCACTTATAATATACGAGAACTAAAACAATTATCCATTGAAACAGCACACAAGCTATTTGATCTAAAAATTTCCCCAATTGCGTCCTACGGCATTGAAGAAATATGGCCTTTCCTAACAAAGACTGATTTTGAAAATCTTGAAAAAGTCAAAACAAGATATTTAAAAAGAGTTTTAGGACTGTCCAAGTATATTAGATCTAGATTTGTGTATGAATTAGTTGACACTGATCTCTTTGTATCGGACTTACAGGTAAAATATTCTCTAACTGAAACTGAAGCATTCCAGAAATTTTGTGTGTCTAAATATTTAAACAAACTTGAGATATGTGATGAGTTCTACGAGACAGAAACTATGAAGAATAAAAATTGGCAATGTGCAATGTTCAGTGATCGCCAAGTGTTTACGAGATTTGCCTGTCACGGGTACCACTATTTATTTTGTAAGAATAAAAATTTTCATTCTCAAGCGACAATAGATTGTGAATGCAAGCACTGCGGTAAGAAATGTTCACAATATCATATTCTTGAATGTAATGAACGAAAACTAAGCCTAAGAGAGGCTGCAAAAATCAAAATTAACTAATTTTGTACTTTGTAATAATTATCGAAACAAGCTTAATTGTAAAATTAATTTTAGGAAGACAAATTAGCTTTAGACACCCGTTGTACACCTAGTTGTGTTCAATAAATACTCTATCTATCTAAATTATAATTTTTACACTCTCATAAAATTTCTAATTTCTATACATCTTTTTGCCCTTTTGAAACGGTTCCTTCATTTTGTTCAAAGATCGTTGATGTAATTTTGCAGATTCTATAATTCTGTGGAATTAACGAAAATGTGTAATTAAAATCAATAAGAACGAAAAAGTCGGTTTGAATTTATTCTGATTTTTGTTACAAAATATTAAAAAAAAAATTTAACTGCAAACTGCAATTTTAATTAATTCATAGATAAAACAATTTGTATTTTATTTTTATTTTACTAATACTTTTTTAACTACGTCATTGTACAGAATAGCACCGAAATAGCACACCTCAAGTTTTCAATCTCTTTTTGTACTCTTTTGCTTGTTGACATTATTAAAAAATCGTTGCCCTCTTTACATTGGAAAACATCCCAAATAGCATTCAATACAAAACGTGATTTGCTGAAATTGAAAACGTTACGAGCAACGTGTGCGTCTAGATGCGAGTTTCCGTGTCCGCCGAAATTGCAGACGTTCTAGGCAAATTGGAGGTCAGCAAACTGCTCGGGCCGTGTGTGTGTGCTTCGCATAATACATTTTATTTATTGCACCGCCGCGGAACGAGAGCCACGCTATGCCGCCTATCGATCTGCGGGACCACGTTTCTCGCTAATTTTGTGGTCACGGGAAGGAAGACCTCATTATTTATATACGAGTCGCGCCAGCCCGAGTCCGCACTTGAGCTCTATTATTTTGCCTCTGCGTTATTATTTTTTTTCGCGTTCGCGAGGGCGTGGCCGCGGCCCTTTTCCGCTCGTTTGTTTTCTCGGTGCTTTTAGCGACGAGACGAAATCAAATTCCGCCACGACGAGCTTGTAATTGCCTCGCGAACCGACGCGTGATTGATTTTGACGGAAAATTTATCGGTCCTGGGTAAGAAAAATGAGGCACCGGAAATTGCCGGCAGTCCTGGACAAGGAGGCGAGAGACTCTTGTAGGCGTAAATTAAATTGTATGAATAATTTTTATAAAACATCTGGACCGTTTATGAATTTAGATCAATATTTTTTAAAATTGAAGAAGTAAAAATATGTTTGGCTTAAATTTTTTAATTCTTAAAATGGTTGAAAATGTTAAATTTTTAAAATGGTTGTTTAATGTTTTAATTTCTCTTTCTTCATATCACATGAAAAGCATTTGAATCTTCTCAGTGTAAATTGCAAATTACAAGACTCTGATCAAATAAATAGGAATTCCATTGAATATACACGTTGGCAATAAGTCCTTGCTCATATGGCTTCGTTTATAAGCCTGGTCTAAAAATACGCCAACTCGTTACTCAATCAACGTGCTACCGTTGTTGTTTTGCGCCGAATGGGCGAATAAAGGTAAGCCCGCGCTAAATTTACCTCCGTCGTTTGGTTATGCAAAAAAGCAGCGCCGGGAGAAAGAAAACCAGAAAGGCCGCGGACAATCGAACGAAGAATTATTTTATAGAAAACCGAAAAGTGGCTCGATGATAATAATAATAACTGTTAACGCACGCTCGACGCCGAAGGCCGAGCGCCGGGAATTCGGGCCGGCAATTAGATCCGAGAACGTAAGGCACGAAGAAAGCCAACTCGGCTGATGTTAATTTGATTAAACTGCATTACTGGATCAAAGCAAGCTTATCGACTTCTTTGCTGGAACGAGAGTGCGTGAGTCGAACGGACGTGATCGGAATCGCATTTTTGCTTGGCGGAGAAGAAGTGCCGCAGTTCAGTCGCCTCCGGTCGCTCCAAAGGAATTGTCTCCTTTTAGCGCGAGTGCTGCTCGATGTCTCTTGTCTTCCGAATAATAAATAAATATATACGTCGCCGCCGTCAATATCTACTTCCTCTCGCGAGGCGTAAACGAACAGAAAATGTAATGTATCTGCTTTCATGTGACGCGAAACATGCTGATGCCTCCCTTGTTTTGTTGTCGCACGACGGAATGGAAAAAATAAAAAAGACTCGTTTATCAAACTATTTTTATTTTTGGCAAATGAATAATTTTTCTGAAGTTGCTGAAAAATAAAAAGAGGTAATAAAAATATTCATTTTGATCTCTAAACTTTTTATACTTTTTAAAGAATTCAGGTGATTTTATTTTATTAAAAAAAAATGTATTCTTATTTTTTGCACTCCATTCCAATTGAGGCTTAGTTAGTTCCTTTAGTTCCTTATTGGCAAAGTCTAACAAAATGGTCACTAACGTTGGCTTTTTTTGGAAAACAATCGGAAATATTAACCAGCATTGTTGTGAAAACTTAATTTGACTATGTTAATAAGGAATCCTTAAGCAGTATTCATTTCCGATAAAATTACATAACTGTCTTTTAAATTATTTCGATACACTTAATTTAGAATTTGCCTTCCAACAAATCAATATTTAAAATTCAGTTCTGCGCAAATCTCGCCGGACATAGTTTCATTTTCGACCAATTGACATTTCCTTTCAAACGCCGGCCGGCCGCGTGTGCGCACACTATTAATAAAGAGGTAGTCGCCGCGGGCTCGGCCCAAACATGGGATGAAAAGCAAAGCGCAGGAACGTGTGTGTGTCACCCATGCGAGCGAGTGGCCGTCGCATTTTTTCTCCTCGCCCAGTCAGTCCGGGCCATTTGTATTCCATCACGAACGTCGATAAATCCTTTCAACGCCGCCGGAAGCGCAACTAATGGACTGGTCGTCTCTGCAAAATTAAGCCACCTCGTTTAGCACCTAACCCAGATGCTTGAATTCCATTTGTGTGCATACAAACAGGGTGATTTAGGAGAGGAAATTAACAGACAATTTCATTATCACCTAAGGGACAAACTTTTTTGTCATTTTTTTATGCTTTGGTACCAAATATAAAACTCTTGGATTACAAATTATAAAACGAAATAGGAAAATCTAAAAAAACTCATTATTTTTAATAGAATTTTTAATGATTTATAAATATTCTAAATGAAATTTTGTGATTTCTGATTGCAGACTCGTTTGTGAATAGCCAGGAGTGGACTTTGAGTCGAGGAGTGTCAGCGCTGAGACTCGGCATTGTAGGCCACTTGGCCTCTGGCAAGTCGGCTCTAGTGCACAGATATCTGACTGGCTCATACCTGCAGGACGAGAGCCCCGAGGGAGGCAGGTTCAAAAAGGAGGCTGTCGTCGATGGTCAGAGCTATTTGCTGCTCATCAGGGACGAAGGAGGTTCCCCTGAATTGCAGGTTTGTGCATAGTTACAAATTAGAATTTGACACGAGATAAAAATAATGTTTGGAATATTTTAAATTGCAATTTATGTTTCAATTTTATCTGCAGTTTTCTGCCTGGGTGGATGCTGTGATTTTTGTGTTCAGCCTGGAGAATGAGGCAAGTTTCAACGCAGTTTATAACTATTATACCAAAATGACGCACTACCGAAATGCAATCGAAGTTCCTCTCATCCTAGTGGGTACGCAAGGTGAGTCTCTTTCCGTTGTCTGGCGATAAGCGTGTTTGGACAAAAAATACTGATCCTGTTTTTCACAGATGCCATTAGCGAAAGCAATCCTCGTGTAATTGATGATGCCAGAGCAAGGAAACTGGCTGCAGATCTCAAAAGATGTTCATACTACGAGACTTGTGCCACCTACGGACTCAACGTTGAACGAGTTTTTCAGGATGGTGAGTGCATTTTTTTTATGCTTATATTCGATAATCCCCTGAAACAACAAAATTGCAATTGAAAATAATTTGAATCTTGTTTTATTCACAGCGTGCCAGAAAATCGTTCAGCAAAGATATCTGAACACTCTGGGCAATCAAGTGCCCACCACCCCGACCGGCTCAAGGCCGGCCACCCCTATCAACCACTTGATGAACCCTCGGCCATTCGGTTCGTCACCACCCATGCTCAACAATAACAATGGCTTTGGAGGCGTCACCAGTTCCCCCAGCCATAACATAATGTCCACAGTGGACAAATGGATGGCTAGTGTTCCGGTCGAGCCTCCCAAGTTCATCGCACCACCGCCACCTTCAACCATGGACCCACCTAGGGACCAGCCAACCCCAAGCTCAACCCCAACAGCCACCAGGTGGGTTGTGGTACAATTTTATGCTTCGTCATGCATAAGATTTATCAATCACGGATACGCTTATCAGGCCATTGATAATGATAATGCACTCTAATTTCTGTTCGCTGTCACTAAACAAGCCTATTTTATTATTAGGAAAAATCGACGACGGTCAAATTTGTTCACTCAAGCCAGGAGCAGCAACAAAGTGGCGGACGAGAAGTCCTTAGGAAAGGGCACTGAGGAGTATGGCAGTGGCAGGGCAATTCCCATCAAGCAGGGCTATCTGTACAAGAAGAGCTCCAAACCACTTAACAAGGAATGGAAGAAAAAATATGTTACACTTTGCGATGACGGCAGACTCACCTATCACCCAAGCTTACATGTAATAACTTCATTTATAAAGCTATTTAATCTACAATCGGAAATTTGGTAGGATTACATGGAGAACGTTCACGGCAAAGAAGTGCCATTGCAGTGTGTAACTGTCAAACTACCAGGCCAAAAGCCCAAGGGGTCAAAGACAATTTTGCCAAATTCCTCTTCCACTTCTGCAGCTTCGTCATTAGCCGAAGGACTAGGAAGCCTTGGTCTGGGAGGTAACTTACAAAAGATTAATTGTGATTTGGGATTAGTAGTTTCACCAAGCCCGGTGGCCCAGTGGTTAGAATGCTTGCATTCTAATCAGTGGGTTTCTTGGCCGTCATGGGATCAATGCTCAGCCTGAGGCTCTTTGTGGAAACAAATAGTCTCTGGTATGCGAATCATTGATAACATTTCGGCCGACACGTCGGGAATTTGGGAGGTATGGCGCAAGCTGTACCGACTCGCACTCGGAGGTTTGCCACGTTTCCTCCGAGCCACAAGCTGGAAGAACTCAGCTTGTGTGGCGAATGCCTGCGTTTCATTCCAAGTCCTTCGTGGCAAGGCCAGGGCAAGGGGCAAGGTCTCAAGGGGGGGTGGGGGGCCCATGCGAGCACCACCAAATCTGCTAGAAAGCCCCCGAACAAGGGTCAGGTTGGTTGGGAAGCACAAATGTGCTAAGGGTGCTCGACTACGGCAAGAGACCGACCCAATAGCCTAATAAGCTCACGGGTGCCATAAGCAAAAAAAAAAAAAAAAAAAAAAAAAAGGGATTAGTAGTTGACAAAATTTCTTATAATTTCAGCCTTCACGAAAGACAAGGGCAAAAATGACAAAGTAACACTGACTTCGTATGAGTACCTGAAAGATCCTGGATCACGGCTGAGCAATCAAAGGTAAATAAAACGCATTTGACGCATTTCCTAGATTTTGTTGCTAAATTTTTTGCTGCAGTGATGATTCACTTGTGATTGGCAACACCTCTATCAGTATAATGAATGGGTCATCCGCAGCACACGCTGTAGATATGAAGTCGGAAACTCCAAATGTGAAGAAAAGGCATCGTCGCATTAAGAGTAGTGGATTAAAAAATAATGACAATGATGGTATTTTTTAAAGAGTATAACGAGGTTATGGACTGTAATTATTTTTTGATCTAGATTCAGATGGTGTGGACTTTGTTATCCTTTCTCTGCACAACAAGCAGTGGCACTTTGAAGCCAGTTCTGTGGAGGAGCGAGATGAGTGGGTTGCTGCAATTGAACAGCAGATTCTGAGCTCACTACAGGTATTTTTTTTTCTAACTTATCTGTGATTTTTTTACACTAATTTATTCTTGCCAGGGAAATGAGAGCAGCAAAGCTAAATCTCGACTCAATAGTCTTGTTGATCCAGCTGCAATCCAGGCACTCAAAACTAAAGTACAAGGAAACTCGCATTGTGTTGACTGTGACGCTCCAAGTAAATTATTACCTCTCCTTCCTCAATTGTCTCTTAAATATTTTGTTGCTTTAGATCCCGACTGGGCTAGTTTAAACTTGGGCGCACTAATGTGCATTGAATGCTCAGGCATTCACAGGAATTTGGGCTCGCACATCTCCAAAGTACGATCTCTAGACTTGGACGAGTGGCCGTAAGTTTTTTTTAAAAAAAAAAAATATAAAGTTGATATTTACAGAAAAATTTTCATAGGCCTGGTCATTTAAGTGTAATGAGAGCGCTGGGCAATCACCTGGTCAACAGTGTTTGGGAAGCCAACACTCGTGGAAGACAAAAGCCGGGGCCTTCATCGTCGAGAGAGGAGAAGGAAAGGTGGATAAGAGCCAAGTACGAGGGCAAAGAATTCATGCATCCAACAATAGCCAGCACTCCTCTTCTCGTCGACGCCCTTTGCAGGCAGGACATGCGTGCCGTTATATTGATACTGGCGAACTCCACTCCCGAAATTGTCAACGGCACCGTAGCTCCGAGAGACATGAGGACGCCGCTGCACCTCGCTTGTGCAATGGGCCATCTGGCTCTAGGTAATTTTAAAAAGTCCAAGCTTATTAATAATTGTAACACATTTTTTAATCTTTCAGTTCAATTGATGTTGTGGAACGGTGCAGATGTCAGACGGTTAGACCAAGATGGAAGGAGTGCATTGACATATGCGCATTCACTTATAAACACGGGCGGTCACGATAGTGGTGCCAATATTGTGGAAATCTTAGTTCAGGCTGGTTGCCCAGACCCGCCAGTAGGCACCTTGGCTCGCAGGAGGGACACTATCAATAGAAGAGAGACAATTAGTTCAGATATTGTGTAATTATTTTATTATTCAGGCTCACCGGGAATTTTTTTACTGTGATATTACAAAAAATTATTATACTTTCTTCAAATTCATAATTAGTGATTTGGACTGTTATCAAAGTTTTTTTTCTCAAGTAGATATTCAAAATTTACTTTGAATTATTACGGAAGGCTTTCATCTTTGTAGACGTTATTGAAACTTTTATCTGATATTTGGTTGCATTTGTTAAATGTGCCATTCAGCCATTCTCAGTTTAATAAGCTTTATGAATTTTCTAAAAGCTAGCCAGTTGAGTTCAAATGATTGTTGTTATTTCCGCTTTGTTTAATATCTACTCGCCTGGCATGGTAGGTGTTATGTGCAGCAATTTATGAAGCTCAAAACAATGCAAGCAAAATTAAGTAGATATTAAGAAAATTCTAGTCAAACTTGTTAATGAACAGTACATTACTTAAAACATATTTTGCAACCAAGGTCAATAACATTCCAATCAGAGTAACTTATAATAACTATGCTGAACAGTGGCCCCTGACATTTTTACAATAGCATAAAACTGTCATGAATGTGACTAAAAATCTTTTGAAGCTGAAAGTATTATTATATTCATGAAATCCTGCATAACTGCTTGCGAAATTGATTTAAAATGAATTTGCTGGATCAAATAAATAACTTCACTTCTGCTTACATGGCTTACATGCTGATGCACTATATCTCACCTGACAGTATTTTAAACAATTGTTGCTGAATGTAACGAGGATTTAGCTAAAGCTACTAATACCTAATTTGAGCCTTAAAATTAAATTTGCCAAGCTTACCAAAGACTGGCCTGAATCCACATGGGCATTGACTGTCAAAGTTAAATTTTATGAGTGAATGTCTACTACAATTGATAATGTTACCTCGATATTAATTACTAGGCAAAAGGGGCTCAGGAAAATTTCAATAAGTGTCACAATTAAATATTTATGGATGGTTAATGGCAGGAAAACAAGGTTGTAGGTGGTAGAGACACGTCAGAAACAATGAGCATCACAAAGTCTTGGATAATTACTCAAATATTGTTTGCGGTATATTGAAATAATATTGAATTGGAGTTTAGAAATTTTTGTGATTAAACCACGCCCTTTCACAATAAAAGTAGCTTGTTACAAAAGAGGACAATTTGTAGATATCCATTAGTAATTATTATGCCTGAGAATGAACATTCTTGTGTAAATATATTAGTTTAAGACTATTTATTATAATAATATCTGATATGTTTTTTTTCCACGCATGTAAGTGTAAATAGAAAAATTTATCGTAACGGCTAAAGAGTTAAACATTTTGTCGTTTCCTTAAGCATGCATCACAAAGTCAATTATATTAGTAGGATGAATTGTTTTGCTCATTTAGTTCCAATTAATTTCAGCCATTCAATTTTTTATCAGTCTGCTGTGTTTTTTTTTTAATATTACTAATTCCTATCATCCATATCAATAAACAACAATTAAATGATACAGTGTGAACACAGAAAATGTAAGTTGCAGACAGACAAACACATAATATATATATTTCAAGGAGAACAATTAAAAATTAATCAGTTCTCTGTTTAGACGAAACTCACATACTATTTAGGAGTCAATATTGTACTTTTATACAGGCAACGCTCATAACTGAATATAGCAAAATTGTATGCAGGAGATTCTTGTAATATTTAAAGAAAACTGTTGACACATATGCAGGCACAATAATGATAATAAAAATCGATGGCTACATAAAATATTGAAATCGTGTAATGAAAAAATAAATGCATTTTATCTTTCATCCTTACTGCAAAACTGAAATTTCTATCGAAAATATTTTACCGGTAGTTAAATCTCCCGCCAGACGCATGATTTTTGGTATTTTAAAGAGGCTCTTTATAACCAAACAGGAAAAAAAATAATATTTTGAAAATTATCTTTTGAAAATGTGTGACTGAATAACTAACTCAAGTGAATAAAATACAATCCAGAGCTGTACTAAAATATAACCTGTTTTATCATTGGTGAGATCTTAATTTTTTTTTTAATAAATTAGAAAAAAAAATCAATCCCTCAGTTCGTCATCAATAGGCTTTGGTCTTAAGATGTAAAAATAATATAAATAAAATATTATTTAAATAATTTTAAATTTTGTCAAAGTAAATCAAAGCACAATAAAATTGCAAAAAAATATTAACTACTTAATTATTTAAAATTGCAATAAATATTTTCGTAAATATTCTTGTAGCATATATGATATATAAATTGCATCAGCATCATGTATAAAAAAGCTGAGCGCAAAATTTATATTTATACAGAAATAACTCTCATGTTGGCAGCACATTTGGTTTGATTGGTGTGTCCACGTGAGGTTGGCAGCAGTGCCAGTGGCGCCAGCCATATTCGTGCGGTGAGCCTGTTTTGCGGTCGTTGGTGGCCACTTTGGGCGCGCTCCGTGGCTGCCGGCGAACTTGAGGAGGCGGCCAGAGGCCTGCGGCCAGTGGAGCAACAGAAGAGCAAGCGGAAGAAGGCGAGAGCGGCCGTCGGACAGCGGCTGGGACGGCGCGAGTGGGACATTACCTAATATGGGCATGGAGCATGCTCGGCCCGTCAGGAACTGCCCGACCCGCTTTTAGCCGCGATTTCTGTGATAATTGGTTGACTCGGGAACTGCCGCTCGACAAATTCGCTTCCTTTGTTCCTGCTCGCTCCTGGAGGTGAGTCTCGACTCCGGTTTGTCCTGCTCACCGTCTTTTTAGGGGCCGGGGAAGCGCCAAAACGAGCGCCGCTTTCGGGTAACCCGAACGTACGTGTTCCCGCTTTTTGGCACTTGTGAATCATCGCGGCCGCGGGCCACTTAGACACCGGATTCGGTTTCTTCTTCCGTTTTAATTTTCCGAATTGCCTTCAAGTCCGGGAATGTTTTTTAAATTCATGCGAATCCGCTTACCTGCAATTAAAGATGATAAACAGTAATTTCGCTCGGTGACCCACTAACCCGGTCATTGTTTTTGAAAATTGACAACAACCTGTTTCACCTGTTAGCCCAGTTGGGCTTGGTCGTGAAACGTTCAAATTTTAAAATAATTTAATGAATAATTATTTTCAAATTGCTACGATCTTTGGTAGTTTTGAAAAAAAAAATTAAAACCCTTTAAGAGAAGAATTAATATTGTCGATAATTTCTTGTGAAGTTCCTGCGTTCAATTTTTTTTAAAGATCATTTAAAAAAGTTTTCAATCATATTTTTTAATTATTTTAAATAATTTGCATTTTTTCATTTCTCGCCTCCCACCACCTAATTGCCTTGTTTACATAATTATATTGCATTAATTAGAATAATTAATTGTCGCTCATGCAGTTGTTTTCCTTGTGTGTTTCTCCGGCAGGTGATCGTGACACAGTGTCGACGTGAATAAATCGAACGAGTGACTGAAGCAAACAAACAAACTCAACATGTCTTTCCGAGTGGTGCGTTCGAGCAAGTTTCGGCACGTGTACGGCACGGCGCTGAAAAGGGACCAGTGCTTCGACAACATCAGGGTGTCCAAGTCGTCATGGGACTCGACCTTTTGCGCCGTCAACCCCAAATTCCTCGCCATCATCGTCGAGTCGGCCGGCGGCGGTGCCTTCATCGTCATGCCCCTCAGCAAGGTAGGGAAAAAGATAATTTAAAATTTTGTCTGCATTTTTCGTAGAGGTGGAGAGCATGGAAATTAACGCTTTTAAACATTTCCTTACAAATTGTGGTGGGCGTATTTTTTAAAATATCCCAAATCCTAAAATTTTCATTTCAAACTAATTTTTATCTGAAAATAATAATTAGAAAAAATTATTATAGTATATTTGAATTGCGGTCGTTGTGGCTTCTCAGCAGTACATTTTTTTTCTGGCTGAACAAAGTCGGCTGCAAACGAGGAAATGTAATCAGCAGGAAATTTATTTTTGAGATAGTGCCGGATTATGGCAGCCGAGTGTTGTTTTTTCAACATCCTTTCTGCCCACTGCGATAGCAAAACAAACAGGCTTTTAACCCTTTGCACATTGCGTTCTCCGTCCGACCGACAAAACGAAACACAAATCCCACTCAACTCCTATCAGGTCGCGACAAAATCCTGAATTGAAGCTTTTAACAAAGTCGTCCGTGATTTATTTCTGGCCCTTTTTCCATTTATATAAATCTTTAATTACAAAAAATACTCATGAAGTTTTAGTTTTTTTTAAATTTAATTTAATGAAACAAAATATTTCTAACTGCTCATCATGATCAGGAATTTGAAATTCGTTTATGAAATGTTCATAATTGAAGGGATTTTTTACTTCATCAAAACCTTAAATTCATTTTATTTCAAATTTTGAATCATTTCATAAGAAAATTTATACAATTTTGAAAATAAAATGAAATACTTAAAAATTTATAAATTTGCATTAATTCAGGAATTAAATTTAATAACCTGTTATTAATTTAATATTGATCATCTTTTGTTTCAATGGGACTGAAATTCGTCTTCCAAATGGGTGCAGGAACTGTAAATTCGCCGTTTGCCTAAGCTTGTCTGGGGTCTCTCTTTATTTTCGTGTACATATTTGCTCAGGCCGTCGGCACAAACTTCGTCTTCTCGTGTGTGTTATTGTATTTATTAATGCACGGTGTCCTTCTTCCTCTTGTCAGACAGACGTAAGGACTTTTCGTTTGTGGCACCACATTGTGCTCACGATATCATACGCACAGACGAGCAGGATGACTTAAGGTGTTTGTGCGAGCAGCAAGCATTTTTTTGGTATTATTGTTGCGTGCACGCGACCCGTTATATCCTCGCGTCCAAACTGCTCTCTCCGCTCCCAACCATTCCTCCGTCTGCCTTCCAGTCTTCGCTTTGATTTTTCGTCACTTCGGAATCTTGACTTTCAATTTAATATCTGAAGCGGAACATGGATGGACTTTTTATTGATTATATTTCCATTCCAAACTTTTCCATAATTAGAAATCGTTTTTATTATAATTATTTATTTTATCATTAAATTTTAATAGTTTTTTATTGTTGTTGTTAATTTGCCCACATTTTTTAATACAATTGTTGAAACAATAATTTAATTTATTTGTTCTGTGACCCTATTTCATGAGCAAGAAAATTAAAAAAATCAGCAAATTTAAAAAAAAAAACTAATTTAAACATAAAGAAATTGAAATCAAAAATGACAAACTCAAGAACCAACCTATTTCATGAGCAAACGCGCTGCCCGCTGACTAATACAAGAACAATTTCTGCAACGAGGAAAAAGCCCGATCTCTTCTTTTCCAAAATTTGTTAATTTTTTAATTTTTTTAAAGGAAATTCAACTTGGAAGCTGTCAAAAACTTCAACACTAGATATTTAAATTTAATCTTAAAATTAAATCATCTCCCTTCTAATTATGCGACTTTTGCCATTAAAAAACTTTGGGAATCATTATCAAAGAAAGGGCTAATTCTGAAATTGAATTGTTGCGAGAAAAAAATGGTGGCTCAAAGAGCGTTTCAACAAGAAACTCGTACAAGAAGATAATATTTTTTCAAGGAATATTTTTCAATATTTAATTCATTTACCACAAGGAAAAAATTATTTAAATTTACTGAATAAAATAATTTTTAATTTTAGTGATAATATTGTTGTGAGAAAACTAGTTAGTCTTGAATCTACATTCCATCGTAATAAAGCAATTAACTTGCAGTTTGTCCCGCTCATCTTTTCCAACGGTTAACATAAAAAAAATCATGTGATTAAGATTCTTATATTGCTCAAGAGGAACTTCCTCAAATGTTAATTGTTTTTCTCTGACTTTAATTATTTTAGAGTAAAAAAATTGGTTACTTTTGTTAACTCCTTCATTAATAATTTGTAATTTCTTTATGAATAAAATTGGCCTGCTCTATTCATTTTTATTGATAATTTGCAACATTTGCTGCATAATTAAAATGAGACTGAAGATTTTTGTTATTTTTAAGAAAGAAAAAGTTTGTGAACTTTTTCAAAACTGATTTGCGAGAGACGACACCTGCTGCCAGTCGGACTGTGCAAGCTGCATACTAACATTCCCGTTGAATGTCTATCGATTTTGCGGACACTCCCTGCGCTCCGTCGGAGAACAAAGCAAGGTTTTGCATTCAAAATTTACAATAAAATGCTCCGTCGTCTGCTGCGGCGATTGCAAAAAAGCAGTCGCAGGCAGACACAAACACATGTCTGCACGTCCAAGGCGAAAATGACCGTCGGCCATATTCGATGTGTGCTGCCCATACTTACGCCGATTTGATAATCACCGCCGGGCTAATTAACGTGCGCATCACGATCGCAATTCCGCACCGCAATTTATTGCTGCAATGTTTCATTGCGAGTGCAGCTGTCGGTGGTTGAGGAGTCAATTTTCGTTATCGCCGCCGAGCGAGACGCCGGACAATCGAAAAAAAGAGCAGCAGGGAGGTGTGAAGGAAGCACTAATTTGCTAATTGGATTCGCTTTTTTGCCGAGCACAGCAGTGCCGCACGCGATTATTGTTTCCGAACAAAGCGCCGAAATTGGTCGAGCAGCACGCTTTGTACTTTTTAATAGTCATTGTTCTGAACGCACAGATTCGCAGAAATAAAAGCACTTTTAGTGCTCAATATTAAGCAATATACCAACCAGATGGCTTAATCTTAAAATCCTATGGAAGATTAAAAAAAAAATGCTTGTCATTAAGAGAAACTAATAATGTAATAATTTAATGGACTGGAAGATTTAAAAGGATTTTAAGTGTTAAAAAAAACATCATGATATGTTAAAAAAATTTTTACTAATATTTAGTTTTTAACTTGAAAAGCTTAATTAATGGAAGACTTTTTTGCATTAATTGGTTTGGTTTTATGGAAATGTTAGGTGAACTTAATTTTGTGGTGATTTGAATTTTATACCCCTTTCCCTTGATGGTTTTTTTTATTCATTTTTTATTTTAAGAAAAAATAATATCCTGCTCCACACATTTCGGCTGCGGGCTGAAGCCATAATTCGTGAGCTATGAAAATATTTTGACAAAATTCAGTACATAAATTAATTTAATATAATGTTTTGTCAATGAACGAACCAATTTTTGATTGTCTATTGCTTTCCTGTAAGTTTGAAGTTTATTGCTCTGGAAGAATCAACATAATTTTATTTCAACACAATATTATAAATTAAAATTGTACAAAAAAAAAACAGTATTTGTAACACTTTTAAAAATGACCTGACGCACTTTTTGCACAACCTTTTTACTGGACCAATTATTAGTTGAAAGGTGAAAATGTTTTTAAATTAAAATTCAGAACTAAACTTCTTGCACTTTGCAGTTTATAGAAATATCGTCTTTTGCAATTGCAAACTGGGTATTTTTATTTCTATTTTTTATGTTCATGGCATTGAGGGAAAATCCAGCCGTCATCTCCACGCTCTTGGTGGATTCTGCATCTTGCACGTGCATGCCTGATTCGCGAGGAAGGTTGTGCGATTTGCTTTCTCGTTTCGTTATTCTTTCGAGTGAGATGACACACGTATGCTCGCAGACTCGGTTCGCCCCGCCGTATTACTCGAGAGTCATCCTCTATTTCGGTCGCCACTCTCTCTCTCTCCGAAACAACTCGGCAATTTTATTCTATCCGCCGATAAACCAACAACGAAGACACAAACAGACACTTCGCGCGCCGAATTAATTAAAATAATACCACGCGCAAATTCAACAAACGCCCATCTGATGAGAAGCACGGTGGCCGAAAAAAAATACAATGCGTGACTCACGAAGGAAGGAAAAAGTCGGCGAAGGAGAAAAAAAATGGGCGAGCTGTTTCGCATGTTATCAAGTATAATTGTGATTGAGAAAGTGAAAATAATCAAGCAATAATAATTAATTACTTAAAAATTGTTGACTGAAAGTTTGTGCGCCAATTTGAAGAAAACATAAATAATTGTTTCTGGCAAAAGCAAAGGTAATTTCCAAAAATTTAGCTCTTCAGATTTATTAACGCTGTAAATGAAAATGACCCCTAGAAATGATAGAAATAAATGTGTCATCAAAATCACTCTGGCTGATTTATCTTAACGAAAGATTGCAAGGTTTTGATCAACTTCCACAATTATTGAGAAATCTGACTTTAATTAGTTTTCCAGTGCTAATGAAGAGATTAGAATCGTGAAAGACCAGAAGAATGTTTTATTAATTCTGCCTTTCTAATTAACCGATCATGTTTTATTTTATCCGCCAACGTGTGAAGTGGTTTGTTTGCCTTTGCCGACCGACTTTGCATTTGCATTGGGCACAAAAAGTGCCCACGCCGCGTGGAAAATGGTGTGTGTCGATCGGAAGCTGCAACGATGAGTCAAGCAACATGATGTCAAAGAACAAAATCGAAAAAGAAATCAAGCGGAGCGACCAGCTGTCTGATGTCATCGATCTTGTTGAGCTGTAAATAATCTGTATATTTGTTCGTAAAAAATGAAACGGTTTCGAGGAAAAGAAAAGTGGCGAGGTGTGGCCGCCGGCGCGATAAAGCTTTTCCTGAATCTGATAAAAACGCACGCGGACCGCAAGAAAAATAGTGATAAAAAATACGAGCCGGGAAGAGAGGTGACCGCATAATAAAAACAACCTGCTCGGCCGCAAGTCGCTTAAACGCGGTATATATTATAAATGCGGAGGAAATTGTGCCCTTTGTTGAAATCCGATAACGCGAGTGCAGGTCGAGATTATGAAGAAGAAATCGGGGCCGCCGGGGCTTGTCGCGCTGCTTCTCACTGAGTTTCTCAATCTTGTAATCGAGCACCAAGCGCGGTTTCTCGATCTAATTGACTGAACCAAGACTCATTTGTTTCCGATTCCAACGATAAAAATAACCTCGTTGTGTGAATTGAAAAAAAATCTCAATCAAATTATTGAGTTTTTATTAAATTAAAGTGGAAATATTATCATAATTCGTTGCATAGAATATTCAGTAGAAAATATATAAAGTAATCGGCCAACCTTGAAGTACCTAATTAAGAACAAAGCCACAAGGGTTGGAAAAAAAATTGATTGCCTTTTAAATTATTCATTGCAAAAAAGTAATCAGAGTAAGCTTAAAAATATGAAATATTGTGTCTGGATTAATTAAACGTTTGTGTTGAGAAAAGCTAAATAAAAACGATACATTTTTTTGTATTTCTTGAAAAAATTATATTATTTGAAATAATTTACTTATTCAAAGTGTTCAATGAAAATTTTTAATCCTAAAACATCGCATCCGTCTTTATTTTTCAATTTCCATTTCAAATAAAGTCAAATTTTGAGAAAACGTTTGCTTCCCAAGAAACAACAACTGGGGATCTTAAGCAGACTTCATATAAAAAAAAATCTTGCTTGAAAAGTGAACAAATTTTTACACAATTATTTTTCTTTTTTTCTGTATTTATATGCGAATAGAATAAATAATTAGATTTGCAGGTCAAGGTCGCTTCGAACGCTTCGAAACGTGAATCCGTAAATAGACCATTTTATTGCCAGAGCTCTGAATTAAGCAAACCGCATGCAGCCCTAATCCGCTGTTAATCAGTTGGCAGAATGACGGTGCAAATCAACTGAAGCGAATTGTAATTTACAGTAAATGCCTTTCAGTAGAACAAAAGCTAAAATAATTCATTTTTCCTAATCTTTAAAATCTTTAAATATTTGAAATTTTTAATTTATTTAATTAATTGAGCATTGCATGCTTCGCATAAAGTCGCTCGCGCTGTATTTCTGCGAAGTCGCTGCTGAACTGAAACTCATTTTGTTTATTGCGTCCGAATCATGAGATGCAAATCTGCGTCTACTAGGAAACGCTTCTTGCCTCATTTTTCGACAAATAAAGAAATGCGCTGTGTTTGTTCCGTGCGTCGAAGAAGATGAGGCAAAGTTGCTGCCACGCGAAACAAATTAACCAACCCCATAACCCGATTTCGTTGCGATGCAGCTCAAGTTGAAATCCGAAGCTGCGAAGAGACGTGCTTTAAATTTAGTCCAGCGTTTTGGGAACGGTTTCGAAATGGATTATAAGAGCAAAAAACGTCGCTAGAGTCGTGACTCATCGACGGGAGAGCCCCCTTCCAATTTAAGCATGGTGACATAATTCGTTGCATGGAGAGAAGTGTGAGAAGTGATATAGAGTGAGAAAATAGATGGAAATTTTTTAGGAATAAATACTAAGCAATTTTTTTTTTTTTATATGACGAGAACAAATTTGATTTTTTCAAATAAATATTACAAAATTTGATTAAAATAAACTTGGATTAAGGAAGAACATAAAATAAGCTAAAACATTTAATGAAAAAAATCAGCTATACTTTTGAAATCGTAAATACGATTTTGATTTTCGTTGCAATTCGTTTGATTGGAAATTAATAACGATTGGCGAATTTTCTTTATTTTGAATAGTGTATCGCTGGAAAAGGGTTCGGCACGAGTAGCGAAATGAGCCGGTCTGCTGCGTGGCTGGCGCGCGTTCTATTTCGGTCCCTCCAGCGCTAAAAATAATGCAGCCCTCGCGTCGCGCATTTTCACCACCGCTCCAAATTCAGCCGCTCGGCCAAATTGTCGCACGCCCACCCTGTTTATTCGGCCCGATTGTCCCGAGCCTAATTAGCACGCCAATTAGCATCCGACGCGCGTGACTCACTCCACGTTGCTTTTTCCTTTCAAAACGACATCTGGCTTTCAAACTTCTTTTTTTTTAATTGTCAATGAGTGAATTTCTATATGCGTCGGCGGCGTGGGAATTTTTTTTCTCTGTTTGTCCGACGCAGAAATAACCGACTTGGTGGCGAGCCAATCTACTTGAACCCTGTGAATTACCGGTTAATTGGACACCAAAATAGTTTTGTCGCGCGTTCAATCACGCTTGCTTTTGCACCTCACTAACATTATTTCACTTTTTCCGTTGGTTGTTGTGTGTGTATTTATTGTACAGCGCTTGTTGTTGTTTCTTGCTGGTGTGCCGGTGCGGCCTCCTCTCCTTTTGCGCCCATGTAAAAAGTAAGCATGCCCTTTGACTTTGACGCTCACTTGGAACTTTTTTATTGCATACTTGTCGGAGAAAGTTGGTTGATCGAACGCATCGTTACCTTGTTTGCAGGTGGGCAGAATTAACCCGGACCACCCGCTGGTTGGCGGCCACAAGGGCCCGGTGCTAGATATTGCTTGGTGCCCTCACAACGACAACGTCATCGCTAGTGGCTCTGAGGACTGCGTTGTTAAAGTTTGGCAGATCCCGGACAGCGGAATTTCCAGGTGAATACAAACAATAAATTTATTTTGCCTAATATATTTACTATTTTATTTTTATTACTTTGCTAGCTTTAATTCTTGACAAGTTAGATTAATTATTAGAATTGTTAGTAAACTGAGGGAAAAAAAATATTTCTTTTGTGCTATTTTTGAGAGAGAAAAACATTAGAAAAAAATTGAATAAATTAGGAACGAAAATACAATAATTCATTCTTTTAAATTTATTTGAATATGCAAATTTACTGTGATTTTTGCAATTTTTTTATGCATCATCAATTCTGAAAAATAGTAAAATAATATTTGGCATTATTTGGCACCCCACATATAAATAATAAAGCATAAATGTTTGACTAAAATTATTGGTGATAAACTTAATATCTGGGAAACCGCCATTATTTCATTCTCAGATGAATTTTGCATTTTTAACACTTTAACACATCTTTAAATTTATCTTATTGTTAAAATAAGGTATTTTTTCATAAAAACATTAACTACAATTTTTTAAGATCCCCACATTTTTGTCATTGAAAAGTTTGCTCAATTTTATTTCTACCGCCTTTAATTTTTGTATTTTCTTTAATTAATATTCCTTTGTATGTCTGTAGAACACTGACTGAGCCCATTGTCGACTTGATCTACCATCAGCGGCGAGTGGGTTTGGTCTTGTGGCACCCGTCGGCTCAAAATGTGCTGCTCACTGCGGGCAGTGACAATCTGGTGCTCATCTGGAATGTGGGCATCGGCGAGGTCATGGTCAAGATTGACTCGCATCCCGACATCGTTTACTCAGCCTGCTGGAACTGGGACGGTTCCTCGTTGCTCACCACTTGCAAGGACAAGAAGATCCGAATAATCAACCCTCGCACTGGAGATATTGAGGAGGTTTGTCCATTTCTTTTTACTTTATACAAAAATTAATGATTCTTTTTGCAGGAAGCAACCAGTCATGAAGGAAGCAAAGCCACCAGAGCCATTTTCCTGCGATCGGGCTTGGTCTTCACCACCGGCTTCAGCAAAATGTCTGAAAGACAGTACTCACTCCGAGCGCCGGATCATCTTTCAGATCCTATTGTGATGGTCGAGCTGGACACTAGCAATGGCGTTATGTTCCCTCTGTACGACCCCGACACCAATCTAGTTTTCTTGTGTGGAAAGGTAATAACAAAAATTCTCTGAAAATGGAATTATTTAATTTCTTTTATTAATAATGTAGATAATGTTGCATTGAATAAGGTAAAATGGTGTTTTTAAGCAAGAAACTTATTTTGTTTAGGGTGACAGTGTGATCAGGTACTTTGAAATCACAGCCGAGCCTCCATTCGTCCACTACATCAGCACCTTCCAAACGCCCGACCCTCAGCGAGGAATCGGCATGATGCCCAAGAGGGGCTGCGACGTCAACTCATGCGAGATCTCAAGATTCTTTAGGCTGAACAATTCTGGCCTCTGTCAGGTCATAACATTCACTGTTCCTCGAAAAGTGAGTTGAAAGGAAAATCTTTGGATTTGAATTTACATAAAATTTTGAGCAGTCAGAGCTCTTCCAAGAAGATTTGTACCCCGACACCCCAGGAGAAGAACCATCCATCACTGCCGAAGAATGGAATGGCGGCAAAGACGCAGAGCCTCTGCTGATTTCGCTCAGGGATGGATATGCGCCCAGCAACAAAAAGGAGTTGAAGGTGAGAAAAATTTAAGAGCAAAATAATTAACTAATTTGTGAAACGTAAAACTAACTAAATTTTTGTCAATTTTTTCTGCTCCCTGATTGATAATTTTGTAAGTGCCTGGTCATCTTAGAAGCGCAAGACTGATTTTTAACTAATTTCAGGTTAAACGTAAAAATGTCCTTGACAAGATGCCCCCCAAGAGAGGAGGCAGCACTTCATCCATGACAAGATCCAGTGCAGACAGTGACGGAGACTCGGCCGACGCCCCTCCAACCATTGTCCAAGCTGGAGTTCCAGTAAGCTCATTAAAAGTCTTGTGTTTCTCAGAAGATATTAATTTTGAATTTTCTAATTTCAGCAAAAAGTTGTTGACGACATGATGGAAGAGATTCGCAAACTCAAGGCGATGATTGTGAAGCATGAGAACCGAATCCGGTCACTCGAGGCCAAAGTAACTGGTGTGGCTGCAACGCCCCTAGGCAGTGGGACGCCTGCCTTGCCCAGTACTCCTGCGCCAGTCAAGCAGGAAGAGACCAAGACCTCCAACTCCTCGCCGCCCCAGTCAAGCGGCGAGGAAATGGCCCCCGACGAAGTTTAAGTCGGACGTAGTTTTGTACTTTCTGCTGCAGAGGCAAACGAACTCCTTGGTAAGAATGAAAACATGAATCTTGTATTTTGGAGCCTTGTTGAGCGAAAATTTATATTTTGAACTTGTATTTTTTAATGTGTACATATATATTAAGTATAAGGATGCAAAAGTATTTTTTGCAGAATTATATTACTTGTATTGCTTGTATATTTAATGAATTTTATTTATTGTTGCCATCACTTGTGACTGATATTAGTCAGAGTGGCTCCTTTCAGCAAGTTAACCAGTTTTTTTTAACGAACAAAACTATTTGTTTCCTTGATTCATATCACGGGCTGGGAATTTATTACATATAGTTATAATGGTAAAGCAATTTGAATCTTGGACTGTACGAATCAATCCTTGCCAATTGTTATTTCTCTTCCGGCCTTTGTTTTTTTTTACCGATCAAGTGCTATGAGAGATGCTAATCTGTTTGCAATTACGAATCTTGTGATTCCCAGCCCGAATTTTGACTTAATTCCGCTTGATAGGTTCCACGTGCCAATTATTATTTGTTTGTTGCTTGATTTTAAAATCCCAATGGAAAATGATAATTTGACCAGTATAAAAAAAAAAACTATTAGAGCGTCTCCTCTCTCTTTCTCTTATTTTGCATTTTGTTGTTGAGAGGTTCAATCAGTTTGAACTACTTGTATGGTGCTTTAAAATATTCAGTAGAAAAGATATTGGTGATCCAGTTGTAATAATTATTAGAATCGAATGAGTTGCAAGTCAGTTGGCCAACCTAATTACGGTTGACACCTTTGTTATTATCTAACAATAAGGCGATAATCATGTGCTTGAACAGCCCTTTGCCTTTTCAAACAGACTATGACACTGACTTTTCAAAACTGCTATCATCTTTTGGTATAAAAACATTGTGTACATTGATATGCCTCTTCAAACAATAAAAGCAAACTGAGCAAATTTAAAATTTTATTGTGGACCTACACACTTTCCTCCTCGTTGTTTACAAGAGTTTGGCCAAAACAATAGCAGCCACCAGCAGTGCGTTGGATACAAGCAGGAAAGGTGCGCTGTTGCCAATTTTCCTCGCGAGATAAGACAAGATGGTTTGCTTGTGGTCCTTATTCCACTGCAAATGTTGCTCCACCGTGGCCAGTGCTCTGTTCAGATTGTTCTTGGCACTATCAGTCAAATTATCTTGATTGGAGTTCAAGAAATTTGTGAGCTTCAAAGTAAAATAAAGGGTTGGGAAATTATCTTTTTAAATAATGATTATTATAAAACCTTTTGTTTGTGACTATCAGTGTTTAGTCTGCCGGCAATACTCGTAAAAACGCTGCCACTATCTCCCCACCTGTTTTTTTTTTTTTTTTTAATTAACTTTTTTCATTAATTATGATCCAAATATTATACTGTTTTTTGGCGTTGAAAAAGTTGTCGATTATGAAGTCTAATGCGAGATTGGTTCCTGATGGGTTGCCCTGCACGGCTGAAAGAATGGCTCGGGCGTCACTTGTCTTGAATGGAGAATTTTCTGCAATCGAGTCTCTCAACAGCCTGCAGAAATTTTTAATTAATTAATTTAGTTAATATTAGATTATTCGCTCTCTACCTTAATAGAATGGCCTCGTCATTTGAAGCTCCCAAGGCACTAATAATGAGGCTGATCTCCGTCGACCATTCTGCCTTGAGGTATTTGGTGTACAAGAAATCGTACTCCGCCTGACCACCCTTGCGCATGCCAGACTTATAAACAACGTTTTTCAAATCAGGAATTATTCTACAAGAAAATTGAAAAAATAAAATAATGATCTCCTTAATCACACTGAAATTATACGTTTTGTTCTCGTTTTTCCACTGGGAGAAAAGTTCAAATCCGTCCTGGTTGCACCGATCGTTGCCAATGGAGCACAACCAGCTCAAGACAGTGCCCCTCTGGAGACGCAAAACGTGCTTGTCAGCGTCGGTTTGGTTGAATCCATTGACGTGCTCGTAAAGGTGTTCCATTCGGCTGCTCAAGTACCTCTAAAATTAATAATTAATCCACATTTTTTTCTCCAAAAAATTTAAATTTTTCTTGCTTGGAAAAGTGACTTGGACGAGTCGTCCGCGACCATCCTGTCGTTCAGGTACGAAAGTTCATTCAAGGCTGCGTTCCAGGGCGTCAACTCCTTCTCGAAGGTGAGGTAGTTGGTCGTGTCGAATGCCGATTCGTAATCCAGGTGCTTGGCTTTGGCCAGAACAAACGAGTCCATAATGAGTTGGGCCCTGTTCAGCACGCTCAGGGTGTCTAAAGAGCCGGTCGAGTTGATCGCTTCGGACAGCATTTTCCAGTTTTGTTTGTCGTAGTTGACTCGGTAGTAGCCTTTTAGTTATTCGATTTGTGCAATTTTTAGTCTGAGAAAATGTCAATCTCACCGTTCTTTTGATTGTTGACGAGAATCCATTTGTCGGCAGCGGGCACGTCCAAGGAAATTTCTGCGTCGCTCAGCCACGTGATGTCATTGTTCTCCGGCTGGTCCTGAGCAATCATGGTCAAAGGCACCCAGTAAACTTCGTTGTGTTCGTTTTCAGTGGGTGGAGAGATGAAACGTTTCTGGAATTAGTATATATTTTAAGTTGTAAAAACCGGAATTAAATTTTCATGCTTAAACTCAACTTTTTAAATAGGCACATTATTATTTTTGAGGGTTGTTTTATATTAAATTGGCATTTTTATTAAAAAAAATTATGATTTCGAAAATAAATTTCGGTTTTAAAGCAATTATTTTTGTCCGTGAAATTTTATGTCTTGCCAGTTTTTGAACGTTATAAATTTGCAAAATTTAAAACGTTTTAAGGGGAAAAATGATTATTCTTTATTTAATATTTCCTGAAAAAGAAACGAATTTTAATAATAATTAATTATTGTGCTACAAAATTGACGTCACATTAATAGATTTTTTAGGGTGTTCAATTTAATTGGTTTCCTGAATAGTCTGGCGCCCAAATTTGATTATTTTCAGGGTCATTTTCAGTTGATTTTAACAATCAAATAATTCTTCATATTTATTTTTCTAATTGCTTGATTACAAATATATTTACCTGCACAAAGCTAGCCGTGTTATTCTCGTAGTCCCTCGTCACAGTCACCACTGGGTATCCAGCCTGAATTGCCCAACTGTCCATGATATCCTTGAACGCAACACCTTCAGGAAGCAAACCTGCAGGCACTCCCTGCTCCAATCCGCGCCACAAGTCGTCTTGGTCTGCACTTGTATATTGCCTGAAATTATCATTTAATTAAAAAATGATAAATCCAGAATAAGAAGCTTACATGTCTTCCAAATAAGCGGCGATTCCCTTTTTGAAATTGTCCTCGCCCATGAAGTTGAGCACCATCCTGATGACGCTGCCACCCTTGCTGTAGGAAATAGAATCGAAAATGGCACTTGCCGCGGACGGACTGTCCACCGAGGGGTCCACCAGGGGGTGCGCCGTCTCGAGGGCATCTGCACTCAGGGCCGTGTTGACGTCGCCGGTCACAAACTGCTCGTCCAACAACCACTCTGTCTCGACCTGGATAATTTTCCTAGCATTAAATGTGATAAAATGGATCAGATTTTTAATTACGTGAGATGCAGAGTAGGCGGCGAAGAACGTGGCGAATCCTTCGTTCAACCACGTGTTGCTCCACCACTTTGGCGAGACCAAATTTCCGAACCACTGATGCGCCAATTCGTGGGCCACCACTGACGCGGTACCCTGCTGACTCGAGGTTGTCAAAATGTCTTTGTTGAAAAGTAGAGCAGTTTCCCTGAATTTGAAACATTATTGAATTATTCTTAAAATCACTTATACCGTAATCTACATTGAAATAAGAAATAGCTGATAAGTTTCCCGCCAGATCAATTTAAAAATGTAAATTTTGAGGCTGAGATACTTATTGATTTCATTTTTCCAACTTAACTTAGGGCTACATTAACTTAATTTTTATAATTATTTTTATCGGGCTAATTTTGAGAAATTTTGAAATTCCCATACGAAGCAAATATAATTTTCAAAATTTTTATCCTCGTAACCCAAAAAAAATCAATTTTTCTTGGAATAAACATTTACAAAGAAATGCTAATGCGTTAAAAAAATTAGCATCGAAATTAATTAGGCCATTCCTTTAAAGCAAAACAAATATTTGTAAAATTGTGATCGAATTAATTCGATATTTGCAAATTTTTCTCCGCACCTTCATTAAAAATTCAGATTGTAATTTTATTAAAAATTTCTTCTTTCTTACCTGTATGTAATCAGTCCCCAATTTTCCATCGCCCCGGCGGAAAAGTCCGGAATGGCGATTTCGTCCATTTTCGGCAACGGATAGATTTGCTTGGTGAAATCCTCCATGTATGTGACCACCTTTGGTGCCACCAAATTGGCGTATTCGCCGGCGCGAACGTAAGATGGCCTGGCCCAAACTTTGAACCGGCTATCCAGGGGGCTGGTGATGCTTCCAAACCGCGCCACCGTGAACGCCAAGAGATAGGGTGACATGACCACGCTGGGCTCGAAATGCACCCAAATCCAGTCCTCCAACCCCGTCTCATTTCTATAAATAACAAAATAAAAAATAAAAATTATTTATTCTGCCGATGCCTCAATGAAATAAAATATTTAAATTATTACACAGGAGTTTCGTTCAATGTAGGCATGTTGGATAGAACAATCCAGGTGGGCTGTCTTGCCACATTTAGCTGAAAAACTGCCTTCAGGGCTGGCTCGTCAAAACAGGGGAAGGCCCTCCTGGCCGCCGTTTGCTCAAACTGGGTGGCCAACATCCACCTTTTATGGAAATTTAATTGTAATCAATTTGAATAATTTCCTTTTTTACTTTTCCACTCCGTCTTCAAAGTAGTTGCTGCGGTAGAAACCCTCGAGATCGTCGTTCAGTTTTCCGACAAAGCTAATTTCGATTGTGTAATTTCCGTCAACTTCGAGTTCCGAGCCGAGTAAAATATCCAAAAAGTGTCGATCGTCCGCAATGGGCTCCGTCATGGTGACGTCATTGACCAGCACGGCGTCACCGGTGTCGTCGTTGGTGACCACGACCGTCTCTTTCATGACGGTCATGTCGTTGGCGTGCATGCGAATCATGTTGGTGGCTTCTTTGGCCGTCACTTGAATGCGGACTTGGCCGTCGAAAGTGAAATTCTTGGGCGGCAGAGTTTCCTCCATGTAGGGAATCAAGTGAATTTCATATCTTGATGGAATCACGCTCTCCGGAAGTTTGTAGTCCCCCAAAGCTCTAAAAATTTAGTGCATTTTTTGAACAAAGGAATTTAAATCAATAATTTATTTTTTCTTTGTTCTTTTATATCAAATATATTATTTTAATTATTTTTTTTACAGTCATTTGTTATTAATGAAAAATTGATGAACTATTAAAATTCCTCGGAATTATTAAAATGCTCAGAATTCAGTTTTTTTGGTCTTACCTGTGCTTCACGGGCCGATACTCATCTTCAGGAGGTCGTGCCCATAATGGAGTGCCGTTTGCAAAATTAGCAACGGCTAATAGGCACAGAAGCGCTGATAATCTGTGCATTTTCTGAAAGAAAATTAGCAAAAGTTTTATTATAAATTTAAATTAAGTAATACCTAAGAAATAAAAATTAAATTTTCCGCTCAAAATCCTAACATTACAAAATAATCTTCTAATGGAAAGATGTTAAGATTTTTGTATTAATAAAAATTAGCAAATTTTTGAGCCCCTGCCAAGTGAAGGGGAGGCAACGTGCTGCACACCCAAGCCAAGCGGGTTGCCTTTCTTGATCTCACCACCCCTTAATTTAAAATTAATCCGAGGAAAATTTTATGAAACAAACGCACCATTTCAAATCGCAGCCTCTTGGATCAAAATCAAATGCCGCCTCCACTCAATTTCGATGTCTCTTATATCAAAACGGTGTTGAAAATCTCTGCTAATCAAGGCACGTTTTCTTTATCAGCGTTTTCTAGTCTATTCATCCTTTTATTAAGCGTGCTTTAGACAAATATTTGTGCCCCACAGAGCTACTTATTTGCATGATACATAAAATTCTAAATCTCCCAGATTATATTATGTGTTCCACTGGATCATGAAGCAATCCGAGCATTGCAAAATCCGGCAAAACCTATATTTATATCATTATATCTTAATCAGAATATAAAAATCAAGTCACATGAATCACGTGATATAATAAGCCTTCATTAAAACAAAAGATGGTCTTTGATTATTTTAATCTTTTGATTAGTGAGCTGATTTATATTCAAGAGTTAAATTAATTCAAAAATTAAGACCTTCAACATGGCTAGTTTTATTTGGGTCTGTTACATAATATTTTTTTTTTTAATGATTTTTTATGAAAATATTGAAACATTTTTTAATATCATATGCATAAATTTCTCTAATTTTATTTATTTGTAATATTTGTTACTATAAAGCACCATTGATGGCTCTGAAGTAATCGACAACGACCTTTTTATGATCTCCGTGCCATTTTATGCTTTCTTCGGCGGTTCTAATAGCCCCTTCGATGGATGGAATCACTCCTGGACTGACTAACCCACCGTTGTTGTCCAAGAAGTATTGCAACTGAATCAATTGGAATAAATATTCAATTCTTATAAAATTTATATTTCACCTTATCTCGCTGTTCGACGGTGTTCAGTTTGACCGAGATCCCAGAAAACGCCCTGCCAATGTTGCTGAGAACACCCATGCTGAAAAGTTTCGTTATTCTAAATGCTGAAATTATTACAATTTTTCCCACTTGTTGCTGACGGCCTCGTAATTCGCCAGAATGAAATCAAGGGCAAGGTCGACGCCGATGGGGTTGTTGTAAACGGCTGTAATGACGTCCTTTGTGTCTTGCGGGCGAATCGGCGGACCAGCCTGAATCGAAAGCTGAAGGTAGCTTTAGAATTAAAATTTAATTTTATAGGCATAAATTTTGAAATTGTTTTCATACTCTTGAAGAAGGGTCACATCAGAGGAACAACCAAGTGCCGTGATGATTCTGGCCTGCTCGGCTGCATTTTCAAACGCCGCCTCGTAACGGGCAATCAAAAACAAAGCGTCTTGGCGGTCGCCAGTTCGCACTCCGGAACAGTAGACGACACTTTTCAAATTTGGGTTGATTCTATAAAAATACAAATTATAAAAATAATTTTCGCATTCTCGCCAATTTTTAAATTTTTTAATTCAAAATATACAATCCAATGAGAACTAAATGAATGAATCAATAAGTCACACAATTTAATGTAATGAAAGCATAAATTATATTTTAAATACGTTATAAAATTTTAAATTTCCAGTTATTGTTTTACTAACGGATTATCTTTGTCCGGGTTTAGGGTGCTCTGCCAAAGTTTGAATTGATCTGCTGCCGCCAAATTGCACGGCCCCTGTTTTAATCGGCAAGCCCAGTCCAGAATAAGAGCTCGGGTTAGACTCTGCGTGTGGCTGTCGCCGCCCTCGGGAATGTTGAATCCACCCAGCCTTTCGTACGTGTTTTGCAGTCTGTCTAGCATGTACATCTAAAAACAATGCAGTTTTTCAAACGCATTCGATGAGAATACAAAATAAATTCCGGAGTTTAATGAAGAGAAATGTGACTTTTTGTACTAATATTTTGGAGACTCACTTCAAATTGGCTCCTTGGCTCATCTTCGTGATTGAGCCTATCGTAGATGTACTCAAGTGATTTGAACGACGTTGCCCAAGGAAGATACTCAGTTTCGTAAACTAAGTAATTGGTTATGTCAAGGGCTTTGGGATATGAGACGTATTTTGCGCGTGCCAGGGCAAGAGCGTCGTCCATCAACTGAGCTCGATTGAAAACGTTAAACGTTCCAAAACCATCAGATGTATTCAAAGCCAAAGCCAAAAGGTGCCAATTTTGTTCGTCATAATTAACGCGATAAAATCCTACAAAAGATTAATTGTCTTAAATTAATTTAAAAAAAAAATTAATTTTATGGTACCGACAAAGAGAAAAATTCAAAATAATACAATTAATTGGCTATTTAGGTAATATTGTTTACCATAAAAAGTTCCAACCTAGTACAGAATAAAAAAATATTTATCAAATTACTAACATTGCCAAAAAAAATTTCACAAAATAATAGTGAAAATAAAATTTTGCATAGTGTGTTTTTATAATTAAATTAAAATAATACATCGATGCAATGTTAGAATGAATGAATTTTTCATTCCATTAGAAAAAAAATGTTATTTTTTCTTTTGGTGAGTAGAATTAATTTACCTGTTTGCTGCAAATTAGCAACTATCCAGTCATTGTTGGTTGCTATATTGTTGACAGTCATATTCTGAGCGATCAACCATTCGTCTGGAGAAAGACTTAGAAAATCATTTTCGACCCCGTTAGTCCATGTCAAGGGCACGATCCATTCTTGAATTGGAATTGTTCCGCTAGGCAGTGCCAAAAACCTTTCCTGTATTAAAATTAAATTTAAATTTTACTTATGTATTATTAATTGCCTGTGTTATGATGGCTCTCCTTTCTGTGTCATAGAGTCTTTGAAAGGAAACGACTGGGAAACCAGGTTGTAGCGTCCAGGTTTCCATCACTTCTTTTAAGCTTTGACCGCTGGGAAATAGACCGGCAGGCACCTCGGGTTGCAGCGCCGACCAGAGATCGTCAGAATCTGCGCTGCCCTCATACCTATTTAATTTGTTTTTAATTAAATCTGCTGCTCGGAATTTTTTGATTTTAAAAACCTGTCATCAAAGTAAGTTTTTAATCCCCGCTTAAAATTATCTTCTCCCATCAGGTTGAGTAAAAATCTGACAATACAGCCGCCTGTAAATAAAAATTTAAATTTTTCGAAATCAAAATAATTTTTAGATTAACCTTTATTATAGGAGATGTTGTCAAACATGGCGTCGATGGTTGACGGACTGTCAACGTCATTCACCAAAGGATGGGTACTTTCTTGAGCGTCGGAAACAAAGGCGGGTTGCATTTCCTCATAAATAAATTGCTGGTCCATTTTCCAGTCGTTCAAAATTTCCACCTATAATAATCAGAATTAAAAGTTGTTTTATAATTTTTTTTCTGTGACAAATATGAATATTTATAAATACCGCATTTGCAGCGAAATATTCCAAATAGACGCCGAATCCTTCGTTCAACCAAATACTGTTCCACCATTTAGGCGAAACGAGGTTTCCAAACCACTGGTGAGCAATTTCGTGAGCAATAACAGCCCCAACCCTTTGCTTATTGGCAGTGCTGGCTGTGTTCTCATCATACAGCAAAGCAGTTTCCCTGGTGAATAATTTAATTTAAATTTTTTATTGAAACTTTTTATTGGTTTTTATACTTGTAAGTGACGAGACCCCAATTTTCTTGTGCGCCGACTGGGAAATCAGGCACCGCGATTTGATCGATTTTCGGCAAAGTGTAAGGATGGCCGGTGAAATCGGTGATGTACTGGATCACCTTTGGCGTGATTTCGTTCGAATAAGCTCCAAACTGCACTGAATTCGGTCTCGCCCAAGTGGAGTATTGCACTGGTGGCGTTCCAACAGTGCCGCCATCCAAACTTGCAAATTTGTTCACGGTGAACGCGACAGTGTAGGTGGTCATTCTTACTTGGGTCACCGCGAACTCTGTCCATTTCATTCCAGGATATTCTCTGAATAAATCAACGCAATGAATTAATATTTTATGCATACTCATTTTGTTTTAATTTTTTTTAATTAAATTCTAATAAATTTGAAAATTAAAAAAATGAGAGCTTTAAATATTACACCAAGTCCTCGTCCTCTCTTTCGATGGGCATGTTTCCATTAATTGTGTATCCAACCGATCTTGCGATTTTTATTTTGAAAGTAGCTTTCAAAGCCGGCTCGTCGAAGCACGGAAACGCTCTTCGTGCCCCAGTCGACTCAAATTGCGTCACAGCTAACCACCTTTTTGGTAAATTTTTAATATTATTTTACGAGAAATAAAAATTTCAGCTACTTTGTCTCTGATCCTTCAACGTAGGAGCTGCGGTAAAACCCATTCAGCTCATTATTCAACACACCGGAATAAACGATTTCGACCGAGTAGTTCTTCAATTGCAAACCACGGCCAAGATTGATTGTGAGGAAATTTCGGTCGTCGCCTGTGCGAGCAAAACTCTGGACAGGCACAGCAGTTGGAATTGCATCTTCTGATTGAACTTTAATGCTATCCAGACTTGCGATTGCGATTTCCGAATGGGCGTGCAGTGTGATCTGGGTCAGTCCGGCGGTTTTGCACGAGGCGATTATTTTAACGTAACCCTTGAATGTGAAATTCTGCTCGCCAACCGGGACGTTGTCGTCGAGGAAAGGAATCAGGGAAATGTCGTAGTGCCAGGGAATGACGTCAGTCGGCAGCAGATAGTCTGCCAGGGCTCGTTTAGTGATCAAAGGAGAAGCGTTTGCCAACGATGAAAAAAATGCTGCCAGTAAAGCAATTCGCGCAGTACCCATTTTGAAACTATTTTTGAAATCAATTTATATATTAACTGCAACTTTCAATATTAACGTGGTCCGCGTCGATGGAAATTGTTTCTCTGGCGATTGAAAACAAAATGACAACGGAGAACGAAAACTCAATCTGCATGAGATTGCACATTATATCACTGCTAATCAAAAAGTTCAATCTGAAGAGAATAGATTATTTAAGCTTAATTTGCAGAAGTTTAATTTTAAAAAAAAGTAATTTTTCAATCCTTTAGTTTTGTACAGAAATTCTGTTATAATACTCAAAGTATGACAAATTTTGAAAAATAAGACCGGCTATCTGGTTGCTTGAATATTGATAGGAACTAAATAAATATTTGCTCTAATATTTTTAATTAAAATTAATTTGTTCACCATTAAAAATTCTACAGTTGAATTGCTAACCCAATAATAATTAAATTTTAACATTCTCATAAATTTTTCATTTTAGCTATTAAATAATGGTTATTATTTTCTCGGTGAATACAAATTAAAATAGGAAAAAAGAAGATGGTGAAGAAATCTGCAAACAGTTGTCGTTTAATTTACATTATATTTTTTAAATTTTATTTTGTTTTCAATAATGCTCAACTAACTGTTGTGTGAACCTAATTATTATTATTTATTCTTCTCAGTCGATACAAAAATTTTACAACTTTTTACAAAAGTTTTTGTATGTTTAAAATTCAATAGGTTTGCTACTCGTAGTTAAAAAGATTGATTTGTCAATTTTCGTTCGGGTGAAGCTTTAAGTTTTATGATGAGTAAATAATAAATAGTATTATATCATATCATATGAAAACAAGGGATTTTATTTTCTTTTAATTTTGTATTTTAGGAAATGAAGTACACCACGTTGGCTACCAATATTAAATTTATGCACTGAATTATAAAAACGTGAAAGATGACAGATGATTTCGTGTAAAAATTAATATTTTATATATTTATTGGAAGATTTTGGTAACGAAGGAGGCGACGAGAATCAGAAGTGGAGAAATGACAGCCCACGGGGCGCTATTTTTCTCACGCAAGTATTGGACAACGCTGCTTTTGTGCTCCTCGTGCCACAGGATGCTCTCTTCCACGGTTTTGATTGCACCTTCGATGGCGGGTCGTGTACCGTCGCTGATAACGCCACCGGGATTCTGTTCTAAGAAGTTTTTAAGCTGAAAAGAATTAACTTCCATCGTGATGGCGGTTCATATTTAATCAAAATTGGCGCACCTTGTCACGCTGCTCAACGGTGTTCAGCTTTCCAGCAATCCCTGAGAAAATCCTTCCAATCGAACTGAATCCACCCATGCTGTAAAAAACGTTTTAGCTCACAAGCTGGCTGAATATTGTAAAACCAATTACTTGTCATTAATTTTCTGGTAATTTGCAAGGACGAAGTCCAGTGCCAAGTCAACACCAATTGGGTTATTGTAAACAGCAGTGATGACAGTTCTTGTATCCTGAGTTCTAATTCTGGGGTTATCTTTGAGAACCTCAGCCATGAACCTAAAGCAAAATTTTGAAATTATTCTGTAATTAATTACATTTGAATATTACTCTGAGAGAACACTCGCGTCTGAAGAGCATCCAATGGAGCTCAAAATTCGTGACTGCTCAGCGGCATCTGCAAATGCACCCTCGTAGCGCTCAAAGAGGAACAGAGCGTCGTTCCTGACGCCAGTCCTCGCTCCGGTACAGTACACAACGCTCTTCAAGTTAGGGTTAATTCTATGCGCAAAACAAAAATTAATTATTTTTTGACAAATAATCTATTATTTTTACGGATTGTTATTGTCTGGGTCCTCGGTGGTCTTCCACTCCTGGAATTTCATTTTGGCAGCATCGTTGCACTCTGTGGATTTCAGTTTGCAGGCCCACGAGAGAACGAGCGCTCTGGTCAGACTTTGTACATGGCCCTCATCAATTGGGATTTCAAATCCTCCCAAGCGGTTATATGTGTTCCTCAAACGGTTTCGCATGTAGGTCTATGTATATTAAATCAAATTTAATGATGGTTCAAAAAGTTCTCAATTAATTAATGCACCTCAAACTGATTTCTTGGATCGTCTTCGGAATTGAGTCTGTCAATGACATACGACAACGCTTCGAAGGCAGTCGCCCAAGGAAGGTATTCGGTTTCAAAGTCCAGGTAGTTGGTCGTGTCCAAAGCGATGGTGTAGGAGACGTTGTTGGTGCGCGCCAAAGCCAAAGCGTCGTCCATCAACTGGGCTCGGTTGATGACATGCAAACTGTTCAAACTCTCTGACGAGTTGATCGCACGTGCCAAGAGATTCCAATTTCTCTCATCGTAATTAACACGATAGAAGCCTGGGAAAAAAGTTGCACATTAATATTCCAAAGTGTTTTGATAACCTTAACTGTTTATAATTATATTTAGCAAAATAGTCTTAAAATACGGATCTTTTAATAAATTTTAATAAAATTAATTAGCTTTAAACGAAATATAAAATAATAGATTTACAAATTTACCATTGATAAAATAATTAATAAAATCATGTGTAATAAGAAAAATAGTTATTGATGTAATTTAGTAATTTTCTTTGCCATTCAGCGTAACAAAAAAGTTATATATTTATATAATTACCATATTGCTGCAAGTTCAGGATGACCCAGTCATCATCAGCACCCACGTAGCTCACAATCGTATTTGGCGTGGTCAGCCACTGGTCGACAGCGAGATTATCAAAGCCACCTTCTTCTGCTTTGTTGGTCCACGTCAGAGGCACGATCCACTGTTCAGTGGGCAGCTCCTCTACACGCTCACTCAAGAATCGCTCCTAAATTTGAAATAAAAACTTTGTTCCTAAAAAACTTCTCCCTTACTTGCTGGATCGTGGCCCTCTGATCTGCATCGTACAACCTTTCAAACCTAATGGCCGGGAAGCCGCCCTGCAAGGTCCAGGTGTCCATTACGTTTTTCAGGGTAAGACCTTCAGGCAGGGCACCTGGAGGCACAGCAGTCTGAAGAGCTGTCCACAAATTGTCAGCGTCGGCATTGCCAAATGCGCTTTTTTTTCATTTTTCAGTATTTTCAAAACTAAAATTTAAATTTAAAGCTTTACTTGTCATTCAGATATTTGTTGATGCCCGTTTTGAAGTTGTCCTCGCCCATTAGGTTAATCAGAAGCCTGACGATGCAGCCACCCTTGTTGTATGAAATATCATCGAACATCGAGTCAATAGCGGACGGACTATCTACACCCTCGGGCACAATAGCATGGGTAGATGTTTTAGCGTCAAAAATGAGGGCCGACTGCAGTTGCTCATAAATGAATTGCTCATCCATTTTCCAATCGTTTTCAACCTGAAGTTTATTTTTTTGCAAAATTAATTTTTTATTCAAATTTTGAAAATTACGCTATTTGTTGCGAAATATTCAAAATAGGTCGCAAATCCTTCATTCAGCCAAAGGTTGTTCCACCACTTGGGAGAAACAATATCTCCAAACCACTGGTGCGCCAATTCATGCGTAACTACGGCTGCCACCCTCTGCTTGTTGGACGAACTGCCGGTGGCTGAGTCGTACAGCAACGCAGTTTCTCTGTAGCAAATTAATTTTAGTCACAAATACACTCGCTTATTCCAAAAGGTACCTGTAAGTAATAAGACCCCAATTTTCCATGGCTCCAGCAGCAAAATCGGGAACTGCAATTTGATCGATTTTCGGCAAATCGTACTTTCTTCCTGTGAAAGCCTTCATGAATGCTACAGATTGTGGGGCGATTTCGTTTGCATATGCTCCAAATGCAATCGCATTAGGCCTTGACCAGACGTCATATTTGATATTGTCTACATCTGTTACTTCGCCAAGGTTTTCGAACTGATTGACGGAAAAAGCGACTAAGTAGGTTGACATTATTTCTGAATTTTCAAACTCGGTCCATTTCAGTCCTGCCCCAGGATACTCGCTAAATGTATAATTATTAATTTTTAGAAAACTAATAATTAACTCTTTCATTACGTAACATCTTCTTCTGTATTTGCTATGGGCATGTTTCCTAGAACAGTGTAGCTTGGAAATCTTGCAACCTTAATCTTGAACGTAGCCTTCAATCCTGGCTCATCAAAACTCGGGAAAGCCCTGCGAGCACCGTTTGACTCGAACTGGGTGACTCCCATCCACCTATTTTTTAGTTGAGATTTTAATTGCAAGTGGAAAAACTTAAAAATACACAATTATTATATGATTAAAAAATTAAAAATATACGGTTTTACAGCCACTCATTAATTAAATTTTGAGAATTTTACCAGCTTCATAGCAAACATTTTAAACACTTTTTTAAATTTTTTGAATAATTTGAATAAAAAAATTTCAAATAATGGTTTTGGATGTTCTCCTCATTTAAAGTATTCAACATACTTAGTCACTCCTTCATCCACATAAGAGCTCCTATAAAATCCCTCCAGCACGGTGTTCAGATGGCCAAGGTACTTAATTTCAATCGTGTATTGTGCTCCAACTTCCAAATTGGCGGCCAGATTGATGGTCAGGAAGTGTTTGTCATCGCTAGAAAATACTCTATTTGTCACGGAGACAGGTGTCGCAGGTGTAGCAATTTTCGTGACAGTGATATCTTCCTTGACAAACTCAACATCCAACGCGTGTAGCACAATTTTATTTGTGGCAGTGTTGCAAGTGACGGTAATTATGACGGTGCCCCTGAAAGTGAATTCAGCTTCTCCTGTGGGAATGTCATCCTTGAGGAAGGGGATCAGATGAACTTCGTATGCCGATGGGGTGACGTCAGTCGGCAACAGGTAATCGGCCAGGGCGCGAGGGTTGGGGTTCAGGTGTGCGTTCAAGGGGAGCTCGGGGCGCAACCACAGCGGGGTGGCGCTCGCAAGGGCCAAAAACAGGACTGCGCCGCAAGCAGCTCGCAGCATCGTCATTGTTCTGCAAAATAAATTATCCGTTAATCAAAAAGTTTCATTGTTATATTCGTAAAACGCAACCCGTGCAATAAAAGGAATACAGAAAATTTCAAAAATTTATTTTATTCCCATTTAGGACAACGTTTTATTCCATTTTGCTGTTGGTCCTCTCAATTTAGCTAAATGCTTGGTATAAGAATAGCATTTAGCTAAATTAAGATGACCAACGGCAATTTTCTATTCTGAAATATTAAATCGATCCAGTTTTTTTAGTGGTGGGCGGCTTTTTAGGATTTCAATATGCCACCCTAGAAACAAAATATAAAAAGTCGCTCACCACGCGAAATACTGAACTGATTTTGAATTTCAGGATAAAGAGATGGAAGTGAACGTTGATCTGAATACAAACCTCGCAGGTGTGCAAGAATTATTAAAATTAAAAACTAAAATATTAAAAAAATGCAATGAGTTTGTGAAATTGAGTATTTGAAAATTATCTTGTACATTATACTGGTGCATTGTATATTTTTATGTTGTTAAAAATTCCCAACATCAAGGTTAACAAGAAGAACTTGGCTCGCTTATCACTAATGGTCCGCGCATTTCGCAAACTGGATTAATCACTTTGGTCTGCACTTAAAACCGTTGTCATGCTTATTATCGGCTAAAATGCAGATAAAGCCTTTTGGTGAAATCAATATTGAGACGCTCCCTAAATGCGTAAATGCAAAAGATCCACACTTAAACTCAAAAACTTGGGCGTTCTAAATTATGTTGAAATTAGCTGATAATTTATGTTCGTTTAAATATTCCTCAATTCTGATAATTGGGTTCTTTTAATCTTTCAAGATTGTAAAGCAGGACAAGCAGGCCGGCTTCTTCGAATTACGCAAATGAAACGCATTTATCGCTACCCGAGGCTACCCCACGATAATCAGATCTTCAACACTCAAACTAGATTTAAATTTGCAACTAAATTATTTTAGCAGCAATTCAATTTGAATTTTGCATGCGTTCTTTATCATCTTTTTCAGTCAGGTGAAGAAATTATAGTAAACTGTATTAAATTCATATATTATAAAATTAAAAAAGAAAAACATAATCCACTCATGAATAAAGGCCATTTCCAAATCAATCTGACCAGTGTTTGGCATGGGTTGTTGGATTTGGATGAAACTTGGCATGGTGATACCCTTAGGGTAGGTGGTCAACCTAAGGTATATAGTTAGTCCAATATCCCAACATTGCCTATTTTACAGGGGCTCAAAGTGGCGATTTTTGCAAAAATAAAGTTTCCTTTAATCTCAATTATCTCGGGTTCTAGTGAAGCAATTTCAAAAAACTTGACACCGTTTGAAAGCCACTTAAATGGACTTGAATTCAGCTATAAGCGTCAAGGTCGCAGGTTAAAGTTCAAGGTCACTAAAATTTTGATGAAATTTTAAAAACGCTGCCAGATATTGAAGGACCAAAAATATTTAAATCTTTTCCACAGGAAAAATGTTCCAAATTTAATTTTACATCGGTGTACAAATTTTGGTGATATGTATTTTCTTTGTTTTTGAGATATCTACAGGGGAAGTTCAAAAAACGTTGTTTTTTGGCCCTTTTTTGAGGTCGTAAAATTTTAAACGCCTCTAATTTTGCTAAATTTGCCATAAAATTAAGCAAATACACTTCAGGAATGAGGAACTATCATATATAATGCAATTCTACGATCAGAGTCGATTTTGAAATCCACCCCTACCCCTGGGGGTGGGTTTTGGGGTTAATTTTAAATATGCCCAATCTTTGTGTTTTTGATGTCGTTTCCTATGTTTTCGACATCCAGGAACACGAATCTGAAGTCAGTTTTTGTTTAAAGTTAATAGCTTTATTAATAATCGCAGTTGAATGAGGCGAGTTTGACCGTCCGACGAATTGCGAGGAGCTGAGAACTCACTGCATTCAAGTGCGATTATTAATAAAGCTATTGACTTTAAACAAAAACTGACTTCAGATTCGTGTTCCTGGATGTCGAAAACATAGGAAACGACATCAAAAACACAAAGATTGGGCATATTTAAAATTAACCCCAAAACCCACCCCCAGGGGTAGGGGTGGATTTCAAAATCGACTCTGATCGTAGAATTGCATTATATATGATAGTTCCTCATTCCTGAAGTGTATTTGCTTAATTTTATGGCAAATTTAGCAAAATTAGAGGCGTTTAAAATTTTACGACCTCAAAAAAGGGCCAAAAAACAACGTTTTTTGAACTTCCCCTGTAGATATCTCAAAAACAAAGAAAATACATATCACCAAAATTTGTACACCGATGTAAAATTAAATTTGGAACATTTTTCCTGTGGAAAAGATTTAAATATTTTTGGTCCTTCAATATCTGGCAGCGTTTTTAAAATTTCATCAAAATTTTAGTGACCTTGAACTTTAACCTGCGACCTTGACGCTTATAGCTGAATTCAAGTCCATTTAAGTGGCTTTCAAACGGTGTCAAGTTTTTTGAAATTGCTTCACTAGAACCCGAGATAATTGAGATTAAAGGAAACTTTATTTTTGCAAAAATCGCCACTTTGAGCCCCTGTAAAATAGGCAATGTTGGGATATTGGACTAACTATATACCTTAGGTTGACCACCTACCCTAAGGGTATCACCATGCCAAGTTTCATCCAAATCCAACAACCCATGCCAAACACTGGTCAGATTGATTTGGAAATATAATTATTATTTCTTAACGATTTTTCCAATTCTTGCTTTTTGACCTGTTGCGAGATAATAAATTGATTGAATTAGATAACGGCTTCTCTTTTGCTTTCCAAATAAAGAGCTTTTAAAGCCAAAACTATTTGAATATTTTATGTACATAAATGAAAGAAATTCTTCGAGATGTTATAAAATATATTAAATGATTAATACAACTGAATACTTAATTAGAGAGGAAATTTTCTGTATATTCGTGAATATATTTATTGTGGTTAACAACATTGAATGAATATTGCGAATTTTTATAATACTGTGCAACATTCAAAGTATAAAATTTGATGATTTGGTATTATGATTTGCTTTTACTTTATAATTTGGTTAAATATTTGTTTGACAAGGAAATTGAGCTTTTATATGAAAATTATTCTACTTGTTAAAAAAAAATTTATTTCATCAATTTTTTACTAATTTATTTGAAACATTGTGCCGTAAATTTAATGATCTTTAGATACATCACATTTGTTTGCTTCCGAGTTTTATGATTGTTTCCTTTCGTGACCTTCTCTCAGCTATCGCTGCAGTTTAACTATTTTATGACCGGTGTTAAAAATTAACTCACCTATTTTGTCCTTTGCGTTTCCAAAGCTGCTGATTTGGATGGTTTGCGGTCGATTCTACGTCGCGGGGGGTTGATTTATGCTTTTATATACGCACGCACTTATCAAACATTTGAGCCAATTCATCGGCCGCTTATCAGGCAAGATAGGTATACTTATTCACGTTTCTGTTGACTCTTGTCATTCATTAATTGACATCTGCACCACCACTCTACCAGTTTTTGTCACCATTGTTTTGCTCAGAAGCTCAATTGGTCGGGTTTTTCTTCTCGCTACTATCATTAAAAATTCAAGCTGCAGCGTGTTGAACTTTGGCTGCGAGAAATTTAATTTTATTTCACAACAAAAATCTAGCTTTTTAATCTGGTCTATTGATTAGCAGATTGCGTTTGTAAATGAAGTGATAATATTAAGTCAACTCACCGCTGAAGAGGATTCCATTTTGATTTAAAACTGTTTTAGCAAACTTCTGGTAGCTTCTTTGTTTGCAGTATCATTTGCAACAGAAAAAATTGTACTTGTCAAGTCAAAGAACCAAAAGAAAATAACAATAATACAACAGATCAAAGTGATTAACGTTTTTAATACCAGCAGCAAAATTATTAATATTGCTGTTCATTTGTCCAATTGTTACATCACATTGTTTATGTATAGACAATTTTTTTAACGATTTAATGTTTGGGAAAATTAAATGAACAACAAAAGTGGACAAAAGTGAGTCTCGGTTGACTAAGTTTTTGCTCTTATCACTAATCACAAATTTTGCCAACGGATGGGAAACTGTTCCACCTTATTCTTTTATGGTGGAACAAAATTTAAAATATAAAATAAATATTGTCTGGAGGACAAACAATGCTGATGCAGGCGCCAAAAATTAAACTTCTACACCTGTGCAAGTTTAATAAGAGTAACAAAAATTTAATATATTAATAAAATGCATAGACTGAATAACATTTCAAAATTTTTTTTGGCAAACAATGATTCTTAACGTGTATAGGTGTGTATACCATACTTAAAATAATAATTTTATAGCGTTTTTAACGTGATGTTGCAAATATACAGCACAGAGCACGGGTCACTTATTTTGCAAGTAAATTAAGTGCAATTTTCTTATAGTAATTTAAAAAATTCCTAAGAAATTTAAAATATTCACGCGCGGAACGGAACTTCTTCAAGTGTATGAATTCTTTCAACCAACGCAAAAAAGAGTAAATTTGGTTTCAAAAATTATTGGCAATTATCCATTATCTTAGGTTTTGTTTTGTAACGAAAATTTAATTTTTTCATGATGGATGACTCTGCACATGATGACGATTATTTTCACAAGAGAAAAAGTCGCCAACGTTATAATTATTATTCGTGACATGTTTTCCATAATCGAATTTTTGCGAGCTGATTCGGGTTAATCTCATTTTCTGCTATACTTATTTATCACATGATTTAATTTTAATTCCACACTAATTAATTTGATTAATTGAAGGGCGATCAATCATTTGTGTGACACGTGCGTGGAACTTTATCGACGCCGTCTCTTGAGTGAGTCGTTTGAAATTGACAATATACAATTTAATTTCGTTCTTTGCACACGAGCTCCTGAGCGAGACGTCTCGCGCCGTCGTTATCATTGAAAAAATTTCTGTACAGCGACAAGCGTGATGACGGTGCATACATATTATATAGTCACCAATAATCTGAATGTCTACATCAGTTTCCTTGACGCACTCAGAAAGTTTTTTTTTTTATCTCTTAACTCCGCGTCCTAAATGAACGGTGTTTAGTGACAAGTACGCGAATTAATTGTTCAAAAACACAGCCATTGTTTTAAAACGGGAAAATATCAAAGAAGTGGCTAAAGTTTTTATTTCGGTTTTATGACACGGTAATTATGTAATGGTAGAAGTTCTCAAATGAAAACACAACAGTCTATTGCTGATAAATTGCTGATTTTAATCAACTTGTACTGTTACCTTGCTAAGCGTTGATAAAGACCAAAATAATAAGTGCTGATCTTTATTAGAAGTTTTATGACCACCAATAAATATCATCATTGGTCGCTCGCAACAATATTTACTTGCTGGCATCTAGTGAGTTATACACAGATAAAAAACCATTTTATTCCAAGAAATAATTAGGAATTTTTTGGTTGGAAAAATTATGCAAATTGCAAAAATTCATTCTTAATTTTGTGATAGTTTTAATTTGTACCTTTCAATAAAATTGATTTGATTTGATTTTTTATTGGAAAAGGGATGAAAAAATCCCTAGAGTTTTACAGATGCAATTAAGTGATAATCAGACTTGTATGCCATTTTCGCAGCTTCAAATTTTTGTGTTGATTGTCAAAAGATATATATGGGAAGATGAGCGCATTTACGGCAGTTGAGTTGCAATGAAAAGATTGTTTAGGGATTATTTTACGTTCTGTTACTCTGATGTCCTTAAAAAAGTTTGCACCAAAAGCGGTCTGTAGTCTGTAGCCCTGGGTTCGGCTGGAAGGATTAATTATTGTTTCTGATAACAGGCGGTGTGATGCAATGCGCCGTATATAGTGCAATTCTCTTCCTCAGGGTTCGCAGTTTCTTTTTAAATGTGCTTCGAGAACTCTCATCTGAAAAGTGCTGCTGGTAAAGTTGATTAATATTCATTCCGACTTGAAGATGATTTGAATTCTGCATCGAAAAGTGATCGTTGGGAGATAAACGAGAAGTGCGATTGCTCAACTTGAACTTTGTTTCTATCAGTGATTAGCAAAAGCAAGTTTTTTCTCGCGATAATTCTTTTTACGCGCGTAATGCTACATTTTAATCCTTAGGTGAAAACCCAATCGATTTTGCGGATTAACCATTTTATTGCCCAGAGAAAAAATAATTATGATAAAATTATTGTCATCTTTATTTCTTTTTATTAGAGTTTAAGGTTAAAATATATTTATTTCAAATTTTTCTGCAAAAACTAAAAATGAGAAATTTTATTTGAACTTCATTGGCGGCTTCTTTAATGTCTGAAAATAATAGCCGTTGCGAATTGATAAACGATCACCACTTTTCGATAAGCTCAAGTTGTTAACAAGTGTGAACATACTTATTTCATCCAATTTACAGTCGACCAACACCTCTCTAATCACGTACAAATAGCAGTTTTCAACTTAATAAAATTTCCGTAGTTACAAAATGATCTCGAGACTGGCACTGGTGCTCTGCCTTAGTTTTGGTACATTTGGAAATCCTGTTGTGCCACAAAATTTTTCCGACGCCGCTCCTTCCGCCCTACTAGACTATGCTCTGCCCAGAATTGTCGTACCGGACCATTACGATGTCACCTTAATCCCATACTTCGAAAATGCGCCCAGCGAATTGTCTAAATTTAGGTAAAGAACAGAAAAAAATTTGAATATTTTGTCTTGAAAAACGTAATCTTAATGACTGCTACAATTTTTTTAATTTATAACAGAATTTTTGAAATTTTAGAATTGCCATTTATTGCCTTCAATTTATTTGAAAATGATTTAATAATTATAAGCGTAATGTGAATTTATTAATTTTTTTGGTTCAATTAATTTTTTTTTTAGAGGAAACAATATCTATAAAAACTATAATAATTTACTCGTTAATTTTCAATTGATTAGTACTCTCATTTTTTAAATTGAGACTGATGCTATTATTACTGCATCGGTAGCTTATTATTGGCCTTGCAATGAGTTCTTTTAATTCTTAAATCACACATTCTTTACTTTGAATGTTGTTGAAACAGGATATCTAAACCATCCAAATTCAAGGGGCGATTAAAAGATCCTTACCTTAATTAATTAAATACCTTAATTGCGTTTCAACATTAAGAAAAATATTTTCGTTTTGAACTCGCCTCCTTCTCAAATATTTATATTATATCATGACTGGTTTTGAAAATATAGTAAAATTAGAAATTTGTGATTTAAAAATTAAATTCAAAATTTACTGCAGTTCAAACGCAATGTACCAAAATGATAGAAAAATTGCATCCACCGCAAACTAAAATTATTTTTTGTATAAAAATTTGCTATTCAGTCTCAACGGCGTTGTCAAGATTTGGGTGAAGTTGACGCAGCAAACAAAAATTATTCGGATGCATACCTACGATATGAAGAACTCCATCTCAAAAGAAGACGTGACCGTGACCCCAGTCAGCAATCCCTCTCTCGAATTAGCAATTGCCTCCGTCGTGCAGAGCGACGACGACAAACAATTCTTGACCATCACCCTTGTGAATAACATTCCCGGAAACTCAAACTTGATCATCACAATTTATTTCGTGGGCAAAATCAATGACGAGTTGGACGGTTTCTATCGCAGTTCCTATGTCAACTACCGAGGAGACAAAAAGTAGAAATATTATTCGTTAAAAAAAAAAGGAAAATTTGCGCAACGGACTTTCAGGTGGCTTGGAGTGACGCAGTTCGAACCGACCGGTGCTCGACGCGCTTTTCCGTGCTTTGATGAGCCGTGGTTCAAAGCGACGTTCACCCTGCACATTGCGAGAGAGCCTTTGAGAGAAGTCACGTCAAACATGCCCATTGAAACCGAGAATGCTGAAGTGTAAAAATTATAATTCAAAGTGGAGGAATTTAATTTTATCATAAAATATCTTATTGTTAGATCTGGCGATTTTCACAAAGGTTGGGTGTGGGTTAATTTTAAGGAGTCAGTCAAGATGCCTACATATCTGGTGGCTTTTGCTGTGCACGATTTTGGATCGGTTGGCACCGTCAACAAAGGAAAAGATTACAGGGTAATTAATTTTAAAATCATAAATTTTTAAATGCTAAAAATGAGTCTTTAATGATGAGTTTGCTTTTTTGGGTGATTCTTGTTACAATTTCCCGCTCTAAAAATTTCCATCAAACAATTCAAACTACGAATTATGATTGATTGTTTTTCATTTTTTACTCACAATCAGAAAAACAACCCCATTGAGGAAAAGCCGCGGTGTGGTTTTTTTTATTCAAGCTCAACGATGGTGAATTTTTTTTATATTTTTTCCCTTCGTCAAGGTACTAGCACGGCGCGAGTTTGTCGACAGTTCTACTTCCTATGCCCTAGAAAAGACCCCTCTCATAGTTGATTATATGGAGTTCTTCACTGGCCACCCCTACGCAAGTGGCATGAAAGTCGATCAAATCGCCCTTCCCGATTTTGCCGCCGGAGCGATGGAAAACTGGGGCCTCATAACCTACAGGTTCGAAAATTTTCCAACTTTAAAAAAAAAAAAAATTGGATTTACTTTAAAATTTAGAGAGGCTAATCTGCTTCACGACAAATTATTTTCGACCTCCGCAAACAAGCAACGCATTTTGACCATCGTGGCGCACGAACTCGCCCACCAGTGGTTCGGAAATCTCGTCAGCCCCGATTGGTGGAGCGAGATTTGGTTGAACGAAGGATTTGCGACGTACTTTGAATATTTCGCTTCCAACTTTGTGAGTAATAATTGATTTTTTTTTTTTTATTTCTTTAAACGTACTGATTGATAAAAAAAAGTTTGAGACTTACCAACTGGACCTCGCCTTTATCATGGACAGACTGCATCCTGCCTTCGAAGTTGACTCAAGAGTCTCGACTCACGCTTTGACTAACGATAAAGTCGACTCGCCAGCTTCGGCCACGGCCGCATTTGATACTATCGCATACAACAAAGGTAGCTAAAAACTGATTTAAAAAAATATCAGGCTTAATTTTCTTAAAGGTGCTGCCATTGTTCGTTTCATGATCACCGTCGTTGGCGAAACAAACTTCCGAAATGGAATAAAAAACTATTTGACAGCAAAGTAAAAATTCAAATATTTTAATAACCATAAGTTTTTGATAAATTAATTGAATTATTTTAATTACTAGTGAGTACTCCAGTGTGACAAAGGACAAATTGTGGGCCAGCCTAACCCCTGTCGTTCCTGAGGGTGCGTTGCCGGACAGGGTCACTTTCGCGCAGGTGATGGACACGTGGGTGGATTTGCCAGGCTTTCCACTGATCAAAGTGACGAGGAACTACGAAACGAAACAAATGAATTTTGAGCAGGTCACTCGAGCTTTTAAATAACAATAGTTAAGGTTGAATAACATTTTTTATATAAAACCATAGGAGAGATTTTTCTCAACAAAGCAAACAGCTCAAAGTCCTGAAAAGTGGTTTATTCCGATTACGTTCGTAACGCAGAAAAGTAATGGAAACTGGCAAGATACGTCAACGAAAGGTTGGCTCAAGCCGAACGAAGTTTTGACTATCACCGACAATGATTTGGATAAGACTGAGTGGGTCGTTTTGAATCCCAGAATTACAGGTAATTTCATTACAAAATATATATAGCTTAAATTGATCACAGCATTTTTGAATTTTTCTCAAATCTTAAATTTAAAAGTGAATGAAAAATTGAACGGAAACAATTAAAAGATTTATATGAATTAATTCTTGCTACTTACTTCCAAATTGGAAATTCCAATATTTTTAGAATTTATAATTCATAATTCTATTTTTATTACCTCTTTTTGGAATTTACATGCTCATTATTTCTAAATCTTTGAATTAAATTAGGCTACTACAGAGTTCAGTATGACGAAGAAAATTGGAAGTTGATCACTGCCACCCTTAACGACAAAGAAAAGTGGGTAATCATAACCGACTTCAACAGAGCGCAGTTGATCGACGACTCAATGGCTTTAGCCAAAGGCGAATACTTACCGTACGAAACTGCTCTGTCGCTGACCGAGTACCTGAGCCACGAAACCGAGTATTTGCCGTGGTTCACCGCCATCAAGGCATTCAGCTTCCTTGGCGACAGATTGGTTGACGAGGTTGAGGATTCGCGTCAATTCTACACCGTAAATCCAAAACGTTTCGAAAATTTTTTATATTAAATCTATTTTAATAAAGGCCTACGTTTCAAGCAAATTGTTGCCGCTGTACAGATCGGTGAACGGATTTGACTTTGAAGAAACAGACGGCCACGTTAAAAGGTTGAAAAAGAATCTCATTCTGCAGTGGTCTTGCAATTTGGGCGACGACGCTTGCAGAGGAGAAGCAGTTGCGCGTTTCCAAGAGTGGAAGAGTCGCTCATCGCCCGATTTCCAAAATCCGTAAGAAATATTAAAAAATTATTTTGTTTGTGTTCTCATGAAGATATATATATTTTTTTTTAATTTATTGGTCCATTTTGGAAAATATATTTATATTTTTTTCAAGAAGAGTTTAAATAGTTTTCAGCCTTATTTACTTTTTTTATATAAAATGCAAATTCTTTAAAAAACGACGTATAAACCTTTTCTTTGGCTAGTTTTGTAGTTAATGTTTTTATCACTTATTGTTAATATTTAACAATTGCGAACCAATTTTTATTTTTAAATTTATCAGAATTGATCCTGATCTGAGGAGCGTAATTTATTGCCACGGTATGAAAAGCAAGGAAGACTTTGATTTCCTTTTTGAGAGGTACACAAAAGCCCAGAGCATGCCTTCAGAAATGAGCACTATTTTGACCTCACTTGGCTGCGCACCCACCACGGAACTTCTTCAAAAGTAAACATTTAAAAAAAAAAATAAAATTATTAAACAAAATTAGAGCCTAATATAATTAAATTTATTACAGAGTATTGGACGAGACAATAAAAACTTCAGGCTCTTTGATCCGTTCTCAAGACACAAGAGATGCTTTCGTAGCCGTCATTAGAAACCCTATGGGCATCAACATTGCACTTGATTTTCTGGTTACCAAATTTGCAGATATCAAAGTCACGTAAGGTTTAGCTCATTTGTTGGGTTAAAAGTTCCTAATTTTTAATAAATGAAAACAGGTACCAGGCATTTGGATCTGTCAGTAGATTATTTGGAGCCATCGCGCCCAAACTGAACACTGAGGCTCAAAAAGCAAAGGTTGGGGAAACTTTGGCTTTGAACTACTATAAATTAAAATTTATTAAAAACGTTTCAGTTGCAAAAATTCTTGACTGACAACCCGAGTGAGCCTGAAAATATCAAGGCGGCCGTTCGAGCTGCGATTGCTGTTGTTGATGAAAACATTGCCTGGTTGCAGAAAAACAAAAAGACCGTGCTGAACTTTTTTGAAGACCGAGTCGGCGGATCTGCGGGGATCGCTATTGTGTCACCTTTGCTGTTGCTGACGGCCGCTGTGGCCAGTTACTGGGTTTAGCACAGACGAAATTGTAAAATATACAAAATTACGCAGATCTTCATTAAATAATAATATAATAAAAATCATTTTTACTAAAAACATGAATTTTAAATAAATACTTTATTCTTTTTATTTATTTACAAATCTTTTAAATTTATTTCTGCTCGAACGTCTTTCTTTAACTTAATATTTGTGTGGTCTTATAAATCTTGCTGGAGTTTTAATGCCCAGCAGAGTTAAATGCCCTCGGGGTTATTATAATTATTATGCTTATAAAATTTGAAACACATCAAACTTTCAGTGCAGGAACAAAACATTGCATACCACTGCAACTTAAAATGAAAAGCATAAAAATCGGTCAACCGTAGACTTCTAAACCTCTCAAGGGATGAGTTGAGATCGATCCGTAGCCTTTTGGCAACTCCCACTCTGTGGCTTCCAAAATATTCATGTGCATTCCCTTGCCGTGCACATCGTCAATGAGTAAACTTGATTCGTTGCTCTCGTCGTTCACTAAACTTAACAGGTTTTGCATTTTTCGCATCTTCCTTCTTCTGAAGAGCAAGAAAACCAGCATCACTATAAACTGCAACGAAATAATATTAATGAAAAAAATTTAAATATTATTTTGTTTTTGCTACCATAATCAATTGAGTGCCAAGCACATAATAAGTGGCGTTTTCAAAGCCAACTTGGTCAAACAGAAATCCAGCCACAGAAGGTCCAACAAAGGCCCCCAAAGAAAAGCTTGAAGCCCAGAGGCCAGAAATGAGACCGTAGGTGCTCAAGTCATTGTTGAATCCACCTGATCTGTAAAATTAAAATTTTTTCATGGATTATTAATAATCTTAGAATCAATTAAAAAATAATGATTAATTAAATATTATTTTTAAATCGTGCCAACTTACACAGCAGATCTGATCGCGTCTATGAAACACGAGACTAGCATGAGGGCTAAGCCGGTGCCATGAATTACCAACCCTACAATCGCCAGCGTCAGAGTTCTATAAAATAAAATCATTACAAAATAATTCGATGTTTTTGAAAAAAAAACCACTTACGCTTTTATTCCAAAGAACGGTGCTGGCCCGACAAGGAGGCACCCAACAAAAACTGCCGCGCATCCTATCAGGCTCAAAAGTTTTGGAGAAACGTTCCTGTCACACAAAAAGCCTATGATTGGCGCGGAAATCGCGTACATTGCTCCGCTCAGCACAAACATCCCACTCATCCAAATTTCGGTCAGATTAAACTAAAAAACAACCAGAAGTCAAATAAATTAACAAAGTTACAACATGTTAAACAAAAATACTTAAAAAATACAAATACTATGAAGTGAATAAATATAAAATTAAAATAAATAAATAATATAAATTACTTATTACATCTAGAACAAAATAAAAATAATATTGATATCAAAGTTATTTTTATTTATCATTGTTTATCCCTCTTGGGAATGATGTAAACAAAGCAATTATTGAAAATACAAAGTTGCTGTTTTCTAAAATTTTGTTTTATATTTTATGCTAAAATCTTCCAATTATGATTTTAAAGAAAAATACCTGGCGTAAATGTGGCTCTAAAAGTGCCGAGTAAAATCCCATACTGGAAGACGCCGATACAATACACATCGAGTCAATCAAGACTGCAGGAATTTTCAGTATAGAAAAAACGCCACCTGAGAAAGATAGAAAGTTAATTTAAATTCAATTCCACGCAATAGCTCATTATTTAATCAACAATGAAGAAATATATAAATAACAATCAAAGGTCAATGTACATTTAGTGTTGGCCGAGGTCGACTCGTTGCTGTTTGGCGTCTCTTGTCCTACGTTGGCGGGCAGCACAAAGTAAATAAGGACTCCGACCAGCAGCAGGACCGAGCCCATGACCACAAAGGGCAAGACGTATCCGCCGGCCTGGTTGAGCAAATATGTTCAAAATTTTTGAAAATATTGACAAAATTGTGAATTAAGTCATCCTACCACAAACAAGAAGCCACCGATCGTCGGTCCTGCGATGTAACCGACGCCATAGAACACCTCCAGTGTGGCCTTTACAATAAATTTATAAATAAGTTTTCCAGTCAATAACTAATGAAATTGTTTTCTCACAAAAATTGTCGCGACGCAATCTGGGAAAACAGCAGCTGTGATTGCGAAGGCCGCAGTCAGGGCGGCCGAAGCGCCCAGACTCTCCACAATTCTGATTGCGAAACTCAATCCGATGAACCAGTCGTGCGACTTGAAATTGTCAAGGAGCCTGCAAAATTTAATTCAATTTTTTTACAATTTTGACAAAATTAAAAAAAAAATGTTAATTATACCCAAAAAATATGGAGCACAGGGCAGCAACGACGATTCCGCAGTTCAAAGTTCTTTTCGCTCCAGTAATTGGGAGCTGTTTAAAAAAAAATCAGTCAACAGGTTTTTAATTTTTAATGTTGCTTACAAATTGGCCAAATAAGGGACTACTCAGAAACGCAGTTAATTCAAATATTCCAAAAACCAGTCCATATTCCGTGGCAGTTCCACCTTTAGATTCAGCCTGAAAATTTAAAATTAAACAGAATTAGTTATTTCCTTTAAAAAAATTAAGCATCATTTGTGCTATTTTTTATATTTAATTGTAATAATTTCAAATAGTAAAATAGATATCAGTTTTAATAAATAAATTAAATTCTCCGTTCTCGAAAAAAAAATTTGTTCCCTCTTAAAATCATTAGAATTTTTTTAAATAAAATTTGTAAAATATTAAACATATTTCATGTTTTTTAAAATTATTTAAATTTTTGGTAAAATTTTCGTAATTCCCAAACAAAAATTTTAAAATGTTTATGGACCTCCTGAGGGTAAAAGGGCGCCTGAAGCGAGATGCAAATGGCGCTTCCAAAGTGGACGCTGCCGATGATGACGATGGTGGCCCATTGCTGCCTGGTGAACTTGGTCCTCGTCCGGTGGTCAACTGCGTCTGGAGACTCTGGAGCCATTTTTGCACAACCTTGCTGACTAGGTCATAAGGTCAAGGCACCCTGCAGGCAGAAAATGGAAAGTGAAAAAACGTCACGAGAAACTGCAACGGGAAGGAGCAAAAATAAAAAATTAATATCAGCAGCAAGTGGGGCATTTGTTAATAAAGTGACGCAAAGTAGCGGCGCCTCTGAAAGCAGATTCCGTTTTGCGGTTTTCTCTGGGCACACATGAGGTGGATCAAATCAATATATTTCACTGACTTGAAAAATGCATTTCTTGGGCACACGCCAAGCATAAAATATCAAATGACGGCCTCTTTAATGAACCTGTCAATTACATCAATGAAGATATTTAAACGCATGTGAAATTGACTTTATCCCTTATTAACTCTTATGAAGGAAGAAATAAGAAAATATTTTTAATAAAATCATAGAAAAAAAATTCAAAATAATGCATCTAATATATGCAGGAGTCGTGCATTTTTAATTATTAATTTAATAGCTTTTGCATTTTGATTCATTGTGATATTTGTGATCAATTTTTGCAGATACTTGGAAGGTGAAGTTGGCCTTCAATGATTTTTTTGCGCAACTTTCGCATTTGCGCCACCGTTACGTGACATGTCTTGATTTTGTCGCATTTGCCAATCGTTTTCACATCATACAAAAACCCGCTTGGCTTTGGTTGAATGTCTGATCTATTGAAAAGAAGTGGGGATTCCGCCTAAAAATAGAATTTGCCAAGGAGGAGCGCAGATTTTACTTTCATTGCCGCGCAGTGCTAAACGATGAATATAAATGTGCATGGTTTTTAGCAGACACTGAATAAAAACAATGCTTTGTGTTGGTTATTTTTAGCTATGACATGTCATAAAAAAACTGCGAAATTTTAGTGGGATAAACAATTGAAGTAAAGAAAAGTAAATGTAAAGATTATGATCGATTTTTAAAATTTTATAACTTTTTGGTTTGGTGTTTAGATTTAAGAGGGGAAAAGTGAATAAGACTTTTAAAATCTCACAAACATGTGGTGCAAATTAAACCCAACCATTATTTTTTTTTACTTTTTATTAGAGTTGAAATTTTTTTTAAATTGTTGACAAGCATCATATGAAATTTTTAGTTGAAATATCCCCCAGCAACTGAGAATATGCTTAAACGAGTTTTGAATGAATATAAAATTAATTGTTTTAAACTGTTAAAGAAAAACAAATTGAAAACCAGTTCTTAGAAATGAAGGTCAAAACTGAAGAAGATTAAGCTCAATTCTCTGAAACACAATTTTAATACCTGAAAAATGCTGCAAAACATGCACATATTATTTATGAATTCTTGAAATATTTGCTAAAAGGAAACTGAAAATCTTTTTATTTCTTCTAAAATTCCCAGTTTGAGTTATTTATCGATTAAGCTGTACGGAACTTTCAAACTTTCAAAAAAATTAATTCAACAATCACGTGTGTTTCTTTTCTATTATATTCTATTCTATATTCTCAACTTTCTCAAGGTTGAGTTTCAGAAATTGTTTTGCATAATTTATTTATTTATTTTGGTTCTTGGTTGTTTGGTCTGCGAGCTTGGATATTTAGTTGCAAAGGTATTTATAGCCATTCAACCTTTTCGTACACGTGAAGGCAGGGCAAATTGGCTTCGCCGTTCACGTGTACCTTGGCGAGGAAAACCAGTTTTAGGCCGAGTTGGTGAGGCGCAAACGCAGCACCGTGGCTTTTTCGTTTAAGCCAAGTGGCGTCAAAGGTAAACTCATTTTCGATAACAAGTTTCGAACGAGTTAGCCTTTTGGACGGCTGTCACTAGACGCGTTTTGGTGCAAAATTATTATCGGACGTGACGTTGTTGGCGTGAAAAACAAGTACCGAATGGTATTCCTCAAGTACAAGACTTTCAAATGAGAGGCGAAATGGAAAATTTAAATTCTTAATCCTTTTTGTCAAGCTTTTGCAATAAATTTATTTCATTTGGTGACAAAAAGTTTTTTTAATGAATATTATAATTTTTTATTTATTATATATTCTTCAGTCCCCAGAAATTAATGCTGCTTATTTTTATTTCTAGAAGTTTGCACTTTACACCGTCAAAATGTCACTTTTTACAAAACTCACACACAATATCTGCTTTCATCTCGATTGACCGAGGAGAAAAAAATAATAATAATTCTTGAAAAATAAATTTTTCATTATTTTTCTCAATTTAAATTTAAATGTTTTGAATTTTATCACTGGAATTTATATAGAAAGGCTGAAAATTATTTAATTACAATTTAATTTATTGTATTAAAAAACGATACAAAGAAAATCAAGTTTTCTCATTTAAATTTTCCATGCATTTTTTATACAAGGTGAAGTTGCCCGGCATTGAAATCTATAAGCACATTCGAGTGCAGATGCAGACTATAGGAGAACTTGTTGCAGCATCCCGCGGTGAAATCTCTCATTTTCATCTTTATTGAGCTCTCGCGTTGGAGAGAGGCTTTATTTTTTTTCTTGGTCAGAGTCACGTGCTTTTGAGATGCATTTCTCATATTGGGTCATTGCCTAGGCCGACTGCGTATATTATATGAGACGGAAATGCGTTTCTGTCTCCCACCAACTCCACCAAATATCCACGTGACATTTTATGTATATTAAAAAAGAAAAGAAAACAGAAGCACTCTTTTGAAAGTTTTGAACAATCGTATTGATTTACGAATAAAATAGAACTTCTTAATGCATTGGAAATTTCTGTAATTTGTTGAAATTATTGCAATTAACTGTGGTGCAACCTAATGTGCATAATAATTATTATTATAATCCGTTCCTTAGAAATCGCGCACATCACACCGTTTTAATCATAATTATAATGCACATTTATTCAACTTTTTCATGCACTTGTTGCAAAGAGCGGCAAACCTGTTTTCTTTTAGATTTACTGCGGCAGATTTTGCATAGCCTCTCGACAGCTTGATTTTGAAATGCAGTCGACACCACTTTGAATAATCCTTCAACTTTTCTAACCGTAAAAGTCTGGGGGGAAAAAAAGTAAAGATCAAGAAAATCCTCGCCATAAAAGTTATTTTATATATACTTTTAGTTTAAAAAACTTTCAGTTCTAGATTTATTGTTAGAATAAAATTGGTTTTCTCCTAGACTTAAGTTTTTTTATGAAACTGATTTTAAAAATAATGCCTCTCCTCATTTTCTGGTCAAGTTCTTCGAGCAATTCTTAACCTGATCATCAAATTTGTAATGTTTTTATATTTAGAAAAAAAAATACATATATATATTTCTGTTTCACTCAGTACTGCTTTTAGTTGCTTCAATAATTTCAAATTGAATGAAAATACCAAATTCCAATTTTAGGTTTGTTGCTCTTTAGAACGCCAGGGGCGGTCAAATATTAACAAGCGTCGGTCGATAAACACGTTTAGGCATTATATTCGATCTTTTTATACATCTAGTCAGGACCAGTTCTCAGTTCTCTGAGGATTTCGTACAGTGAACGCAAAAGATTCAGCCTCGAAAACGTGTTTCCCTCGCCCAGCACGATTTCCGAACGTGCCAAGTCTGCCGATGTAACACGTGCTCCGAAATTCGCCGATCAAAATATTTGCATGATTTGAATTTTGATTAAAATACCGGCCAACGCCAAAACACAAAATAGTTTCCTTTCGGTGTATAGATTTTTTAATCAAAAACAAAAAATAAAAAAGTGGCAATCCACTTATCTGCCATAAACATTTAATTACGGCCATGTCAGCACGCAATCGACACTGTTTGCGATTTGTAGCGAAAAAAGAGATCTGATTTTCTCCGGGCTGCACACGCACCCAAACCATCCACGTTGATTAGCTTTTAGCGATAACATTATATATATTAAATTTCAAGTCAAGAGCGAGGAGAGCAAAAGAACTTAAAACTTTTGATTTTATTCTTTAAAAACTAAAACTGTAAAGAATGAGGAGTGGAAAGAATCAAACTTTGTATTATGTAACACCGATGTCGGTTAAAATATTAAATGAAAGAAAAAATGATAAATAACCAAATAAGTAAATGAAAAATAAATTGGAAAAATTTCTTTAACGAAAATTTTCAAAATTAATTAAAAAAACTGTAGATCTGAAATACATGAAATTGTAATAAAAAAAATTGAAGATTGGCTTTGCACAATTTTTATTTTATTTTTTTAGTGTCACATTTTGCAATTTTCATACATTGTTGTAAAATTGAAGTTTTGAATTTAAATCATTTTTAATTAATAGAATAATAAAATTTTAAATTATGCTTATTCAAGTTGAAACAGTTAAAAATATCTTTATTATAGATGATTTTTTTTCTGCAAAAAATCAAACTCACCCCTAATTGGAAGTCTGGCAAGAGTCCTTATTGTGATTGTAAAGCTAATTGCAATCATGCGGTCTTTCTGGGAAGCATGCTGGACGATTGTGTGTCGTGCGGCGCGGGATCGAGACTGCACTCGGGCCGCGGCTTTTCGCCCGACGCCTTTCTTCGGTGCTGCAAGAAAGAGGTGGGGCTGACTCATGAGTCGTTCGTAAATAATCCACTTTTGGGCCAATTTTCTCGCTGTTTATGCCTCCGATTTCCAAATAACGCAAATGAAGAGATAAGCCACGACGGCAAACAAGGAGGAAGTCGAGGCTGTTGTTGTGAGCAAATTATGGGAAATACGTTAAATAAAAACTTTGAACATTTGCTTTCATCGAAACCAGTTTTAGCTTAACAATGTACCTCAAAATAGGACCATAATATTATTTTTCAAAATTATTTATCTTGAAATGATCTTTTGCTCTTCAAATATATTACAATAAAATGAAATAATTTTTTATTTTAAATTTAGTTATAAATATTTAATGTACAAGAGACTATCACTCTGAACGTCATGCAAGCAACAAATAGTTAATTAAAGTAAAATTAAAAGTGTTATGTACTCATACAATGAAAACATTTTTTTATTTTTGAAAATACTTTTTTCAATTGCATTAATTTAAAATTTAATCACCATAATTTTTACAGTAGAAATAAGGGAAATAAGGATGAATCTTCTCAATTTCTAAAACTGAATATTAATTAATTATCAAAGCACTAGAAATTAGACTTCCTAACTTTTTAAAAATTTGCGATGTTAGATTTTTGTAAATTTGATCAGCTTTAGCTAAAAAAAGTACATTTGCTGTTTCCTCTTCAACATTACTATAATTATAAATTAAAACTTTCACTCATTTCTTTCCGATTTAATATATCAATAGATATAAAAAAATAACACATATATGACAGTTTTTCAATCAAATAATATAAAAATATGACATTTGAAGAAATAAAACTTTCCAGTCTATTAATATTGAAAACAATTTTATTCGTTCTTCATATATAATTAGTTGATTCCGTCATTATAAGTGCAACAAAATTAACTGAAATAAAAAATAAAAAATTTCTTTTTAAATACTCGGTTTCTAGCAATCATTTTGTGCAAAATTTTATTAAAACCTATTTTAAAACAAAAGTTTACTTTCGATGAAATAATCCCAAAATAGTCTTTGAATTTTTAAAGTTTCATTTTTCTGTTTACATAACCGATTTGGCCGTAGTACTAGTCCAACAGGGTACATTTCTCCGTAAGACATTTAACCAGGTAAACTGAATGCCTCTGCTGATTTCACGTTTCACCAAACGTGATCTGGCCAATATTCCCCTCCATTGAAAAATGTGGCTGTTTCATACTTATAATTAGGGAATTTTTTAATTCGCAATTTTTTCTTTCAAAAATGTGTAACAGTTTAAAAACTACTCTCAACACAAATAGTGTGTCTGTAGCGCTGTCAGTCTAATGCCTAGTTTAGTTGAATGAGAACCATGAAGTACGTAACGACAGCTCCCAGCACCTAGAAACAAAAGTTTTAATCATTAAAAAAATAGTTCTATCTCAATTAACAATTTCATTGACTTTATTAATTAATATCAATGCATGCATTTTTTCCAAGCATTTTTATTACTAAAAATAATGAAGTTCTAGATAAATTTGGCCCATTCAAGGAAAAATTTAATTATTGGTGTTTGATTTTGTTTCAGACGTACAGAGGCAAACAAGTCGAGGGAGACGGTGAAGAATTTTGCTCCAGACACGGAGAGCGGCCTCTGGCATTGCTGACAAACTATCTGGACGAAGGTTTTCGCCTCCTCAGATCCGTTGTACCACGGGCAGCTGTAGGCAGCGTGCATCACCGATACACTCTGCGATAATATTCAAATTATTTGTTACATAACAACCAAAAATTTGTACTTTGATTTGACAAAATATCCTTGTTGAAAATTATAAAATATTCTTAAAAGATTCAGAATTATCTTAAGATTCATTTATTTTCTAATATGCAAGATATTATGGGGGAAATTTAATTTCAAAAAAATAATATTGTTCCACTTTTGGATTAATCGAATGAATCGAATAAATTTATGTTAATGAGCAGTAGCATGGAAAATAGCCAATAATTTTATAGTCAAGATCAAATGTTAAAAAATTATATAAATTGAATTTTATAATGTGCAATTTATTTATAGAAAAGGGTAAAGTGCTGAATCAACAGAATTTACCATTTTTCGATAAACTAAAAACTCATTTGCATTACCTCCTCTATGAGCCGATTGCCAAAAAGGCAGAAAAGAAAAACTTGGGCCAGAGTGTAGCACAGGTAGCCAATCACAGTGAATGCATGCAAATTAATGCCAGTTATCTGAAAATTAACATTGAGTTTTTAAAAATGCGATACTGTCAGCAAGGGAAAAAGTCATGTTGTATTGTTTGGTTTTGGGTTTCTGTTATGTAACTCGAGTTGACAGCAGCATTTCAAGTGACTAACAAGGTACCTTAGTGGCCTCATATGACAGCAAAGTGAGGGTGACGGTGCTAGTGAGCATGTGGAGGAGAAGAGCCATTCCGTACGAGTCGCCTACAGACTCGATATACCTGCAGAATAAAAAACCTTCAACCATCAAGTCAAACATTATCAAAATCTCTCAAAATAATAAAAAAAAAAAATTGTAATACTTCTATTATTGTTGATATGTTCAAATTGTTCCGAAAATTTTGCATTAAAAAAGAATTTTGCCTTTTTTTTCATTGAGTTCCAATTCAGCTCAAATAATCACATGTTGATAAAATTAGTAATATTTAACGCTTTGGAGGCAATGTTTGCCGGTCTAGTTTCCTGTTGTTGCTTTTCCCACAATGAGCATGTAAAATTCATTCATGTTCGACCCTGTTGCTGCACTAATGTTTGTGTTAGTGAATTTAGTAGCGAGCACTATGGGCGCAACAACCAAGCAAAATCAATCGCGTGCACTGAATTTTTAATTTGAAACTCGGGCTTGTGGCATTCTCATCAGAATACATTAAACATTATAATGTATATTTTGGATATTCTTGGTCGTGGTCCAAAATCCACATGATTAATATGTCATATACACGAATCAATAAAATTAAAATTTTCAGAGTTCATTTTTAATATAAATGGTCAAGTTAAAATTCAATCCTTACCGATGAAAAAAAATTAATTTCTTTCTCTCTTGGAGAAATAATTTAACTGTTGTTTTATATTTTTACATATTTATCAAAATTATAAGCTAATCCTTTTAATAAAATTGTGTATCTGTTAATTAGGTCGAAATTAATTTTTTTATCACTTAGGAATAAAATTTTGAATTTAAAATGCATTTAATTTTGCAAATTTTCTCTTACTTGAGAATATGTTTGTGCCTCTCAACCCAATATTTAATGGCCGAGCGAATGACCACCCCTCGTCTGCCAGTTTCCGAGTTGTCACCAGATGGAAATTTCATCATAAGCGAGTCCATCGTCTGACCAAACCGGACAGGTGGTGTCTCCGCCGGAACGACCCTCCTTAGTCTCTGGAAGGCCATTTTTGGGGCCGTTGCTGGCGGAACTTCGTTCGGAAAGTGAATTTTTGTGTCTGGAAAATAAATCAAGACAAGATTATTATTTCATTTTTCTTTTTGACCTCTGAAAAATTGGTTATTCGTTTAAAAATTTATATTTATAAGAGTCTTCATATGTTGGAGAATTATTTCATAATTGAAAATTATACCAAGTTCAGAGCTACCTAGATTTTCCATAAGATAGCCGTTGTCACTGGCTATTGCAGAAAGTCCGTCCGTCACACTCAGCTGCATCATGTACTGCATTGCGTCCTTGAGATGTCGAAGGTGTTCGCAGCCGTAGATTAGCCAGGAGCAGAACAGCGCATCGAGCAGATTGATTTGGCAAATGCAAAACAACAGCCAGTAAAGCTGAAGAATAGTTAATAACAAATTTTAATTAATTTTCACTGAATCAAAAATAAAACAGCAATGAACGCAAAAAAGAATTTTAATAATAAGAACAAAAAATGTCCAGAGTAAAAAAATGAGCTTCTATCATATCAAGGACCTAACAATAAGCTGTAGACCCTAAAAATTTTAATATTGTAATTTGCCTTTATTCATTTATAAATCTGTTCAAAAATATTCTGAAAAAATATGATATTCAAATTATTCATAAAATTTGCACCACTTTAATCCGATGCTAGATACAAAGAGCAATATTATATAAATAAATGCTTAAAGTATCAGAGCCATAAAGCATAATTAATATAAATAAAAAAATAACTGCATTCCAGCACTCGAGGAATAAATACTGGACCAAAAAAAAGTCCACCCCCTTTCCCGCCTTTTCCTCCCTCACTAGCCGGCTAGAAACTTCTTAATTTTGTTCTATTTTCATATAAATATACGACTAGAATCTGAAGTCAAAAGCCTAATGAAAATTAAGTTCTTAATTTACAAAATCATTCGTTTTATATTTTGTGGCTGGAGCCGGTTATTGCCGGTAGCCGGTGTATGTTTATTTGAACTGTTTTTGAATCATGGGAGTCACGAGTGGGGTGGGGGTGTCACGAGACTACAGGTGGTCGCGGATTCGGGTGAATTGCAACTGAAAGTGCGAATCTGCGGTCGCGGTCAGTGCCGAGACGAACGTTGTGTTTTGAGGACGAGAACTTTCGGAAGCTGCGTCCACGAGTGCCGGAAATCAAGTGAAGTCGCGTGTTTTGTGCTCTTTTTGAGTGGATTGTGGGATGATCTGAAGAGGGGCGTTTTTTCCAACGAAGGCGCTGGACTTTCCAAGGATGAAGGGAAGGTCTGGGCTCTGATTCGGTCCAAATTTGAGGTAAGAAAACAAGATTTAGTTTGTTTAACATTACACTTTGTAAAAATTTCAATTGCAAAATTTCCAATTTTAGCTAAATTCTATGTATTATTTACATAATTTTCCCTGCGCTGCCGAATCCCTGCCATAATTTCCTCACAAAAGTTATGTATGTATTTTTGTGGCCTTGCGTGACTTCATTTTTTTTTTTTTAATTAAATGATGAATTAAATTGAAAAACTAACATGAATTATGTCCCAGCAGGAGAAATTAATTATTAATAATTATCATCAGAGTCATCATGAACAAAATTGCAGATGGATTTTATTTCTTTAAATTTCGTCCTTCTGCGGTTTTCCGTTTTCCATCAGATCAGACATTCCAGACTCCAGAGGAGAGTGAAAACGGCATTCATATTTGCTTTCTTCCTCATCCTTGAAATTCTCCCAACAACAAAACAAAACAAAACCAAACAAAACGAATTCTGAATCCTCTCCTCCTATCTCGCCGGCCCAGTGGGGGCCAAGGACACTGGAAAGTGAGATTCCTTGAATCTGCTCTTGAGATTCAGCAGGCCTGACCGTTCGCAAGAGTGATATAAAAGGGCAGAAGTTCATTGAGGACAACAGTTGTCAATATGAAATTTTTTTATATCAAAACATTCCTCATAGTGTGCTGAACATTTCTCAATAAGGAAAAGCCGGCGCAAATGAAATGGGAAGTAATGAGAGTTGAAATAAAATTAGGCGTTTATTAACTACTTTTAATGCATACAGATGTAAAAACGCCACCTAGACGAGAGTTTCCTCTTAAAAAACCGTCACGCCACATGTAGTGTATTAATGAACTAGCATAAAAATGGGACAGTTTTATCGATTTAAGGCATTTAAGGGCGATATTTTTGGGTACTCTACAATCCTGATTGAATTTTGAATTAATTGATTTTTGCAAAACTCCCACGTGAGGGGAAATTGCACGCACACCACGAACCAGACCACCCCACAAACCGGCAACTCGGAGTTGGGCAACCCCCAAGATTAATTTTTGCAGGGAGGTGCGAGCGAAGCTCGCAAACGCACATGGGACTAGGGGCACCCCACGAACCGGCAACTCGGAGTTGGGCAACCCCCAAGATTAATTTTTGCAGAAGCCGCGAGCGAGGGGTGGAGGCGCAGCGAGGTCGAGGACGTGGGGAAGGCCGTGCGGAGGGCGAGGACAAAAGGGCGGCTGTGTTCGTGGGGGGGCTCCGCAGGAGCCCCCCCACGATCCCCGCCCTTTTGTCCCGCCCGGAGCCGGCCTTCACCACGTCCTCGGGCGAGCGCGCCTCCAGCCCGAAGCTCGCAAACCCACAACGTAGTTGCCCACAAAAGGAGTTGTCTGCAAACGGACTTGTAAGCAATAGAAACATAGATATTTGTACTTTTTATTTAAAAAAATCTGATTTAATGTACCTAGCGACCCTGAGCTGAAGTGTATCCTCTTTTTTTAGCTTCAAATTGTGCGGTAAATTATGCTGCTTTTTTGGCCGTCACCCTTAATTTTGGAAATATTTTCGTGATATCTTCACAAATCGATATTTTCGTAAAATCGTCCCTTTAAATGTGACGTCCTTGCTCTTTAATTCGTCTTTCATCCGCCAGGCATCGCACACGCAGCCTCAGTGCTGTGCATAATGGCAAATAACAATGGGAATTTTCAAATTGAATTTCACGATTTTTTTACTTTCGGAACGTTTGCGCGCACAAATTTCTTTTGGAAACTCATCACAGTTGGCCCCTTTTTCTATAGAAAATTTTCATTTCAAAATTTACAACTGTTGTCCTAGGTATCCTTGTACCTATAAAAGAATATCACACATCAGGGCTATTATTAAACAATAAGTAAATATTCTGAATAATTCTCTCTGATTGTGATCTCTGAAAATTTGAACACAAAACTATTGATATTTCTATAACGAATGAGAAATGTTATTTCAACGTAAAAAAACTGCAATGTTTTTAATAATTTCAAATAAATTATAAAAGAACGTCATTTGTTTACATATTATCATCTTTTTCCTCCAATAATTTGCTTCTTTTGCAAACGGCTCACAAATTTTAGCAATAGATTATTGAAGTTTTAATGCATCAGTTATGAGGAAAATTATTTGTAAAAAACTGTCATCGCCGTCATCTGTTGGGCACCGAGAACTATTTTAAGTTAAGAAAGGGCGAAAAAAAACAGCAAGATTTAAACAAAAAGTTGAACTTTAAAAAAAAAATCAATACTACAGCATATTCGTGTATTAATTTGTGGAATGATGACATGTTAAAGTTTTATAATTAATACCAGGAAAAATTGATAGTTGGCTAAATTTTTTTTTTAATAATAAACAAACATGGTTCTCCTTAAGAAAATGATTTTTGATTTTTGATCTGGCGTAGGAAACAAAGTCAATACTCAATCAATGGTGGAGAAATCGGCGAGCTTGCAATTTTTTTTCAGTTTGAAAGTCTATGCTTGACTTATTCATTTATTTATTTCTGATAAAGATCTTCAAAAAAAAAAGAAAATTTTTACCACAAAATTTGCTAAAAATTCGATTGGGTTTAATTTGCAAATCATACCTGGTAGCAATAGGTGACGAAGTAGGCGAAGGTGCTCTGGTAGGGGTCCCACGGGTACCACGCGTTGATCAGCAGTTTGGTGCCTTTCTGGGCCTTTTCCGTCGGCGAGTCTTGGGTCGAATTGGCGAACGTGTCGTTCAAGACCGATTCCGTCGCCGTCGGCGTGGCGGTCTCAGCGTCGCCGACGAAGGGGTGGATGGCCCAGAAGAAGACGGTGAGCGCCGTGGCGACGAGGATGGGCTGCAGGAGGCGCCGCGTCTCGGCCGCGAACGCCGCGCGGTGTTTCGCGTCCGAGGCGGCGAACAACGGGTGCGAGTGGCTCTTTTCCCACGTGCGCACCGTCGCGTAAAACTGCTTGCGCTTCACTGCGAAGTACAACGCCTGCATAATGCACACGACGAATCAATTTAATTATTTAGAATTGAAAAATTTATCTACATTTTCATTTTGAAATCACGCATATTTTATTAAATAAATAAATAACCTTCATATTTTCACCCATCTTAAGAAATGATAAAATTTCCAATTTTTTATTAATTTTTTCATACTTTTGGTTCTTGATTATCAGATGAATTGTGGAGAATTTCAATATTTTTTCACAAATTGTGCAATTTTTATAATTTTTTTATTTTTATTTTCCTATCTCACTCAGTCAGCAGGAACCTCTCTTGAGACCTCTGCGTTTTAGCAACTTATTTGCTAAGAGTGTTGGATTTTTTTTTCAATTTTCTCTTCTCATTTATTTTTTGCCTGTTTTCTGAGGAATGATCTAGGAATAAACAATTAAAATTATATAAATGATTTAAACCGGTAAAACAAATATTGTTTTTTAAACATTTTAAAATTTTTTGCTACTCTTATCTGCTCTTATAAAAAATTAACCATTAGCGTGACAATTATTTATAATTTTTTTGTATAATATGAATAAGATTTCAATGAAATTTGCATTTTTACAACTTTTTTGTGTTGGTTCCTTTCTATTCACTTCAGTATTTGAATTAATCAGAATAAATAAAAAATCAAAACCAGTAAATTAATTAATGCTTGCTTTAAATACACGGCTTTTAAAAATAATTATCGTCTTGGTAATTATACAATTATAATATTATTATATGGAATATATAATATTATCTGTTTTATGGCTGAATTATTAAATTAAAATAACAATTTTTCAATAGAATGAAAATTTTAAAAATTTTAACTTAACTTATGATGCCAAAATATCCCCAACGAACAACTTTTTTATAATTTGAATTTTGAATGTTAAAATTGAAAGTATGAAAATATTCTCCGATGAAAGTTTTGTTGAAAAAAAAAACTAGATTAATTGGCTAATTTTCCATTAAAATAATTAGGATTTGGATTTTGTGCTCACCTTTGTAATTCCGTGCAGGAAGAACAGCATTGTCAGGGTGTTGCTGATGAGGGAGACCGTGTCTCCAAATTGCATCAACAACTTGACCAAAAGGAAAATGAAGTGCGTTATTCCGAGGCTGAGGTGCACAAGCGAGTAAACTGATTTGCCGAAAATTCCACCTTTTTCGTAATCTGGTAAAAAGTGGCCCGAGAGCCGCAGTAATCGCATCAGCGGCCGCAAGTCCTCCGAAAGACTCCGCTGGGTCGTTTTTTCCGCCTTCATCTAGAAAATAATTTAGAAAAAATTTAAAATGAACCTAGTTATTATGTTAATAAATCAATTTCTGAGTACAAAATTTTAGTCTCCAGTTGAGAATCAAAATTGTTACTTAATATTTGCGACTGAAATGAAATATGTGCTCACAATTAATTTTAATTAATAAGAATTGCGTACTCACCATTTCGACGAAGAGAGGCTGACCAACTGACCAAGTCGCGTGTACATACAACCCTTTAAGCTGTGGCGATTTATTAATTCACACAAAAGTGACAAACTTCCCATGCAACACGTGAATAATTAATCGGCCCAGTTTACGGCCGCTTCTTACCTTGTGAACGCGAGGCCGTTTTCTGCTTCCTTCTGCGCATTTACCTGGAAAATTTGCATCGATTTGATACTGGAGGAAAATTGATCGACAGTTTTTAGTTTTTTCCAAGGAAAACCGCATTACCTGAGGACCTCATAATATTTAATTTAAGATTTTTATTTTCTGATATTGAAATACAGGAAAATTAATTTCAACCAATTTAAAATATTTATGTTTGGATTTTAATGAGAATTTTATTTTAATTCTTTAAACGAACTTAATAAAATACTGCACCGTTTCAACAAATATGAAAACAAACGGAATAATTTTCGTTTTTAGCCTTGACACATTAACAATTTGCAAGATCCGCGACATCTCCGCTGCTTGCTTAAGCAGCAAAAAAAATTAAGGTGAATGCCGAGCCTCGTTTACGTTTTTACAGTGAAATTTCAAGCGAAATGCGATAAAGCGATAATAAATTTTGCTAGGTTCTCTATCAAGTCACTTCATTTAAAAGGCCTGGTTTTGGGGTTCACATTCAGACATCGCCATGAAGTCGCCAGTAGCAGCTTTACTTTTGTTGTCGGCTTCTGTGAGTTGCCACCTTTTGGGATTATTTTCCTCACTAAACACTATAATTTCAGGCCTTTCTTTCAATCTCGGGTGTTAATGCTTCGCAGAAATTTACCGTGAGTGTAGCTTTTATTTCGGTTAAATTTTATTCATTAATCATGTAATTCATGTACCTTTTAGGCGCCTCAATACAGCGCCTCAACTTCTGCCAGCAACGTAAATATTCCACATTATTTATTGCAAAGTTGCTTCAATTTTCGCATATCTAATTTTAGAATCAATATGACCAAGGAAATAATGTGAACACCAACTCCTACAATACTCCGCAGTCTGACGTTTATGTAAATCAAAATTATCCGTACACAATTGAAAACCTGGTAATGAAAAAAAGTTGAATTAATTTAAAACTTAATGTGCAATCATCTCAGGTCCCTTATTCAAAAACTCAAGCGTACACCTCGGCAACCGGTGGAAGCTACAATTCAGATAGCAATAGCTACGTCCCTACATCTACGAGCTACACCGCGGCGGTCGACAGCTACACTCCTGCATCCAATAGCTACACTCCTACTTACAACAGCTACGCTCCTACGTCCAATAGCTACACTCCTACGTCCAATAGCTACACTCCTGTTTCCAATAGTTATACTTCTACGGCCAACAGCTACACTCCTGCGTCCAACAGCTACACTCCTGTGGCCAGCAGCTACACTTCTACGTACAACAGCTACGCTCCTACGTCCAATAGCTACACTCCTGTCTCCAATAGCTACACTCCTGTCTCCAATAGCTACACTCCTGTATCCAATAGCTACACTCCTGTATCCAATAGTTATACTTCTACGGCCAACAGCTACACTCCTGCTTCCAACAGCTACACTCCTGTGGCCAGCAGCTACACTCCTGTGGCCAGCAGCTACACTCCTACGTACAACAGCTACGCTCCCACGTCTAATAGCTACACTCCTGTCTCCAATAGCTACACTCCTGTATCCTATAGCTACACTCCTGCATCCAATAGCTATACTACATCTAACAGCTACACTCCTGTGTCTAATAGTTATGCTTCTACGGCCAGCAGCTACACTCCTGTCTCCAATAGCTATACTTCTACGTCTAACAGCTACATTCCTAGCAGCTATTCCGCTACCCCATGCAGTCAGTCGTACCTTGCTTATGCCCCATATGATGCTATTTATTCCGACTCTGGTGCAAACTACGCCAACGATTACATAAACACTGCGGATTACTCATCAAATAAAAAGAGCTGCGACTGCCAATGCATCTGTGCCGGAAGCAAGTATTCTAGCGGCAACTCATACTCCACACCCAATACGGGCTACAACGCGAACAACCAGTACAGCAATAACCAGTATCAAACCACTGACAACCGCTACCCCGTCAACTCCTACTCTTCCGGAAGTACTAATTATGCAGGACCAAACTACTTCACCTATTCGTCTAGTGGTGGAAGCTACCCTGCGAAAAATTCCTATCAGAACACTTACCAAAGCCAAGCATACGCTCCTTCCTACAGTGTCAACACAGCTACTTACAGGTATTGTTTTAATTGCTATAATTCATATTAAACATTTATTATCTTAGTAGATAGAACTTCCTTTTTTATCTTGTATGTTGCAAATGGGGCGCATTGCATTGAGAAATAACATTTTCTTAACGTCTCATAATTAAATGAAATTTGATTAATACAATGATATAGGAATTTGGTAACTAATTTTCATTTTTAATGGGAGTCAAGAAAATCCAAGGCAATTAATTTTTTTCCCTCGCAACAATCCTTAAAAAAAAAAATTGAAGTCACATTTTTGAATATCACTCTTTTTAATTGATTTGTTTAAATATCTTATGTCTTTCTCGGAGATAATTTTTTTTTAACATTTTCTAGTGTTCCCTACTCTGCCTCCAGCTACACCAGTCCATCCTATTCTGGAAGCAACTCTTACCCCCGGACAAGTAGCTATAGTGCAGGATATTCATACGGCTCAAATCAAGGGAAAACGTACCCCAGTGGTTCATCCTACACCCAGAGTGGAAATTCATATCAGCAAGCCACTTATCCCAACAACAAAGGAAGTAGCTACACCAAACCCTCATATTCTGTGACCTATACTAGTCCTTCAACATCATATGTCGCCCCAGCGTACAGTGGAAGCTCTTACAACCTTCAAGGCAGCTACTCCACCAGTCAGGCACCAAAATACCAGGGTAGTTCATACTCAAAAACCCAGTCGTATGGCCAGAATACCTACAATCAGGGTCAAGCCACTGCTTACAACGGACCATATGCCAAAAAGGGCTACACACCCTCCAAGCAGACTTACAAAAAGAGGAAGGCGGAGGTGCCGGAAGAGCCGGAGGTGATCGCCAAAGTCGATGAGAAGCCAGTGGAAAGCACTTCGTAATCTCGCAATTTGATTAATTGATTTAATCAATTATTTCTGAGGTAATAAATTAATATTTGTGGATACTTATCCCTGAAAATTGTATTAAATGAATTCAATAAAAATAAATAACATTAAATTGGATCTGCTGTCTTTTCTATGATAACGTTTTCACATGAATATAAACAAAATAGATACATTCAAAGGATGCTGAGCTTATGTTTTCTAGATGCCATATTGGCCTTTTTAATGAACTTAGTCGTGGCTAAAAAAAATAATAATAAAATAAATAAAAGGAGTTAAAAAAATCTAATTTATTTTTGCAGTGTTGTAAGACGGTAACAATAATAGAAAGCAAATATATAAATTCAACTGTGTGTGTTTGGTTCACAATTGAAAATATGAAAATAATTTTAAAATAATTACATATATTTTCGCAGCAACATTTTCAATTTTTAAGACGTTTTTATATCGTTGTTTTTAAACTGGTAGAAAAATACATAAAATTTAACTAATAAACGAGGAAAAGTTCTTGCTGAGTTGTTCATCTGAAGGTTAGATAATTAGGATTTCTGGAGCATAAAGCTGGCATCGCATCTAGAGTTGCCACAGTTGAGCCATTTCTCTACACACGATGTCTTCACAAGTGCTTAGAACTTTAATTACATTCTTCTGTGTAAGTAGAATTCATAACAGATGTGTTATCTAAAATTTAACAAATTTAACACGTTGCAGGTAAGCATGGTATCGTGCACAATTCCTATTTGCCCTCTACATCACTTGAAAGCGAAATTGCGGCACCAGGCACTAGCCTCAAAACTCGCCCTGCATAAAAAGCCGCTGCTGAAACCGACACTCTTGCACCCAATCAAGCCGCCAATCAAACCTCTTGGCCACGCGGTCATACCAAAATTGCTGGTGGGCGCACGTCTCTTGCCTGTAGCCAATTTTGTCAAAAATTTGGCCACCTTAGTCGATCCTTTGCACCTGAGCAAAATCCCAGTGTCCGCCAGGGCAAAGAAGCCCACCCTTCTAGGGCCCTTGAAAAAACCAGCTGCCATCGGAGCTTCATTGAGGCAGTTTAATCGAGTGAAGGACAATTCTCGTTCTTTTTCCAAAGAAAGGGTTGATGGGGACTCATCCCTTTCAGACTGTATGTATGTGTGAAAATTTTGTTCGAACTGAATTTTATTCTCGTTTATTTTTCAAAACTTAAGCTCGCAGTCACTGGGTTCATACGCTGAGAGAAAATATTCCGCCTGCCGACCGCGCAAGACACATATCAAGAAGTTTAATGTCCAGAGCGTTCAGATCGTTCATTAACCACGACGAACACACCCTCGAAAACCTGGCCCCCGTAATGCAGCCGCTGCACCACTTCCTCAGCACGGCCGGCAGCCTGATTTTACCTCACCCCGAGGAGGACATTGGCCACCCTGTCGAGCCGTTACTCATTCATAGCTGGCCAAACGTTCCTCCCTTGCACTGAAAAATAATTCATTGATATTAACAAATAAAATTAGTAACATTTTAAAGAGAAATTTTTGAATCTTTCCAAAGAAAAATTTACGAATGCACCTTTTAATTACCATTATAGTATCATTTTCGATACTTGAAAGGCAGATGTTATGCACCATGCCAGACATGCAAGTAATGCAGGTTGCATACATTTTCTTCATATTATCTGTATATTTTCTCCATATTATTCTGCAGGCTTAAAAATTAGACGAATATGAAAGAAATATTTCCTGTTTTATTTTCCTAAAAATTTAAATTTAAAAAAGGTATAAATGAAAATTTACGACTTGATTTTTTTTTTATCAAAAGCTAAATATAAAATTCTATATTTTATTTTGTAACATCAAATAAAATCTTATTTGAGAACGTCTTTGTGATTTCTTCCCTCCAATTTTCGTTGGTTTACTTAAAATTCATTTGCAATGTTTTGAATATTTTTTTATCTCCATTTTGATAGAGATTCCCTTGTTTTACTCCAATTAACATTATTTGAATCTAATTTTTTATTATTACTGTTGCTTATTTGTCCAAATTGTTACATCACATTGTTTACATACAATGTTTGTTAAACGACGTACTCGTACTTAAACATTTTTATGTTTATAATATGTATATTTTGCATTGTTCCTTCTACTCTCAACAACATATTAAATTATTGTCTTTTAGTTAATTAAGCAAAATCAGCAAATTAATTAAGTTTATTTGTGTACCACAAGGCTCTCTCTGCCTATAACAAGATACATCATCCAAATATTAAAAATTAAAACTAAAAATACAAAATAAATTGATCTAGATAAAAGTACAAAAACATCTTCTTGAAAAACTTTTCAGAACAAAATAATGCATGTAAAATTTACTCATTGTTTTAGAAAATAAAAAAATTTGATATCAAAATTTCCCTTGATCTGAACCCAATAAAAAAACATTTGCAACTAAATTTGATTACCTAATTTTTACTATTACTTTAACTCTTTAATCACAGTTTCTTATTTTATATTAATTATAATCAAAACCAGGGATACTGAGTGGAAATTCATTTAATTTGACGAAATATCTTTCAAAACAAAATTTAATAATGCAACATAAGTCTAGCACAAGTTTTTACCTATCTGCACGAAAAACTTTGATAAGAAACCAAAATTAAATAATTTCAAACTTCCATTTAACGTGCAATTGCTGAGTATATTACATTTTACCTGCTAAAAAGTGGAGCACAACAGACCTTGACCTGTTGCACTAGGTGCAAAAACGCTTAATAATCTAATCTTGAATATGCGGCAGTATCCTGTCAGGTCGACCGTAACTATAAAATTTGCTTCCGGATTAACGGTTACTGCAGTCATGTTGATCCACCTTGCCCTGGCAGCTGTTCTCTCGGCAACGGCGGTTTTTGCCGCCGACAAGCGGTCCTCTTCTCAGGCAGCTTCCTATGTTGCGACACCCTTGCAAAACTACCCGCAACCTCTTATCCAGCAGACCAACGAAGTGCCCACCTACTCTGACCAAGTTAATCAAATCAGCTACCCTTCAGAGCCACAACCGTCTTTGTATCCTGCCGTAATGTACCAGACTGTGAACCCATCCGAAGGATATCAAGGTGAACAACAGAACAACGAGCAATACGCTTCTCCACCAGTTTATCCTGAGCAAAGGCCAACCAACTTAATCTACTCAGCACCACCGAGTCAGCCTTCATCTTACCAATATCAACCCTCAAGTAAATGCACCATTTGCCAGCCGAGGTTCATCAGTATCTGCCCCTTAAGATGCGTTCCAACTTACCCAATACAGAACTATCAACCACCTCAATATTCTCCGGTTAAAACCTACACGATCAACTTGCCGGATTACAAGGAGGCAAACTACCCTGAGCAGGCTTATGATCCTCCCAATTCGTACCAAAATCAACCGTACAACAATCCTCCAGGTTACAATTCCGTCAGTCCTTCTTATCCTAGCGGCAATTCTGGAGGATCCTATGCAAATCGTCCCTCCAACAGCTATGCAAGCCCAGGAAAATATAAAAGTAATAACGATGATAAGGGAGAAAAATCTTATGATACAACAACTTACCGTAAACCAGTCGTAAGCATTATAATTTAATCAATATAAGAATAATCTAAAATTATTTAATTACAGACTACCATCAAGAAGTATTCAGACAGGCCACTATTGATCAAAAGCAAACCCATTGGGTAATTTTTTTGAGTTTTAAAACTTTATATATTGGTTGTTGATTTAGATTTTTTTTTTAATTTCCCTTTTATGAAAATAAAATTTACAGATATGTGCGGACTGAAACAAAAGGACCAAAACCTGTCGCCTTTGTGAGGGTAGATAGTAGCCTTGGCACACCAGTTCAGATGCTCAGGAACAGAGATAGGGATGGAAATAGACGAAGAAACGACGACGACGATGATGATGACGACGATGAAAGTGGCAGAAATGGCGATCGAAACAATGACGACGACGATAATGACAGCAATGGCAGAAACAGGGATGAAAATGAAAGGGACCGAAATGACAGAAACAGAGATGAAAATGAAAGAGACTGAAATGACAGAGACAGATATGATAGAAATCGGGACGAAAATGACAGAAACGGAGAAGAAAGAGGGTTGCGATTACTTTGATTAGAGCTTGAACTTTGCTTCGAAAGCAAACTTGCACTTTTCTCGCCGTCCCAGTGTCATAATTTCTGAGCCGACTTGTAAATATATATTTTATATTTTGCATTAAATAAACGCAGACAGTTATTTTAACTTGATGTTAATTTAAAATCTAAAAAATGTTTCATTAAAAAAAGAAAACAGGATATTATGCCGTTGTTATTTCAAGTGTGTTTTTGTGACCTTTTAACTACCTAGCGTCTTTCACAAATGCAGATTGGCAGTTTTAAAAAAAGTGCTTGCGATTGAAATTTCTGTCGTCAGGTTCTTGGGGAATAAATTTACAGTCGAGTTTCGCAACTGAAGCGTGTCACATCGGAAATTCGCTAAATCTTTACAACTTTACAAAAGTTTTGAAAGTTTTTCATAAAGGAATGAGGATTTTTCTGGTTGCAGCTGTTGTTCTCGCCGGCTTTTTAATAGAGGTATTTTTTTTTATTCAAATTAATTATAAATTCAGTAAAAGCCAAAATATTGAAATATAAATTTTTAATATATGTGAAAGTTTTGACTTCAAAGTGACTCTTTTTTTCAAATCGGATAAAATTCCATTTTGTTGAGTACAAAAATCTTTTTTTTACCTTCCGAACGTTATTGTTCCATTACGTGGACGTAAAACTAAATTGACGAGCGCATAATAAAAATTAATCACTTAATCGTAATATGCAATTATGTATGAATGAAAGAGGTACAAATGCGATGCTTTGATAGAAACATAATTTTGATTTAAAAATTTTAGGAAGTTCTCTGCTCTCCTGCTTTGAGGAGGGATGATCGAGGCATTTGGTCCGAGGAAGAGAGAAATTACAATGATGGGTCTCCTAGACAGAAGATTTATGATTTTTTGATTAATTTGATCGAGATGCTTCGAGATATGTGGTCCAAGCGTGCATTTGAAAAGAGGGGAATTCGCTGGCGACATTAGGATAAAAATTAAAGCGGGAGCACTTTGTGTAAATCATTGTACAATAAATTAATAATATAAAAAAATCTTTTGATATTCATTTATACATCGCACGTGCACAGTCTGGCCTACTGACAGTTTGAACGTTGGTCACTCGGAAAATGAGAGCAAAGTGATAATTAATCTTTACAGATTTCATTCAGTCGAGCATTGTACGTTTAAAGAGAAAAATTAAATATTGTTGTGATATTAACGTATCAGTAATAATAGTAATGACCCAGATAAAAGAAAAAGTCCATGAAAGAAGTGGTTGAGATTGAAAATATAAACTGTTCATAATTGTTATTACTAAAACAACCAATTTGCAAAGTGGGTAGCGCTGTACAACACTGCATCTGCCATACGGCGTAAATGAAAATGAGGATTATTTCAAATTACTTTTCTCCATAGATAAAAAAAATTTAAAAATGCTTCTACTAGGAATTTCTGCTAAAACGCCCAATGTTAAAAAAGACTGGGTGAACCCACAATAACGAAAAAAAAAATTCTGCCATAAATGCTACTTACAAAGGGAGGGAAAAATATTAAAAAATTTATTTTTATTACGAAATAACATTTCTATATTTAAATAGCAAAGTTCCAACGAAAAGTTGACGAAAGTTGTTTGGGAACTGGTCAGCGAAAATTTAAATCCGGCAATGTGTCTGTGTTTCTTAGGGTCATCGTCCAGAAGGTCAATGCCGCCGATCTCTATTTTTCTTTTATCGCCCCTCAAGCGGTCAGAATGCATTCTTCATTCAGAGCTAATTGTCTCCCCCGGCAGCGTATCATTGATAATAACGTTGCTGTGACCCCTGACCCCACGCGCTCGTATATTAAGCAGCACTTGCACTCTCGCAGACATCATTCACCATGAGGACCGTCGTCGTGCTCGCCGCTCTCATTGCCCTCTCCCAGGTCAGCTTGCACGTCTATTTTTAAAAATCTCTGCCAAAACTTTGGACTTCTGGCAGACAAGAAGGATTTGCAAAAGTTATTCTCAAGTGTTATTTTTCGCAGGCCTCCGTCGTAAGACGTGAAACCAAAGAATTCCCTTCTTTGGAGGAGTTGGTTAAGAGCGCCCAGGAAAATGTGAAAACCTTCACCGATCAGGTCGCCTCACTTTTCACCCCCGGCGAGGAGCAGAAGCAGACTTTGGCAAAGGTAGTTTTTTTTTTAATTAAACTGAAATTTTCTCAATTTCTGAATTAAACGTTTTTGAAATCAAAATAAGAAAAAAAATTAGGCAAAATCAGATTTTTTTACTAAAAATTGAACTAAAATGTTTATACATATCAGAAAAGTAATAAATAGTGAAAATTAATTTGCTTCGTTTTATTATTTTAAGAAATTAAACCTGAAAATTAAATTAATTGCGGTTTTTTTTAAATGTATAATTAATTCCGCGTCATTTTAATTAGGTTGGCGAGACTCTGAGCAACCAGACCGCCCTTTTCACCCAGAACCTGCAAACTCTTGTGGACAACCTGAGCAACGCTGCCAAGGACAACCAGGGTCTGCAGGAGGCCGCCAGCCGCCTGAACACCACCCTGCGCGGCCTTGTCGGTGAGCAGAACGCCCAGGAGGCCGAGCAGGCCACCGCCGAGCTCTCCACCAAGGTGCAGTCGGCCGTGTCCACCGTGGTCGAGGAGGCCTCCAAGATCGCCAAGAACGTTGATACCGAGACGGCTCCCATCAGGGCCGAGGTGCAGCAGGCCACCAAGCAGGCCGTCGACCAGGCCGTCGAACTGGCCAAATACTTGCAGCAGCAGTTCCAGGCCGCCATCTCTGGAAGCACCCCTGCGCCCACTTCGTAATTGGAGATGTTTTTGTATTTAAAGAGAAAATAAATTTGAAATGACAAAGCTGAGCCTTTTATTTTTTTATTTTTCCTGCTATAATTTGAAAAAAAATAAATTATTCAAAAATTAAATTACGTCAAACGAAGAACGAGGAAAAATTTGTTATTAATTTCAATTGAGGAAAAACAGATTTAAGTTGCTTCACGGATTATGATTAAATATCACATGTCCTCTGCGTGAATCCCAGTGAGATAAGAGCTTAATATTTTGAGGCCATCTAAGGTCACGGGCACTGTGAATTTGACATTGTAGCCAAGTGCGTCTCCTTTGCTGACATAATTTTTTGCAGCGTATCAAATTATTAAAACTTCAAGAGCCACTCGTTAATTATTAATTTTATTTCTTTTGTTCTGTTTCAGGTAAGATGCGTTTAACCTTTCTGGGATGTTAATTGAACCGTGAGTGAAATTAATTATCATTACTACTGTTTATTTTTTATTTTTAATAATATTTTAACTTATCCTTTACTTTTGCATTTAAATATCCTAGAAAATCACTGCTGCTTTGATGTTATTCGTGAAGCCGATTGCCTACCTAATAATATTAATTTGATTAATACTTTCATGGCAAAATGAAATATTTTTTAAAGTTTACTTTTTCCAAATAATATTCTGATAAGTGCCATGCTCGGTGCTTCCACAACCACATGCAACAGGATGGCCAATGGAAACGTCAAAATTGCAACACTAAAATAGTCATAAACCTAGGAAGTAGAAAGCAATGTTAATTTATAATTTTTATTCTCTCAAATTTACTCACCGTTTCAAAGTTTGAAAAATATCTGTAGGTTCGTTGAATCGCGGTGTGAAAAACTATTATGTCTAGGTGAATCAAAAAAGCACAATAACTTAACTTGCTGAGCGGCAGGAAATATTTCCATGAAAGAATTGAATTAATAGGCCCTAAAAAAAGAATAAAAATAAACTCATTTTGTTCATTTTTAAAAGATCAGGATATTTTTGTGTTTTGAATATATTTTTTTAAACATTAAAATATATAAGAACCACCTCCATAATTATTAACGCATGCCCAAATGACCCATCCGATTCCAACCGACCAGGCAAGTCTGTGAAACGTCGCATAAAAAGCAGCGCCGAGCTTGTCGTAGCTCTCGTTGTATGGAATCGTGATTACGTAAACAACCGTCAAGCAAAGGACTGTGTTGAGCAGCCAGCCCAATACGACGCCCCATTTTGGAATTTTCACTTCGATTTTCTTGGACAGAATGAATCCTAAAAACATTCCGAACAAGAAAGACACCGCGCGGGCCAAAGTGTTGTTGTAAATTAGGTCGTTGAAATCGCCTGTAGACTCCCGCCTGTAATAAAAAAAAAAATATTGAAAAACAATCTTAATCATATTTAATTTTTGATTAATATACTGGACATAAAAAACGATCGTCCAGCTGAGACTATAGATGTAAGTGAGAGCAAAGGTCAATCCCATGGATGCCAAAATCAAAAGCCATATTAGACCAATGCCATATTTTGGCCACTTCAGGAGTGGGATTATCACGAAAGGAGCGAGAAGTGCCATTTGCATGTCAACCATTAGGTACCAAGTTTGGCCTACACACTGTTTTCAATCATTCAGCCGAATCATTTTTAATTTATTTTTAAAATACCAAAGTGGATCCTGATTCGTAATAATTTGCAATGTAAAGTAGGTTTGTCCACCAGTATTGGGCGCATTTGTCTGTTTTCGCTTTCAAAGAAAAGTCCCAAAGAGGGCCGTCGCTGGTGCTGTAATGGACCGTTGCGAAGTACCAGATTAAAACGGCCAAAGGAATTGTCAACCTAAAAAATTTCGTTTAAAAAGTACAGATTTATTTCAAATTTTATTTTGCCTCAGGTATCTGTACACTATATATTTGAAAACATTAAAATTTCTTCCTTTCATTTGATCTACGAGGGGAATGTAGGTCGTCAAAAGTCCACTGAGAACAAAAAATGTCTCAACAGAAAGGCCACCGCTCAATACAGGTGCCATGCTCCAATTCCCTAACTTTGAAAAATAAATTTAATCTAATACATTTTATTAATAAATAACGCTTTACATTTTGGCTGGCCGTACGAGCATTTACTGTTAGTAAATTGGAGTAGGTGTGAAGTAAAATCACCCAAAGCGTGCTGATCACTCGAATTCCGTGCAAACAATTTAGTTGCCCGGCCGGGGGTGCTTTTTGTATTTTAAAAAGATCGGTCAAATTGTGTTTCAGCGAAAAACTTGTAAATGCGGGGTGCAAATCTTTTGTAGAAAAGTGATCGAAGGCTGTCAGCACCAACTCAATACAGAAAATAGCTGCAAGAATTCCTCTGAAAATAAATTTAAAAAACAAAAACAATTAACGACAACAGAAGTGTTTTGAAGATATTTTTCTTTTTCTTTTTTACATGAATATCCATCCGCCAGCCTGAATTGTCCGTGATTTATCACCCTCATAATAGCACGACTCTTCTGCCACGAGGGATGAAAATTGAAAATTTGATATGAAGGTTAGATACTTTAAATTTATGTCTGCAACTATTTCGACGCCTTCCGAATTACAGCTTGATGGGGCGCAGACTGTCCATTGCCCCATAACTACTGAAGTATTTTCAGGCAGAATCGGCGACTTCTGAAATTTGCGTTTAATTTAAAAAATACAATTATTAAACGTACTGTTTGCCGCGCTTCCAATGTGATGTGTGCGGGCTGGACATCTTTCGTACTCAAAATTAAATGTCCAAGCGGCCCTTGCTCTTCTTTTTTGTCATCGGGCACCATGAACACGTTAAATCTACAGTATTTTCCTCTGAAGTGATCATTTTCAGCTGGAGCTTGGACTGCCAGGCACTCGTCGTAGTTGCCCAATTGAAACGTGAATGTCAGTTCGGATATCCCGTCCGGCGGAAATTTTGATGACGCATCAAACACTTCAAATAAAAATAATAATTGGTATTTTACAAAAATTAAAATCGATCATACTTTCAACGGCCCAGGACTTTGGCTCTGATGGTGCGAGCCCCTCAAAATACGACCGAATGTCTCTCAAACATTTTTCTGAAGGTGCTGTCCAAGCACTACGGACAGCAATCGAAACCAAAACACCAAATGCCAAAACGGTGCTAGTTTTTGAGCTCATCATGGTCATTTATTTTTGAAATTAAAAACGTAGTTTTTATAAGCAGAAGATTTTTAATGCTTTGATTGCATATTAATCTAATCAATTCTTACATGATTTTTGGTAAAGATCTAACACGCCGCTGGTTATTAATTGATACTAATAATCGGCAGTTCACAAGATATCATCTGTTTAGAGCAAACAAAAGCTATAGCGTTTTTTTAAACATGATTAAATGATTTATTAAATCAATCTTCAAATTTACTTGCAAGTGCCAGGTTTTCATTTATAAAAACCAAAATCAGGTATATATGCAACAATGTGATCAAGTTTCCATTGTTGCATCGAACTTCCGTCGATATTTAATTTTTTGTTGTTCATTACTCATATACTCACAGAAAATGAAAGGTTAAGTTTATGAAAACTACAAAAAATTGCAGCTATTTTTAATATTAATTTTACGATTAACGTGGAAATTAATTTTTTTTCAGGCCCCAAAAATTCTTTGAATAAGGGGAAAAGGTTAAATTAAATTTAATATTTTTACTACAGTAATTTTTCTTTATTAAAAAAATTGTGCATCACAAATACGATACTTTTTTTATTTTAATAATAATTAAAATGAATTGCATGCACAGACTGTTAAACTAAATTTCATGCAAATGCCATCTTGTTTGTGTAAATCTTCAGTACAATATATTGCTTGAAGAATGCGCCCTCAAATCATCAGGAGCAGTTTGTTTTGTACTCATTTTTTTTTTGATCGGTAAAATCACGTTTCCGTCTTTTTTTTTCAAACCAAATCTTAAGGATATTTGGAACTTTTTTATTTTTTACTATTAGAGTTTAGAGGATATGCTCGTCATCTTGAGCGGTGTGATAAATAGCAGCAGCTCATAAAGAGTGCCGGAAAAATGTTTCCGTTTGTTTTCATTTTAGTTTTAATATTTTTATAACATTTAATTAAAATCAGTTTTTTTTAAATGTAATTAAATTATATAGGATTTTTAATCATTTTCAATATTTGTTGAAGGTACAAGATTTTATTTTATAATACATGTCACATAACAGTGTTCATATCTACAGTACAACTAACTTTTAATATTTTTGCGCATTAAGATTAAACAGATATTTAAAATTTAAATTCAAATCACCAAGATATTTAATTGATATAAAAAAGTAGATTATTAATGCACGCTTACTAGTTAACAATGCTAAACAGCATGCTCTGTGAGTTATCAACAGTTGTAATTTGCATTTTAATTTTTGTAATTGTTCAAAGCAATAAAAGACAGTCATAGTTATGATTTAAGGACATACCTCAAAGTGAAAGTTATAATTAAAATGAAAATTTTTTAAATTTAAAATATTTTATTTGCATATTAATAAATGTAACATCACTTTAGAGCGCAGAAATATTTTTTTCAGGCGCTGATCAGATAAGAAATTAAATTTTATCTCTTCAACTATGTATTTTTTCTTGTTGCGCAAAATATTTTAATTTTTAGCAACAAAAAAAAGAATAAAAATAAATCGAATAAATTTTACTATGTACAAACTGTTAATTTATCTTGCTCTTAAATCTCCAGTGCGATATGTTGCTTGAACGATGCCCACAAGTCGTCAAATTTAGTTTTTTCACCTCCAATATGATCAATAAAGTGATTAGTCATAATTCTGCACGCTTCCTTCATTTTTTCAAACGAAGCCTCTGCAATTCTGATTTTTGGCCCCTCCGCTCCAAAGTCCTCGGTTTGCAGTGCGTTGAAGGCCAAGTACTTGGCCAAAGTTTCGCTAACAACTATGACCTTATCGTTTTGAATTGAGAAAATCCCTGTATTGTTGATTTGAGCGATTTGATCATCTTTAAGCAAATTTTTCTGTGCGAAATTATTTGAAAAATAAAACAAAGCGCACAACTGGAGGCATTTCATGTAGTCCTCAAAGACAAGGTCGTAGTTGTTGTTATTCTCTTTGATTATGCCCAACCAATGTCCCTGCAATATTTCATCAATTCTTTTTCCCAAGAACTTCTCGCAGAACAGAAACAGATTCTTGTCTTCTTCTATTTCTTCTTCAACGTTTGCAGCAATTTTGCGCATGAGCCATGGTGACTGCAATAAATCTTCTGCCTCCCATAACTGAAATTTAGTCCTTTGAATAGTGAATTTTTCGTCATTCATTAGGCAGTGCTTAAAAAAAACATCATGCTCTTCTTCGGTCCATTGTTTGATTTCCAAGCTGTTGATAGCGTTGGCCGGCAACTTACTCTTGACGAAATCATTTGTATGTGGCCTGGTGCCAATCCACACGGAAAAGCCTTCATTGAGTAAGCAAGGTACTAGTTTCATGAAGTTTTCTTTCAGTTTTGGCTCCGCTGCGTCAAAATCATCTAGGATTATGATCTCGTTTTGACCGACTTTACGCAAAATGTGGTTATGCATGAGATAATTCTCTGCGAATTTTTTGGCGCACGTATATGATGTTTTTTTGTTCCGCAAATACAAATAGTCTTCAAAGAAGTTGAGGAGAATCGTTGATCTGGTGACTTTTGCACGATTTTCAAGATAATCAATCAAGTGTGATTTGCCTCTTTCTGGCAATGAGTGAATCAGCCAAAATGACGGAGTCGTGTCTTGGAAATTCATTTTTTCAACAAGGCCTTCCAGAGTGTTGATTGTTTCGTTTTTGCCATTATTCCTCTGTATATAAAAATTTGACATGATCGGCTTTGGATATTGAATTTTAAATAGCAGAGGACCTGTGCTGATTAACTGTGGATTTAAAGTTTCTGAAGAATCACCAGAATTGGCCTTTTGTAAGATGTCATAAAATAGCTGTTGATAGGTTGAATCTCGTTGCACAGACAATTTGTCCATTTCGTCAATGAAGAAAGTTGCCGAGTCTGAAATTGATGTATTTAGTAGAATCTTAGGTATGAAATTCTCGATTTTTTTATTTCTACATTAGAAAAATTATCTTGAAAAAAAAGGAAAACATCTATTTTTTCTGTCTGTTTCAGCAATTAAAGTTGATTAAAATTTTGGATTCTAGGACTTCTTTTCTGAGTCATTACTTCTGCTCCCTCTAATTATACATAGAACTCTTATTTTGAATACACACCTATTTGTGGCAAAATCAGAATTAAAAAGCCGCTGTGCATAGTTCCACTCCTTCGTTTTCTGGTGGAAGGCTGAAATGAAATTAATTTCGTGTAGTCAAAAGATAGCATGGCAATTTCAAAATTCACGCACATCGATGGCATAACAAACTTCAATTTGACTTTTTTCCATTTGAACGGCAGTGCCTTCGTGCAAAAACACGCACAACTTCGGCTTTCCAACATAATTTTTCGTCGTCGCGGGTATCAAGTTGTACAGAATCTCCTTAATGGGGACAGCTACAGTGTTACCCTGTTCAGTCCTCATGGAGGCAAAAATCTCTCTCTGTTTTTTTTTATCATTTCCTGCATCGCCATCGCTTTCAGAATCCACTGAGAGCCTTGTCTTTATGCAAATAATAACTGCAGCACTTGTATTTTCTGTTTGCACTAAAATTTGAACAAATATTATTACTAAATCAATTATAAAAATAAATTATAAATTCAGCTTTTTACTTAATGTGTTTTTCATTAATCTTTTTATTGTTTGATAGGAAAAGCGGAAAAGCAGACGATCAAATGAATTAAAAAGATTATCAAGGAAGAATATATTAAATTGAATTCATGATTAATTAACACCGGGTTATTCTAATTTCTATTTAAATTTCTTAAGCAATATTTCTATCTATGAAAATCAAACCTTACTTGCAACTTCAAGATCCTTTTTGGATTTGCAGGGATTGATGTCGAATGCGAGTTTCTTTTTGAAAACTTTTTGAAGTTTATCACAGTCGCTTCCACATGTGCTTAAGCAATTGCAGTAATACTGAACGCATCCTCCTTTTAAAGGAGCTCCAGTGACAGAGGTAAAGTTATACATAAAGCTTTCATAGGCGTCATTATTATGCACTTCTTCGCACCTGCATAAAATTAAACATCATTAATGCAAAAAAATATCTGGGAATTATTAATTTATGTTTCTTTTCTTATTTATTTTAATTGAAATATTTCTTGTCTTCTACAAATTTTGAAACGCAATTTCAACAGTACCAAATAATAATGAAATATCTATTGTTCATGGAGAATTAAACGTTGTCATAACCGCAAGTTTAGTTCTCAGTTATCAAATGTTCTCTTATCTTCTATAACATAATTAATTGCATTGAGCGTTTAAATTTTTTTTCATTGTTTGTGCTTTTTCCTAATTGGAAGCTTAAAAATATAATCTATACAGGTTATGTAACATAAAAAAAAATACAAAATCACTGTAATATGATAATTACCTAGATATTTTCAGCTTTGAGTAATCTGGATGCTTAAAAATTTTGGCTTCCATGGTAATTCCTACACCAACCGTTTTATTTAGATCTTCAGCGTATTTGTGCATTCTGGTTAAGAAAGCAGGCAAATCCACGTCACAATCAAGTTCGTTTATGCATTTTGTAAACGCTTGAACCAAATATGTACCGTCAAGATTTCTCACGCCAAAACAAGCTGCGCACAAAGAATATTGATTTATATTATGTTTATTGTTTTATGAGGTGACAAATAAAAATCTTGCGTTCAACCTACTTTCGACACAAGCAAAAACTATGATCCAGTTGAAGGTGTTTGGACCAGGCGTCAACCTCACAGCATTTTTGTTCTCAGGGTTATCTTTTGTAACTATTTTTGTACTTAGCCGCTCCATGTCTTTTGTTTGTATCATTTTAGTATCTAGAACTACTTCCGATTGCACGTCCATAATGTTTCCTCGGCAGGCCTGTAATTTTGTGGATTTAACGAATGAATTTATAAGGAAAACTCCATAAAAAGTTAATCCACGTCAGATTTTACACTAAATAAGTACTTACCACCACAAACAAAAGCTTTAATTTGTTTACAAATAGGGGTTCCTTCCAAATTTCCGACACATTGAAATTTTCGAATTCATCTCTATTATCTTTGTAGTGTGTTGTGAGCTCTCCGTCAGGATATCCGTGAGTCATAATGAATACAATGAAAAGATTCGGTTCTGCAAATGATCGATTTTAATTACAATTTAAGCAATTAATTTCATGCAAACCCTGATTATCGTCAAACAATTTCTTCATTTCGCCTTCATTACTGAAATAGCGAAGGAGGTCCTCTTTATTTGGACTTTCGACCCTGTACGTGCAATTACGATTTTGAAATACGCTTTTCAAGTTTTCTACATCAGCCCAATCGCCTTGTGATCTATCGCCACTTGTTCCTTCAAACCCATAATGCAAAATCAAGGCCCATGTCCTATTGGATATATTAATTAATTAATTTTTCTTAAAATATAACAAGAAATTTATAAATCTACTTCAAAACACTGTCTCCGTCTTCATTTTTTAAGAAGCAAAAATTTTGCTGAGCACCAGATGGAGCTAAACCTGGGATTTGTTGTTTATTTTGAACTACACCTGGACCAGGGGTAGTCTTTTCTTTTGAGTTAGCGTCATCTTTTGCCCCTTTTTTCACTTCACCGAGGCCGTCAACATTGACCCTCTCCATTAGGTTCAGTAAAACCTCTGTAGGAATGAAATAGAAATGTTATTTGCGCTTTATGATCGTTTTTTTACACTGTTATGTGGTACTGATAAAATTTTACATAGAGGCGGATATTATATTCTCTTCGAGCAGTTAATTTCTTAATAACATTGGTTTTAATTTGGTTATCCGGGGAGAGAGCTTCTGAAGCAAACTTCCCCCTCATCTTTTTTTTTTGTATGCAAAATTAAAAATATTGAGGGGATCCAAAAACCTTTTAACCTATAAAAGCCCAGGCCAGATTAGCCCAATATGCAATTTCAACAGTGCACCGAATAAACCTGCCCTAGGTTATGCTTTTTAATTGCTCTCAGTAAAATTAGCAACGCTAAAATTCCTTATGATCATTCTTCAGCTAAATATTTTACGCTTCAATAAGTTTAAAGTCAGACACCTTTTTTTAATTATATTGGCCTAGCGGTTGCTTTTCTTAATTCAATTCTTATCCTGCTACAATATAAACGTTCATATTTGTTCCTAAATCTTATTTCGCTCTAGTATGGCAATATAAGAAAACCGGCAGAAACTGGTTTCTGCGGCCATCTCATGTGAAATACAAATTCCGCGACAACGTTATGGTTAGGCTTCTTATCATGAGAGTCTTGATATTGGCGTTTGTGTGATAATAAATATTAATTCGATTTTTTCCAAAAATATTTTATTTTTTATTTTTCTGATCTCTCTCTAACTTCAACTTTTAAAAGCCAATATTTAGATGAATTTTTTAAAATTATATTATGCACCTTGATTAAAACTATGAATCCTGCCTGATATTTATTCTTACAGTGTGTGATCTAATTGAACTTGATCAAAATCTATGAAGTTAGCACGCTAATAACCAGTTTAATCTCTAATCTATCATTTTTGTACTACTAAAAAATAATTCTAATTTTATACTGCATATACTTAAAATTTATTTATTTTACCCAGTAGTAACTGGGCAAATTAAAATGTAGTGTACATTTTGTAATTTCATTCCATTAAATAAAAAAGCGATGCAATAATTATAAAATAAGAGATGAAAAATTTTAACCTGCTGCCCAGGGTATCTTAACGCGCGCCATGCAATTTGAATTGAATGGCTATTTTCAGGTAAAGTCTTTTGGATTGCCCTCAATATAAATATCTCGTATATAAATCGTTTCATGAGTACTTTCGTTTTTGGCCTATTTATACCAACCGCAGATGTAAAAGTAAATATCAGAATATATAAATATATTATATAAATAAATTTATTTTACACCATAAAAGCTTTGAGCAGAAAATTCAAACAAAGTGACAACATAGAATTTTGAAAAAATTAAGAATTAGCCTAGAAGAGGCTAAACTTTAATTTCTGCATTATTTCCAATTATGTTGTTTGACTTCAATGAATTATGATCAAAACTAAAAACTCTGTCACAAGTATACGTTACATCTGGTATTGTGGTCACCGTTCCTGTACCGTTGTTTTATTTAATAGTTGAGTGCCAATTTCTGATCCGTCTCTTTCAAGCACACTCGTCCGAATAAAAAATATTTGCTAGGCTATCCGCTCGCTTTTTAGAGGGGAGAGGAAAAATCTGCTGACATCATCATCTTGGCAGGAGGGGTTAATCGCATCAGTCCACCAAAAGTGCTGGCAAAAATGTTGTCGTTCGTTTTCGCGGCGATAATAAAACATTTTTTTTTTATTAAAATTAAATTTGTATTAAAAATTTGGGAGAAAAATTAATCATAGATTCTATTATCTATAATTCTTATTTTGTAGTGTGTATATTTTCAATTTTATTTGATATTATTTGCTATAAATATAAATCTAAAACAAGATATTTTTCATGTTGCAAATTTTGTACCAATGTAGAATTATGAAAAAAGTTATTAATTAAATGCTCTCCTATTTTCCCGCGTTCAGTAGAAGCTCTGTATAATGCAAATCCAGTTCTCTTGTCAAGTCGTCAATGGCGGGAGACGCCTTGATGCCATCAAAAAATATTCGCTGGGGAGGCCTCTTATCACAAACTTCACCAGCTTCGCCCCGCTTAAATGACCTTCAGAATAGATCAACATTCTTTTCATGAGATGCGTTCGTTTTAGTCACAAAATAATAATATTTTTCATTCAAAATTATTATTTCTTTGTTATTGAATATCTTACTTAGAGTAAAAAAATTTTAAGCATTTACAGATAATTCCTATTTTACGTGTGTGCATATTTTTATTTACCCACTATTTTCTTCAATTAAAACAAGTTTGTTTTCTTCAAACGTTAGATCTGCACCGACGTAGACTTGTTATTGAAATCCTATTTTCCCGCGTTCAGTACAAGCTCTGTGTTATGCAAATCCAGTTCTCGCATCCAGGCGTCAAATGGTGTGAGACTCCTTGACGACATCAAAAAATATTCGCTTATCGCACCAGCTTCTCCTCGCTCAAATGACCTTCGGATCAAAATTCTTTTCATAAGACATGAGATGCGTTCGTTTTTCAGTCACAATAATTATATAATAATTAAATCATTCAAATTTATTATTTCTTTGTTATTTAAAATTAATTAAATAAAAATTAAAACAGTATAGAGAATTCCTATTTTTCCACCATTTTTTAATTTTATCTAAAACAATTTTTCTACCTTCAAACATTAGTTCTTGCACCGATGTAGACTTGTAAAATAGTTTATTAAAATAATTGAAATACTATTCTCCCGCGTTCAGTACAAGCTCTGTATAATGCAAATCCAGTTCTCGCGTCAAGTCGTCAATGGTATGCAAATACTCGACAACAGCAAAATATTCGCTGGGGAGGTCTTTTTTCAAAATCTGCACCAGCTCCTCGTCGCTCAAATGGCCTTCGGAATAGATAAACATTCTTTTGATGAGATGCGATGGTTTAATGTTCAAGTTGCTTGGGTCGGGCATCAGTTGCTGAATTTTTTGCCTCACCAAGAAGAGGTTGCTGGGCGCTCGGGGGGTGTTGAATTTGGAAATTAAGGCGACTTTCAGCCTCTGGTAGTCCGTCTTTGTAGGGCTGGTGAACTCGTAGACCCATAGCGCGGTCGGCTCGTCGAGTGCCTTGATGGCAACCAGAAATTTTAACTCGTCGCTAAGGATTCCGACGTGGAAGAAAAACTGCTCGGCCAGCTCAAACCATTTTTCAGGATGGTTTTTGTAAAACGGAGGCAGGTTGAGTGTATTAAAGCGGCTGAAAAAGGTTTTAAATATAAAATAAAATTGGTTTTACAAAAAATTCAATGAAACAAGATAAATATAGAAGTAATAATCATAAAAAAGAAATTTGTAGCAGATATTGTAGATTTAATTATTGTGTTTTTACAAGTATCAATCATGGTGTATCAAGATAAAACAACAATAATAATGCATTACTAAAAATGCCAACTTGAGTGTTCATTTTCAATAAAAGTAATTAAAAATCTTAGCTTACGTATGGCTCGCGTAAGTTAATTGAGACGTCATGATTTTGACTTTTCGCTTTCATGAATGACTAGCATGGCGAATCTTTGGCTGATAATAAAACACATTATGATAAAAGTACTGCATTATAGGTTACAGCGATTAACTTTTATCAGGGACACCTCATCGCGCTATAATCAGGCTTGATAAGAACTTGGAGGCCAATTTATTAATAATGCTAGTTTTGATTTCATGTTACAGATTTTTTTATTGAACAGATTTCACACAAGTAATTTTTACTTTTAATTCGTAATAGCTAATTAATATGAAGTAAAGTAAATCACACCATGATAATCATTGACACTATAAAGAATAACTGCAGTAAAAGATGATAATTATTAATAATAATCAAATAATAATAAAAGGGGAATTATTTATTAAATTAAAATGGTATTTTAATTAAACTAATGTCCCTGTTGCAAAGAGAAAACTTTTTATATAAGTAAATAAAATAAAAAAATTATGTTAAAACTTTTATTATACATTAATTATTAAGTACGTTTTATTCAGAAAATATTTTGTTTTTAATACAATATTTTTACTGAAAATTTATCGTTCATTTATAATTTTTTACAATCTTAATACCCTCTAAAAACACTTGCAAATTATACGTATCTAACAAATCGCTTCCAATGCTCCAGAATTTCAACAGTGTTTTTATTAGAGAAAAAGAAATTTAAGAATCTTGCATTCATGAGAAATTTTTTAAAAGAGAAATTTTTAGGTAAAATGGTGCAGTTGCTTACTTAGTTACTGCATTTTCCTCCTCCAATTTGATTTGCAGCCTTTTTTGCTAAAAGTGATGTTTTTCGGTCAACTTTTGACTTGATTTTAGCCAACACACTGCCTTCGTCATCCAAACCAGTTGAAACCAGTTAAAAATATTTGCAAGGCTTTTTATTATTCGGAGAATTTCCTCCGCGCCTGGCAGCATCACAAGCAGCTGCTAAAATTTAAGACACTAATTGGGTTTTTGTATTTATAATTTATATAATTATAAACAAACTAAATTATATTTTTTATTGTAAAATATAAATTTAAAGCAATTTTTTTAAATTTATATTAGCAAAATCATTACCAAGTTCCACAATTTGTTTGCTCAAAAGAGAGAAAATGGATTGAATTGTAGCGAGTTTCGGCCGACAGAACCGCCGCTTCACACCTCCCACCACCGTCATCGAGGAGGGCGAGCCAGAGCGATAGAGGGGCTTAATGACAAATTGACACTATTATTATGCCATTTTTATACGCACTCAATCATCCCCAATAAATTTCAAAAGAATTTACTAATGTATTTATGCTTTTTTCCATTGCCTACTGCGTGGACAGCGCTATAGGTAAGAACAAACTGCGGATCATTATGGAATTGAGTAAAAAATAATATGAAGATATATTTCCAAAGTTGAAAAATCATTTTGACTCAGAATTGATTGCATTACTATGGTCTAGGAAATTAATAGGAAATTGATCTTCCAGAAATAAAATTTTTATTCATTAAAAAAAGCATTAATTCTTTCTAGTTCATCAGGCCAACACTACTGCATAAAATAAAAATCACATACAGTAGTTCTGCTACAAATATATTTTTCTTCTTATCAATTGTAAGTTTAAAATTTAACAGGATTGTGAAAAAGATTGTGAGATATAATTATTCCGTCATCCAATAAAAAAGGTTATTTTAGTGCCGATCAGGAAAAATACAGTTATTTTATTAATACAAAAAATAATAAGAGAATTATGATCTTAAAAATTTATAATTTAATATTTAAATGATTTGAATTTTAATTGCTACAGAAAATAAAATAATTAAGGAAATGCAAATAATAATCGACAGGCGCCTATTTGAATTATAATCCAAAGAAAATTTCTGATTAAATAGAAGCTCAGAATAAATATACAAAATAATTGATTGTACATTGTCACAAAATAAATTTATTTGCTATCAATTTCCTCTTTAATTTTTTTAACAAGCGCCAATTCTTCCGACTTTGAAATGTTTTCAACCTCCTCATCATTAGTTCCTGCACACCAGAGAATCGCTAATAAATACTGTGCCAGAGTTTTGCTCTCGAATGTCGATTTTCCTCCAGCAATCGTCACGATTCCCATGCCATTAACTTTCCACTCGTCCTCTTCATCTCTAGAAGACAACGTTTCCCCAGCAAAGTGTTGCAGAGCAATTGCCTGCAGCTGTTCCAACCTCTTTTTCAACTGCATTCGGATAAAGCGTTCACCGCCGATTCCCTCCCTCGTTTTCATTTCAAACTTCACTCTCTGCGTCAAAATATTTTGACAGAGTTCGGACAATGTTATTTCAGGATTTTCTGTTGTAAAATTCGCAACTTGAACCAAATTTGAAGGGTTTTGCAGTAAATCCTGCGCTTGCATGTGCTCGATTTTGGCCAAGAGTTGCGCGCACTGCTCGTCGTCAAAGTCGTGGTGCATTTTGAGCAGCTCGATTTGCTCGTCGCGTTGCAACTCGTCGATGGTCAAAAGTTCCACTTGAAATTCGCCCAACGCCTCAATTATTCGCTGCTCGTCGCAGGGCCGGGCCGTGACCCAAAGAGGGATTTTCTCTTTGGCGATTTTCGCCAACATTTGCAAAACCGATTCCCTTTTTGAAAAATCCACTGCGTCAAAACCGTCGAGCAAAACGATTTCCTGGCCGGGGCTGAACTCCCGGCCCTCGTTTTTGGCCTTGCTAAACTCCTCGATGAACTCCTTCACTCCAAGGTCCCAGTTGAAGTCCTTCAGAAAGTCGAATTCCTTTGGCACGTGAATTTCCGTCACCAGCCCCAATCGCTGCCTCAATTTATCGGCCAGGTGCTCCGTCAAGAGAGTTTTTCCTGAACCAGACGGAGACGAAAGCAAACAAATTTTATAGTCGGAACTTTCCTCAAAAGGCATTTTTCCAACAGAGTCCAATTTGAAAATTTCCTTTATCATGTGTTTCAAAGCCAGGGTGACGTTTTTGATAAAACTCTGACGCACGCCTTTGCGACCTGGTTTCGGTGAATGATCGATGAGGAGGAACGGGTTCGGAAAGTCCAAAAGGTATTGCAAGGTGCTCCAAAACTGAGGCTGTGTCTCGGTGCCATCTGCAGTCGTCCTTAGGACGTCCATGAACACTTGTTGCAAGTGGAGGTTTCCGCTTTGCAGGTCGGCTGCACTCATTGCATTGTGAATTACTGATGTGGCATCTAAAAAATCATATTATTAATTAAAAAACAATTCAGTGAATTTCTAGTGGTCTACTCGGACCAACCCTGTTTCATTTTTAAATTTTATAAATAACAATTTGTTTAATTACCATCGCTTGGTAGAATAAGGCTTAGAAGGCCACTGTGTGTAGTACCACATCTTTGTAGATCCAATGCTTCAGGAATTTCCCCCTATGAAAATCATCAAAATTATTGTAACTTTATTTCTCATTTGCAACAATGGCTCGATCGCAATCATTTTCAAGAGCACTCGCCGAGAGCAGATAATGAGAGAGCCAAACTGCACGACAAAAGTGCTGTCGGCGCTTTTCTCACAACTCGCGCCGCCGCTCGCTCGCTCGCGTTATTGTAATAGGCACACGGTTTACAAGCCCCGCCGATGAATGGACACAAAACGCGAAACGATTCTCGATCCCCAGAGATTGCACACAGCTAAGGTTTTTGTATTAATTAGTGTATATTTCCCTCGGCTGCAATTTAAATGCAAGGGAATTCAATTACGAATTTGTTTTTCCTTCTTTAAAAATTCATGGGCTTTTAATAGTTATTTGTCCAATTAAAAAGCAAGCTAATTTTAAATTTGAAGCTAAGAATTTGAAGGCAATTAAATTGATACAGCAAAGCAAATAAGTAATTTAATATTTAAATTCAAATGCAACTGTTTTTGCAATTAAACCGTTTCTCTCACAATCAGTGGAGAAATTGGAATTTAATTAAAATGAAAAACTCTGCTCGCAACAAATTACTTTGTCATGCGGAAAAAGAAATTTACAAATTACAAAACTTTTGAAATTTTTATGAGCGCTCTGAAACAAAAATTTACCAAAAATGTTGTATATCATTTTAATAATTAATTGAATATTGAATTTAAATACGAAATTATTTCTGCCATGAAATTTGTATTTCAAAGATGACACAAAATGTATGATTTTTTTCTTACTTTGTGATTTAGAAAAAAAATATAATCTAAAATATAGCGCTCATATATCACTAAATTTATAAATTTATGTTGATATTTTTTAATTGAGCATGGTTAATAAATCTAATTGTAAATGGTAAAACAAATATGATCACAGATCCCCTTGTTTGGAAAATGTCTTAGGTGCCCTGAATGACTCATGGACTAATGGTTGGAGAGGTTTCAATACCTTCATTCACCTCGTTCCTTATCAAGTCAAAAAAATGTTTTCTGTATTCATTAAAATAATTGCGTTGTTTCACCAGCTTATAGCTACTTCACTTAATGCTGTGATGTTTCTAAATATACACACTAAAGTATATGTCACATTTTGTAATTCTTATCACAACGTCTGAGTTTTCATCTTTAATTTATGTTTATTTATATTAATTACTCAAGTTTGCTAGAATGAATTGGGAAAAAGTAAGAAATGCATTTGATAATTTAAAATTATTCAATTTTTTGAATCCCCTAAAATAATTATTTTCATTTATTTCTTAATTTACTAAATCCTTTTTTATTTTCTTTGCAATTTTGATTCTTCAAATTAATTATTTGGCATCAAATAGCAATTTAAGAACTTTTTGTCACTTGGCACTTTTAAAACGAAACGTTCAGTTTTTTTTTGCTATATCATTTATTGATCACATGATTTAAAACCGCACTTGTATAAGAACTTTCCCGTCCGGCTGTTGGTTTTCTCGACTTTCGCGTGCAAGTGTTAAAGTGCGCGGCGGCGACAAGTTGCTCATTAAAAGTTTGCTTTGGTGAGTGAAACGCGCGGCGAAGAAGTGGTGGTGGTACACGGCTTTTTTCTCTGATTTCAAGTTGGCACACGGATTTCTTGGTAAAAATGGAAATTAGCAGGGCGATGCACAAAAACAGGCAGGACAACATTCCTGACGCGCGCGGCAGTTTTTCGGTTAAGGAGAAAGAATTAAATTGTCCAAAGGTACAAAGTGGAGCACCTCGGCAATTAAACGCAAAAAGAAAAATAACCATTGGCCACTATGGCGACGACGGAAGATTTTCACTGCGCTGTGTGTTATTTAGTAAAAACACGCACGCACACGGCGCGTTATGAGCCGAAGAAAAAGTCGCGAGAAAATTCTTGCGACACAGACCATTTCGTATAATGTGCGCCTCTCCGCACCGAAATTGAGGATTAAATTAATTTGCGGGAATTGCCACTTTGTGCACGTGCACCACTTTTTAGGCACGTACGCACCTCACCTGACACACATGAAAAAGGACATTCATATTCATCATTTTCTTAACCTTTTCATTTTCAATAAATTTAATTGATATTTACTTAATACAACAATATCGACGGCATCTCAGATATGATCAAACTGTGTAACAACCACACTCAGTTTTCGCGAAATAATAAAAAGAAATAATTCAAATTACTCAACCTGTTGTTTGAGAATCACAAGCATTCTTTTAGCATGTGCCATTTCCTTGATGTTAAGTATTACTTTCATTTTTATTGCAATGAATTTTTGTTTGCCAAAATGTGTTAATTGTGATTCTTTATGAAGATGAAAAAAATCGAGAGTGTAATCTTTCATTTTAATAATACTGGCTGATAAATTTTTGAGCAAATTTTAAAAATTATTTGAAGTTTTCTTCCGTAATTAAGCTCTTTTGTTTTTATTTAACAGCTTTTTCTAATTTGAGCTTGCAATGTTTTTGCACAAAAATGATCATTTCTCCAATTGATACAATTATTATTATATAATAAATAATTCAAATCCGCCATCCATAACTACCGTATGAATTCTTCTTTGCATATTGAGTTTATTTAATTTTGTTTTCCGTGTGTGTAGAGAAAATTATGAATTATTTCATTTTAATTCAAGTTGCTTATCTTAACTTAAAATAAAAACAAATCATTATAAAGCATCACTGGTACTAATGCAAACTTAATTAATATTATTTAGAAAGTGTCAAAGAGAGATAAATTCTACTAATCAATGGATCTTTTGTGGGGGTTGCATTTGTACGAGTTGAATGAAAAAAGGGAGGCCTCTTTTTACAATCTGCACCAGCTCCTCGTCGCTCAAATGGCCTTCGGAATAGATGAACATTCTTTTTATAAGATGCGATGGTTTAACGTTCAAGTTGCTTGGGTCGGGCATCAGTTGCTGAATTTTTTGCCTCACCAAGAAGAGGTTGCTGGGCGCTCGGGGGGTGTTAAATTTGGAAATTAAGGCGACTTTCAGCCTCTGGTAGTCCGTCTTGGTAGGGCTGGTGAACTCGTAGACCCAGAGCGCGGTCGGCTCGTCGAGTGCCTTGATGGCAACCAGAAATTTTAACTCGTCGCTAAGGATTCCGACGTGGAAGAAAAACTGCTCGGCCAGCTCAAACCATTTTTCAGGATGGTTTTTGTAAAACGGAGGCAGGTTGAGTGTATTAAAGCGGCTGAAATAGTTTTTAAATAAATAAAATTGGTTTTACATAAAATTTAATGAAACAAGATAAATAAAGAAGTAATAATCATAAAAAAAAGAAATATTTTGCAAATACATCAAATTGTATTTCTAATAATTTTGTATTTTACATTTCAAGTATTAACCATGGTGTATCAAGATAAAACAACAATAATAATGCACTTCTAAAAATGCCAACTTGAGTGTTCATTTTCAATAAAAAAAAAATTAAAAATCTTAGCTTACGTATGGCTTGCGTAAGTTAATTGAGACGTCATGTTTTTTACTTCTTTTTGCTTTCATGAATGACTAACATGGTGAATCTTCGGCTGATAATAAAACACATTTATGATAAAAGTACTGCATTATTGGTTACTGTGATTAATTTTTATCAGGGACACCTCATCGCCCTATAATCAGGCTTGAGGCTTGATAAGAACTTGGAGGCAATCAATGAAAAATCTTAATTTAGAATTAATATTAATTATATTTTTATTTATACAGGTTTAAAAAAAATACAATTTTTACTTACAATTAGTCTATGGGTAGTAAGTTGATCAATACAATAGGGCATGAAAACTACTTGCTCACCGCCGATGATAGCGTGTCAGCAACCTCATAATTTTTATTAATTAGAATGTTTAGAACACATCGTTTGAACATAGAATCGTTCAGAAAATATTAAAATTAATATATACCTAATGAAGTGTAATGTATTAATTTTGAATTGAAATAAAAAATACCCTGCTATCAGTTTCAGTTAGCTGTTTACTAGAATTGTATATTTATTTTCTTTTCTCTCAAGTGATTTTTTCATAATTGATTGATACCATTGACACTTAATATGAATTGAATCGAAAAAGTATTGTTAATTTCAACTGTTCATCTTCCACTTTGAAATTCCAAAGCATATCAATTGAACATTGCATTAATACTGATCACGAAAAATAAAGAGGCAAATCATTTTCATTAAATTACTATGCTACATTTGCTAAGTTTAAACATTATTCATTACAAGTGGGTATATATTTACACAAAGAACAATTATTTTGTTTATTTTTATCCTACCGACAAATATACCTTTTATATTTCTCTCAGGTTTATAGAATGTAAAAAAAACTTGCAAATATTCACAACATGTTGCTTCCAATGCAGGCACCAGACTTGGAAGCATAGTTTCATAGTTTGTAATTATTTTGATAATGATATTATGCTGTAATTTTCCAGATTGTGGAATATCGTGATTATACGTCATTAAATAATTATGCGCTTTTGAACAAACAAAATAATCTCAAAATTAATATTTTCGCGGAGAAAGCAATCATTTAATGAAATTATTTGTGGCAAAAATTTGTCATTTATGAACAAAATAATTATTTTTAACAACTTTTATCCTCTTTATTGAAATTAATTAATTGTTCTTAATTTTCTCTCTCAAATATCCCATACATCTGTGAAAAATGTTTGGTTGGCCAACAAATATGGCAGAATTGTGATGAAATGAATGCCACAATTGATCTCCACCTTTACTTTGATCATTATAATGACTGGTCATGATTTCACATGCTCTTCTCATATCATCATAGCAATGTGGTTCAAATTTGATAATTTGGTCAACTTCCTTATTTGAAAGCAATAATGCTTCGACCGCTAAGTACTTCGCCAAAGTTTCACTGACCACAATGATTTTGGTATTTTCAATGGAAAAAATTCCGATGTGGTTAATTTTTTTTACCATCTCATTGTTGCTGAAGAATTTTTTATTCCTTGAATCTTCCTTTGCAAAATAAACTAAAGCGCATAATTGGAGGAATTTCATTAGTTGTTTATACATAGGATCAAATTCCACGCCTTTTCTAGTTAAACCCATTCGGGGTCCCTCCATGACATCTTCAACTCTTTGTGTTACGAGCTCCTTGCAAAACTTGTAAAGATTTTTGTCTTTCCTTGAAGTGTCTGGCAAAATTGATGTACGATTACTTCTCTCCCTCTTGGCCTTTTCTTCCTCCTCCTTCTTCAGTTTTGCGGCGATTTTGCGTAATATCCATGGAGATTGCAGCAAGTCTTGAGCTTGCCATTCGCGAAATCTCTTCTCTTGAAGTTCGTAGTTCGTATCATTCGCCAAGCAACGCCTAAATAGCACGCGTTGCTCTTCATCATTCCATCGATCGATTCCCAAGCAGTTGACATTTTCTTGCACGCGCAAATCAGCCAAAGTTCTCAAAATGTTCAATTTTTCATGTGACCTCGAGCCAATCCAAACAGAATTTCCGCACTCTATGAAATCTGGGACCAACATAAGCATGTTTTTCTTAACTTGATTGTCCGCAGCATCAAAATCATCCATGATTACGATCTCATCTTGGAAAACGTCCCGCTCAATATGTTGTTGGTAGTGGAATTGCTTGATGAAACGTTTGGCAGAAGCAAAGCATGTATCTTCGTGCTGCAGAAACTTGAAGTCTTCTAACATGTTAATAAATGTCATTGATCGTTCGTTTTTTAATTTTTTATCTAAGTAATTGATTAAATATGATTTTCCCAGCTCTGGCAGCGAGTGAATGAGCCACACTGACGGGTTGGAATGCTGTGTAATCGCCTGGAAAAGATCTTCATGTTTGTCTATATTTTTCTTCTCACCGTTTCTTTCAATATTGAATCGTGTTGCAATTGGTTTTGGATATTGGATGTTGAACAAAAGTGGTGCAGTGCTGATATACTGGGGCTCAATAGCGAAACTCTGAATGGGCTCTGCAGCAGTTAGATTGGGTGTAGTAGACTGCACTGACGCACTGGGCTGCTCTCCCTCAATCGTATCTTCCGTTAGGCCCTTGAGCACTGGCACGGGTATTGTACTTACTTTTAAACTTTCAGCTGATTGTAGAATTTCATAGAATACTTGTTGATATGATGTATCAGAATCCACAGATAGTTCAGCTAGCCGATTCCTGAAGAATTCTGTAGCGTCTGGCATAAATAAAGAGCAAATTTTTAACTTCACTTAAATTAAAATTCACTGTTACGCTAATTTTTTTAAATTATTCAAAAGAATAGTATAAGTTTATTGAAGTTTATTAATCTGTGCGTTTATATTCATTTTTAAAATTTAATTTATCTTTGTTAATAAGTATACTCACTCTCTTGGGGTAAAATTAAAATAACAAGGCCGCTATGCATAGTTCCACTTCTGCATGTTCGAGAAGGTATCTGCAATTGAAATTTCATTGATTATGCAAATGATAATGCCTCATGCAGTATTTTGGCTGTAGAAATCATAGCATTCACTTTTTTCGTACTCACAGCAAAATCCATATCTCCTTTAAGCTTCTCATCTCGCTCTTCCTGAGACTTATCCTTGTGCAAAAATATACATACTTTTGGCTTCCCTACGTAATTAGTCGTTGATGCGGGGATCAAAGGGTATAAAATTTCTTTTACAGGGACAGCTTGAATGCTGAAACTCAAATTTTCCTCATCTCTAACTCTCATATCCGCATATATCTCTTTTAAATTGTTTTCTTCTCTTATAGAGAGTTTTGTCACAATGCAGATGAGAATAGCAGCATTTGAATTTTCTCTTTGCACTGAAAAATCCTTTTAATACAGGCATGTCTTGAAAATAAACTAAATACGAACTGGATATTTCTAGTTCATTTTTGGTTCTGCATCGGTTGATATCAAAGGCCAGTCTCGATTTCAATTCTTTTTGCAAGCCATGACATTCACAATCACGGGCTTTACAGTTGCAATAGAAGTGAGCGTTTTCTCCTTTTAAAGGAACACCAATTTCAGAAGTGAAGTTGTAAATAAAACTTTCTTTAATCCGCTGTCGTTGTTCAATGTTTTCGATTCCTGGGACTCTATAAAATAAATACCGGAGCATGATTATTATTATTATTATTTTTTAGTTACTATGCATATGTGTGTATTTAGATTTTTTTATTAAATACATTATACATTATCTACATTAATATATTTTTCAAAATGTGCTTGAAAAAAGAATAATTAATTTAATTTCATAAATTTTAGTCAGACTTTTATACTTTTACCTGCAGATTTTGAGGTCTGCATAGTGAGGGTGTCGAAAAAATTTAGCCTCAACTGTTATTCCTACACCATACTCTTTATTTTTGTCTTCTGCGTATCGGCTAACTCTGGTCAGGAACACAGCCAAATCCACATCACATTCGAGCTCCTCAATGCTTCTGGTAAAAGCCTGCACAAGGAACGTACCCTTTCGATCTCGTACACCATTTGTAGCTGTGTTAATGAAAATGTTTTTTGTAATATAAGAGATGCGAGGTATGCTTAAGAAGTCTTACTCTCAACGCAAGAATACGTAATGATCCAATTAATGGCGTTTGGGCCTAAGGTTATTCTTACAGCATTTTTATTGGAGGGCAACTTCTTTGAAACTAAGAACGTGCTTAATCTTTCCTCTGTAGTTTCGTTTAGATTTACAGTGAGCCCCATTTGCGATTGCTTTTCCAAGATGTGCCCACGGCAAGCCTGTTAAAAATGGAAATAATAATCTACAAAAAAAAATTCAAAAACTTCAATACTCACCGCCACAAACACCAGTTTGAGTTTATTTTCAAAAAGGTTCCTATGAAGAATTTCCGACAAATTGAATGTTTCATCCTTCTTTGTTTTTTCGTCTATTTTATCAGTCGTGAGTTGTCCATCAGGATATCCATGAGTTGAAATAAATATGACAAATATATCGGGCTCTAGAAGAGTCATTGTTATATCAGTTTTAATTGATTTTTTAAATAATATTGAATACCTTCTTTTTCCTCAAACAGTTTTTGCATTTTTATTTCTTGACTAAATAAATCAAGAAGTTCATTTTTCGTCGGAGAAATAGCCTTGAACTTGCAATTCTTCCGTTTATTAAATATACATTGCAAATATTTTAAATCGGCTCGGACATCTTCTGATCTATTAGTGTCTTGATTAGCCTCTTCAAACATGTAATATACGACCAAGACCCATGTCCTATTGGGAGTTCGATATTCAAAATAAATTAAGTGTGATTGAAAATAAATGTTACTTCAAATCTGCGTGGAATGTTTCTCTTCCGTGATAGCAAAAATCGTGTTTTTGTGAAGGATCAACGTTTGGTTGTTTATCTGTGCCTAAATTGATCAAATTACAGCTATTTAATTGATCAGTGTGCCAAAATACTATTTACTCTCATGAGAGCTGTCTTCTCGTGTGGTCGAATCATCTTGTGCTCCTTTACTATTTGCTGCAATCCGAGAGTCTACACTGATCCCAGCCATGTTTAATCCCGATTTGAGTTCAGGGGGTATATAATCTAGAAAAATAAAATTGAACAAAGACGTTCGTTAAGTCAACGATTATACATATATTATAATTAATAATATTTAATATTGTATACATTTAACTTCATTAGAAAATAAATTAAAAATCCCTTGCAAAATTATAATTTTTTTAAATGGAAAATGATTTGAAAATTTATATGAATGTGAAATATTTGGGGTGATTTGAATTTAAAATTGGCTTTACCTCGATTATTATGTTATGTGAGTTGTTTAGAAAAACAATATCTTCATGTTTCTACAATAAACAACACACAAAAACCGCCGAGGAAAAGCCGATTTTATATTCAAATCACCATGAATCAACCCTCGATCGTGAAATTCTACTACTGAAGTGAAATATTTGATTTTAAAGACTATGAAGTAAATCTTAATCATCACAATTAATTATGATGAAAACGGAGGAAAAGTATGTAAGAATAACAAATTGATGTAGACTTTCAATATTTATTTCTGCAACTTTTGAAAATATAGATAAAATAATTATCTCCCTTGCAAATATTTTCAACCGCACCAAATTCAATTGTGCTTGTTTTGAAGCTTCATTTGCAGAAACTCACGTTGAATTTCTTTAAATTAAATTATTAACAAAATTTCGCTTTCATAAAATCATCTTCAAGCCTTAGAAATTTGATATCTTTAATTAATTTAATTTTATTTGAGCTTAAACTATTGTAGAAAAATTTAGCTTCATTATAAATTATTTTTTGTGATATCTATTAATTAATTTTCCTCCTGGAGGCTTTAAATGCCTGCTAAATTATTATAAATTAATATTAATTAAAAGCATCCAAATTGGAAAGCTAGATACTACATTATTTATTACTACCGAGGGTTATTCTTAAGGTTAATGAAATACGAAACAGACGATATGCAACCGGTGTTGCCAAATGATCGGCAGCGAGGACCTTTTTTCAGCGTCATCTCCATTCTATTTATCTCAAGAAACCTACAAATGCATGCACAGCAATCCATCATAATACGTATAATCCGATATAATATCTATTTAGTGGCTTGCTTGAAAATAAAAGGTATTTTTAAAAATTATATGATTATATGTTGACCGCCCCAGGAGGAAAGATAAATTCTTAAATAATTTAAAAAAATAATAATCAATAAACTCTAATTTTAAAATTAGTATCAAAGAAACAAAAATATTAAAGGCAAAATACGTTACGTTTTGTATTTTTTAGATAGGAAGTTCTCGCAACGTCCTATCGAGTGCAAATTCGGTCAACTTTTGACTTGATTTTAGCCAACACACTGCCTACGTCATCCAAACCAGTTGAAACCAGCAGTTAAAAATATTTGCAAGGCGGTCGACTTTTTATTAGTGGGAGAATTTCCTCCGCGCCTTGCAGCATCACAAGCAGCTGCTAACATTGAAGCCACTAAGTGGGTTTTTGTATTTATTTTTATATTTAATTAACAAAATTAAAATCTATTTTTTATTGTAAATATCAATGTAAAGCAGTTTTTTCAATTTAAATATTAGCAAAAACATTACCAAGTTCAACAATTTGTTTGCTCAAAAGAGAGGAAATGGATTGAATTATTGCGAGTTTCGGCCGACAGAACCGCCGCTTCACACCTCCCACCGCCGTCATCGAGGAGGGCGAGCCAGAGCGGTAGAGGGGCTTAATGACGCAATGACACTATTATTATATATGCCATTTTTATACGCACTCAATCATCCCCAATAAATTTCAAAAGAATTTACTAATGTATTTATGCTTTTTTCCATTGCCTACTGCGTGGACAGCGCTATAGGTAAGAACAAACTGCGGATCATTATGGAATTGAGTAAAAAATAATATGAAGATATATTTCCAAAGTTGAAAAATCATTTTGACTCAGAATTGATTGCATTATTATGGTCTAGGAAATTAATAGAAAATTGATCTTCCAGAAAATTAAATTTTTTATTCATTATAAAAAGCATGAATTCTTTCTAGTTCATCAGGCCAACACTACTGCATAAAATAAAAATCACATACAGTAGTTCTGCTACAAATATATTTTTCTTCTTATCAATTGTAAGTTTAAAATTTGACAGAATTGTGAAAAAGATTGTGAGATATAATTATTCCGTCTTCCAATAAAAAAAGTTATTTTAGTGCCGATCAGGAAAAATACAGTTATTTTATTAATACAAAAAATAATAAGAGAATTATTATCTTAAAAATTTTTTAATTTGATATTTAAATGATTTGAATTTTAATTGCTACAGAAAATAAAATAATTAAGGAAATGCAAATTATAATCGACAGGCGCCTATTTGAATTATAATCCAAAGAAAATTTCTGATGAAATAGAAGCTCAGAATAAATATAAAAAATAATTGATTGTACATTGTCACAAAATAAATTTATTTGCTATCAATTTCCTCTTTAATTTTTTTAACAAGCGCCAATTCTTCCGACTTTGAAATGTTTTCAACCTCCTCATCATTAGTTCCTGCACACCAGAGAATCGCTAATAAATACTGTGCCAGAGTTTTGCTCTCGAATGTCGATTTTCCTCCAGCAATCGTCACGATTCCCATGCCATTAACTTTCCACTCGTCCTCTTCATCTCTAGAAGACAACGTTTCCCCAGCAAAGTGTTGCAGAGCAATTGCCTGCAGCTGTTCCAACCTCTTTTTCAACTGCATTCGGATGAAGCGTTCACCGCCGATTCCCTCCCTCGTTTTCATTTCAAACTTCACTCTCTGCGTCAAAATATTTTGACAGAGTTCGGACAATGTTATTTCAGGATTTTCTGTTGTAAAATTCGCAACTTGAACCAAATTTGAAGGGTTTTGCAGCAAATCCTGCGCTTGCATTTGCTCGATTTTTGTCAAGAGTTGCGCGCACTGCTCGTCGTCAAAGTCGTGGTGCATTTAGAGCAACTCGATTTGCTCCTCGCGTTGCAACTCGTCGATGGTCAAAAGTTCCACTTGAAATTCGCCCAACGCCTCAATTATTCGCTGCTCGTCGCAGGGCCGGGCCGTGATCCAAAGAGGGATTTTCTCTTTGGCGATTTTCGCCAACATTTGCAAAACCGGTTCTCTTTTTGAAAAATCCACTGCGTCAAAACCGTCGAGCAAAACTATCTCCTGGCCAGGGCTGAACTCTCGGCCCTCGTTTTTGGCTTTGCTGAACTCCTCGATGAACTCCTTCACTCCAAGGTCCCAGTTGAAGTCCTTCAGAAAGTCGAATTCCTTTGGCACGTGAATTTCCGTCACCAGCCCCAATCGCTGCCTCAATTTATCGGCCAGGTGCTCCGTCAAGAGAGTTTTTCCTGAACCAGATGGAGACGAAAGCAAACAAATTTTATAGTCGGAACTTTCCTCAAAAGGCATTTTTCCAACAGAGTCCAATTTGAAAATTTCCTTTATCATGTGTTTCAACGCCAGGGTGACGTTTTTGATAAAACTCTGACGGACGCCTTTGCGACCTGGTTTCGGCGAATGATCGATGAGGAGGAACGGGTTCGGAAAGTCCAAAAGGTACTGCAAGGTGCTCCAAAACTGCGGCTGTGTCTCGGTGCCATTTGCAGTCGTCCTTAGGACGTCCATGAACACTTGTTGCAAGTGGAGGTTTCCGCTTTGCAGGTCGGCTGCACTCATAGCTTCGTGAATTATGGATGTTGCATCTAAAAAATTATGTAATTAGTATTATAATTAAAACAATACAGTGAATTTCTAGTGGTGTACTCAGAACATTCCTGTTTCATTTTTAAATTTTATAAATAACAATTTGTTTAATTACCATCGCTTGGTAGAATAAGGCTTAGAAGGCCACTGTGTGTAGTACCACATTTTTGTAGATCCAATGCTTCAGGAATTTCCCCCTAAGAAAATCATCAAAATTATTGTAACTTATTTTTGTACAGCCGTGTTTGATAATTTTTTTAATAGCTTGAAAAATATATTATTTTTGTTTTTAAAATTAAATTTATAATTTATCACTTACAGTTAAGCATTATTACATATTTAAAATTAGACGCATATAAAATAAACTTATAATTTGGCTTCGTTTTAAAATGTCAATCGCTGGAAATTTTTACATAATAACCCCCTTCAGCCCTTCAGCTTATTTCTGTATTATTATAATATGAATTTACCATAACGTCAGTTCCAATGAATGGATGGTTGAGGAACAGGCAAATTTTTGGCTTTCCAGTCCATCTCTTGTTCTCAGGGCCAATCAAGCTGTACTGGAAGTCCTTTATTGAAACTCCATCTCCTTTTTTTGAAGTCATGTAAAACTCTAATGTTTCCTCGTCCACATGCATTGGGGCGACAACGCAAATCAGAACGCAGCCGTCCTCGCTCACCTCTCCTTGCACTGATAGGAATAATTTTTATATTATTGAAATTTTAATTATTTTTCTTCTTACCAGCAGAAAGCAAACACTTGTATTTTGAATGGCACTGGACGTTGAATTTGAATTTGTTGGCAAATAATTTTGCGAGCTCCCTGGCTTTCATGTTGTTCCCTCGCCAGTAAAAATGCGCCTCTTTTTTGCTGAGGCTCCTTTTCTTTGTTGAGTACCAATCGTAGACAAAAGTTGTTTCCAAAGGCCTTCGAGTTTCTACGTCGGCACTAAATTAAATTTTTTAATTGAATATTTTTATACAGTTCAAATAAACTTTTTAAATTTTAAATAAGAAAAAGTACCTGGAAATTGTAAACTTTCTGTGGGGGAAAATCTGGATTTGCGGCGTGCAACCGTACTCGCGTTTTGCAGCTTTGTCGTGCACAAGTTTCATGACCCTGGTCAGGAAAACTTCCAACTCGACGTCCCATTCAAGATTATTCAGACACTCGCAAACTGCGTGGACCAATTGCGTTCCGGTTTTATTTTCTCTCAAAGAAAAAGATCCTTAAAGTGTTTTGTTGTTTTTAATAAATTATTTTAACTTAAAAAAATATACCTTCCACACAGGAAAAGACTATCACAAAATTTGGCAAGTTGGGTTCAGTCGTGACATTCACTGCGTCTAAATTTTCCCCCGGCTTCAGATCTTTGCTGAGTCTATTAACCCCAGTCGGAATTGCGACGGAATCGTTCATGTCAACGCGGTTTTCAGTCATGTCTAAAAAATCTCCTCTGCAAGCCTGCGTAAAGTGTTGATGTAAACAGATAATTAAAAAAAAAAAAAATTGTTTTACCGAAACAAATACTAATTTCAAACAGTCCTTCAAAAAGGGGCAACTGAGTTTTTCCAAAATGTCACTAACAATTAAAATTTCATTTTCATCAGTCATAAGCAATCCTTCTTTGTGTCCGTGCGTCATTATGAAAAGCGCAAAAACTTCCGGCACCTCATCTGAAAGTTTTAAATTAGTCAATTTTTTTTCATCAAAGTTTTCTGCATACCTTGTTGAAGGTCAAACTTTGCTTGCAATTGTCCGAGACTGTTATTTCCAGACACTGGTTTGTTCTCCAAAATGCCATAAAGCTCCTCTTTTCCAGGAGACATTCGTCTGAAGCGACAATTCCGCCGCGATTTAAAAGCGGTCTCTAAATTTTCCAGATCTATTTTGTCTCCTTTACTTCGGTCGCCCCTTTGACCGGCAAAAGTGTAATGAACCACGCATATGCAAACGCTAGGAAAATAAAACATGATTAATAATTTTTATAAAAAAAAAAAAAATAAACGCAAGGATCTACGTTCTAGCATTCTGTTCAGGATCGCCGTTCCAAAATCCTAATTTTGGCAAAGAAATGCTCAGACTTGAATCTGCATCTCTTCCTTGCGTTTCTTCTGAAAAAAGCACATTAAAATAAGAATGAAAAATCCTTATTTGATTTTTTTTTTAAACTTTATTTCATAAAATTAAAATTTTTAAAATATGTATTCATTTGTTAGATTTTTATTTCGTTGAATTACCTATCAATTTTTCACTTGATGGGACTAATACCCTCTTCCCAGCGTCTATTGATGGTTGGTCAACCTCGTCATCTTCAGCCATGTTTACTTTTCATGCCCTGAAATTTCATATATTGAATTGATAATTAATGTTGTTTATTTTTTCACATTGTCACTAATACATTGTTTAATTTTAATTGTTGAAATGAAATTAAATAAAATTTCTCAAATTTATCTTGATTTTGCTAAATTTTTTATTTGCAGATTGCAGAGGAAGGATCATACTGAGTGACCAAGAGCAGGGCTTTAAGGTAGGCCAAGCAAATTTTTAAATATTTTTTTATTTTTTATTTTAATGTAAGAGATATTTGGGTATTTGCTAAGGAGAAGCGATTTCTTTTCTAGTGCAAGACTAATGCAATTCTAAAATTATTTTGTCGTTGTTTAAATCAAATCTAATTTTTCCCTGTATGTGTATATTTATACATTATTCGCATGAATCTCCCACTAATCGGTTTTTATTTTGATCAAACGCCCAATTTGTGTTAGCCTGTGGATGATGAAAGCGTATCGGCTCATCAGCTGATGCAAGACAGGAAACGCCGCCGTCAAAATTTACAATCGCTTTTTTTAAACATTCTAAAGCTAGTTGCGATTATTCTGGAGCGGAAGGAAAATGTGGCTGTAATGATTAAATTTTGCTCGCAGCCGCAGTAAGAACATCCGATTTTGCGACGGTTTTATATCAAAATATTAATTAAAATTAAAAACATTTAAAGGCAACGGCAACCCAATTATATGATGTTTTTCACGGGTGCGGCCGCCGCTCCTTTGGCTTATCTGGTTTGAAATTTTATCTAGTAAGAATCCCAAAAAATCGTCCCATCGGTTGAGCAAGGCGAAATAAATACAAAACAACTGAGCCGGCACTCGACAGCATAAAAACTGAGCCACCAGGAAAGTCGAGCTTTAAATTCGCGAGGCCCCAATGCGCGTTGGCAAAGGGCCTTGAACAGGGGCGGCCGGCGGTTTTGCTGCTGTTGCTGACGAGAAACAAACGCTCGGGAATTTAAATAGCATCTCTTGAAAGAATAAATTTTCACTTTTGACACTCCATTAATTGATGCGAAAAGAACCGGTGAGTTTGTCAAACAAACATTTAGAATAAGTTTGAAGCAACAAGCTCTCATATAATTATGTAAGGGCCTCATCACATCTTACGTCTTCATCTCTAAAAATTTAAAGCTTTTCTGAAAGAAAAAAATAAACTTATACCTGTGAAGGCGACGACGTAATCAGTTCAGATGCTCTTTACTAGTCTATTTTGTTTAGTTCAAATGTTGGACTGAAATAAGAAATGGAGAACCGCATCAGACGGGTGACTCACACCAGCTGGCGCTATTTCCCCTCGTTCCCCACTTTAAGAACCAGCGGTGCAAATTTAAGGCCAACTGACGTGGACCAATAATCATTTAAAAAGTCTCACTTGTAAATATAATGACCGATTGCGTTGTTTTTAAAATTGAAATATTGCAACACTTGTTGTTTGAAAAAATTTTTATTGGTTACTCGTACAGAATTAAAAAAAAAATATTATAATTATTTCTCAATGCCGATAAAATAACATACTAAAAGGTTTATCATGAATTTTACCAAATGAAATAATAAATAGATAAATAAAGAAATAGGTTAGAAGTAATAAATCAGTGAACCGTGACCATATAAATTAAGGATTCGTTGTATCTTATATTTTATTTCTTATTTTAAATGAAAACCTTGTTTATTAAAATTGAATTATTTTTATTTCCATCTAAAATCAAATTTGTTTTTCTACGCTGGTGAATAATTTCCTCATTTTTCAAATAAAAGCCTGCTGATTGTCTCAATTAAGCCATTTACAGCTTTTTGTTATCAATTTCCTCCATCATTTTGCAAACATTTTCCTCACTCTTCAGTACTTTTTTAACTGAGCTCTTTTTACCCTCGCCTGCGCACAAATGAGATGCTAATAAAAACTGCGCCAGTGTTTTGTTTCCAAATGCTGCTTTTCCTCCAGCAATTGTCACGATTCCCATTCCGTTAATTTTCCACTCGTCCTCTCTGCTACTAGGAGTCCACTTTTTACCTGCAAAGTGGTGCCAAGCGATTACCTGCAGCTCTGCCAACCTTTTTTTCCATTTCATCCATGAGAAGGCACGTTCTCCGCAAATACCCTCTCTTAAATTCATTTCGGTCTTCACTTTTTCCAGCAAGATATAACGACAGAGTTCAGACAAATTTATTTCGGGACATTCTGTGGTTAATTTTGCAACTTGAACCAAATTTGAAGGGTTTTGCAGTAAATCCTGCGCTTGCATGTGCTCGATTTTGGCCAAGAGTTGCGCGCACTGCTCGTCATCCAAGTCGTGATGCATTTTGAGCAGCTCGATTTGCTCCTCTTGTTGCAACTTGTCGATGGTCAAAAGCTCCACTTGAAATTCGCCCAACGCCTCAATTATTCGCTGCTCGTCGCAGGGCCGGGCCGTGACCCAAAGAGGGATTTTTTCTTTGGCGATTTTCGCCAGCATTTGCAAAACCGGTTCTCTTTTTGAAAAATCCACTGCGTCGAAACCGTCGAGCAAAACTATCTCCTGGCCGGGGCTGAATTTCCGGCCCTTGTTTTTAGCCTCGATAAACTCCTTCACTCCAAGGTCCCAGTTGAAGTTCTCCAGGAAATGGAGTTCCTTCGGCACCTGAATTTTTGTCACCAGCAAATTTGTCTGTCGCAATTTATCGGTCAGGTGCTCCGTCAAAAGGGTTTTTCCCAAGCCAGACGGAGACGAAAGCAAACAAATTTTGTAGGAGCATTTTCCGTCCACCGCGTCCTGCGATTGTGAATTTTCCTTTGTCATGTGTTTCAAAGCCAGGTTGGCGTTTTTGTCAAAGCTCGGACGCAGCAGAAGGTAAGGATTTGGAAAGTCCAAAAGGTATTGCAAGGTGCTCCAAAACTGAGGCTGTGTTTCACTGCAATCTGCAGTTGTTCTCAGGACATCCATGAACACTTGTTGCAAGTGGAGGTTTCCACTTTGCAGATTGGCTGAGCTCAGCGCCTCGTGAATTTTTGCTGTGGCGTCTGCAAATTAAATCCATAATATTTATTATTTATTTATGTTTACCAATTTCATTGTTTTTTTCTTATAAAATAAAGCAAGGTCTTATAAGTAAAAAATTAAGAAAATAAGCTGGATGAATATTAAAATTGGGAAATTTACATCTTGCATTCATTTTCTTACAAGTCAAAGTTTGAACTTTGAATAATAGTAAATAATAAAAAAAAAATGGAGCAGACAGTTTAAAAAAAATAAATTCACCTTCACATGGAAGGATAATGCTGAGTAGACCACTATGTATAGTCCCACATTTTTGTAGCTCAAATGGTTTAGAAGATTTGTTGAAGATGCACTTAAAAAAAAAAATTATAATTATTAAAAATTCAAATTGCGAGAAAGTTTTATTCTATTTATTCATTCAATACCATATGCAGTGTAACCTTTTGCATTGATCTTTAAATTATTAGAGAGATTAAAATATTCCTTACAACAGAGTCTGTTCCAACATATGACTGATGTAGAAAGAGGCAAACTTTAGGTTTGCCGATCCATCGCTTGTTTTTGGGGCCTATCAAATTGTGTTGCAGAGAAGCAATCGACATCTTAGCCTCTTTCTTTGGGGACATAAAAATCTCTTTTGTTTCTTCGTCAACGGTCATTTGGGCGATCACGCAAATCAGAACGCAGCCGTCCGTGCTCACTTCTCCGTTTACTAAAGTAAATTCATAATTTAATTTTAATGAATTTTGGGAAAATTTGTAGTGTTTAATTTTTTCACTTAAAATAATATTTTTCTCACCGGCAGATTGTAGGTCGCAATATTTTGAGTGATGCTTGACTCTAAATTTCAGTTTTTTAGCAAAAAATTCCATAAGCTCCTTTGCGTCCACGTTGTATCCCTGCCAGTAAAAGTGGGCTTCTTTTTCGCATATGTTTTTCTCCCTCGTTGAATACCAATCGTAGACTAGCGGAATAACCAATCCATTATTTCTAGTTGCAGCATCAGCACTAAAAAAATTATTCAAATTTCCGTTTCTTGGATTTAATTAAGTTTCTTAGTAAACCTGGAAATCGTGAATTTCTTGTGGGGGAAAATCTGAATTTGCGGAGTGCAGCCGAATTCCCTTTTTGCAAGTTTGTCGTGCACAAGTTTCATGACCCTCGTCAGAAAAACACTCAGCTCGGTGTCCCGTTCAAGATTGTTCAAACTTTCACAAACGGCGTGGACTAATTGCGTTCCGGTTTTATTTTCTCTCAAAGAAAACGATCCTTTTGAGAATTATCATTAATAATTTCAGCCACATTTTGCGATGTGTTAACTACCCTCAACAGTTGAGTAAACTATCACAAAATTTGGCAAGTTGGGCTCAGTCGTGACCTTCACGGCGTCTAAATTTTCCATCCCTTTAAAATCCGTAGTTTTTAGTTTGACTGCCACAGGAATAGGTTTAGAGTCCGTGAAATCTTCACTATTTTCAGTCATTTCTAAAAACTCTCCTCGGCACGCCTAATTGGGCGTTGTTGTATTTAATTATCACTATTAAATAATTTATTTTACAGAAACAAAGACTAGTTTCAGGCAATCCTTCAGAAAATCATTTCCCAGTTTAACAAATATGTCACTGATCAGAATTGTTTCATCCTTATCTGTATCCAACACTCCGTCTTTTTTCCCGTGAGTCATAATGAAAAGCGCAAAAACTTCCGGCACCTCATCTGAAAGTTTTTAATTAGTTTAATAATTTTGTATAAGTTTTCTGCGTACCTTGTTGCAAGTTAAACTTCGCTTGCAAACGTCCGAGATTGTTATTTCCAGGCACTGGTTTGTTCTCTAAAATGCTATAAAGCTCCTCTTTGCCAGGAGACATTCGTCTGAAGCGACAATTCCGCCGCGATTTGAAAGCGGTCTCTAAATTTTCCAGATCTATTTTGTCTCCTTTACTTCGGTCACCCCTTTGACCGGAAAAAGTGTAATGAACCACAAGCACGCAAACGCTACAAACATAAAAATTGTTAAAGATAAATTTGGAAATTATTGATTTACGGCTTGGCATTTTGCTCTGGATCATCGTTCCAAAATCCGAGTTTTGGCAAAGAAGTTGGCTGACTTGACTCTGGATCGCTTCTTTGCTCTTCATCTTAAATGCAGAAATATTTCATCAATATTGAAAATTAATAATTATTCTTCATTCCAAAATAATTTAAATAAAAAATCTAAATAATTGTTGTCAGAACGTGTGTGTGATTAATTAAAATTAATATCATATATCATCCTCTAAAAAACTATTTTTTAATTTCTTAATGCATTTTGCGTTAAAATTTACAGCAAGAACAATGTTTTTATTACAGCTGGCTTTCAAAGTTATTCATGGAAGTGATATGTATTAGTATTGTACATAATTATTATTATTAGATAATTATCTTACATTAAAATTAAATTCAACTCGGAAAGAATAAATTATTAAAAAATTACCAGAGAATGGGTCGCTTGATATTGGAACTATCCCTGATGCTGCGTCTGCTGATAAAGGCTCCTCATCAGTCATGTTTAATTGTTTCCCTGAAAATTTTTCTAATTTAATTTTTGCATCCATTAACTTTCATGTCCCTTTATTTGAATTAAAATCATTTTATAAAAATTAGAAAATGCAATGCTTTTTTTATTCAATTGATTTTTTCAATTTTTATTTTTAAATCCTGCAAAAGCAAAAATTAACTCTGCATGATTCCAAGACGGTAGTCGCATTTTAAGATTAAACTATTTTGAGACTCCATTATGTCATGCACAGGAAGGAAATCGTGGCTAGCGATTATTTTACTTATAGCGAGTCTGCATGCAAAATTCAACAATAGATTTAAAAAAGGAATTGAAACTATATATTTTCATGAAGATTCAACATTAAGAAAAAATGTTAATAATCATAACTGCTTCTCTTATTTTGGGCCTTAATTATTGTGAAAAAAAATAACCATTTTATTGATTGATGAAATGAGAAACGATTAAATCCGCAGAAATTTGACGGCAGTATTTTTGATTCAAATTTAATAAATGAATTTACAATAGCTGAAATCAAACTAAAAAATCCAGTTTGCATTTTTTATCCTTATTGAATTGTCATTTTAATTGAAAAAAGTATCACAATTAGGCATGTACTAGTCTGGTATCTAATAAATCAATTTCAAATTTTTCTTTACAAAAACTTACTTTGAAAAGCGTTTCCTGATGCGGTAGCTGTTTCTCTTCAGCATGAATTTTAAACCAAGAATGAAATTATGGTGAAACAATAAGAGTTGGATCGTTAATTTTATCAGTTGGTCCCCGGCCTTTCCTCCTCGTCCCCACTTTCAAACTGTGGTTGGGTGTGTAAGCTGATAAATATTGCGATATTATTGAGAATTTTTATTATCATACCTGTTTGTTTCATTAAAATTTATAAAGAAATCTGTTGTTTTGGTAAAAAAAATTTTCTCCAGACACAATTAAGTTTTTTATCAATTAAAATATACACACTTCCTTTGATTTTATTTGGCGAATAAACCACAATTTTCAATTAATAAGTTACCGCAATACAAGAATAATGATAATATGAAATAAAATAAAATGTATTACTAATTGTAAGTTCCAATATTACACATTCAACAACTGATGTTGAATATTATGTGAAAAAAATGTTAAATATATGCCTTTTTTTATAACAATTTTTATAATCGTGAGAAAATTTGTTTGTAAAAATGAAAGAGAAGCTCAATAAAGTTGTTCATAAAACTTTTGGGAATTAACCTTTGTATGTTTAATGAAAAAAATTGTTTCCGCCCGGGATCGAACCGGGGACCTTGTGCGTGTGAAGCACACGTGATAACCGCTACACTACGGAAACGCTGTATCATATGTTGTGTTCAAACGCTTAGATAAAGAGGCAAGGGAAATGTTGGCTGCGGCGAACGATTCGTTGTGAATCGTGTTGGATGTTGCAGAACGTCAAAAAGCAAAACAAAGATTATGTAAAATAAACTTTTTTATAAATAAATCTTACAATGTAAAAATAATAAATTTATAATTTTATTTTGTTCGGAATCTGAGGACAATAGTCTTTTTTAATTTTTTACAGTTCTTTGTGTGTTTCCAGCAAAAAATTCTACATAATAATGAATAATTATAGTTTCGTTCTGTTCAAATTGCTTCGTTAAGTGACTTTGCAGACTAAACATCAAACAGGATGTCATGTTTGTATTATTAATAAGTCGAGTGCAAAATATTATGCTAGCAGCAGGCAGGTATCCCATTATTACTCATTTAGACTTGAGCTTTTGTGTGCCTAACTTGACTTTGCGATGCTTCTGCAGTGCAGCTGCCTTATTACTATTGCTCTTGTTACACAGGTACTTATAAATAGCATCACTTTGTTCTTTTACTTTCCATTTTTTTACTTCATATTAAAAACATTTTGCATTTATTTAATTACAAAGAAAACTAGCAAACAATTGTATTGAATGTTCCCCGTTTTTGCTACACCTTCAGTTGAGCGCGGCTCTGCTTCCACTTCCAACCAGCTCCGAGTCCAAACATCCCTTCAGATACGATTTGATGAAAGACTTTCACCTCAAGAGCACCCCTAGGCCGTTTCTCTCCCTTGACGCCAGAAGTTCGCGACCGATGGAGAAATTTCTGGACTTAATTAGGCACCGCATGCAAAGTAGAAAAAGAATTGGCTCTTTGTCTCTCGACCCGAAAATTTCAAAATTATCAACTAGGATGATCGAGGTAAATAACTCCCTCAACAACTTCGCCAATTTTGTTAAATTCATCCAATTTCTTAATAAATTGAAAGGATTTGGCAACCTGTAAAGGAGGCAATTTATTTAAAAATTGTGATTTTATTAAATTGTTTCTTAAAATTTCATCCAAAATTAAAGGATTAAACTTGTAGTAATTTTTATTTCTTTGAATTCGTCTTGATTTTGAGATCGTATCCATATAAATGTGTCCATTGTTAACATTTTGGTATAAAAAAATTTACCAATTCTCTCATTTAAAATTATTTATTTTGCACTTCAATGTTAATTGGGAATGATATTATCTGAAGGGCGATAGGACCATTCGTACGCAGCGCGCCTTCGACAACATGGCAAACTTCGTGCAATTCATCGGCGACATGGACTCGATGCTCACCGACCGCGCCAGACTTGCCGTCAGAAGGCTCTCGGCCTTGCTAAACGAGGAAGACCGATTCAGAAGAGACCACGGCCATTGACCCCGCCATTTCTCTGGTCACTCCTCAAATGTTAATTGACATTATTATTCTATTCACCGACGTAGCCCTCTTTTATTAGACGCTATTATGTAATAAAAAACAAATACTGCTTACGCTTTGTATTTTCTCTTTGAAATGCCTTGATTCAGTAGGTCAAAGTTAGTTTATTTTCAACATTAATTGTTTAGTACACGGTAAATGTGTCCCAGTTCGTTTCTGTGACGATGGCAATGTTTTCTGCACCTCTTCCAGGGCTGTACTCGAAATTCCACAGAAAGTTTACAAACACCACTAAAAAATATTGAAGAAAATTAAAATTAATTATAGTTCATTTTCATTAGAGGTGACGAAATTACATTTTAAAGTAAAATTTGCAGATTCAAACCCACTGTATTCTATTTTTTGGAAAAACAAACTGAAACGGGGATGAATATTTTATTTAATTATTTAAAAATGGGACAGTTTTTTTAATTTAATAAATTTAGTTATTGTAAACATTGCTAAATTTCTTGGTTTTTGCCATAATATTTAAAAGCTGATTTTTAGTTTTAATTTATTAAATGAAAAATTAAAAAGAAAACTTACAAGTTTCGCCTTCATAAATTGTTCCTGCGACGTCGTTGCACATTTTCTCGCACGTTGGAATTGGCAGAAGATGAAATTGCGTTGATCCTCTCAGCTGATGGACCGTAACCAAGCCAGTTTCCAAATTCAACTTTAATTCAAAGAATTTATTTATTTATTAAAAAAAAAATCAAACCAGCAATTATTAAATTTTTACCTTTTTGTATATCTTTGCCCTGTAATTGGAGGAAATCAAGACCCAGTTGAAGTGAGCGGGAGCCACCGAAGAGGCGAGAAAATACGGTCGTTGGTAGAGTGGCCGCAGAGATTTCATGGCAGAGGTGTCGCAATTCAACCTGCAATGACAAAAAAAAACGTACATATTTAATTCATAGATAGAAAATTGAAAAGGACTCACCAATGTGCAAACCACTTGTCCAAACGAGGATTGCCGAGTTTTGTTATCAGGGTTCTGAATTCAGCTGCGGATCCAGCTCGGATGTTCGATGAAAATGCACAGGGCATTGGTCCTTTCGATTTGGAACCATGGTTTAAATACGCCTGTTCAAAAAATAAAATTACACTTCTATAATATAAATAAATACTTTTTTTTCTTGCATAAAAAAAGTTTATCATCAACTATACGCATGTGTGGCTTCATTAAATCTCCTCAATCTCAATACAAATAAACACTAAAAAAATAGCTAATAAAATTCAAATTGAACTTACAATCTCAGAAATTTTGCGATTTTTGTTGTAAAATCATAATTTCATTTTAAACCCTGAATTATATTTCTCAATATAATTAAAATTGGTAATCAAAAGCGAAAAAAAATTAAATTAATTGAAATAAACATAAAATATAAATAAACAAACCCAAAATTAATAATACTTTTATAACTATGCATTATGCAGTAAGATTTTAGGCAATTACCTGCGTGAGGTTATCAAACCAGAAGTTGTCGCTGCGCATTGTTGGCCACGAGTCCATTGCGTCCACCACGATCACTGGAGCATCTCTCTGAAGGTAAGCGTCCAGAAGGTGTTGGTATGAAGTGTCCGAGACTCTGTCCACGCTTTCAATTGCCTCGCAGGACACACAATCGTCCTTCAAGTCAATTAAAGGCGGAGAAAAGTGGGGGTTGGACACCAGGCATTTCTGACGGTGCAAAGGTCGCCAGTCCCACCATGGCAGAAGCTAGAAAAAGCATTATTTGCAATGTGGTAAAAAAATTAGCGCATTTTTTATTTAACTAAAAAAATTGCCCCTTATTTAGATATTTTTATTTACACCATAATTGTTTCCCTGATTATTTTTTACAATTTTGAAAAAAAAATCAGCATTAATCTGCTTTTTTGACAATTTCTGGTTTTTCAATTAGGTTATAAATAATATTTACAAGTAACTTTGGAAAATGTTGATTTTTAGAAGATAGACCAATTTAATTAAAATTTAAGGAATTGATTTTTATTAATTAAAAAAATGCCTTTAAAATGAGAGGAATTTAATACTGATAAAAATCAGTAAACTTTCACTTAATATTTTAAATTCAATTTCACCTTTACAAGTGCAATTCTTGCGACCGCATGGAGATGCAGCCTGGCCGTTGCCGAGCAAGAAATGATGAAAAACGCCACGGTGGCGGCCAAAAGCAGGCACGCCGCCCTTTTCGCCACAAACCTCCTGTGGGCCGCGACCAGAGGGGCGCACGCCTCGACCACTTGGCCCTTCGAGAGACCCTCCGTCAGCTGCAGAAGGGTCTCCAGCTCAGTTTCAGCTTCGGCGAGGACCTTTTTGCGTTGCTCTTCCATGTTCAAAGGAGACTCGTCAGGTTGTGCGGGTTGCCCAGTCAGAGTGACGCAGGCGCTCGCTACATTGGTTGGGGTGAAATAAAATACAAAATCGCCTCTTATCTCACAGAACGCACCAGTGGCCGCACCAATTGCATTCGGTGGCCGCTTGAGCGAACGCAAATTTGATTTCCTTGCTACTTTTGTTTAAGGGGAGGGTTAGGGGGTGAGCGTCTTCAAACGGAAGCAGTTGAAATGGTATTATTATTATTATTTTAGAAATTAACTTTTTCGGTAAATTTCCAAAATTTAATTTATTGCTTACAAATTAATTAAATTTAATATTTATTTAATTTATTGTTGGAAATGAGAGATTTTTTATTTAATTCATCACTTAAAAAAAAGAACCGTAATTTAAGTTGCAACTTTGCAGCTGATCATGAATAATGGAGTGGAGCCGCAGGTGCATGTGTAAATTAAATTACAAAGTAATTTGCGTTGTAAATTGACTGATTTCGCCAGCTCAATCTCATTTAGTGATTTGATTAGTTGCTCCAAATTCTGGGTTTGAAGGCAGATTGATTTATTATAATATTTTTGCTAAAAAACAATTTCTTATAACTAGGTTTTGGCTAAAATTAAAACCAGCTTTTTTTCTGAAAAACATTAACAGTATATCATACCTTTTATTATTCATTCAACACCGAGAGATACAGTCTCAAATAATAAAGGGTGTAACTGGTTTTTAACCCCCCTTGATTAATCATTGACCAGTATCATGTACAGTAGTAGCAGAGAACAAGAGCGATAAATAGACTCATCGAAGACGCCGACCATTTCAAATGGCCGCCCCAACTAAAAATATATGTTATGTACGCGGTATGCATTATGCTGTAGCTCATCTTTTTTTTAATCCTTTCGTGTGTATCTGTGTCGGAGAGAGTGAGAGGACAATTTTTATCAATTAATTGGATCGTCGTCTTGTTTCACTCACTTTGAATTAGTAGAAATATTTCGGCCGATTCGAGAAATTTCGGAGCGAACAGCAATTTCAATTCGCTCTTACAATGTGTTATATTCGGTTATTCCAGCGAGTAAATTTTCAAGGGGTCTTGGGTATAACAACTTGCATACGGTAGGTAGAGTCGGAGGGGCTAAAGCTATATTGTTTAAGAGAGTTAGAGGAGCAAGAGAATCTATCGCGATATCTGTTATCTACGTCGTAGAGTTTAATGCCGAATTCGTCGGTTAAGGTGATTAATTAATTGTCATGAGATACAATTATACAACTCTTTGCGCAATTTCATCTCTTGGGTCCCGTCTTTTAATTTTTCAATTCGTTTAAATGCAGACGGGCTGGTGATATAGTTAATAATTTTTTTTAATGCTCTACAAGTGGGGGAATTTTTCGTTTACTTCGGTCGTCGGGTTCTTCTCGGCAGTACTCTGCGGCCCTTTTTTCATGCTGGCAGATATGAAGAGCATGCATGCATTTTTTTCGTCATATAGTATTAATAATTTTACTTTTGTTGAACATTATAGAAAAAGGGGTACAACACGGGGCTCATATGACACGAGTACACAATTGTATTTTTTTTTTTTTACTTTTCGAGTGTGTGTATGTGTTGCAATTCAAAGGCACAGTCGCTTAAAATACTTGATGGAAAACTCAGAATTTGTATCATTAAATTATATTAATCAATCGATCGATAATACAATAAATTGCAGTTCGTCGTGACAAACATTCGGCATTTCAGTTTCTTTTTTATTAAAGAAGGACCGCGCCTTCAGTTTCCGGAATTTTGAAAGCAGATTTTTGCCCTTGATTTTTTCAAGGCGCGGCCGAAACAAAAAACAACTCAGGATTTCAGGTCCATTGGAAAATTTTCGTCAATTTTTGGGATTTAACTGAGGAGACGGTTAAAGCTTTGAATTCTCTTCATAATTGAAATCATGGGAAAATCACAGATAAAATCAGATCTAGCAATAAATCGATATGTTGCAATCAATTATTCGACTGCTTTTTTATCTGCTTTCCAAATCAAAAGAAAATTGCTGATTGATTTCCAATGGCCATTTCAAACCAAATTCTTTTGTCAAACCCTGAGACGAAAGATGATCATATATAGATTTAGATGAAGAGTACAACATTCGTTTTGATAGCAAGACTTTATTACCACATGTTGCGTTTTCATGTGAGAAAGTGAGAAAGTGAAAGAGGCCGGAAGCCTTATTAGTTTTTTCCCCAAAATTCGGCCGCCAAATTTTGCTTCAGCAGTTTTCGAGGAGAGCTAAAGTTTAGTATTTTAACACTCATGAAAGACCACGTCTAGATTTGTGCTGGAGATGTCCGCAAGAACGCAAGAGGGGCAACTCGATTGCTCCGTCCTAGGAGCTTACAAGAGGTTTGGCGAATTTTCGTCGTCGAGTACAGTTTTGGGTAAAGATAGCTGCCTATTGATTTCCGCTGTGGATACATTTACGAAGTATATTATTTTGAATCAAATCGTTACACTTCTCTTCAAAGGGGGGCGTGGGGGGCGGTTATCGTCGATTTTTGTCCAATCGATCACGGTGATTTATTTGTGAAAGAGAGTTTATAAGGAGAGTGCTTTCTTTCTTTTTTTCTCAATCATATAATTTCTCGTTTAATAATGTGTATGTCTTAAGGCCGAGGGCATGCAAATCTTCTTGGTAAATTACAATCATTATTGTTCCCTTGAATAGAATATCAATCAGTCACCATGGCTGACCTTACAGTAGTACGCAGTTAATTGAGAGACTTTAGCGATAATTGTGTGTGTATTTTTTGTGTGTGTTTCCAATAATGCCGTGAAGTACGTTACATAGTTTGGCTATCGATGCAGCACGCGCGGTATTACTCATTTTTTTCTCTCTCTTTACATTTCGCGAAGAGCTCAGTTCTCTCTCCGCCGTAGTAGACAGGTGTGTGAGTGAGTTTTTGTGATATATCGTAATTTGCATGATGATTTGTAAGTTTTTGTTTCTCTCGTTAACAATTGTTATTATAAATCATCCATAATAAATTTCTTATCAAAGAGAATTTGGCCGAGCACCACTTCCAGGACGATTGAATTTGTTTGTGAAACGTGTGGTCCGTATTATATAAATTTTAATTATGTCATTCGCACTCATACTCAAACTGTAAATATCCAATATTGCGTGTATAACTTCTACTTTTCGACAATGATAGTTATTTTGATTGGAAATAGAAACTTTCAAACTTTTATGATACCCACACAATATTTGGCAAGATGCACCTTAAATTAATGAAATTAACTTTAATTAATTTAAATTGGAATTTAAACACTCTTCCTGAAAATGATCAGCACCAGGTACAACTTTGAAAATCAATCGTTTTGGATTATCATCAATCAATCGCGTACGTGTCGTGTTGTTTTAAATAGCATCTAGTTTCGGACTAACCATCAGTCAGAGGAAAATTAATTAAAAGGCAGTGACAGCAATCCTCAATCTCGATATACAAGTGGAAAGAAAGTCCAACCCCAAAAGGTGCTCGCCCAGTCGTATACTATAATTTTATAATCTGTCTGAGCAACACGATTTTTCGTTACTGGTTATATTATTTAATTGATATAGGTAGAAAAGTGCAATCATATTTCTGGCCTGGAAGTGGCGCCGTCGGCGCAGACAACAGCATCTCTCACGTACTAGTTTTGAATAGTTTAGTTTAATTTTTACAAGAGTTTTCATCAGGAAAGACAGCGTGTTATTTTTTGTTGAAATAATCGTCTCTCAGTTTGGCCTCATCGCACTCAACAAGAACAACAACAACTCGATCTACAAGTCTTTTTTGTGCGCGGTTCAACAAACAATCAAACAAACAGCCCAGGTTCACACACGCAAGTATTTTTCCTTTTTACATATCAGCGGGAGTAGCCAGTGGCAGGATTCGGGCCTAAATGCGCCTTGTGTCGTGATGATGATATGCATCGTCTCAGTTGCCCAGGCCAAACTTCTTGAAAATGAGTTCCTTGCCCTTGGAAATGAGGTTCTCGCCCTCGGCGGCGGCGCCGCCGGTGATCTCGGTGAACTTCTGCATGAAGTTGGGCGCCTCGGGGAACTTTGGCGCCGCCGTCGCCGTCGTCGGCGACTCCTTGGTCGGGATCACAAAGTCGGGCACCACCGAGGGCAGCCCCTTCTTGGGCGCGGCAGTCGGCGGCGCCGTCGTCGTCGGCGTCGCCTGCGGGGGTGTCGTCGCCATCGGCTCCATGTCGCGCATATTACCACCTCTCCGAGGTGACACGCCGCCTCTCATTCGAGGGTCCTGCAAGCGACACAAGCAAATGGCACGTGGCCGGTCAAAATCTGCGGTGCAAATTCAAACTTTGCTGGAACCTCGCATTGAGGCGTTCTATGTCTCAAATTTTGGTCAAATGTGAAGGGACTGGGGTTTCTAATTTTAATTTGCATTTTTATACATATTTCTACAAAAAGACAATATGAAAAGTGCCGATTTAACTAATTTCTGTTACATATCCAGCATGAAGTCCAATAGAACTAGATTTGAATTTAAAAACTTGATTTAAACGCCAGGATTAAAAAAAACAAACATGTAAGGCAATTGTTTTTTATAAAAAAAATTGTTAGAATAGTTGAAGAGAATTGTTAATTCTCTATTGAACTTCATACTATCTAAATAGTAAATTTTTTAATTCTAAAAAATAATAAAAATATTTGATTAAAAGAGAATGAAATTGGAAATCAAATAGGGGAAAACCTTCAGTCCAAGATTTAAATTAATTTTAATTAAAATTTTCTCAAATTATCTGATTTGTATTGTTGCTCCATAAAAATATCTGAAATAGAAATTAAGGTTACAAAGGTTAATCACTTATAAGAGTTTGTTCTGAAATCAGCTCTAAGTACTTCGCCTTGAGCAGTCGCAAAGTCAAGTCCTATTTTGAATGAAATAGAACAGAAATTAGTTAAATCGACCTAATTGTTTATATGTATCAATATGTGGAGGGAAACCAATGTTTGACCGAAGCCTCAATTTGAGGTGGGGGTGCTCTTTTGAATCGAGGACGGAGCAAGGCTGCTCCGTTCTCTGTTGCTCAATTAATTTGAATGTGGTTGGACAAAATCTTGGAAATTCTCACACAAGAGGTTCAATTAATTGAAAATATCGGTGGAGGTTTTTATCTACAGAGCAGCAAAATAATCGAGATGTCTGATCATTGATGTAATTCATGAGAGGGTGACCATGCATCTGTAAATACTCTGGTCATGCTTGCTTGACCCGCCCCACCAGGCCATAGGATTGGTCGCGGACTGTGCACTCACTCCTGATACCCAAAATAAAATAAAAAAAAAAAAAAATATGCCGCCCAATAAATGAAAAAAAAATTAAAATACATTATATAAATATATGCAAATGAAAAACCAAGTCTTGCTGATCATGTTTGTGTGTGTTTTTGCATTTTGTGGTCTGAAAAAGAGAGTTGCAAACTGAAAATCGTAGGGAGGGTCGAGAAAGAGAGAAGAGAGAGATATATAAAAAGAGAAGACTGTTTTAGCAGCTCAAAATATTGTACGTGCATATCCATTGAATTGAGAGTTTTGGTATTTCGGAAAAGACGTCAGGATTTATGAGAGGCTGGTGGAGTGCAGGCAATATGATGAATTCAAAAGAGACCAACATTGAGAAAGAGATTAAGAGCAAACAACACCGATTGTGTCTCGACTTACCTGTCCTCTACGCGGCCCCTCGGCTGTCAGGTCGGCAGCACCACAAATGAATAATGCAGCACCACAATTAGAGAGAGAGAATAGAAAAGCCCACCAAAACCAATTCCCAGGGAAATATAGAGCCCTATCTTACTTTTATTAGATTTTTATTAACTCCAAAATAGAGTAACCTTAATATTTTTTTTTCAAATTTAAATTTTTACTCTAAAATTTCAAGCAGTTACCCTGTTTTGGAGGATTAGGTTTTTGGGTTAATTGTGACATGAAGTCTTTAGAGATTTCCCCTAATTTTGCTCGGAAGGTGTTTGAACGCATGCACACACAAAGGAAAAGAACACTGAACACTGGGCCTACTTTCGCAGGCCGATCGACGCAGGTATCGACTGATTATATTAATTAATATAGAACACCAACGAGAGCACAATGAAAAAAATATAGTTTGATATAATGAAATTGGCAATGAAAAATTTCTCACATCGCAAAATTTCGTTTTCTTGTATTTTCGACAGAAAATTCATTTTTGCGAAAACTAATTTATGCAATAATTAGAGACTTTTGAGAGCCACCAATCAGTCATTTAGCCAATGATCCATCTCGCCGGCCGATGGATCATTGGCCAACACAAACATCTTAAGAGAGGATGATGAGATTTAGGCACCAGTGAGAGAAGGAGGGTCAGACACGTAGAGAAAACACACTGACAAGAGAGGAGGTTTCAATAAAATATATAACGAGTATCAAATGTAACGACCAAAAGGTGCCGGCAGCAAATAATTATGCAAATCAAAATTCTGAGAGAGTTTTGATTGCGTCTTTCTGTGGTGTCGTTTGTGTCTCGATTCATCATTTCGCTTTTCTGGAAATATGGGGGATGGGGGTGGTTTTGTTGCGATATTTTTGGAAATTATAGATAGCAGTTTTCACTTTGAATTAATCAAAATGGCATGCGTCTCTTGTTTTGATTTTGGACAGAAAAGCGGCAGCTTATTGGACAATGTGTTGAGAGAAAAAAGCCTGTTTTATTTTAATTTTTCACCAATTTTTGGGTCGGACAAAAACTCTCTAATAATGATCAGCGGACTTTTTTCCACAACCGAAATTAATTCATTTGCAATGTATAAACTCATCAGGGTTTTGGCTTTTTTGTAATAATAGGGGTGAGCATAAAAAACTATATGGGGTTCAAAGCGGCTCTAGTTTTGTGACAAATATCCAGGTCTATATAATTGATTAGTGGTTGATGGGTCATTGGTTTTTGTGTATATCTGGGGCACACACTGTAGGCAAAGCTCCCCTACTCACCTCTTCGACGGTCGGCGGGCCCTCTAGGCGGAGGCGGGGGCCCTCTGGCCCCAGGGCCAGGCCCCCTACCCTGCCTGTGGTCCAGGTCGGTGGACTCTGCGAGGAAGTTGGAAGGCACGAGCCCTCGCAAGCCGTCAAGCTCACCCATGAAGAAGCCGTCGTCGTCCATCTCCCCGTAAACGTAGATCACATCACCCGTTTTGAACGAAAGCTCAACCTAAAGATTGATTTTTCCATAACATTATTTATAATATATTTATATTATTAATTATTTAAAGTTCCTTTTATTTTTGAAAATTCACAAGAAGAAATTTTCTATATGCCTCATAGGCTTACTAAACTGAAAAAAGAAGTTTCTCTATAAATTATTTTATAAATTAACTAAAAGAAAAGCTTTAAAAAAATCAATTAGTCAAAAGCCTATTAAGTTCAGTATTTTTGTTTTAAATTTTGAAAGCGATAATTAAATATGAAAAGTGGATAAAGTAAACGTAGCCAAGTATTTATTTCTCAATTTGAAAGTTTTTGTTTTATCCTGGATGTCATTAATTTATTTTAAATTTCACATTTAAAAGACAAAAGACTTTTACAGTGAAAAATGTGAGTTAAATAAAAATTATATACACCAGTAAATGAAATAAATAAGGAAAAATTTTACAGTTAAAGTTTATAATTACCTCAGCGTCAACATTCGGTGACAGCTCCTGAGGGTCATAGTCGTAGAGGGCAACCATCTTTTTCACTGGCATGTTGGCGTAGATGTCACCCCACCTGTCCGCTCTGCCTCTGTGACTTACAGGACCACCGCCGCCTCCTGCGCCACCCTCTCCCTATCATGGAATCAAAAACTTTGATCAAAACTTGTGTTCAAAATAACAATAAAAATAAACAATAAAAAAAGCCAGGCTTGTCCTTGTTATTATTATGATATAATTAAAAATGAGCCCGTTTTTCTATCAGTAACAACTTCTTATCTAAAAAACATTATATTTATTAACCGATAAAATTCATAATTTTGTCATTGCGCTCAAAACCTCTGAGTAATAAATGTCACTTATGAGAAACATTTAAATAATAATTATGACACCACCAGGGCAACAAACGTTGTAAATAATCTGGATTTCAATTGCTCTAAATATTATAATTTTTGTTTAGAAAAATTTAAATTTCTGAAGATTGTAAAATATCACTTTTTGTTAGAGAAATTAAAGAAGTGCTGTTTCATGAATAAATGAAACAAAACTTGATTAGGGATGGAAAAATTATGATCTCCTTTTAACCTATTTTTTGTTGGAAATTATCACAAATATACTAAAAAAAAATCGAGTAATTTATTTTTCAAGCAAAATTAATGTGTTGGAATCACCTAAAATCACCGATTCCACGGTACTTGAGTTAAAACAAACCTATTTTATCCGACAAATTACCTATTTTTCACTTCTTATCACCTGTTTTTATTTCTAAAATTTCATCCTAAATAAATATTTTCCTGAAATATCGTTGATTAATACAAATCTAAGCCATTTAACAGCTTAAAAAATAAAATTTAGTAAAAAAATATCACATTATTTATTATTTAATTATTTTCAGGTGAAAGATCAACTCATCTTAGTAGGCGCTTAATTCTAAAAAAAATCCCATTCCTATTAACCTGATTAATTTTTTTTTTACCTTATAGTCGTTGGTCTCCATGACCATGTTGTAGGGCACGTAGCCCCTTCGGCCTCTGCACTCGCCCCAGTAAAAGCCGTCCGCGTCCTTTTCGCCGTAGATTTTGATGGGGTCGCCCTCGTTGAAGGGCAACTCCTCCTCGCACGCGTCAGGGTTGGGCGACATGGTGGTGGGGTCGTAGTCGAAGAGGGCGACGAACCAGCGCACCCTGCGCGCCCCCTGCAGGGGCGGCCCTGCGCCGCGGCCGCGGTAGTCGTGGCCGGGGCCGCCGCGGTAGAGCCGCGGGTCGCGCCCTCGGCCCTCGCCGTAGTAGTCGCGGTCGTCCTGGTGGCGCTGCTGGTGGCTCATGTGGGGCGGCGGGGGCGGCCGGCCGCGCTCCATGTGCGACCGGGGGCCGTAGTTGCGGCGACGCTCGAAGTCGTCCTCGCTGAAGTTTTCACTGTTTGTGTCCTTGGTGATTTCTGCGGGGGAAAATGATAGGGAAACGGGGGATGAAGCGAAATCTGTGTGTATGTGTGTGCGCATTGTGTGGAGGAGCGGCAGAAATGAAAAGGAAATTAAACAGAGATTGAAATCATCGAAACAGTTTCCAACAAATACAGCTACATCAATAATACACTTCTAGACAACCATTTAATGGAAATTAAGATAATAAAATTAATAACGAACAAAATGAAATCGAAATTAGGCAGTCAATTTTTTTTTAGTTTTAAATTATGGTTGAAAGTTTCCAATTAAAGTTGGAAATGTTCATCAACTATGTTTCAATTTTTCTGTGTTCTTAAATTCACGCTGATTTCCAATTTAATTTTAACAGATTTTAACTATAAAAAAATAAAGATATATCAATAAACATCATTTGCAACTATAACATATATTCCGCATTATTGTCTAATTACATTTGTTTGCACAAACAGAGTAAAAAAAATCGCAAGTTTTTCTTAATGTCTAAGAAAGTTATTTAATCAATTAATCTTTTAAGTCAGCACCTGCAAATTCCCTTTGCATGCGTCCATGAATATTTCCCCAATATATTCCATAAAAAAATAAAAAAACCATTTTGATTTTTATCAATTTCAAAGCCGATTTCTGCATTTTTTCCCATTAATATGTGAACGAATTTCTAACCAATTCATAAACTAAAATTGACATAATACATTTTGTCTTTTTCTTAATGTAAACAAAATACGGTTAAAAGAAATAAAAACATGGTGTGAGCAACGGAAGTTTTCTTACCTATGCTTGGAATGTTCATGTGCGAAGGCGGGTACACTTCTTTGTCACTCAAGTTCTCCTCGGTGTCCATAATGATCTGCTGTCTGCCCCCTCGCCCTCTGACCATGTGGGCGGGCATCGCCGAGTGGGGGTTGTACCGACCGTACTTTTCAGGTTGTGCTCTCATGCCCATGTTATCCTGTTTAATGAAATCACTTTAAAGGAGATCGTATTAAATTTGAATAAAATTATACTTTTTGGTGTCCTCTTGCCTGCCCTCGCATCACGTGGGGTGGAATTGAGGTAGGACAACTATCACTCGACTGCGCGTCTCTTGACTTGGTGCGCACCGTCACTTGTCGCGGGTTCAGTCCCACCAGCTTTGCTATGTCTATTAAAGCGTGGTCACCTGAAAATCAAATTTAATATTAGGCGGAGATAACCGATTTCAATATTTTTTTTAAAATTTATTTTCAATTTTTTCAAAATCACCATTTAAATTTTTTAATATTTAATTTTGTAATTCTAACCTGTTGGACTGTCTATATCCGTGACCTTTTTGCCGTCAGCGTAAACGGCGTACCCGGTCACTGGCGCCCCGGAACCCGCCACAGGCATCCAGGTGACTAGCATTGTGCCGTCCTGTGGTCCGTTTTCCACTTGGACATCAACAGGGGGGTCGGGAAGACCTGAGGGACGTTCGCATTTTAACTCACGCAAATCAATCGGGCAAAAATAAAATCAACCCAAAACAAAATCTGTCATAATTTTTAGTTTACAATTTTGTTTTGGGGTTTTAGTAAGAAGGAAATAGAGTGAGAAAAGTTTTGGAAAATTCATCATAGGTTCCTCTAATAAAAACGCAAGCGTATGTCAATTATTTGAATAACAAAGCTACGACGGGTTGGATAGGCCTAATGACTGATCTATCGACTGATGAGAGAAAAGCGATTTCGCATGAAATATATGATTTTTGCTTTTTCAGGTGTTTTTTGTGAAATTTAGTGAGGCCCATCACTGTTCTTGAATGGGTTGGCATGCAGAACTTTTTTTGGAATTTTTTAATTTTGACAAGAACAAAAATCACAAAAAAAATATTTGCGAAGAGAGAAGAAGAGAAATAGAGAGACAGTAGTGAGACTTATAAATAGTCTTGTAGTCACCTTTGGTGCCTTTAGTCGCCGCATGCAACACAGAGTTTTTGGTTAGCGCTATGGGCTGGGCTAAATGTAAGCATGGGGGTCAGTGTTGCTCAAAAAACTATGTAAAAAATCACACGTCGAGCCGCGAAACCCTTTCGAGTGGTGGAGGAATTTCGCTCTCTCATTGAGGAAAATGAGACTTTGATTTTTTCTTTTAAGCCCCCAAAATCAAAAGAAATTAAAAACTGCTGCTGCGTTCTCAACCGGAGAGCGAAACTTGCAAGCGAAAGGGTTTCCCGCCTCGAGTCAGCAGGGCTGATGATGAACTCGATTCTGCACCATTCCGCGCGCAATCAGGACTGTTTACCTTTTGGAAGAGTCCTAAAGTCGATGTGGCACGCCAGTCTTTCGTCCCGCTGATTGGAGGTTTTTTCGTCAAAGTACGGCGCCCTGATCGCCTTTGCCCGCACCGTAACTCTGTACGTTGTGTTTGGGGCCAGTCCTGATTAAAAAAAATTAAAATTACTGATTATTTCAGGTAAAATCATACTGGATAGTTAATTACAGCAGGAAAAAAGTTAAGAGGTCCATTGTAAAGATGAATTATATGCAAAATTCGAAGAAGAAAAAAATTAATAAAATTTTGCACTTTCAATTAGAAGTTATTTTTCATCTCCATTTTTTAAATTCACTCTAAATTTTTTAAAACTAAATTTGTTTATAGTTATTTTGAATTTTATGGAATTTTTGAATTTTTGATAGATCTAATAGACTTATTGTAATAAATGTAATAATGATGATTTTTTTAAAGGGATTTTTCACTTAAAATTAACCTTCATTGAAATTTTGAAGGAAAAAAAACTAATAAAGTCAGAAAATTTGAATTCCCTTTCCCTAACATACAATTAAAGTTAAACCACAATGCAATTAAATTTTGAAGAAATTATTTTGATAATGGTTTGTGTATACCTGTGATTGTGTGCCTGTAAACGCCGGGCTTCAGGGTGCGCACTTCGACGTTGTTGACGCAGACCGAGTGTTGGCAGTTGGAGTTGCTCGGCAGCCACGAAATGACCGCCGAACTGCTGGTCACGTTGGACGCCCTGACGGTGGTCGGACCCAAGGGCACGTCCTTGCCGACCACCATTGTGCAGGCGGCGTCGCGAGACGTGCGCCGGTTGGGGGTCACCGACCTCACACTTATGCGATGCGGCTGCCGAACGGAAATTTTCAAATTTAATATCACAGAAATTATTGTAAGAGTAGGGAAAAAAATCCCACAATTTTCATTAGATCGAGAATTATTATTAACTGCTCTGTTCAGAAAAAAAAAACAATTATTTACAGGGAATTTTCTACAACCCTTAAAGAAAAATTATTATTGTTACAGAAATTTTTTTGCGTTTTTCTGCTTTTCATTTTTTGTTTTAATTCTAAAATATTTAATTGGAATAAATATTTCAATGAAAAATATGAAAATTTTATAAAATTGTTATTGGAAAATTTTTTTCCGAAAAAATACTAGACGCCCTTTGACGTTAAATCTAAAAATTTCTCTTAAAAAATTAGGGATATAGATATAAAATATTTTTGAATAAACCTTACCCTATTTGAATCAACGCCCTCTACTAGGGCCCTGGTCCTCTCGGAAGCCTTGACCGTGGTCTTGAGCACCCCGTTGACGTAGACGTGGTAGCAGTCGATGGTGCCTGGCGGACAGTCCGGCGCGTTCCAGCCAATCAGGATGGACTTGTTGAGCTGCCTCTCGAGCGTGAGTTGTTTCGGGGGAGGCACTAGCACCGAGAAGAAAAGCGCGTCTGTGGTCAAGGCCCTGGTCAGTTGGCTGCTCAAATCTAGTCTAGGGCTCCACCAACCAACTCACCACGGCATTTGCACCGCTGGACTCGCTCTAGCGCGTTCTTTTTTTTTAATTTTTTTTTCTTTTATGTGTAATAAAATCTGGTGGCTCAAAACACCAGCTACATTATGCGTGACAAAATTTCTGTTTTTGCTTTTTTTTTTTAAATAATGAAGTATAGAGGGAAATTAATGTAACAATGAATTTGGTTTTATCGAAAGTAGAGAGAGAAATACGTCTGGGATGTCCGTGTGAGAGAATGATGGACCCATTTATCAACATGCACAAGCACAAGACCGCAAAAAGGCTCTATTGGCTATGAAGCAACACGTGCCTATAAGTTCCATGTTTGGTCGGAAAAAGGGGAATAATCAAGATAAAAATTAAAAAGGGATTTTAAAGACTATTTATAATTGTAAATTTTTAGTCAAAAAGTAACAAAATTCAAACTTCATGCATTGAAGTGCTAAAATAATAATGGTAAATATTAAGAGATATAAATATGGTCAATCCTCATTTGGGTACATTTCATGTGAAAATCACAATTTCATTCCGTCCTAGTTTAACTTTACTTGTTATATTTTAATTCTATTGTTGACTGGTGAAAAGTGTTTCTTTTTCAAAAGTGAAACCTATAAATTTTAGTTGAAAAGTTTTTTTTAGCGAAAAGCCTTTTTTGGCATCATTTTTTTTCAAATTCCGTGCAAAACAAAAGTAGCTTCACATATTTTAATTTTTATGTGTGTTGCAATTTATGATGGCCCTGATCTTCATCGAAAAGAAGGCATTCAATTAAAAAATGTCTTAGTTTAAATTTTTATTAATTGAATTAATTTTATATATCTAAAATTCTTAAAAAAAAGTGAAAATGTCTTAAAAAATGTCTAGAATTGAAAGTAAAATAAAAAATGAATTTAGATTTAAGATCCGTGGTCGAATTAGTAAATATTTCTTGAAAATAAAATTGATATAAAAGATTTTTCCCCACCAGTCTGTCTATGACTAATACATAAAAATATTTCAAAGGTCTGCTAAACTAATTTTTTAAACTAATAATAAAATTTTATTTAAATTAAACACAATAAATTGATTTTCACAGAATCGTTTGTACCCAAAACAGGCTATAATTTTCTACTGCTTGCATATAAATATTTCTGCGCAAGAACAGCCTAATAAAAAAAGACTGAAATAACAAGGTGCGGTAAAAGAGTGATACTTTAAAACTGCTCAGGTGTGTTATTCTCAAATACGTACAAGAACTCCTTCAATCTCAAAATCGGTTGTAAATGTGCAAATATAGAATTTGGTTGTGGAGTATAAAAATGTGCTCGAATGGTGCAAAAATGGAATAATGAATGAAACAGAAATGGCAGAGATAAAAATGGAAAAAGTTGTGAGTTTGGTGAAAAGAGGAGAGGAGTAAAATCGAGACTGATTCGAGAACCAAGTGTGGAACCTTCTCACATGTGTCATGTCATGGCAAATGGAGCTCAAAGCTTACCTGGACCCTCGCCCATAGGCATTTCCTCTTCGTCCTCCATGATGTCCTGCAGCTCCAGGTAACTGTACTCGGGTCCAAGTCTCTTTACGTACGTCCCGTCTGGAAATTAATTTTTGCAATTAAAAACATTCTAATTCAATACGAAAATTATGCACCAGCAATTAATTTTTTTTCAATTTGTACATAATTCTAGCTCTATTGTTGTCGTAGCATAGTTAAGGGAGGTTCATAAGAGGCATAAATGGAGTGTTTGTTAAACTGACCATATTTGTGCTAATTGTAAGGAAGCGTGTGTAATTGTTATGAAAAATTTTAGTAAAATTTTGCCAGTCCTGATAATAAGTAGCGTAGCCAGAGAAATTTTAGAATAAGGTTGAAGCGAGGAGATTTTTATTCAAATCCAATTGCTAATTTCTCCATTAAAATTTTTAGTCTGCTTATTTACTAAAATTACGTTATTTGAAAATTAGCATGCACCAATGAAGAATACAAAAAATTGAGAAAAGATGTTACATTGTTATAAAATTTGCATGAAACAAGTCAGGCTATTTTATTATATAAATAACTGTACTAACTGTACCAAAGACTTTTTACTCATTTTAAATTTTCCTGTGGAAGAATTCCCATATATATTACAAAAATTGTACAGAAAACAGATCGTTCTAATTTTATAATCATTATAATTAAAAAAAAAACGATTTCAAACCAACGTTTAGATTCAGACAATTCCATGTTCATAAGGTAATTTTCAGTCTTTCAAAAAGAAACACATTTTTAAATGAAATTGGGAAAAATCGAAGTCATTTTGCACATTGTTTTTTTTAAACGCATTTGGTATACAAAAATTTCCTAAATAAAAATAAATTTTTGTTAAACAAGGATGATATCTGAATATAATTTATTATATATTATTTTTAAGATGAAATTTCACCTGTTTCGAAAAAGGAGACTTTTGTCACCAGTCTACTTAAAAAATTCGTAAATCAAAGTGCACAGATTGAAATCAAATGGAATTCTGCTACAAGGAGATTCTAAAAATTGAATTGCAGCATAACTTACTAAATTTACAATAAGCTCGAATTCAAAATTACCAACTGGCATGGTTAAGGGATTTCAAACAAATAAATTTGTTAGTACATTAGACATGTGCAGAATCATATTCGAGGCGCATGAATTAGTTGGAGAATTAGCTCTATTAGTCGCGAAGTGAGTTCTAGCGATTACCACCACCTGTTGCTCATGTACCTGAAGGGTCGGGTGGTGCCGGCGAGGGGACGTGGTCTGGCGACGGCGCCTGCACGGTGATGAGGGGCAGGTCGCCGTGCGAGCCCGAGAGCGCCCGCCGGGCTAAATCGAACGCGCTTTTCATTCGGTCGGGGATTTTGGCGCGCAAGCTACCCGCCGGACTCGCCTGCCTAAACGGTTGCATATCTTCTTTCGGTTAAAAAACATAACTCGTCGGTGACACACATTTGGGCGACAGATAAAGATAGATCGACTGCACAAGCGTGCCTGCACAGAGGTGACTACTTACCGACGGCGTCGAACTCGGCGCTCTCGATGCCGTGCGGGATGGAGGTCGAGTGCGGCTCCTCGGGCCCGCCCGCCAACCCCAGCACGGCCATCTGGTGGAACTCGAGCAGCTCGTCGCCGATCAGTCGGTGCACAAAGTTGGACGGCACCAGGCCGCGCCGCCCGTCCAGCGTCTCGCCGTCGAAGAAGCCGTCCTCGTCCATGTTGCCCCACACCAGCAGGTAGTCGCCCGCGTTCACAAACAACTCGCCCTCGGGGTGCTCGTTCGGCGACTGCGTGAACGGGTCGTACGAGTATCTGGAATTTCGCAACATGAGAAATTAAAGACCTTCAAAAGAAGTTATTTTAATTGGCTAATTGAAAAGAAGACAAAAATTTAATTGAGAATTGCAAAAAAAAAAAAAAAAAAAAAAAACAAGCAATTATTACGCATTGAAATTCAAAATTGCAATATCAAAGTTGGAGGTTTTCCCTCCATAAGAATTTGAACCTCCTACGAGAGAGTCGGTTTAATTCGTTTTTATAGCTCACTTTGAAAAATCTAGTGAAATTACATTTTTTTTTGCGAATTTCAAAAACACAAAAAATTTTTTATTTATACACGTTTTTCTACAGCCTAATTTTTTATTTTGTAAATTAAATAATTATTCTTTTTCTTCTGTTTAAATGCTGCAAATAATTCAAAGTCATATTTTTATAAATTAATTGCATCATTACAATTTTTGCGCTTAATTTTTTTACTTGTTCAAATTTTTAAGAAATTCTCTATTTATAAATTTTATTTTAAATTAATTCCTAAACTAAAAGTACACTGAATTTCACTGAATCATCGTATCAACTTACTTGGCCATGAAAACGTAACAGCGCCCTTTGCCTGGAATGTCCAGCATGTCCAGCATTTTGTTGTCCATCATTTGGTCAGTCAGCATTCCTGCTGGACCCAAAATGCTGCCATTCATTAACCCCGAACCTAAATCAATAGCAAAATTAAAATCGTTCATTAATTTTTCCAGAGACACAATTGAAAGTTGCGAAAAGATAAAGAAAAAAATTGTAATCTGCATTGAGATAACTTTAAATTGAGTAGATAAGGTAATAACGGATTGCAATTAAAATTATGGGTGAATTTAATTATCCGATTTAAAATATTCATTTTGAATTTTTAACCGTTAGAGTACACTATTTGAAATACAATCCCAAGTTAGTAATAATTCTGTAAGAAAAATTTTAGAATTTTATTATTCTAGTTGAAAAAAATTAACAACTATAGACATTTAAAGAAATTTATAATTGAACGTTATATGTATTTTTCAATTTTTAAATATAAATAATGCAAAATCATTTATAAATTATGTTTATAAAATTATTTGTTTAAAAAAAATATTATTTTGTAATATTTTTGTACTTCTTGAATTTCTTTTAAAGTTATTATCAAAAATTAATAAATTAATTATTATAGTATTGTAAGCCAGGGTAACTGAGAAATTCAAATGATGAAAATCAAATATTCCTGCGTAGAAGTTGATTGGAAATCAATAATTATTTTAATTTTGTTCTCACTGTCAATGGCGAATTGTGGTGTGCTAAAGATGGGTGGCAGGGTGGCCATCGCCGGCACTTTGGGCATAATTCTGGAGATGGAGAGCGGCGTCGACGCAGGACCCCCGAGCTGGGCGCCGAGGAGCCCCTGCGTTTGTCCCAAGAGGCCCTGCGTCGCGTTGGGCAACAGACCGGCCGAGCCAGGTTGGCCCATGAGGCCCTGCGCTTGGGGCAGCAGCCCCGAGGCGTGGTTGCCCGTCAGGAGGTGGCTTTGTGCGGCTGTGAGGGGTGTTTGGGACATCAGGGTGCCAGTCTGGGGGTTCAGGATCATCATCTGCGCTCCTAACGTCGGCGCCGTCTGGTACTCGACCGTGTTCACGCCCGAAGGGTAGGCTGCAAGATAAGGGCGGATTAAAAATGCGTCAGGGTGGGCTGCGGGTTCAGCGTGGGCACAGGAATTGGAAAAGGGGGCCGTTTATGATTTTCACTCCACAAATTAAAATCGAGAACAGAAAACCTGAAATATTAGGTTTAATAGAGATAATTAAAGGTTCTGGACAATTTAAAATTAAAAAAGAAATCTAAATTTACTATATAAAAGATTCGACTTCTTCAGTTTTTTTAAAATTTATTTTTATAAAAGTATATTAAAAAATTATTCAAAGATCTAACTATGAATTTTTTAACGTGATCGTCAGACCTTTTAATTATTTAATTTTCTTTTACCTGATTTTTATATTAAATTTATTTATAAATTTGTGGAGTGAAATTTCCAGGGCACAGATGTTAGTTCAAAGTGGGGGTGATAGAGAGCGTAACTCAACATAGGAAAAGCACACTGACCAACTAAACAGTAAATAGATAAGCAACTAATTTGTAACGAAAATCAAAGCAAAATTTAACGTGTCAAACTAGTACGTTTATATTAAAACAGTAGTCCCAATTAATTCTCTGTAATTACGCATGTCAACCACTGATGTGTGTTCATTTCGCTAGACCAGTATAATGTAATCGTATAGCAACATTTCTAAGCCACTGATATGAGAATGAACCACCAATTGATCAATTATTCCACACACGCCGGATTCCAACCAATCTTCTACTGAACTACGCCAATGATATATGGAATGAGGATGTCAATGATATACAGGCAGAAGCAATCAACCTTAATCTTTAAAACGCAATCTAATTTTGGTAATTATAATCAACACGATTCTTCGCTAGACCGACAAAATGCAGTGTTTTGATTTTGTTTCTCTAAAATTTTGAAAATTATACATGCTTTTAATTTTGTTTTGGAAAAAAACGGATGATCTTTAATTAGGTTATACAATTTCGAGCAGTTTTGTCTCAAAAGGTTCTAGTCACATACCACAATTTATGTTTGTCAAACACGTCTTTTGTGTTTCGAGCAAGCTGTTAGTATTGTATTTTTTTTTCTCGGAAATCAAGACAGCTGGTTGATGGTGTTTTAAATGTGTTTTCTGATATTGTGAGTGATGGATTTGAGCGAGGTGGACTTACGAGCCGCCCTGCACGCCGCAGACTCAGCTCCGTTCGCGAAGGTCACCCTGGGCACCCTCGAGTGGTGCCGCCTCCTTCTGGACGGCGTCGGAGGCAGCAGCGCGTGCCTCCGCGGGGGTGGCTCCATCATCATGTACGCCATATCGCCTTTTAACGCGTGCGATCAATTCGCAACGAGACAGCAAGAGAGAGAGCGAGAGACAGCCCCACAGCAAAACAAGAAAACGTATGCAAAACAAGGAGAAAGACCAAAAAACGTAATCAGAGACAGTAGTTGAGAGAGAAATTATATCAAAAAATTTATAATATAGTTCAGATTTAATTAATTGATAAAAAATAATTGACAAACTAATTGCCGAATTTATATGTGATCAAGAAAATAAATAGAGACAAGTAGTTTGTACACATGAGATAATATAATAATAATTATAATAAAAGTAGTTTTTCATATATATTTTCGGAAAAGTGAGCAGAGATAGCGAGGGTGGTTTTTGTGCGGGGGCGTGAAGCATTCCTGTGTGGCGGCGGGCGGGGGTGGTGAGTAAATGTCAAAAGTGTCGGCCGGGATCGAGGGAGATAGAGCAGAGGTGGTTGTTTGTTTTTGTGTGTTGGGGACAGGCAGCACGGCGCGGGCTTTTAATTATTATTCAGCTAGAGGTGTGCGCGCGTGTTCTGTTTCCTTTCAATCGCTTTTTCATCCAGCTTTTCACTCTGCGCGCTATGCGAAAATGTGCCAACTTTTAGCTCGGTCTTTCTGCACATTTGTTCGAAATAGTCCGTGACTAACTCAAAGATTTATAAAGCGTTTTGTCATTTTTTGTTTAGTTTTGTCAATTAGTTTAAATTAGTTTTTAAAAATGGAAAAAATAATAAAGTTGAAAGTTGAAAGAAAGACTGTATAATAAATAGAAATAAACTAAATAAAGAAAAATATTTAATAATAACTGTTTTACTTTAAAACGTCGTGAATTTTTAAATCAGATCAGTAACTTGTTTCTTTCCTTTGGGAAAAACCAAGATTTCATTATTTTTCTATATTTTTTTTTTATATTACATTTAATTTGAAATAAGAGCAGAAAGTCCGCCAGTGTCACATTTTCAAAGCTCGTCAAGGCACAGCAAAAAAGCAATTTCCCGCCAAAATAAGGCTGACGTACAAAATGCGCGCTGCCACATCAAAATTTGTTTCAAATTTCTTTCCAAAATAATATATTGAATAAATTTCAGTAAAAAACCAAAAGGATTATCGCTCGGGAGGAGAAGTGAGGAGGTGCTTACCGGCTGAAGTTTGCTGCTGCTGCTGCTGCTGGACCGTGGACCTAGACTTATCTAGCTCGGCCAAAATACGGTTATCCTGCTCTATTTTAGCCATAATGCGGTCAATTTCGGTGTCGTGCTGCTGCGGGGGCCGCGTGGGCACCGCGGCGGCGGCTGGCGCGACCGCGGGGGCTGCAAATGGGGATTGATGATGCTTACTGCTAAGTGGCCTGAGGCATGCTGAGTGGTAGGCAAAGCAATGCGACTCGTCATGCAGTCTTGCTGAAGCCTCAGCCGCTTGGAACAGAGCTGCAAAAGCGATACAGGTCGGTCTTGGCTGCTCTCGCGAGGAGAAAAGTGCTAAAAAGCGAATCGCTCACGATTCACTATTGGGTTGGGAATTATTTTTTTTTTTTACAAATTTTAAATCAAGATTTAAAATCTAGAAAAAAAATTGGAGATATTTTACAAAATTTCTAAAGAATCTACAGTAGAAAAAAGTCTAAATTAAATGAGCTCGTAAAATTGGAGCTTTTTTTAATGAAAACTTAATTTTTATTCAAATAATTCTATTTTAGTAAAGGGTCGATTGTTTTTAATTAGTGTTTGCGTAAGATGCAAAAGTTGAGAAAAACATTTTGCTGCTGTGTCATGCCCGTTTAAAAAAAATATGCAAATTTAATGAATCTGTCAGTCTCCTCGTGCCCAGTTTTAGTCAAGGCATTGAGTAAATCAAAGCAAGCTTTCGTTTCTTTTTTTTATCACAAAATTCAAGAGCTTTTGACTGACTTCTGTTTCCACACAGCAGCAAACAGAGATGAAAGAAAAATTGAGAGAGAAGGAGGAAAAGACAGACAGCTAGAGAGAGAAAGAGGAAAAGAGCAGTGTGTCATCTTGGATTGAGGCCAAGCCGACCGGGCTGCCGCAGGAAAATAAGAAAAGTATAGGCATGCCAAAATCAAAACTCTCGCGAAAATACACAGTCATAGGGAGAGCAGAGCGTGAAAAGCTGGACAAGTTTCCAAAATTAGGGGGTCGCAGGGCGTAGAATATAATAATATTTACAAAAAAAGGAAGTTGAATTACATATCATAGAGATACTACCTGGCTGCGGTTCATCTGCGTGAAACCAGGTTCGGGAAAAGTTGAAGAGATTATTTTTAGTCATGATCAGAGAGCAAGTTTTAATACCAAACTACAGACACAAATAATTTCCATTTCAAATATAATATTAAAAATGTAGGCAACTGGCGCTGCATGGATGTCGTGCCGGTTGCTTGGATTTAAGAAATCTGCCTGAAATATGTTAAGTCGTTAGTAAATGAGTAAATATTAATTTCTTTTGGCACATCAAAGCTATGCTAACGACCTCTATTTACGTTTTAAGTTTCTGGTTCTAAAACCTAAGGTTCATCTACTTATGGAAATTATTTGCGTGGATTTTATAATTTTACTCAAATGAGTTGAAAATTAAAACAATGAATTGAAAAAGTACTGAGCAGCTTTTAGAACTCTATCTTCTTAATATTAATTAAGCAATGAATAAAAAAAATATATTTAGTTAGAATTATTTTAAATCAAATTTTTGCATAAAATTTTTGACAAAAAATATAATATCTTTTAGAAACTGATTATTTAATTTTCCAGCCTAAGTTTAACGTTGCAGAATTAATACCAATTCTGAAAATTTTCCAAAAACAATTACTTTAATTTTATTTTTCAATTCTGATTAATCAATAAGCTGCTCAAGTGTTTCAAATGAAATAGTTTTAATGAAGGTGTTTTCGCGATTTATGATTGTTTGATTAAAACTCGGAAAAGAACAACCGCGGCACATTTAAACCCCCTCCAAACAACAATAAGTAAAAACATGGAGAGACAGCCAGAAGAGAGAGACGGAAACAAAAACTGACTGGCTGGCTGGAGAGAGAAGAGAGAAAAGATCAAAGTGTGTGTGGCGCAAACAAGAAAGTAGTATGGCGTGTGTCGTGTGAGTGGTGAAAGAAAAAAAGATTTTTTTTCGGGGGCTGCTGGGGCAAACCTGCTGCTTGCAGCGCCGTGCTGTTGAGGGTAGGGTGGTGGTGGGTGGTGGTGGTGCTACTGGGGGTGCTTCCGCCATTGTGCTGGAACAGGGCCGCCAGTTCCGCCCGCTTGAACTCACCGACGCTGGACGCCGACTCGGACGGCGACAGGTCGCACCCGCCCTTCAAAGCGCCTTTCCATGGCGACGTGGGCGTCAGCGGCGCCGACGGCGGCGCCGCCGCGCCGTGTTGGTTTGTGCGCTTGATCGCGGCCATCTCCAGCAGCAGTTCCTCGTGCCGCACGTTCTGCAGCTCCGCTTTCTTCTCCAGCTCCCGAATTTTTGACTGAAAATTTTTTCAGTTAATTTGGAATTAGTTAAAAATTGCGTTTATTTTGCAGATAATTATTAAAAATTAAATAGTAAAAAGCAAAACCGATGGCTCTAAAACGTTTTTGCAGCAGTATTTTCAGTTTAATTTAATTATCAAACTAAAATTTACATTGTAATCTCATGCAAATAATTAACTTTAAAAATATTAAAAATTGAAATTTATTTTTGCAGTCAATTGCCCTGCTGTATTAATTTACAAAAGACAAATCTCCGCTTTGTTTTGTACATTGTATGATTACTATTTCTAGAAACTTAGCCGGCAATATTGTGTGCTAAAAATTTATTTCAGTGATATAATGAAAAATTGATTAAAAGTCAAATTTTTAAAATTAAATAAGTAAAGGTTTGAGAGTCTTTTACTATTGTATTGAATATTAAATTAAAAATATAAAATAAAATTTAATAGAAATATTTATAATTCAAATTAAACAATTACCCTCAAATCTAAATAGATTCATAATTAAAATTAATGTTTATTAATATTAAAACATTTAAATTTTCTAAGCAATATTTAAAGCTCTAAAATGCCATTTAAATCTATAAATAATAATTCCAAGGTAATAAACATTATCAATATATTACAAAAAATAATGCAAATCACATTAAATTTTAAAATACAGTTTAGTTTAAAATAATTTAATAAGTATTTAACATTTTTTAAATAAATAATCTACTTATTGATACTCATTGAATTTTATTCTTACCTGAAGTGCCTCAACAGTCTCATATCCCTTTTTGGAAGTGCCTGCCGCCGGCTCGGCCGTCATTTGTCTCACAGGTAGTTGTTGTCTTTGTACCTGCAAGGAAATATACACATGTCCAGTTGACGCACGAAAACATTGGCGATTATCTCTCCTAGAGAGCAACACGCTCATTTCATTTTTGCTTACCTCCGCCTGTTTATCGCGCAGTTGTGCAAGCGTGTCGGCGTGTTCCCGTTCCAAATCTTTCCTTCTTTCGGCGGCCTCGCGCATTTGCTGCGGAAAAAAATAGTCAGTTTTTAAGGACAACAACAGGAAATTCCGGTTAAAAACAATTGTTTGTCAAATTTACTGTTTTAAAATGAAAGCTCCAAACAAACCATTGGTGGTTAAAATATGCTGAAAATATGGTATGAAAGAACTGGAAAGAACAAAATTTTGGAGTTTTGAATCAAGGTTTCTAATTTTTGTTGGAGACAAATGGAAAATTTAGAATAATTAAATCTCTAAATAAAAGTTAACACTTCGGCATAGACTTCTGTTCATTTACACAATTTAAATCAGTTTTTGCTCGTTTTTTTTTTTTTTAATCTTATTGATTATATTAGAGTCGAATTTATAAAATGAAAATTTTGGCTACTCTTACCCTAAGAATGTTGTCAAGTCTATCCGACTCGGACATACTGGAAGTGTTGAGGTTAAGGGGGTTGGCGGTCGCAGTCTTCTGCTCGCCATGAAACTGCAGCTTCTGCACTTGCTTCTGCAGGTCCGTGTTCTGGATTGCTAGCTCCGTGTTCTTCTCAAGAACCTGCACGAGCTGGTTCTCCTGGAATTACACTTAATCGAAAATTTTCTAAAGAAATAATTGGAAAACTCACGAGGTCGTCACACAACGAGCTCTTCATTCGGAGCCGCTGTCCCAGAGTCTCTCTTTCTAAATCCAGAGCGACGGCTAGCGGACCATGCCTACAACAAGTCTGTTCAGCAAGAAATAAATTGGTTAGAACAAAACATTTTAAATTAAAAATACACCCCAATAAATAAATTTGAAATTATTTAAACCAGTGAAAATTTATTTTAAATAATTAAAGTTCAGACTGGAAATAATTTTATATCAAATATTGCTTAATTTGATTATTAATTGTTTTGAAAACAACAAGCAACAGAGAGTTCAAGCGGATATTCAATAAGTTTGAGCACATGTGAAGCACTGCAACTTGTGGAAATCGTGTAAAGAAAGGATTAACGCAAATAAATCACTGCGGCAAGAAGAAACAAAAGTTGCAAAAGTTGGAATCCGCACGAAACTTTCTTTCGAAATCAATTAGCAAAATTCAACAGTTTGGGGCGACTCGCAATCCCAGCGGTACATATGCACCGAGGGCGAACACACCCTCGAAAGGGGCAACCACGACCCCAACGTGTGGTCCCGTGACTGAAAAGGGGCCCCGCGCCCTTCGAAGGGTCTTTCGGGCCCTGGAACGGACTTGCCGTGACCGAAGTGGGAGCTGCAGCGAGAAGGGCAGTCCCGGGCCTGTGACCCGCTGCTGGGCAGACCCACTGACACACAATCGCGCCCTGCAAAGGTTGCGGGCCGAGGGGGCGGGACGTCGGTCGGGGCCGGCCGAGGGGTCTGCGATGGGCCTTACCCTTGGGTCTAGAGCGCGTCGGGCGCGGCGAGGGCGGAAAAGGGCTCACCTAAATATCTGGCTGCAGTCTAAATGGCGGCCCACTTTGCGGGATCAATAGACGGGCCGCCGAGACTGCGCGCACCCCCAATCAATACCGCCCCCCGAGCACCACTGGCGCCTCCACGCACGCCGGGCGCGAAATTCACCCCCATTCATGCCGGAGGGTTGCGCGTTCGCCAGCCACGTGTCTACCCGTGAGTTTTACTACAGCCTCTTTCCACCCTCGAAATTCTCGCTTCTGCTCAAATTTCTCACTGATAATGAAGAATGCACTTGGATTTAAAGTTTTGTTTGCCATATTTTATTACAAGTTGCAAAAGAAGAAGAAATAAAATTTAAAATCTTTTGGATTGTTTAAATATCAAAATATATGTAGTGCTAGATTTAAAAAAAAAAAAATCATTTTAATTAAAGTTTTTGATTATTTTTAAGGTTACATTTAAGATTCAGTTAGCGCTTGGATGAAAAGGCTTTCAGTTGTATGATGATTTACCAATTGAACTATAAAAGATTCATGAATTCTATACTTTTATAAAATGTATTTTGCTAATAATATCTGAATGAATATCTGCAATTTTAGTTTATAAAGAATACTTTGTTTATTATACATTATATAATCTAAATTTTCTATAGCATTCATGAAATCCTACTTAACTAAAAATAAACTGTCATTAATTTATTAAACTACAACCAATTTATAATAATGCTTTAAACTTCGAATCCTTTCTTCTCTTATTTTCCAATTTAAAATTTGTGTATTGACCAAGAAGAATAAATAATAATAATTCAACATTACCAAAACTGATTTAAAACCGGTTTATGGAAAAAAAATAGTTTGATATTGACAAGAAATAAATTAATTGCATAGAATTTTGATAAATCTTTAACTTTCCATGAAAAATTCAAGTAAAAAATTGTCAAATTTTTATGTAAATTTTTATTTTTTATTTTTAAACGTAATCTTTAAATAATTTTTTCACAAAAAAAAGTTAATTTGAAAGAAAAATATTTAAAAAAAATTGTTTTTGTACTAATTCTTTTAATAATTTTTTCACAGCTCATGAATTGTGGCTGCAGCCCGCAGCCGTAACATGTAGAGTTGTTTTTTCTTAAACAATAAACAATTCACAAAAATCCATTGAGGAAAAACCAACTTTAAATTCAAATCGCCAAAAAAATAACTAATTTATTTATAATAAAAGATGATTTCAAAATACAAGTGAATGCAAGAGAATCATGGTGCTTAATTGTTAGAAAAAATCACAGAAAAGAAGCAGAATTGTCACGTACAAATGTAATAGAGCAATAACGAGGTCTATAGCCAGGTAGAGGAAATCAATTAGTGGCGCTCTCGTCCGTGCCTTATTAGATCTGAGATACGAGCTCCTTTTAAAGAGAAAATCAGGCTTCAATTGAATCGCAATCATCGACCATAATAGCCTGAGCAGCAGCAGGTTTTCGAAATTAATTTATTCGCTAAGTGTCTTTCTCTCTCTTTCTAAAGCTGATGAGAGTGTATAGAAAAAAAAAAGAAATAATATATGATTCTTTGTATCGCATTTTGCCGGGAGCACAAGTATCGAGTGACGCAACCGTAGCTAATAATAAATGGAAAGAGAATCACATGAGTTATAGAATGTGAACGTCGTCGCCACACAGAGCACAACCAGATAAAATCAGATAGCGCTCGCGTGCCCTCGCGGTGACTGCAGGGCGACAATTTCTGCTCCGCGAAATTATTTATTGTTTGCACTGCGGAGAGTAAATAGACACGTATTTATTATTGAAGTAGAGAGACTGAAGAATGAAATATTGGATGCCTACAACGGGTACTTTTTGCAGTCTGAACATAACTGAATTTTCTAGTAATATTATGTTTTTCTAAATTCAATTTATTTAAATTTATCGCCAGTCATTTTTCAATGACAAAAATATCTACTTTTTCTTTAGAATTTATATAATTTTTTATTCATTCCCGCTATAGACATATTATTCATCAAGCTCTATTCTCAGTACAATTGAACTGTCGCATCATTATTATGAATTATCATCCTATTTAATTAATAAATTAAATATTAATTTAAGCGGTCCAAAATATAATACAATAAACATTCAATTTTCTTCATTAAAATTACAAAATAGCATAAATAAAAGAAATTTTTTTTAAAATTCGCCACAAGTATGTGAACAATAAAAAAATTAACTAAATTATTCTTTAAAAATGAGATCATGAATTAAATTAATTATTGTAATATGTTCATAAAGCCATACTTATTAAACAAAAGAAGTCTTGGACTTTTGCTTTAAATTTTTCATTTCGCTTTTTACTGCAATAATTTTATTGAGATTAAATTTTGTTATCAGTTCCTTTAAATAACAAGTGCTCGGTTATTTAAAGCGGCAATAATATCATCGGTGCTACTATTACCATTTGCAATTGCGACTCTCAAGTTCAATCATAGTGCAATTAGCATAAGCATTTGGCACGAACCTTGAGCGAGAGGAGGGCGATGAGGCGCATTTCGCAGGCGTTCCTCTCGCGACCCAGCTGAGCGAGTTTTCGGATGAGCAGCGTGACTTCTGCGCAGGGTCGCTCTTGACCCTGGCGAACCTGTGGAAGAACAAAACGGTGAGGCACGTCAGCAGCTGATTGTATATTGACAATGGACAAGGTCGATCCGTTTGATTCAAATTAGATTTGGGCTTGTTCTTTTTAATATCATGCTTTGATTCGATGGCCCATTGTCGCGGCCACGTCTTTCTTTCTTTATCGCACTGCCGGGGTTTAATAGATGCAAATTGCCCAACCCGCCGTTTTATAACGTGCGCAATCGGTTTATTGCCTCTCTGGCGGGTCCGAGGGACAAGGGAGTTGTGTTACGGTTTTGGTGTTATTACAATCTTCACTCTCGCCAAACAGAGTTGAGCTCTGTGCATTTTAGGGTGACTGATTTTTATCGCTCTTTTGTTTTCAGCTGCAGGTTATTTGCTTTTGAATTAATTTCATTATTTGCTGTTTTTTTGCTGCTTTCAATAACAATTGTAATTTTACATAGTTGTTTAAGTTATTGATTGTCTGCAATCAAATTTTCACTCTCATAAATTTTGTGTAAAATGTGTCAAAATCTTTATTTAATTTTTTTCCAAGTTTTATAAATTTAAAATATTTTTATTTGCTTAATAGTGAAATTAATTAAATTATTCTCAAACTTGTACAATTCATTGATTGTATTGAATTAATTTTTGCAGATTATAGTATTCTGATTTACTTTTAATTGGATGTGTTTGGATATTACATCACCCATGATGAAATATGATATTCAAATTAAAACTTGCTTAAAAAAATGCACAAAAAAATGTATTCCAATATTTTGTGTTCAGTTTAATATTTTTCTTGGCGATGATTATGTAAGAGGGACAATATTCCTTAGATTAGTTTGCCAAGGGAGATTTTTTCCAATAGAAACTCTTCAATTAAATATAAAATTTCGCTTTATAATTTGCAACTATAAAAATTTACCATGATTGATTCCTATTTTGTTTTGTTTATTGATTATCATATATAAAATTTAACAATTATTTCTGGCTTATTTCTTAATTTAGGTACAAAATAAGGTTTCCGATTATTTGATGAATTGCGTGAAAATGAAAATTTTCATTTTGGAAATTCACAGTTTAGCAGCGTTTTTTTTTAAAGTTCTGTATTGCGCGTAACACAAAATTGCAACGTTTTCAATAAAAATTGTCCATTATGAATAACATCAAACTACTTTGTATATGTTCTGAAGAAAATTTTAAACAAATTCTCGTACCAGTTTGCTCTTGGGGGCGGTTATGGTGGTTGGCCTCTTGGCAGCGGTCGGGGGCGCCGTGGTCGGTGCCATCTTGTCTCGTTTCGGAGTCGGTCGAGTCGGACGTTTTCAGCAGCGGCCGCCGAGAGTTGGTGTCGACCGGACGACCAAGTGCTGACTGAGCGCCGAGCTTGCTTAAGTGGCAGGCAAGGCCTTGGTTGGCCGCGCGCGAGTCTCGAACACGTTGGGCAACGCGCGGCGTCAGATAAGCTGCCCGGCAATTATTGTCCTGCATCAACAAAAGTGCCCTTTTGCAGACCTGCTGATTGATTGATCGGTTTGCCACCTGACCCTCTGGTGCGCAATGACCGGCAGACGGCTTAGAATTAAATACAATGCAGATGACCCGCATGCGAAGTGACACCGTCATATGTTAAAGCTGACACACTCACGGCCTGTCTTTTGTTACAGATTCTGCAACGACAAACATCGCTGCAGGGAGGCTGAGTAATTCTTGAATGAGCTGATTTTGTGGTAAGTCTTTATTTTGATTCATATCATTCTTATTTTAAATCTACTTCAACAACTTAAAATTAGCTGAGTTATAAATAAATGCATTTAGTCGAGAAAAAAAATAGAATTAATTTAATTTTAATTTAAATTTTATGCAAAAAATTTCTAAACGTATTTTGAAACATAGAAAAATAAAAGTATTTAAAGTTTTATTTATCTATTGTACAAAGATTTTTTTTATATTAAAGAACTGTTAAAATATTTACAATTGATTTGAATTTTAAACTGGGATTTAATTTGTTTTTCTGCTCGTGTTTATTAACGGAATAAAAACATGCCCATTTTTTATTATTTTTTTTTTCAATTCAATTCATTTATTTTTCTCCAAACAAGTCAGAACAATCAATTTTAGCAATATCATTTTCATTAAAACTATTTTTAAATCATTAGTTCAAAATTTTTATTTTATTCACATTTAACAATGAATAAAATGTATTACAAAAAAATAAATGCTTGCAAGTTCTCAATTACGGTCAATTTTGCACAGCAACTGCATTAAATACACTAGTCAAGGGAAGTCATGTAGCGTCTGGATTTTACAAGAGCAGTGAAGTCACAGATTATTTTAAAGCATGACCAAATCTGCATTTACATTCCATTAATCGTCAAAATTTGCAATTCAAATGAGTTCATTTGAATTACCCATTTTCGCCACATTTTCTCTGTAAAGATTTATTTGCAAAAATGGTTAAAGTCACCTTCCTTACCGGAAGAGCAATTACAATTAAGACGCTCAAGGCAATTCTGCGACATACACAAAGAATATTTAAATCTGACGGCACAAGAGGATCGTTATAATGTGATGTTTGCTTAGTTTGCTTGTCTGAGGACCTTTGCTTTTTGTCCCATTATGTTTTGGGTAAACTGCGCGCGGCACCGCATGTACTATGAGTTTATATCGTGTTAAGTTCGCTATCGGGGGTTCTTAGATAATCTTTGGAGAGGACTGAAGCTTTTATAATCACGATGTGAGTGCACCCATGATTCAATGAAATGAATTTGTCCATTGATAAAAAGTCCTTTATAAAAATCACTTTAAAACCTGGAATGCATTCTCCTAAAAAATGTAAAAAAGAAGATAAGAGGTGACAAAATTTTAACAGTTAAAGTCAAGTCTGATAAGAAGCCTTTTGATATGAATTCTACAATAATTAATGCAGAAAACTCTTAATATGCTTTTTATTATTTGAAGTTATATTAAAATTACAAATCTTAGGGAAAGTTACAAATAAATTTTATATTTACGTATTCTAAAAGAATTAAATGTCATCAACTCGATTATGTTTGAGAAAAATCTGCTAAAGTAATGACGATAAATGCCATTAATACTTAACTGTTTAGAGTTTAAGTTAAATCATCTTCTGGAGTTAAAACTTTTATCGGCGCAAATGAGTTTCAGATAATTTTGTATGGAGTTATAAAAATCTGCTTTTATCTAGAATATTGAGTTATTTTTCTGCTAAAACTTGTGACTTAATTTATATTTAATTATTTCTGAACGAAATCTGTTTATCTTTTTAATTTGTTGGAAATCTTTAAAGAGGCATTGGAAATTTAAAAAAATAAATGTAATAACAAATATTACACTTTTTTATAGCGTTGGTATACTTCTTTGATTAGATCATTTAAGATAAAGAATGTAACACGAAGCACGCTTTTAATTGCATTTACTTGACGTACATAGATTTTCAAGCTCCCACAAAGCAAACATGTTATAATATTTTCTCGTTTCATTGTTTAATATTCCGGCAACGGAGAGTTTCGCAAGAAAACGCAGACGTCGTAGTTGTTGTCACTTCATGTTTTTTTCCCAATCGCGCCTGCGACGCGACACATAATCTGTCCTGAAGCTTGCCTGAAAGGGAGAAGGAAAGAAAGTTCTCCCTGATCAGAGAGAGAGGCCGTGTGTCGCCAGAAATGGGGCGCGCGCCACTTGTTTATGTGTCATTAATTGGAGTGGAAATAACGCGTCTTTCTCATTTATAATTTTGCTCTTTATTCTCCGTCGTCGTGCACGTGACACGCAAAACAACAACGCCTCGACGCGCAAAATCAAATTGATAAAAAAAAAATACAGTAAAATACATTTATTAACAATAATATTACAATAGACAAGGGTAAAAAATCGCAACTGCAGAGAAGGGGAGTTTAATTATTTTAATTAAAACTTAAAACTGGGAAAATCTTTAGTGTTACTATTGAGCTGCTGAGGAATTAAAGCACCTTTGAAACAAGAATCTTTGAGAGAAAAAAACAGTCTATATTTGTGAAGAATAAAAATCATGCTGGAGTTGCCTATTTTACGTGTAGGATGGTTTAAAATGATTCTGCTTAAAACTAGTCTATGGAGAGTTTTCTGAAGGAGCCTTCCATGCCGAACAATTGGCTGCTACTTTTGCCACTACCGGGCGCCCTGCGACTCTCGTCCGCCCTGAAAGCTTCTTCTGCCTTCAGCCACTCTACATACTCGGTCTCTGTCCTCTTGCGATCAGCCTCTGAAAGAATACAATTATTAGAAATTTTTACTTTCCAATCATCGATTTGGCCAAAATCAGACCCGCTTATGTTTTTTCTCTCCAAAATTTTATGAATCTAATTGTAAGATCAGTTGTAATTAAATTCCTCTATTTTAAAATATTTTAATTCAAATTATCGCATAGAAATTTAGTATGAAGTATCAAATTCTTTTGAAGTTAAATTTAATTAATTTACTATATCATACAGTTTGATTGGGACAAATTACTCTCACAAATAATTAAATAGCATTAAGTTATGATCGTATAATATATATAATATTATTTAAATTAAAAAACAAAAACGTTTAACTCTTGTAAATAAGTGTAAAATTTAAAATGATTATAATTTTTCAAAGTTACAACAATTTTAAAACAAGAATATAAATAAAAATAGATATTTTTCATTGGTAAATACAAAATTTAATTTGTAAAATAGTTTGAGGAAAGTTTTCAAAGAACTGTAAAAATACTCATGTTATTTCTGAAGAATAACACATTAATAAAATTGATATAATAAATCAATAAAAAACTTTGAATATCTTGAAAGAATCTTGAATGAATAAAAGTCATAGACTGCTTGGTATGCAACCCGAGAGCAAGCGTGTTTCGCGTGTTGTCTGATTTCGGTTACTTCTCATATCAGAGAAAGCAATCTCGCAATGATTACGTCACAATTAAACGAAACACATCGCAGCACAATCTTTACACTCTGACAATCAATTAAACCAACCGTGAATTTTAGGCGTGGAAGGCGCCTTTCCGCCGTAATCCTCGGGCAGAATCTCCTGAGGTATGTCCTTGATGCATTCCACTCCGCCGGTGTGAAGGTGGAGCTGCAAATAAATTTCATTCATTTTTTGCTTTTTCTTGTTCCGTGGCTCTTCTTACCAGTCCCATGAGTTCGCCCTTCATGAGGGGTTTGACCAGGGCCATGACTCTGTCCATGAAGGACACGCAGTGGATAACGTGAATGGCTTTCAGACGGGCTGGATGCGCTTCCTAAATGAAAAAAAAATAATAATAATAATGTTTGACTGTCGCTGTCACAGTATTTATCGTTTAAATATCTAGTTGATATTTTTGTGTAGTTTTTTTTTTACAAATTATTAAAATAAGCAAATAATCATAAATGAGCCAAGAAAATTGTCGTCGAAATTTTATTATTATAAAATCTTTGAATCTAAAAGAAATAAATAAATACAATAGTGCAGAAGAAAGCAAGGAAACTTTCACGATTTCAAGTTCAATGCCATGTCTAGGACAGTCTATGAAAATGGCATGAGAGGCAGAAGCGCGTATAAACAAATCGTAAAAATGGTTTTAGTAGTTTCGTCTATTGAAACATAAAAAAAAAACTATATAAAAGGTTCAAAAGGTGATTCAATAATATCATCCATTTGACAGGAGCTCACAAAACTCACTCTCGGAATATAAATCTTATTTTTATATTGGATCAACTTCAATTCAATTTTATCCAGATAATTATTTCTCTAACCTGGATGTAGACCATGTATTTCTTGAGGGAAGGCAGTGAGACTCTGGTGAGGTGTCCGATCGAAACGCCCTTCATGTCGAAAATGACGATGTAACCTGGCGCCAGTCCGTCCTCACTAATCCTGATGTCGGCGAACACAAAGAACGCCTTCATCAGTTCGACGAAATTCGCTTTGCTAGGCTCCGTTTCCTTGAGCCTGTACAACAGCACTCTGTATCCACTATTTGTTGACTTTGGTACAGCAATCATTTCCCTGCGGACGAAGATTGATTGAAATTCCAATAAAATGAATTTATTTGAAAATAAAAGAAGCACTCACGCGACATCAAAGGAGTTTTTGACGTCAGCAGTCTTTGGGTCTCTGCGAGCAAAAAATTCCGGAACTCCTGCCCTAATTGTGAAATAAGTCTCTATTGTGGTTTTTGCCTTCTCCAGGCTATACTCGCAGCTGTGCAGAAAAAGTAACACGAATTCATCTGAAATAAAAAGTTTCAATCGTTTTATTTAATAATTTTAAATGCCTGTTATTTTATTGAGGTCTAATTTCTTTCTATCATTGAAGCTGAACTTATCTATTTTGCCTTTTTTTAAATATTTTGTTCATATTTCTTCCATTTATATAATCACTGAAATAATGTATTCAATCAAAATTTAGACTTCTTTCAACATAAAAATAACGCATTAAAAGAAATACGGCCTCCTTGGTGAACGCATACAATTGTGAAAAAGTATAATTAGAAAATTGTTTCACTGACCGTTTGTTTAAAAGAAATCCTGAAATATTTTGCGTTTAAAAATAATGTTATTAATAATGATGCAAATTTATAAAAATTATTTCTAGTGCATTTTTTCCAATAATATATTTTTTCAAGGAAAATTTGCACCAGGAATGTTTCAAAAAGGTTTTTATGATCTTAAGTTAACAAGTATAATCTTAAAAGTCACTTTAGTAAAAATATTAAGAAGCAGTGCCTATATAGACGTAAAATAACTTGATTCTGAGTGCTCTCGATGGACCAAATATCCATTTTATAGACTGGTAGTGATGAAATTGTCACATTTTATTAAAAAAGCTTTTAGGAGATTTTCACATAGATGAATCAATCATATAAACACAAACATTAAGAACGTTGCAACGCTGCATGCGAATGAAAAAAATTACTCAATGAAAATTTTCTAATGAGTTTCATAAGAAGCGCAGCCATACCTGAAATGGTCGGTAGGTGCCTTTGGTGGGTCATCCATTTCTGGACGTGCTGGATGTCCTCTTTGTGTTTCTTCAGCAGCGGCTGGAATTCGTTGCTGAGGCCCTTGAGGAAGGGCACGATCTTCTGATTCAGCTTCCCCTGTCAAACAAATTCAATCCATTAGTTTGAACGAATTAATTAATTTTCATCTTTTTCATGTTGAGCTATAAGAAGGTAATGTGTTGCAACAGACACGTGTCCTTCATTGTTATTTGATAATATAAAATGCGTAATAAAAAATCAAGCTGCGCGCGAACGCAACTTTCTTTCTGACCGCGCCGCAGGCCCAAAACCGCTCGAGCCCAGCCAGCGAGACGCGCGCGGTGACCCCACTCATGAAACAGATTACGGTGGTTATTATTATTTTTTTTTTTTTTTAATATTATGGCGCTCGCTGCCTAATAATAATTGGCGGTGACAAGTGTGTGTCGTAACCCAGAATTAACGCTATAAAAATATAGCAAGTAAAAAACTCGATCAAAACGAGATTTTCGTCTAGGAAAGTTGTCATTTTAAAGCTCAATGCGCAAATCACGTAAAGGGTTAGTGGGTCAGATATTGAAATGTGTATTTTAATAATTTGCGGGCACACGAGTTTTTACACCATTATAAAAATCTCCAGTATTCACAAGTACATTCTTATTTTCCTCGATGGAAAATAAAAAAATCCCATCCTGTGCTTTACATGTAAAAATTGCATGAGAACCGTAAAACTGTCCCAGAACCAGATGACTTTTTAAACTCATATTTTCAATTAAAAAAGTATTATTGAAAGAAAAAAGCTAAAAGAAAGTAGATATATGTATAAAATTTTTACAAATTAAATAAAAAATCCAATTTTCGTTTAAGAGTGTAAGATCTGTTTTTTTTCTAAATAAATAAATAATCTATTGCTTCTGAAGTTTTGTTTCGAATTATTTTCAAAAAGAAAATAATTTGAAAATCCAGCAATAGTAAAATATAAAATTATAAAAGTTTCAAACTTTTTTTATTTAAAAAGTAAGTTTAAAAAATTTCACGTGCCACATATTGAATAAATTTATATGATTTGCAAAGATCCCTCATCGCAATGATTTTTTGAGTGGTGCCGTAATAAAAAATATATAAATATTTCCTACTCTTTCATGAAATGAATTTATTGATTATAACTTTTTACAGTCTAGAACTCTTGTAGTCACGGCACTTAACTTCTTTTTATATTAATATTAAAATCATTTTCAACTGCACGGCTTCAAATTATATCGGATTTTAAATTGGCTTTTGCACAGTCACCTTTTCAAATTATTTCCCACCTAATCCAAAAAGTGATACGTGCCGATTTCAGATTTCTACAGGTGTGGGCTAACAATAAAAAGTGCGGCGGTGAGAGATGGTGTTGTTATATCAGCGTGACCACAGCCGTGAAATTCACGTTTCGAAATTCCATATAATTAGCGGTTTGGAACAAAGGCAAGTCGCACGCGGGTGCTAAAATCGGAGCTTTTTATCTCGCACGTTTTGCTGATGGAACAGGAAACTTTCGTTGTGCTGCTATCAAAAGTATAATTAAATTAAAATGCTTACTTGGTTTTAGAAATTGGATGATTTTTACTGTATAATTTTTGGAGAAATTTTAAGAATATTTTTTCCTTATTATGCTTATTACTTATTATTCTTAGAAATGTCACATAAATTTGCGATTGAACTTCAAAAATCAATTTTATTCTCCCTCCATATAGGATTTTATTGGCATTCTTCTTTCTAATTGTATTTAAAGAAAAAGAAAACACGCAAGTCTCTAATTATTGAACAAGCGTCGTTTTTAGGGCCTTAATTGCCCGCAATTAAGAAGTTGAGAAATGTATTACCAAAAATTATGTGCAATTTTCCACTTCTGCACTAATTCGCAAAGTAATACGATTTTAATAACAACTTCTCTGCCTATTTATCACACGGAGTGCTTCGAAAATAAGAAAGGCGTTGTGAATTCACAGCTTTTTATTCGCGGCATTGCGGCAATCGCGCGAGAGAGAAAGATGAAGTTTCTCTGCTCCTTGATGCAGCACAATTGCGTGCCGTGTCCGCCGCGCATTTTGTCCCGCGAGTTTTATTCAGATCTGCAAGTCACCAAATGAAAAAGAGATTTCAAACTCTCGCCGTCGCATACATGACTTTTGTAAAGAGCTCCGATGGCGAAATAAAAATTTCTACTTATTGTTTCTCACCGAATGAAAATATTTTCCTCGCGATCGTTCAAAAAAATATTTTTTCGAAAGTAATAACTTTATCGGTGTCTCATCCTGTACTCAAACAACTAATTGCCCTGTGCTAATTAAAAAAAGATCCCTTTCGCGATATTAAATTCGCGTTGATTCGTATCGCGAGTTAATAGAAAACGCGGCTTGGACCATAAAAGTGCTCGAGAAATCAACCGGAATGAACAACTTGATGCCGATAATTGGCGCCGTGTGTATATGCAAAGTGTTGGCGGCACTCGCGGTTTCCTTTCGCCTCTTCAGTCGAGTTGTGTGCCCAGCCAGCAGCGTGAGGAACTTTCGCTTTTCTCCGAGCGAGCACTGGCCGCCGGATGAGATGGACCTTGCTCACGGCTTTTCGCAAGATCGCCGCATTCTTTTCGTCTTGCAGACTTTTACGGTGTCGCCAGATCTCAAAACAAATATGTGCACATTCGGCATGCAAATATTTGCGAAAAAATAAATAAAAAAATTTAGGAAAATTGAGAGACTCTAATGGAAGCTAAAAGATTGATATAGTCCTCATGTTCTTATTAGTGATTGCAACAAAATTTATTGATAATAAATATTGATTTTAATTTAATATTGTTCTTTTATTGAATATAATTTATTACAAGCAGCGGCCCCGAAAGGGGAGAATCCGAGTTATCGGCCCTTGCGATTTAGCAGCCTGTCTGCTACCACTGGTGCCTTTCCCAAGAGGGATAAACAATTAAAAAAAAAAAAAAAAAAAGCAGCCAACAATGTCAAAATTAAATATTTAAATATATTACATATTTTAATTCACATCGCGGGTGATGCATTTTAATTACACGGGGCGACCTTGTTTAAGTGACGTCGCCCTCAAACCAGGTCAATAAAGGACAAGTCGGAAAGATCAACACTATTTAAAAAAAAAAACTATTGTGTATTGCGTGTATTGTTTCATTTTATATTAGAATTGATTAAATAATAAGTGCGAGCAAAATTTGTTATTAAAATTGTTACTTACCGGGGAAGCACTCATGCTGGCTGCAGTTAGGTGACTGACTGCGAGAAAACATGCACCTGAGCACCTTTGGCTCCCTTCCTCCTGCCGCGCGCTAAATCAATTCCACCTCTCTCTATCATGTTTTGATGAATCCAGGTGAGCAAAACGTCGGCGCTGCCGCTTTTTAATGAGCAAGCCGCGAACACCGTAGACGCGGGGATCATTTTAAGCTCTTTAAAAATCCTTCAGATTATATGTAAATTTAAAAAAAAAGGAACCTAAATTTTGGGGTTTAGTAAGAATTTTTATTTTTACATATTTTACAAAAATCTTAAATTTGGAATACTTTAATTTTTTTCCCTCAAAATGTAAAGAAACTTTTAGTAGTTAATTAATCAAATTATATTAATTATATATGAAGCAATACGAAATAAAATTTACTAATTATGTAAGTTTTATTATACTTTCTTTAAATCGCTTAAAATTAAAAATGTATGTATGAAAACAACTCTTTAGATTAAAATTAAATTCTGTTAAATAATATGATAAATTTATTTATTATGGAATTAAAAATGGATATTTCCAAATTGCAAATTTTTTATGGATGAAAAACTCCTTTTGCAGACAATATTTAAACTATTTAGAAACTCCTCGTATTTTTTGCAGTGAGAAAGGTGAATAAAATTATATCTATATAAAAAAAAATACTCATTTTATTATAAACATTACATTTTTGTTAAAATTAAAATACTAATAATTCATTAGAAAATTTCAGAAAATTTAAACTTTTCTATTTTGATTAAAAATTTAAAGTAAAAAAATATGAATGCTCGTTACTTAAAAAAACTCTATGAACCAAAGTTTTGACTTATTCTGGAGAGCTGAAAGAGCTGAACTTCTGATAAATTTTTTCAATAACTTGTGATGACAATCCAGTGCACCCAACATTTTCTACAAAAGTTTCTCGTCCTTGTCGCGCTAAAGCCCTCAGGCTGTCCACATCAAATTTTCCAGCCAAGCTGTTTAGCTGCCGCTTCATGACCACCCTTCTTTCTTGCAGAAATTGCAAACCTACAAAGAAAAAAATTTTTCTATAAGTATTTATTCTTCACGATCCTTACTTTTTGATTTATTCCTCATAAAATATTGTTATTGACGACATTGCTAAAAAATTGGGGAAATATGTGAGAATTTTTTTTACTCACTTAAATATTAACTAAAAATTTTTCTCACCAGGTAAATTGATTTTCGCCTTTTGCCAGGCAAAGTAGCCCTCGAGTTGGAAAGAAAAATCCAAAAACTGGTCCCTTCTTCCCATGCGTTCAAAAACACTTTTGAGATGTCTCGAGTCAACTAAGGCGTCGTGCAGATCGATGGCGTTTGTCGAGCCCACAAAGTGTGAAATCAGCGTTGCCAGTTTGTGGTTTTGAGGGCCTTTGGGGTTGACGGATCTCCTGGGGTGCAGCTTTTGAGCGGCCGGCAGCGTGTCGATGAAGCCGATGCACTTTTCGCCAAATCGTTTGACCAGTGAATTTTCCACAAGCGCATTCCACAGGAAGCCCATATCAAATTGGGCGCTGTGTGCCACCAAAATGACGTCAGTGGAGAACGACTCGCAGAACTTGACGAAATTTTCCAAAGCATCTTCTGGAGTCAAAGTTTGCACGTGGCCTTGGCCTTCCCTTTCCATTGTCTCATTCTGGACGCTGACTAGTCCTCCGAAGAAACTGATTTTTTCATCAACACCCAACGCCATTCGCGGCATGATGTATTGGTTGAAATAATTTTGCTCCGAACTGAAGGCGACGATTTGATACATTTCGTCTTCCTCAGAGTTCAGACCGGTCGTCTCAACATCAAAAAAGATGAGATTAGACGCTGCGAATTTATCGGCAGGAATCTTCTTAGCGAATTCTCTCAAGGTTGGTGCCTGCACTCGGGCCATACGGGTTGACCAATAATCCATTCTTCCAGAGATCTATGTGAGACGGTAAAATATTGCATTATTAATAATCTTTTAAAGAATATTTTCTCTGATAAAATTTTCAAAAAACTCAAAAAAGAGCAGGTATAAGACATATTATGTAAGAAAATTCAACGTTTCATCTACTTTGCAATGCTTTGCAATTACCAAAAATCATATACGTTTATTATTATATTATTGTAAAAAGAAAAATATTTTGTAATAACCCCCAGCTAGAGGCTTAAATTTGTAAAATTGTCTTACTATGTTAGACTTATATCGAAAAGTCTTTAAAATTCCAACTTGAGTTTTAAAGTCTTTAAAAGTGAACAAAGTCTCAGAAATCATTTAGCTTAGTGAGCCATGTTTTCAAACTTTATAGAAATAAATTAATTGTAAGACGGACACATTTAATGTACTAAAATTTTAGGTGCACTTTCATATAAACTTAAATAATAATAATAATAATTTTCTCGATTTTTTTTTTAATTTTTGTAGAAAGAAATTTTATAGAAAATATTTGGGTAAAAATATTTTAGATTCTTAAAATAAGAAGTAAAAATGTCTTACAAAATATATCGTTTTGAAAATCACATATATTTTTTTTTTTATTTTTAATTCAGAATCACACAATTAATCCATTATCTTAACGAATTTAGGAACGACTTAAAATAAAGTATTTTTACCTCTAGTCTACTTTAGTGTGGTTGAAAAAATTATTTAATTTCATTTAATGCGTAATAAAAATGATATAATTGGGGCGGTATAATATATGTAATGCAATCCAATATTACTTACTAATAGTGACAACTCAGCGCAATTTAATTTACTTCGCACGTATGGATTCTTGGCGGGTGAAAAGCAAACTGCCCGCTTATGAGAATTTTATTCTCATTTTATCATTTAGCCGCAGTGATAAGAAACTCGCGCCAAAACAATGCATTTCACTGCTAATCAACTCATTGATCCATGAAGTTATCGCTCATGGCCGCAATTAAAATTTACGGACTAACTGCCGAAAAGATAAAAAACACAGACTCGGTTAATTTATTAGACTTGTGATTAATTTAATCTTACGGTACTTGCAGTAAATTCTACAAACATTTTTGCTGATTGAAGCTCTTGAAAAATAATTCTTGAAAAACGGTGACTTCATTGATACGAGTGACATTTCGCGGAAATTGATTAACTTTTAATGAGGTTCTAAAAAGCATAAGTGGTTTGTTTTGTTGATTGCTGCATTGAAATTTTCATTTGAAAAATATTATCCATATTTAAAAAGCAAAAGGACCAAACAATTAAATATGTTTATTTTTCTTTTAGTAGCGGTCTTGAAATTAATATTTTCACAGTGGAAAAAGTCACAAAGATTCGTTTTTGCGTCAGCTTTTGTGTAAAAAAGAAATTTTATTTAGTACAAAGAAAAAAATAATTTATTCAAGGGAGACCAATTGCTCAAAATTTAAATTTTTTAATATTTTGAATGCAAAATTGGAAGTTCATGAGCAAAGAACCGTGGTTCTACTCGTTTAAAAATCGTTTTTATTAAACAACAAAACAGCCTTAAAATAAATGTGATCGCGGTCATCATAAAACGCCGGAAAGCAGCTTGGTTGCTCGTAAAATAGGGACGCAGATCGTGAACAAAACTGGTATACAGAGCTGTTTTTTATTTCAGATCGAATGAAAAGAATTTTTCAACGAGAGAATAAAGCAGTGAAATATTACGATTTATAGCGCTTTTGATCCAGATTTTAATTAATTTTATCGACCTTTTATCTCATTGAACATTGTGACGTAACTGGCCAATTGAGAGAAATAAAAACAAATTATATTTACAGAAATTTCTACATTTACTCCTTATAAAATATAACTTGAATTAAGTTTACTCCATCGCTTGCATGCTCTACATATTAATTTTTCCTTTCCTTTTATAATTAATTACAACCGGGCTCGGAAAACGTGAAAATAAAATTATTTTTATATTTGAAAATTTCATAATTTTATATTATTGCTTGAATTATGGGGGCTCTATATTAAGTTTTTTTTCTACTTATTCACTACGAGTTTACCTTTTTTGGGCTACTTTAAAAATCTTGACGCAGCTATAGGTGTTTCCTCTCGGGATACAAGTCGCAGTCTGAGGAATATTCGGGCAAAGCATGCTGCGTTTGGTAGTGGGGGAATTTTATGCACTCGATTGCACTTTTTACCCCACAGCGTTGGAAAAAGCTCTAGGGCAGACGGCAGACGTTGCTTCTTGATGAGATGGTGAAAAAATGTAATGGGTAAATTAAGGGGCGCCGAGCCGATCAGTCGCGCACAATTATGTTGCACATATGTCATGAGGCCAGACAGGATATGAGACTTTTGGCACCACGTTTATTCGAATGCACACGAAATGGAATTTTATTTGTTCCGGTGAAGGATAATCCAAATTTAACACGGTAGAATTTTTATTTAATTCCATCCTTAAATTGGTCTGACTCACCTTTCGTTCATAGAGTGAATCCTCAAAATTATAATTGTAACTAAAAATAACGGAAAAATTATTTTACAAACCAATTAAAAATTCATTGAACTCAAAATGTTTGTAAAACTTTACATAAGTACAATAAATTATTATAAAATTTATGAGAGCAGCCCTGGAGCAGCATAGATTATTTTCACTGCATTCATTGACTAAAAAGATACAAAATTTATCAGCGTCATCAATCTGCAGAGCGTTCAAAAGAATCGTTTGCCAAAAGAACCCCAGAGTCCAAATTTTTGCTTCCCTTTTACCTGTACTGAAGAAATATTTTTTTGTTAAAAGTTTTTATGTTAATTAAAAAAAAAAAAATAAAAAATGTATTTTGTCTAAAAATATGAATACATCAAATAAAGAGCATTAGGAGCAGATATTAAAAAAAAAAAAAAAAACAAGTCAAGATTTGTTTTTAAGGGAAGATTATTAATTGGAGCCATTTTTGGCAATTATTGGGAATTTAACCACCATTGTTGTAAAGACTTGATGACTTGATTCCTTAACGGTTAATTCCAACAGTGCAGAAATCAAAACTAAATATCGCAACAATTAGAATTTTATTTCACATCGTAGAGCCATTGCAAACTAATCTAAATTTAGAGAATTGAGCGGATTCCATACCCAGCAGCTCGGTAGTGCCATGTGTGTTATTTATAAATTGCGGTGTTGGCGGAGGAATGTTTTTTTTAGTTCGTAGCAAGAAATCAAGTTTTACCGCGAACACGTTGTGCGAGCGTAAAAGTGAATTAAACTGCAGTGCAAGATGACCGGCTGCTTTTTCTGCGTGCGCCCGACTTTCTCGCGTGGGCAATTTTCTCTTTGTGCCCTGCATTTTCTTGCACCGCTGCTGGCAAAGTGCATCAGCTATAACGAACATTCACTTAAACAATTACTTTAGTTAATCATTCGCAATTTCCCTACTGTGTCTCGTATAATGGATTAAAATAAAGAAAAGTTTTCAATAATTATGCGAAATCCGCAAACTAAACATATATGATTTCAAGAAATAATTATTTAAAAATCTAAACAAATTTGGGCTCAATTTGCAGCACAAAAACTCGTAAACTATTCCATATTTTCAAATTTTCTTATTTTTTATCATGATAATTTTTTTTTTATTAAAGCTTATTTAAAAATTGTGAATTGTGCATTTTTTTCTCTGATTTGAACAAATATTAGTAATAAAGAAATAGCTTATTCCCTCTGCAACAGAGACTTACAAAATTATAATGCATGTTATTAATTTTATTTCGTATTATATTAATCTAAGATAGCATTTCACCTAGATCATTATTTGCAACTTAAAAATCTAAATGTGGTGAATTTTGAAGCAATATTTTGCGTCAACGACTGTAGAAATTTCGTCATTATTTCTATCTGAAATCTTGAGCTTGAATGCCACTGTAGCGATTCATTCAGGAAAGATTAATTTATTTTCATGATGCACAGCCTGCCGCAACCGGATTTTCATAAGTGCATTGCGAGTTGCTTACCTGGAAGGATAAGCGAATGAGCCAAGCGCCAGGTTTATTTTTAAATTATCTTGCAGCAATTTTTATAATCACGACCCATTTACTTTTTTTATTGGTGTTGCTGACTTTTCTTTGGAAAGAAATTTATTTGCTATGGTCGCAGCAGATTTTCAAGCTAGATTTTCAACGTCGGCTCTTTCTCTGGCTCGAAGATTACGTTAATGGTGACTAACGAAAGGTCAATTTTTAACCCTGATGCCGCGTCCCACCCTGAAATTCCAAAGCTTACCCATTGAAAATACAATTGATAAAATGTAGGAAAATTTACAGTACAAGATTAGCAAGAATTTAAATATTAAAAAAAAATTGATCAATTGCAAATTAAATTGAATTTTCGGGAAGCACTTGGAGGTTTCAATGGCCCTGAGCGTCATCTATATAATCCACCTTTTTATTTACATTTTCAAGTAAGACATCTCAATAAGTATTCCTTCTTAATAGGTTTTCGTCAACGTTTGGAATAATCATGCGCGCAAGTTGTTTTTGTTTGCAGGAAATTGTTACGTTCCTTATCAAATTTTGTTCTTCAACTTTTTTTTTTAACAAGAATATACAAATTTGGCGACTGGTAGGCAAAAATAATATTCACTTTATTTGAGCATTAATTCTCACAACATTAATTCACACTTTCCTGTGATATATTATGTGGTCTACATTATTAAAATAAATACATACTGCAGCACTGGCACTGTCATACATTTGCACCAAAAATTTACTGACGTCCTTTCTTGTAAAAGTTCTCAGAGTTCAGTTTGGTGAAGAGGAATGGCGCGTTCGGGGTTGGACACTTGAAAGGGTGCATCAAACTGGGTGGAATTTGCGAATACGACTTGTTGCCCACCGGCTCCAGCATATTGTTCCAGTACATGTTGGCCACTAAAGGTCAAAATTTATTAAATCATAAAATAAATTGAAAAAAATTACTCATGGCGTGGCCTTTTTGGCTGAAGTGGAAGCAGTCGTATGTGACGTAACTCGCGTCGACGGCCATTTGGAATTTCCCTGCTTCGATTTCCGACCAGGGTGCGTCCAGGACCTTCATGAAGGGCTGGAATACCACCGTGAAATCTGGTCTAGTGTCGTATTTTCCACTCAGGGTCTAAAAAGAAAAAAAATAATATAAAATTAAAAAAAAAAGGAAAATTTGCTTTTTTCCCGAGGCAATATTTAAAACTACATAAGCAATAATATTTGAAATATTTCCCTAAACTCACCAACATTTCCTCTGCCTTTTGGTACTCGCGCACCGCTTTCCAAATTTCCTCCATTTTTTGGCCCCTGTGGAAACACTGACAGAAAAGGCGGTGCAAAACCTGGCACGTGAAGCTCGACGGCACTCTTTTGCTGACCAGAACGTCTTTTTGCGAGAAAGAATATTTTGTTACAATTTCAAACTGGAAAATAATTTATATCACTGACCAACAACAGAAACGAGGCTGACGAAAGTGCGCGGCAAGTGGCGCTGCAAATAGTCCAGCGCCTTTTCAATCTGCTTGCGGTGCTCATTTCCTGTGTTTTCGGCTGGTTTGTAGCACTGACTCGAGCATAGGTCGTTTGCGCCAATCAAAATCGTGATCAACTAAAAATTTAATTTATTAATCAATTTATAAGAGTGAAAATTTAATTTTTTTTATAAACTTACTTTCCAGTGCTTCTGGATGTTGATATTTGGGTCTTTCCTCATTCTGGCAACTAAAATTCTGGCTTGCTGAAGCAGATTTTCGTCAGCAGACACGGGAATGGCAACGTTCAGGCGAGAGTTGGGCGAGTGGAATTCCCCCGTTCCGGTCGAGTAGCCCCTCAGCCGAGGGTTGAACTCTTTGATTAGGTTTGGCACTGTCAAGAACTGGCGCCAGGTGCCATCACCACCTGAAAACAAAACAATCATTGTCATAATGAAAAAATTGGTATAAAAGGGGGAGCTGAAATCTAAATAATTAAAATTATTCCTAGTCTTTAATTATATTTTTATATAACGCTCCTAAAGATAAGTTTCAATCTAATGAATGCTCTTTATAATATCAGGGTTTTTTGTACCGGGTGGCCTGCTATTGTTTTCACTTTTATTGGTAATCAAAAAAGAAAAATCTGAATAACCTGTAGTGTTTTTGTTTTTTATATGCTAAAAATTAAAAAAAAATATATTTGATTGCTTCGTTCATATAACTCTTTAAAATAATGAAGTAAAAAATCTTCAACACGGTTTACATTTTTGGTTCAGCCAATATCAAAAAGGCATTGCAACTCCCATGTGAAAAAATTAATTTCATATTTTATGGGTATTTATAACAAATCAAAATGATATTTTAATTAATCCGGAAAAGAACACTGCTAATAATTCAAAATAAAATTTCATTATGGCGATATTTTGTAAAAATTATACAAATTAATTGAGAACTAATTTTTATAGTTGTCTGAAATTTTGTCTATTTTTTACTCACAAACTCAGCTTAAAAAGTTCTATTTAGTTATTTTCTCTGCAAATAAACTTTACTTTGAATTTATCAAGCTATTTATTTGATTTGAAAATATTATTCGAAAGAAAGAGATTTTGTACCTGCACACCAGGAAACACCCCTGTGCTCGAAAAAGGTGCCGGCCGCGTATTCTTCCATCGCGCCGTTTCCGGCGATGAGGCTGTCACCGAGGGCTGCGACCACATCGATGTCGCCCGGCCGCAGTTGGTGCACGGAAGTGGGAAAAGAGTCGGACCGCATTTGCACGTCGTGGCACGGCAGGTGCATTCCTTTGGGAAAACGCTGCTGCCGACGGGCGGCGCTCACAATCTTCGGGTAGCGGAAACTCGGCTCGATCTGCATTTCAAAAAATTAATTTCAAAAATTTAAATTTAACAAAATTGGTACTTGATTCGTGAAGAGGCTGAAGTTGGAGTTGAAGGGCCACCATTGTGCCGAGGCGTGATGCTGAAGGTTGGCTGCGAAAAACAGGACGATCCAGACTTTTGAGAGAAAAGCGGCTCCTCGGGAGCTGCTGCCGTGTCTGTCAAGACCATCCAAAGGCATTCTTCGGTTGGAACTGCGGAAATAATTCCAAATAAACGTTTAGCTGATAAAAATTGACCAAATTAAGAAGCTCGGCCTTGGTGCTCATTTTTATCTCGTTGCAAAAAAGGATGTTGAATTTGTCTCGTGTGCCAAAGAATTCGATGCTCAAGGAATGAGTTGTGATTTTTCGACTTGCTTTGCTCAAGAAGTTGTCGACGTAACGACTTTTTGCGATCCATTTTTCATTGTGCGTTTAATCAAGTGTTAAATTTTTTACAAATCTGCTTCTGAAGAAGACTTGCGTGACGAATATGAATAAAGAATGACGGAAAAAAATCAAGCTATAAATTCATAATGACGAGACAAATATTTTTCTGTTTCATCAAACAGCAGCAAAAAGTGTGCTGAATTTTGAAGGTCTGTGCACAATAAGAAGAAAGAGAAAACGAAATAATAAGTGTTGAATTGTTGATCAATCAATCAATAAAAAATAATACAATCAACTAAATTAAGAAAAAATGCATTAAATCAAGATTTCTCAAATGATATTCATATGAAATTTTTCATAAAATTTTCTCCATATTTCTGAATTAAATCCGTATTTGAAATCATTTTCACTCTTTCTAGTGCGTCACTAAAAATTTTGGCCGCATCAATTGTTAATTAAGGAAATGTCTCGATGAGAATAAAAAAATGGTCAATATCCCTATTAATTTTATATTTTTGTATTGGACAAGCCAATAGCCGAAGTATTTTTTTTTTTTAATTATTAAAAAACATTCAATTCTATCGATAAATAGAAATTAAGAATCTTCTATGGGACTTGAAAAATTCTTCCCAACAGAGCATAAAGTAATTTTTCGGCATTAGCTGCAAAACAAAGAATGAAAAAAATCAAAATGTAAAAAAATAACTATTATTGGATTGAAAATTTTTTTAACTTGTCCTGACTTTTAAATATTTCAATAATCTGTTTTTTTTTTAAATAATGCGAAAACCTAGAACTGAAAATTGACCCCGTCAAACACTCTAATTCGTTCTCTAAAAAGAGGATGTTTGTGGGACATAAAAGTGAAAATAGGAAATGTGTGTGGACAAACATAGAGAGATACGTACTCACGCGGCGGCGAGGGCGATGTTCCGTCCGCTGCTGCATCAAAGCCGCAAATGAAGCTCGTCCATCAGGATGCTGCTAACCTCGGCCTTAACTGTGAGGGAAATAGTATACACGCCACTCAATTATTACATAAATCTGGAGTGAGATAAACCATGATAGTATAATACAAGCTCGAGTCAGCCAGGGCCGCCTACAAAGTGGGGGCCGCGACTCTAGCACTTCATACAAGTATTTTCTTATACCGGCTCTATGCACACAAAGCCAGCAAATTAATATGCTAAATTTTTTCTGAATTATATGTTTATAGTGGAATCTCTCTATCTTCGCCTGACCCTATAAAAAGTTGATTTTTTACATTTATATTATCCTCCAAAACTCTTCTCATTAAGCAATTATGTTTATTTAATTTGAAGCATTAGCAGAAGGTTAGAAGAGTAAAAATATTGAACATATTGAATTTTAATTTAACAAGTTTAGGATTATTAATAATATAATTATCAATATTATTTTACAATTATTCCTTAAATTATTTTTATGGACAAAGAAAATTAAATAGTGTACCAGATAATTGGCTTCAGTTGGCATCAATTTATTTATTTTAATTATTTTATTAATGATAACGTTTATTTCAATGTTTTTTCCTTGCTTTCGATTAAATTAATCTTCTTTTTGTACAACAATATTTGAACAGGAAATAAGTATTAATTTATTTTGTAATTTTTCGCAAGGACGTCGATAAATTTTGCCTACATAAAATTTTGCATACAATATTTCCGCAAACAAATAAACAAAAGCTGTAGTAATTTTTACCAAAAATCAATCGGCCTTTTAATCGTTTCCGTTTGATGAGCAGAACCACTATAGAGAAGGTCCCACTCGTTGCTTTTTACGCGCGCAAGAGAGAAACGGAGGGGGATCCATTCACCTTGAATGAGCGTGTGTGCAAGATGAGCGCGCGGCGGAGGAAGAAAGAAAACGAAGATGCAGCTGATTAAATAATTAGGGTGCGGTCGCGGGCATCGAATTAAAAAAATCGTGCTCCTAGGATGGATTATACATGCGCATATGTAATAAAATAAATTATCCTGCCACACACTCGCATCTGGCACCGAAATAATAATAAAAAAAAAACTCCCAAAACTTTCTCCTCTTGTCCCAAGTTTTTAGATTTGGTTCACAACTGGAAGAAAACAGAAAGGAAAATCATTTCTTGATGAATTAAATAGGAAATAATTTTTCGGCACAATTTTATCTCTAAAAATAAGACTGGAGATTTTTTTCATTTTATTTTTTATTTTTGAGTCATTTAGAATCAAAATATGTGGTATTAATAACTGCCTGTTAGATTTTTCAGGACAAAAGGACAATATTTTTAGATTTTTAAACTCTATTTTATGACTTTTAAGACTTTTGTGGTCTTTTAATGCAGATTTTAATTTTTAATTAAAATTTATTTTCCACTGATTTACAAAAGTTGATTCATTTATAACTTTTTAAAAATTTCCACATATTTTTAATTAGGGAATTCAGTTTGTTTAATAACCTCAATATTATTGTAGAAGTAAAATAAAAGTAAAAATTACACTTTTTTTATATAGAATTACAAGGAAAAATGATTAGTTATATTTTACTTTCTTCTGCTTTGATGCTAAAAAACTTGGGCCTAAAAGAGCCCTTTTGGAAAAAAGGACGTATTTTTACGAGTCTTAATTTTCTTATAATACAAGTCGCAATAAAAGAGACTTTGATTTATTTGCGACCTTTGAATTGTGACAGTCCCGAGTTGTCTTTGTCTTTTGCCTAGCCCCGCTTCATTCTAACGAGCACGCATCGTCAGTCGAAGAAAAGATTTTTATTAAAGCCGCAATTTTATAGCCTTGAATGTGACTGAAAAATTATACACATTTACAGGACGATTTATTTCTATATGAAATATTTTTTCAGCGTTGAAGAGATTTTATTTATTTACTTCTTGAGTGTTCAATGAACTTGAGCGGAACGACTACTTCCTAGAGCTTAACGTTTATAAGCACTCGAGATTGCTTGAGAAATCGCCTTGGGAAAAAAACAATGTCAAAAGCCGGCTTTTCAGCTTCGTTATTCCGCCACTCATTGCCGCCGCTTCTTGTAAGAAGTCTTTTATGGCTGCCATCGATATAAATTAATTGAATAAAACAGAACACACACCTTTTACAGCTGGCAGAGGCCGCCGCTTGGGAACATTATTTTTCGTCCCAATGATGAGCAATTATTTTTTCTAGCCGCCGGCGCATTCAAATGGTGCTTTGTTGTTGCGTGAGCGTCGGCAGTTTGTCATGATTCATGATTTACTTAGAGGGGATTTGCGACCGCCAAAATTATGTTTGTTTTGAAATCGTCAGGTTCTATACTCACGCAGCTAATGATGTTTGACATTATTTCATAAAAAGTGCACCATCAAGATTTATGATTAGGATAATATTTGATTTATGTTTTGCATCATAGATTGATGGAAATACAAACATTTTAATGTCATTACATTTTCCTTCAAATAATTAATTTCACAATTTTAATTTCGGTGACAGATTATTATTGAAAGGTATCAAAATAATAAAAATTTATTAGAAAACATATAGCAAAATTTTCCATGTTTTTAAGAATTTCTTGATTTTTTTTTTAAATTGTTTAGATGTATTAATTTGTTTAATTAATATATAATAAAAAAGTAATTAATTTATGCTAAATTCTTTTTATAGGTGAAGAGTGAAGAACTTGAGCGTTCAAATTTTCTCATTTTCACTTTGAATTGTGAAAATATCAGGAAATAATAGAATAAAATGTGAACTGATTTTTACCCCAAAGGAAGTTCTGAAATTAAAAATTTAATAACCTCAATAATTGTTCCTGTTTTAAATAATATTATGCACGAGTTCTTAGAAATGCCTAATTTAGGAAATATCTCTATTTTCTTCGAGTCTTTTGTGCGTGCAGCGCGAGCGCAAGGTAGGAAAAAGTACCATGGTCTGCTCGTTCATACCGCTTGAAGCACACAGGTTTTATTCTTATTTTGCGTGAGCTCGTTTGCAAATTGCGAAAAGAGGTTTTTCGCTGAAAGAAAGAAAGTTGAGTTGCCACTCTTTTGCTGTTGGGTACAGCTGCATTAGAAAAGCAGCTAAGAAACCCACTTACTCCTTTTATATATATATAAATAGTTGCATAACTTAATATTGTCTCTATTCACTAGAGAATTATTAGAATCTGGAAAAAATATATATGCTCATTATTGTTTATGTGTGTAAATTCAATGCCAGCGTAATTTAATCATTTTATTACTCAACTATGAAGTAATTTAGCACTTTTTGCGCACGTGTGATCACTTGTACGTACACAACAGCACTAATACCGCAGGATCAAATTAACATCCTCGCCGGAGAGATTCCAACCTTGACTTTTCAGCTTCGGAGCACTTCGGAGGATGAGAAAACTAATGAGTGACACAAACGTGAAACAAATTTGACGTGTTTTTTTCCCTTAATCAGTGTCATTTTTTCTTTTGTAATCAATTATATTTAACAATTCCAGCTCGATTTTTCATATCCGTTTCGAAACGAGTTTGAACTTTCTTTCTTTCTCTGACTATTGATTTATTTTTTCTTAAGCGACGCTCCCAAGAATTACTCAAGCATGACTACTCCAATGCCGGGGATTTTTATTGGTGACATACAGGTGACGGAGAGAATAGATTCGCTTTCAAAAAATGTTTATCCGGTCAGTCGCAACCTGACCTATCCTAAAATCAATGGAGAGAAAATCGCGCATTCCTTGTAGTCTTGCCAGACTACTGGGCGGGATCTGGCCCACAACTATATAGCCGCGGACAGAATGAAAGTGAAACCGGATGCTGAAAAATTCCCTCATGAAGTAGAAAGAGAAGGCAAAACGTTTTCAGTTCCATTATTATTTTGAATTGCAATTAATATTGTTCGAAATATTGTTTAAAATTCAAGATGAGTTGTATTCCATTAAAAAAATAAATCTGATTAATTTAAAACCATTTTAAATTTGAATTTTTGGGCCTTAAAAATCTTCTCTTATGGTTTTAATTTTTATTTTTCATATAATTATGTAGAAAAGTTCGTGTATGGGGCAAAGTTGCTCATAATTAGAACCCAATTAAAACTAATTAGCGACTAAAAATGGTAATTTTCTTGATAAAATGTAAAAAATTTGCATATCTGGGGATTTGAAAAGCGCGGTTCTAATTTCATTGAAGATTAAAATACGATAAGATCTGAACAACTCTCGATAGAATCCGGCACAGCCGCGAATTCCTGAATGTATAACAAGCGCCAGGAGCAACTCATTAGTCCACAAACCCGTGTCTGCATAAAGAGCGTGAGGCTGCGCGCCGCTTCACCTCTCCCGCATCTTTTCTCCTGCTCTCTTCGCTCCACGAACCAATTAATCATCAATTTCTCTCTCGTTAGTCAAAAATTCCAAAACTCTCCTACGCCTCTACCTTTAAAAATGTATTCTCGAAGATATGTAAGAATTTTTATGCAGCTGGGCAAGGGAAACAACTTTTCCTTTCCTCTCCGTTTTACATTTTGATATCTTGCAAAGATTTTTTCTTTCGATAAATCCAAATCTGGTACCGAGGTCGGTAATTACGCCGTTGCCCAATTGGGGCCGGTTTGCGCCACCAAAGTATGAATGAAAAAGTGGTTGTGCGACAAAAATATCGCGTAAATTTCGGACTCTTTAAAAGGCCGCAGACGACCTTCCTAGTTTGGCAGCCGAGTTCCGTCATTGCCATTCCAGTCTCAGCGCATATAAATTTCAAATTAGCGGCGCGTCTGACACTGATCAAAAATGGTAATTTGTGAGCCGCGTTTTCCAATTTCAAATATGGTGTTCGTGAAAGAAGAAGTGTTTGCTTTTTCACAGACATGCCGTTGAGCAATTGGTCATTTCACTTTTTTAATTATTTATAGTGTTAGCTCCAAAATTTTTATTTTATAAAAAATTAAGAAATAAAAATTGTTTTATCGCATAAATTTTTCTTATTTGTCATTATTAACTATATTTTCAAATTTCAATCAGTTTTAAATATGTTTCTGAGGTTTTGATTATTACATATCAAACCTTTGCACTCTTTGCAGCCATAATTGGCCGTGCTTTTTCTTATTCTGGTGCATTTATATTCCAAAAGATTTAAATGATTTTGGTGGTTAAGTAAAGTCATTTTTAATTTGTTTTTGCTGCCGCCATGCGATTGTGGTGAAAATTCATTCAGGAGCCTACCAGTTATCAGTTAATGCTTTTCAGCCGAGTTTGTGTGTTAATAAAAGTAACATTAAGTCACTTAAAATAACTAATGGAAAAATTAGCAATCATAAATAATTTCCTTCAAAACTTTTTTCTCGTTGTTTATGTTTTTCATGTACAAAATCGTTTTTAAGATTATCTTCCACTCTTATGCGATTTAAATTGAAAATTTTTAATGCATGAATGATTTATTTGTGCAGATATTGTCCAATGTTAGAATTTAGAACCAATAAAGACACTTTGCAGCTAAAAGTTAAAGGATAAAATCAATGAATTTAATTAAATCTATTTAATTTGTTTAAGAATTATAAAGTTTTGAAGAAAACTTTCTTCAGTTTTTAGTGTTGTAAACTTATCCGAAATAGGCAGACCAATGACGGATATACTCATTTTTAATATAAAGAAGTGGAATCATGAAAACTATCAATTCTGATTTTAGGCTCATCTGTAGAAACAAATTGTTGCGAAACATAATCCATGAAACCACGCAATAGAAAATCCCCCACAAAAAAGTTACGAGCTGCACTCATTGGGAAAAACATACGAGATAATGCTGAATCAGAGAAGAGAGAATATGAAACGCGGCACAACCTCAAAAAAGCAATATAATAACATATTAAACCGGCGCGTACGTCCCACGCAGCAGCATAGCAGCCCAGCAAAAAGTAAAAGTGGATTCGGGCTGCCGTGGATAATTTATTTGTATTTTCTTATTAGATTATTTCGACGTGGCGCGCGCATTAAGGAGTCGCATATACGCAGACAGTTTAATAGGATTCAAGGGGATTTTTGGGTGTCGCCTACACACGCACTCTCGAGATTAAATATCTCGTGCGATGCCCACATCAATCACGAGCAACGACCCTTTTTCCAACCTTAATTCTCAACTTGATGATTGTTTTTATTTTAATAGAAGGAGCGTGCGCGCGTGGTTTTGCATTTTAATCTTTTGGCGAAAATTGGGTTAGCGCGGAGACAATAGGCTTATTAGTTTTGAACTTGCGCTTTCAACTTGAAATAATTGACTTTTGAAAGAATTAAATATAGATTACAGAATTCCGAGCACCAAAAAGAGTTTCGACCCAAAAGTACTTATATGTAGGTTAATAAGTTACCGTAATATATAAGTAAATTATATTATTTATTTTTGTTGTTTCGATAAAAATTATTTTATATTAATTATTTAATTTCAAGTTGTTACTATTATAAAAGTAAATTAAATTATTTTTCTTATACAATGACATATTTGCTTGTTTTTATTTTATTTAATAATTAAACACATCGGTAAAATTTCAAGATGAATCGTTGAAAATTATTTAAGCAATGGTTAGGGCTAGTAGCTTATATTTAATTATTTGAAAAATGAGATTAAATTTAATTTGTGTAAAATTCTCAATACTTGTAAAATTTTTAATTGCCAGTTTTAAAATGCAAATAAAAATCAAGTACTGCTGTATTAAAATATAATTCATATTTTATAAATAAAAAATTAAAATGATCAAAATAATAAATAATGCTGACGCTGATTTTTTTTAATTTAAAAAAAAAATGTAGATAAAACTAATTCAAGTGTGACTTACTTATCTCAGGAAATATTGTAATCCAGATAACTGCAGCAATAACTGGTTCATCTTGATCAATCCCTTGCTGGATAAACCACGAACCATTTAGGCCGGCGAGCACGTGCGAATTGAAAAAGGGATCTCGTCGAGTCGCGGGCAAATCGAGTCGGAAGGGCCGTCGGGAATGGGGGGACGATTGAATGTGGGCAAACGTCTACGCGCATTTCGTTTTCTTCGCGGCGCATGTGTTCCACCTCTGCTCGCGAAATGATACGGCGAGTGCGTTTTTTTTGTACGCCGTGGCGGGGAATTTACGTTTCTATATAACAAAAAAAAAAAATAATAAAAGACCTCACGCATCTGAATTTTTTCATGCCACTCTGCATAACTCGGCGGTCAGTGCTTTTCGCGGCATTATTTTCTCTTTCCGTTGTTGATTATTGTAATTAAAAGCATCGGCGGTCGAGTTTCAGTTGTTTCCGCAGTGTTTCCGTCGCCTAATTTTTGACGAGTCATGCTGCATTCAATGCTAACAGGCAACAATATATCCAAATTTAAAAAATTCAATTCAATCGCTCTATTCAATATTAAAAATGTGTGATCATAATTTCAAAATATTAATTCTTCTAATAATGACTGAGGAGATAAAAAAAAAATTATGATAATATTTAAACATTCAGCTAATTAGGCAGATAATTTTTTTTCAATTTTGAATAGTAGATCCCTAAGTTGAGAATAAACAAAAAATTAATGCTCAATCTGAGCGAGAAAAAGCTTTTTTTTTTAAACACTGATTTAATTATGAAAATAACTGTTGTCATTGTTTCAAAAGGATTTTAATTTATAAAAAATGAAATTTGATAAGTTTGCACTCCAACTGACTTTTAAAAATTTAAATAAGAGTAGCCAAAGCATACACAAAACAATACATAAAAATTCTAATTTCTTTTATTTAAAATTTCCATATAGTTTTTTTTTTTTAGTTTCTTCATTTTCGCCTGTAACATGGAAAAAAACTATATAAATTCTAATTTAAATTTTATATACGTCTACATTTTTTTAAAACTCGTGGAAGTTTATTGTGAGATTCTTGTTGCCATGAAGTTTTTTTTATATACTTTTCTTTATTCAATTTCTAACAATTTAAGAAATCTTTCAATGAAGCATAGTATTGTGGCTACCGTGACCTGCATAGTAAATTTAAAAAAAAGAGAGACATCGGACGCACAAAAATCAGTTCATCAAAGCTCGTCTTATTGCGTCCCTGAAGGAAGAATTTCTGTGGCGAAAAGTCGCCGTCTCTGTCATTGGAAACCAATCGATGAGTAAATGCGTGACCACAAAACCGAAGAGTATTTTGCGGTGTTCTATTCCAGTTAATTGCAGTGTAGAGATGCAGACGAAAGTGAATATCAGAGCAGACGAAAGCAGAACGCACATTTTGGGGTTTCGGCAAAAAAAATTCTTGTTTTGTGAAATCAGTCGAAATTCTTATTTAATTTCACCATTGGGTCGAGCAGCGAGTTGCATACAAATATCAAAAGTGTGTACGTAACATTCGACCACAATAATTGAAGAGAGCTTTTTTACTTCTCAAAGCGAGGAAGTGGTAAATTAGTTCAGCAAGGCAGTCGAGTGACATTATTATATCTCGCAAATCAAATGCGTAAAACGCGTAGAAACTGCAAACAAATAACTCCAATTACCGTAACTAGACCTTGGGTATGTAATTAATTTTAAGAGCACGCGCATTCTTCATTTATCGTGTATCTCGCTGCCTCAATCAAGAAGATATAAAAGCGTTGTTCCACCTTTTTGAACAAAGGTTTACTTTTTTTATCAATCTTCGTGAACAGTTCCTCTTTCAATACGATAAAGTATGTCGCAAGCTGCAATATCAAAAGAGGAATGCATAGAAAAATTACAAAACTATTTCAATTGTTGAAAGGATTTGCTCTGCAAAAAAAATCTTACAATTAGCGTAAAATTAATGAAATATAAAGACAAAGTTTTTACCATTTAATTAAGTAATCGGTTCTCTGCTGAACCAAAAAGTTCTTTTGCTGAAAAATTAAAATTTTTATAAATTATTATTTTATTTTTCCAAATTTTTATTATATTTTTGCATATAAAGATAAGAAAAGAAAAACGATTTTTAGTGATTTTTAGGAGGAAAAGATTTTGTCAAAACTTTACTCAAGTTAAAACATACCCCATCTGCCGCAGTGAAATAATTGGAATTAAAAATAAAATGCAATTTTTGTACTTTTTGTTTGTTCTTTATTAATATTTTTGACTAGATTGCTTGAAACAGAAATAATCAGGGAAAAAACTATTAATATATTGGCCTAAATTATTTTTTACGTTTTAGGATGTTTTATCATCTTTTACAAGAGGCAGAGGAGGTGCTTGCCTGCGTGGTCCAGGTCCTCCAGCGCCCAGTGGCAACTTGACTGGCTCTGGTACTTGTTTCAAACTACACACTACATGTTGTACGGCTTGAAAGGTCTCTTTCGTGGGTGGCGCGGGTCCACCTGCCCCAAGTGGAAGCATAGGGGCTCTTCCACACACGTCGGCACCGCCTCTTAGGTCAGCCTTGCTCTCCTCCTCGGGTCCAGGTGAAATCAACGATTCTGGTTCGGACACTCGGTTTTGCTCAGCCAGCATGCGTTCGTACGCGTGCTGAGGCGCCGGACTGGGGATGGGATCGCCTGCCTTGATCGGCGGTCCCAAAAATCTAGGAGGTGCTGCGAAATCCCTCACAGGCTGCAAGGGAATAAGATCGATTAAAAGAGGTTTTGATTGTAAATATTTTAAAATAAATAATGCGTTCAATTTGAATGAATTATTTTTTTTAATACCCTCGGTATTTGGACATACATAAATATAAATTTATATTTTTTGCAATTATAAAAAATTATAATTAGTATTAATAAATTATAAAAAAGTATAGAAGTGCATGCAAAATTGTTATGAAAATGTTTAATAATTTTTGCCTACTTTCAGGGATATTATTGCATGTACAAGAGCCATTTTCATACCTTTGAAATTGAATTTCATTAAAAGTTTAATGCTTATGTGATGGTTTGTAAAAAAACTTCAACAATTCAAATAATTCGTATTTTCACAATTTTTTTAATCACTCTGATTCAGATTTAAGATTATGATATATTTTTAATATTTTCCTTTGAATGAATTTAAAACTTACTTTCATAGGTTTATCCTCATCTCTAGTGGGCCTTTCCATTTTTCCTTCGTTTAATTTCACAATCGGCGTCCAAAATGAAGAGGGTTTTTCAGCAAACTGCGCTGATGAACAAGGAAAAGCAGCTCTTATATCCCTTTAGCGTGAATCGATGACAAAAAAGTCAAACAAACCAATCTTATCAGTTCAGAATGATGAATTACCGCAGCAATCTATACTCGCTGGAGCGGCGCTTCAACTTTGTGATTCATTCGCACATCACGCGCAACTTAACTTTGGAACGCGCGAGGCCTTAACTAGTCAATGATCTCATGCAAGGTACGCCTCAGCGTTTCCCGTTGTTGTGAAATATGTAACATTTGAAGAATGATTTTGTTTATTTCAATCAAAATTTTTGATTTTCAATGTCAAACTTGATTCACATTCACCGTGAGATTAGTTGCAGATTATTAAGAAACAAAAATTATTGGTAAAAATTTAAATTATAGAGCTTTTTACTTAATTAATATTTCATTTAAATTAAAATGGGTTTATCCTGGTCGAAATGCAGGTTTTTTTAGTGAAAAATCAACAATTATATAATTTTCTACCCATGTCTTTTTATCACATTTCCAACAGCACAGATTACGTGATAATAAAAATACCAAAATAAAATGACTAATAAGTTACAAAAGTCATCAGTTATTTTTCTTTAATTCATGATTAAAAAACTAATTTGCAATAAACAATGAAATTATCATCATAATTTGATCAATGTCTAGCCATTAATAGCGCGAACAGTGCGCGCTTTTATTTTGTATTTTATACTAAAAAATGAACTTTTATCTTCAAAAATTACAGCAAGTCAAGACGTGCATGGGTGTTACTGCTTATAATAGAAAACGTCGATTTTTTTTGTATTGCGCGCGAGCCTAGTTATTTTCCTTTTCTTTTTGAAGCATTATTTATGGATAAGATAAAACTTAATGGAGTCGGTTTAAGCACCGTTCACAGCTAATTAAGCTGCTGCCGACTGCTTTTAATGCGAAAATTGCGTGCGCGTCGGTTCAAGACAAACAAACTTTCGCTGCGAGGGACCCCTCTATGCGGTTAAACTCTTCAAAACGTGCGTAAATACTTTATTATGCAAACTGGCAAACATAGATGTTATACATACATACAATTGCTTACAACATAATAATACATGGATTATTAATTTTGCTGCTGACACAAATTCAATAAATTCAAAGCACCATGCATCTGTGGCTGGCTGAAGAGGGGGCTAAGAAAATATATCCCCCAATGACTTGGGGACAAAAAATTGAAGGCGGGACAAAAAATATTTAACCCGGGACAGTGGTCTAAATTTCATCCCTTTGGATTTATCCCGGGAGAGTTAAGTCTATTGAATCTCCCCTAATATTATCAGGATTTTAAAAATTTTGTTCGTTTAAAAAATTTCAAAATAACGACTGGTTTAGACCTGGTTCAAAACAAGTGCGGAATCGGTGCAGAACTGGTGCAGCGGTTCTGCATCAGGTCTACACAAGTTCTAAACCATTTCTGCACCAGTTATAGTGCTTCAAAATTCATTAATTTAAATATATCAGAAAATATTTATTTTTTCAAAAAAATTCCTCAAATTAAAGAAGTTTTTCGAAAAAATGGAGATAGATAAATTATTTTAAAATTTATTAATGTTGAGACTAAAAAATTTTAAGTTTAATTTATATTTTTTTATCTTTCTTAGGATTTAAAAAATTCTTTTACAATCAATTTTTTTTAAATTAAGCACTTTTGCAGACCTGGTTCAAAACAAGTGCGGCATTGGTGCAGAACTGGTGCAGCTGTTCTGCATCAGGTCTACACAAGTTCTGTACCATTTCTACACCAGTGTTGCTGCAAAATTATTATAATTTTAATATTTAGGATTTTTTTTTAAAATTTGCAAATTATTTTGAGAATGACAAATTTTGAGGTTGTATATAAATTTTTTATGGAAATGAAGCGATCGGGCTTTTCCTCGTTGCAGAAAAATTGTTTTTATTCAAAAACAAATGGCTCATTTGTTTTTGAATAAAAACAATTTTTCTGCAACGAGGAAAAGCCCGATCGCTTCATTTCCATGATCATCTCCTCGAGTGTCAACTTCTTCAAACAAATAAATTTTTTAATTTGTCTTCCACTTGATTAATAAATTCTCATTAAATATGAGAATCGATGGTTGATTTCAATGCCATTGTAGCAATGGTTCAGTAATAATGTGTATTTGAAAATTATTACTATAGGAAGGAGCCGCAAATATGATTGTTTTTATCAATGGTGCCCCCTGCCCCCTCCACCATTTGCTTCGCGCTATAAATTTTAGTTTCATTTATGCACACAGATGGCGCTACATGTAGGATTAGAAAATTTGCCGGCGTCCATCTTTTTCAATTCAATTTGTTTACGGCATCGTCAAATTAATTGTCTAGGAATTCGCCACTTTTTGCAGATTTTACTCGTCCGAGGTGAGATTCATCAACACCGAATCGAAAATTAATACCAGCAGCAAAAAATTATGCTAAAAATGATCAACTTTGTCCTGTATTATCCACATGAATTGACTTTAAAAGTGGGCTTTTGACGGTCACCGACAGCAGTCCTGTCATTTTCAAACACGATCACTGTTTTCCTCATTTTAAACAACTTCTAAAGTTGAGTGAAAATATTGAATCGTTTTATTGCTTTTTTCCAGTTAAAATCGTGCCAAGATGTCTCTGCCTTCGAACTACAAGCAGATCGCAGCCTCGCCTCTCCTTCCGTCGGCAAACCGTGAGTTTTGTCAACAATGATTTTTTTTCTTAACTTTATTGCGGTTTTCTATCTCCCTCTAATTACTTCCGTTTTGCTTTCGCTATTAATAATTCAATGGCCCTACGAACCTATCGCCCCAACCGTCTTTATTATTGCATTTTGGAGCATAATTAATATTTTTGGTAAAAAAAATCATACGTGTAAATATTAACCTGTGAAAAAATTTGTAATATTTTGTGACAATTTCAAATATTATTTTAGACGAATCCATGTGGAAGGTAAAATTTGATTTGCAAAAAAATTTGCATCAATCTAAGCTATGATTTCTATGCAACTTTGGTATGACAATTTGAAAATGTGTGTAATAATTTCTAAACTTTTTTGACTTTATGTAGAGAATTTTCAATCAGCATGGAATTCATTTTCATATTTTTTTCCTAAATAAATTCTTTGACGCTAAAACTAATTTAGGCATGAGCCTTTTTTTTAATTAGGCTCAGCATGAGCTTTTTTTACTTTGAATCTAATTTTATCGATAATTTCGATGCGGCAGGAAAGTCCCAACCGAGGACGTGTTACGATATTTTTGATCGATTTTTTTCTTTTTTCCAAATTTTGATGTTGTGGCTTGTGTTTGGTTTGACTGCAGCTCTGCTTACGGCTGGAGTGCCGCTCAGCTTCAACATCCTCAAAGGTAAGGAAGGATTGCAAGAACGAAAAGCACAGAATTTCCATTCCTATTTTTTGAGCCCCACGTCACCAATAATTAATCGTTTGGGCATGTTGTGCTTATTTAATTTAATTTTACCAATTAATATTGACACCAGTATGTAGTAATTTTCACCTATTTATTGCTTTTTGCCATTTTTAATAACACAAATTATTTCTTCCAATGCTTTCATTGGATTTGCCAACCAGGAGGTATAATTTTGAACCACTTTTCTGATTCATGATGCTAAACATGTTATTTTCTTGCAGAGAGATTGAGAGCCTCAACCTCGGCCATGGCTTCAAGCTCAGGGGTAGGTTTGATCAATTAAAAATAAATTATTATACAAACCCAGTAGAAGTGTTAAAAAAAAATATGCAAAAATAGTAAGATTTTGTTTTATATAAAATTATTTTTATCAAAATTTACATAAATTGATCTGTACTTACAGTAAATAAAAAATTTTGAACATTAAAATTTAATTAATCTTTCAATAAATATATTAAAAATCTCAATTTTTGAAATAATTTAAAATAAATTTGAATAATTGGAAAAATAAATTTTTTTTTAATTTTTATGGAAGAATAAATAATAGTAAATTAAATTTTTTAATTATGCTTGAATATTGGGATTGAAAGATACAAATTAGATTCAAATTTTTTAAACATTTATGATACTCAATATTTTTTCAAAATTGCTCTAAAAATTTTTTAACTGTTTAATTTTTATGAGATAGTAATTCAATGTCTCTTGCAGAGCCCTTTCATCCAGACGGTTCACAGCCACCCAGGATTCACTCCGCAAAAAGTGGGCAAGACCTCTGCTGTGAGTATTCGAGCCAAAGTGCTCCCGAAACCTTGGCCTAATTCAAAATCTTTTCCATTCTAAACGTTGTAAAACGTCTTTTGGGGGGTAATTATAGAAATAATATTAATTGATTTCATTGTAGTGTTTTTTTCAAATTGATTTTTTTACTCTTTTCGGCTCCTGCAACTTTTCTTTCAAAATTGTTTCGCTGTCTATTATTATTTTTCCCTTTCTTTCTCTCTCGAGAAGTTTGTCGTTTTCTGTACACAGCCTTGCTGAATGTGGGTGTGCATGCTTTCTTTCGGGGGTCCGGGTGGTACATTTGCTCTATCTGTCCATGGCCACAGGTGGACCCGCGCGCTCCCAAACCCCCCAAGCCGCCCGAGAAGCCGTTGATGCCATACATGCGGTACAGCCGCAAAGTGTGGGACACGGTCAAGGCGCAGAACCCGGAGCTCAAACTCTGGGAGATCGGCAAGATCATTGGCCAGATGTGGAGGGACCTGCCCGAGGAGGACAAAACTGAGTACGTCGAGGAGTACGAGGCTGAAAAGGTGGGCCATTCCAACTCCCCCCGCTTCCCGCAACCCCTCCATGACCGATTTCCCTAAAATTTTACCTCTTTTAGATGAAAAACGAAACCTTAACCAGCACCTAGAGTGAATATATTTGGATTTTATCAAGGGGTCTATTATATGCGTTGAGTGTGGTGTTTTCACACTTTGATTGAATTTTGGAAACTCTTTTTGGCAATCGTCCTGGTGGAAATTCGTTCTCACTGGAAAATCACAACAATTTTGACAAAGAAAAAATAAAATATATTTTTTGTTGAGTTTGTGATTTTTCAAAAGCAGAACCGCATGTTGTAATTTCTGGCGACTTCAAAATTTATTCATTTTTCGGCAAATTTTGATGGACACAAATCACCTAAATGGAAACTTGGGAATTTTTTGCTGTCTTGTTTTTTTTTCTCTTGACGTGCTCGATTGCAGGCCGAGTATACCGAGGCGCTGAAGACTTATCAAAATAGTCCAGCTTATGTGCAGTGGATGTCCTCGAAGGCGAAAGGTAGGGCCGCTCGAAGGACACAGCCGTAGAACCACAGACAACAGACACAAAATCATGAATCATTAATTTAAAAGAAAGAGAAACTACTTCTAACCCGCTTGTCGTAGCAGACCTGACTGAGGATTGAATGAATCATCACCATCTTTCTCTCTCTCTCTTGTTTCTCTCACTCGCTCTCTTTTTCTCCCTGCGCCAATTGCTTTTACTGATTGTTATTTTTTATTTCTCTCTGCTTGCTTGCAGTCCGAGTATGAAAAGTCCCTGAAAGCGTATCACAATTCCCCATCCTACCTGGCCTACATTGCTGCAAAAAGTCGTGGCAAATCTGGTAAGACTTCTTCCACACACACATACACTATCTATAGACTTGAAACGATTTTTATTTCGGTTCCAATCCCAGATGAAAACGGAATTTGAGATGTTTTTTTCCCGATAAACAATTCATTCAAAAGCTTTTTGTGCCGATTCCCGCATGAAAAATCTCCCCGTCATAACACACACATCCGCTTCCCATCTTTGTTTCAACTTGAGTTTGTGCTGCTCCATAATTTTAGTCTCCCGATTAGTGCGGCTTCCGAATTCAAACATTTTCCATATACTAGACGCTTTCCAACACAAGGATCAGAAAACAAATTAGAAAAAAAACTTAACACGCACTCCACCTGAAATCATGGGTAGTCCGCTTCTCTTTCTGAGTCTTGCTTTTTCCTCGTTTAGGCCAGCAAGTTGCCGACGAGGACCGCTCCTCGTCCAGTAAGGGAGTGGACAGAAGGATTGACATTCAGCCTGCTGAGGATGAGGATGGTAGGATTTTTTAAATTCAAATAAATAATTTTAAATTTATCTTAAAATTAGACCAAGATGATGGGCTTTCGGTGAAGCATGTTGCTTATTCCCGGTACCTGCGCAACCACCGCCTCATCAATGAGATTTTCTCCGATGCTGTGGTGCCAGATGTGCGATCCGTCGTCACCACCGCCCGAATGCAAGTCCTGAAAAGGCAGGTGCAGTCGCTGACCATGCACCAGAAAAAACTTGAGGCTGAGCTCCAGCAAATCGAGGAAAAGTTTGACGCGAAGAAGCGCAAGTTCCAGGAAAGCAGTGAAGTCTTCCAGGATGAGTTGAAAAAGGTATTTTGGTCTCAACTTTATTTAATTGCAGAACTCAACTCTGATATTTTCAGCACTGTCAAAGAGCGGTTGATGAGGAAACCTTCAATAAAATGGTGGAGCGTCAGTACGAATTGTTGAAGAAGGAACGTGAGGAAAGAGCTCAGCGCGCTCTTGCCCCTCCACCAGCTACGCCAAGTCCAGCTCCAGCTCCTGAAGAACCAGATCAAGTTGTTGCTCAGCCAGCTGTGGTGCAAGAAACTGACCCTCAGCCTGAAGCAGAAGAGGAGCCCAAGGAGCAGCAAACTCTAGAAGAAGTTGCGCCTGAGGTTGAAGCTCCACCCGCTCCAGAAGTAACACCTGCACTAGCTCCAGTAAGCAATAATTTTTCTGCATATTGGCAATCTCAATTCTACTTATTTTAGTCTGCCGAGGAACAAGCATCTCAGGAGAGATCTGGTGCTGAATCTTCCGAGGACTCTCAGCCGGCGGCTCCAGCTGCCCCCACAGCAACTGCCGCTGTGTCAGGACCAATGCCACTTGCTGGAAGTGAAGATTCTGCTTCTCAGCCTGAGGTTGGTTTTTAATTTAATTTTTTTTTAAATTGCTTCAGTACATCAAAAGTCTTTTCATGAAATTCAGGACCTGGTAAATCAATATCTGAAAAAAAATCAATCACTCTGTAATTAAATTTAAAGCAGGCACTTTTTGACATATATCAATATTTTTCACTGGTAATTTCTACTTTTTCAAATCTGATAATTCCTCGCACAAAATAATATTTTTCTCTCCCATTTAGCCAATGGAGGAGGCAAGCAGTGAGCCAGAGGCCGACAACTCTTCTTCCGGCCCTTCGTCTCTGCCTCCGACCCCCGCGATTGTGCCGCCGCCCCCATCAGCCACAATTGATGAATCGGCCACCGATGTGCCGCCATTCCCGCCTCGTCCGCAGCCCCCTCCGCAGCAGCAGCCTCCCCATCAGGCACCTCCACCATCTCTGCCACCTCACCAGCCTCCACAAGGCCCACCGCCTCCGCAGCAAGGTCCTCCACCTGCATCGCAACAGCCGCCTCAGCAGCCACCGGTGGTGCCGCCGCCGCAGAGTCAGTACATGATGTCCCAGCAGCTGCCCCCGAGGCCGCCTCCGCAGCAGTATGCCCAGTATCCCCCTGGGGCTTACCAGCAGTTCTCCCAATATCCTCCTCCGCCCCCACACATGGCCTACTATGGTCAGGCTGGTTATCCACCTCCGATGCCACAGCAGCAGGGACCGCAGCCTCAGCAGCAGTACCCTGGAGTGCCCCCGCACCCTCCGCAGCCACACCCTCAAGGCATGCCACCCCACCACATGGGGCCAAGACCGGGTATGCCACCTCACCACTATCCTCCGCAGATGCAGCATGAGGTTTGTCTTTTTTTATTCACTTAAAATTTTCACAATTATATTCCATCTGAAATTGAAAATTGCAAAAAGAGCCTCAGTGTAGATCAGTCTTTTTTATTGAAAATATTAAATTGACGTTAGAGAGAATTTCATGTATTTAAAATTTTAAAAATTCAATTTTAATATAATATAATATATTTTTAAAATCGTTTTTCCAATTAATTTTTCATATTATGTCATATGACAAACAATTGAATTTTCCCTTACCCTGTGCATCACCCTACATATGAAAGCATTTTGTATTTTTTTTATCTGATCGGAAGCCTTGAGCTAATTGTAAGGTCCGTTTAGCATGAGAATTGAGCACATACAAGTCAGCATGCTCATGAGCAAAACTAGTTGAGCTGATGAAAATACTCATGCTCAGAAACCCCTTCTATAATTTGTTAGCTTCATTTTTTTTTTCAATTAAAGCTCTTTTCCTTTTTATTTTTCATGATTTTTATAAAAGTTAATTTATTGTTGTTGTTGGTTTTTTAATAAAATATAAATCCTCTTTTCGATTTATATACTTTTGTTCAAAATCTCTTCCAATAATCCTACTGATAAATTTTTCTGTTGCTCTTTTGCCAGCAGGTTGCGATGCAGCCTCATCACGAAATGTACGGCGGCCCGCCGCCTCCAGAGATGGGAGCTGAGCGCCCAGGTTCCATGCCAGGAATGCCGCCGCAGCACGAAGAAATGATGTACACAGGCGAAGGCCCCAAGATGCCCCCTGAAGGCAGCCAGCCGCCGAGCCAAGGTAGGCCATTTCGTTCATTGGTGTCTGCAAAAATGTTTCAATTTAATTTGAAATTACGGGCTAGGTGGAGGAGCTGGCGGAAGCAAGAGGGGCCGCGGAAGCGGCAATCGCGGCGCACGAGGGACTCGCACCCCGAGAGGGTCCAAAGCGGCCGCCTCTGCTGGAGGGGCGACGCCCCCGCAACAGCCGCAGGGACCACCTCCGCCCCACATGGGGCCATCCATGGGTTGATTTTGTTGAATTCAATTTTTTCTGGGATCTTGGTCGATTCTGTCAGTAGGATAGTTAATTAACAGCAACATGTGGGTTGATCCCGAAAAATCAGTCTTATGCATTTTGAGTGTGAATTGAAGAGGGCAGGGGGCTCCATTTCGATGTAATAATAGTGACGAGAAAAGAATTTCGCATTTTTGTTTAAATTAAACAATTAAAGCATACATGATATAGTAAAACAGTATTTTTCTTTATTTATGACACTTCACATGGCACTGGTTTCACAGAATTTTTGAAATGGCAGTTATTGTAACTGGAAGGATTTACAATTTCAATTCAAATCTAAATTTTATAATACTTCTCCCGACGTACCTCTCAAGGACGGAATCTCAACAGTAAACTAAAAATGAAATAACATGGCAACCTCACTCTGGAGGACAATAACAAGACTGTAAATTCAGCGCCCTTATCAATGATGTGCTTATCATTAATATTTACAAGATACACTTTCTTAAAATTACACAATATTGCTAATTAAGTCAATTTAATGCAGTTTAATGGAAGGTAGCATTCATTGTGTGAAAAAATAAATATGTAAATGTCAGTTTACTAATTTTCCTCGCTGAGAGTAAATTAATCAACTAGTTTTGACACAGAAATGTACATCTTCGTAAGAAAATGGCCTGCAGAGTCCTGAACTCGCGTCACGCGTGCTTGAACTTTGTGAAGGCCATACTCTGGAGTGTCCAGAAGGCGGCAGAGATCCCGAAGAAGGTCTGCAACGCCTGCACCGTGTGTTGCGGCAGCAGACTGGCGTGGCCTCGCTGCAGAAGGGTGGCGAAGACGACGCAGCGGAACAACTCAAAGGCGCGGGCCTGGCCTTTGTTTTCAAACAGCAGGCCTATCGTTGTGAGCGACAGCAAAATGTAGCCCACAAACAATATCACAGAGATCTGAGACATTCCCTGAAAAAATAATTTTGGTCAGAAATTATATTTAATTTAAGTTCCACTTTGCCTTATGTTTTTAAATTTATGTTTCCGAAATGTGAATTTATAAGACAATTTTTACTTTTAAAAAAAAATTCTAATTGCAAGCAATAGTCACGTGTTTTGCATTGAAAAGCTTCAAGGGAATTTGTTGACAAGTACAAGTGCTTAAAAATTAATGGGGTCATCACGTGAAACCTTGACTTTACACCCTAAATTGCGCGTGGAAGAAAAAAAAATTACGATGGCCTCTGACACTCGCGGCTCTTGAACTCGAAGGTCTGCCGGATTAAGTGAGCGTGGTTTATGTTTATATTATTCAGAACGATTTGAAACTAGAGAAAAATGCTCGCTTTTGTTTCTTGGAAAGTTTGTCGACATTTAAAAAAATTTAGGCACACATTTGGCTTACCACGTGGCGTACGTAGAGTTCTTGGAAAAGGAAGACGACGACCACAAAGTGGATGAGCAGGTACACGTTGCACCAGGTCGGAATGGACACGTCGAACTTCTGCCTCGGCCCCACCTTGATTTTGTCTTCGTCCCTGCCGGTCCAGGGCGCTCCTGGAATCCAGGACGGGCCCTTGAAGACGGCTGACAATTTGTTTCTCCAGCCCTCCATCGACTGCCACTTGTGCACCACATGAGCCGAGTAGAAGTACTAAAAAAATTTAATTAAAAAAAATCATCATATGAATTTTGGTTAAAAAACGTACCTGGAGCCACACGGGGTTGAACGAGGGCTGGTTGAAGACGAGACCGTAGACGATTTCCTCGTCTTCTTTTTCATTCGCAAAAGTGCCGAACAAGCGGTCCCAGATGATCAAAACTCCGCCGTAGTTTTTGTCCAGGCAGAACAAGTTGGCTCCTATTTAACAAAATGCAGTAGAAATAAAATTATGCAAGAAATCATATTAAATTTTAGAAAGAAACGCGTCGTGTGGCAAAGATTTAAAAAACAATTTATACACAAAGCCGGTGCTCAAAAAGTGTGGGTTGTAAAACTGTTGCCAAGAACAGGTTTTCGCGTTTCCAATAAAAATTTTTTTAGTTTTATTGGACATAATTAAGTTCAATCCTGTAAAATTTTGATTTCTTGATTTACATATTTTTTCAATTATTATTTTCCAATAGCTCAACTGGAATTTTTATTATTTTGTGGGGTAAATTATTTTATTTTCAATTATATGCATATTTTTATTTATGCTCAATTCTTACCGTGGTGAACTCTGTGGTGTCTTGGCGTGTTGAAGACCCACTCGAGAGGGCCAAGATGCCTGATGGCCTCTGTGTGCAGCCAGAACTGGAAGAGCAGGCTGAACTGCTGGTGGGTCAAGAAGTGGGCTGGTGGAATGAAGAATGCCAGTGGCAGGTAAAAGATCTGCGGACAATTTATGGTCATGCGTTAGAAAACACTTGGATTTGAAATGGGTTTGGCAGTTTATTTGATTGTTAGTTGTTTAATTTATACAAAATAGTTGAATCAACACGGTGGCCATGGTAATGAATTCCTCGCCAACAGGTTTGTGGAAAATTAGCAGCATAATAAAAAGAATTAAACATTCTCTCTATAAAAGTCTAGCATATCAGAAGAAAATTCCCTCTCCACACCGAAGAAGTAGAAAAATTATTCAATTTTTTTATTTCTTTCTTGAAAGTTAAAAAAAATTTCAAATAAACTCATCTCATTGATAACAAAATAAGCTTCTTTAAAAAGTTGAAAGTTGAAGAGAATGAATGAAGTAGAATAAATTTTACAAAAAAAAAGTTTTTATAAATTTTTTTAAAGAAATAATTTTAATTCAAAAGGGCTTTTTTCTAAAGATAGCTAAAAAATTATTTATTTTATTAAAAATTTAATTCTTTTAAGAAGCCAGGCAGTTGTATTTGCAACTTCACCGAGAAATCATGTGACTAAAACAAATAGAGCAAAGTATATTTCTTTTCTCGCCGCTCTTTCACCAAAAAGGTCTTGCGGCGACTGTGAATGAGAGCCACAGGTGCTGCCCCTGCATAAATTAAATCGGCCACATATCACGTTGAGACTCACGTGCTCTGCGGCCGGTCGGCGGACCGCCTCACCTTCTCGCCTAAAAAACGTGTCTGTCTCTTTCGCATTGTAAAAAATCGACTTGTCCGTCCAGTTAGCTTGGCCAAATTTCTTTCGGGGCAACTGGTTTTTTTTCTTATTCAAGAAGCCTGGCCTGGCACACCTCCTTCTCTAATTCGCGTGTCGACGCGAAAAAGCAAAAGTTCTGCGAGAGATGCGATCGAATGCCTAAACGACATAAAAACGCGCAACCTCTCAACTTGGCACTGCCAAGGAGACCAACACCGGCGGCCGTTTTTCTCCTGCTTTGGTCTTCGTTATTTGCAATAAGGCAACGTAACATTTTCGCCTTGTAATTATAGCTCATTAGCTCCCACATTACTTCCTATCATTGACGAATTGAGGCAAAGGAAGAAAAAGAAAAACGGGCAAAATAAGTAAAGGTGACGGTTAATTAAATGTATAAATTGTGCGAATACGTTTGTACTGCTTATTTCATTGAATTTTTTTTTCTCTTTTTGCTGACAGAAGATATTAGATTTCAGGCTCAATATGTAATTTCGATTTGCAAAACTTTTACCATAATTTTTTTTTATTTAGAGTGGAACTCACATCACTTGCACATAATAATATTCAAATTTTTTTTAATCCATCATAGACTCTAAAAAGAATGCCAACATATTTTTATTATCTGATAAAAATAAATGATTAAATTATAGTTCTTCATTTTCTAAAATTGAATATTTTTTTAAATCAATTTATTTTATTTTATTTTAATATTTCACAAACAAATTCTTATTATTTTTAATATTTTGTATTTTGTCTTACATATTTGGGTCTTTGGCCCTATAGAAGTTAAATTAAAACAATGGAAAGGAGATGTTAATTTTGAATTCAATTCTGGATTCCTTTAAAAAATCAACAAAATTCAAAATTTTTAGGGAGAATTTCCAGGAATAAAAATAACACTTTTTCCATTATCAACTTTTGAACTTTCTACGGGATGTGAGCGGAAGTCTGGGTGGGTGTATGTCGGTCTGCAAAGATTGCATCGGAAATGGTTCTCATTGAAAAAATTGATGGCTATTGAATGGATAGAACAGACGAGATTAAATTTATTTTCTCAAAACAAGAGAAATATTTACAACGGTGCCATTTTAGGTATTTTTTTTTTTACCTATGCCAAGCTCTTTTATTGAAATGTGAGCATCAAGGATCAAAACAAATATGGCCTAAATTAATAATTATCTTATCTTCTCTGCCAAACTTTCCTTTCCTTCTGGGCTTTTTTTTATAATGTTAAAAGAAACTTACCCTAACAATATTAATTTACACATTGAAAACATTGATTAAAATTTGTTAAAAAAAGTCAAATCTGTTTAGGGTCTTGAAGTGATTATCAGCAAATGAAATTAGAAGAATTATTTGGAAGAAGAAATTTTTGGAAGAAAATTTAATTTAATTTTGTTTCGCTTTTTTAAGTTGCTTTTTTAAAGGTTGATTAAATAACTTAATTTATGATGTCTCACAGCCAGATTTCCCGTATTTTCATTGAAATTAAAGATACCTGTTAACAATTCGGATTATTTTTTTTACAAATTTTTTGCCCGCCGGTTCATTAGCGGTTGCGTACCAAAGGACGATCAAGAGAGTACAACTTTTCCACGGCCGGAGCCTAAATTATGGCAATAATTTTTTGACTCGTACCAAAACGGTCTGCAGTTTAAAAAGCACGTGAAAAAATATAATTAATTTGGTGGTACTTACAAATCCGCACCAGCCTTGCAAAATTGACTGTCTGAGGCCGACGGCTATGTTGTAGTCTTCGGAACTGTGATGGACTTGGTGCTGCGCCCATAAGACGTGCACCTCTGTGGAAATAAAAAGATTGAAGTTAAAAAAAGGCAATAAGGAATTTTCTCATAAACACGGTAAAAATTTTCATTAAACATTTTACAAAATGTTTCGCTTAAAATTCCTTGTAGTAAATAAAAAATAGAGCAATGCAAAATAAGATTTTTTAGGTTAACAGTTTTCCTATGACGTCTTTATTATGGAAATGAACTGCTACATAATAAATTATCATAGGGAACTTTGTTTCCATAAAATTAATGGAGCCGGCTTTAGTTGATGAGGCCCTAAATAAAATAAAGAAGCCCGCGGCTTGATCGGTAGACCAATGGCTTGCAAAATTGCAACGCGAGCGTGAAATTATAATTACTTTTTTGCACTGCAAGATCTATTTTGCAAGTGCAATAAGTGTGCGAGATTAGAAAGTAGTGCGCCCGTAACACGCGGAAGAGGGTGACTCGCTTGCACTTGTTTTGATGAAAAGAATCTCGTCGCGGGCAATAAGGTTAATTAAAAATTTAGCGCTCACCATGACTGGCCCGATGGACCCAGTAGTAGCAAAAATCGACGCCCAGGGCGGCGAGGTACCAGGTCAGGGCGTTGTCCCATGCCAGGTCGACCAGCCTGAACCTTTGGTAGATGAAGATGTAGGCAGCACTCTCGGCACCTCGAAAGATGAGCCTGGAAATCATGAAAACATCCGTTAATTTACGCATATAGTTCAAATAGTCTTTAAGTCTCCTGTGAGCAAATTTCAGTTTTTTTTTTTGTTTTAAGTTAATAAGAATTAAACACAGTTTATATGATTCAAATCTTAAAAGTATAAGTTTCATTAACTAGCTTTTTATGTAAATGATGAAAACATTAGGCGTGTTTTTTTATTACTTCATAAATCAAATTCACACTTCATTAAGTTCTAATCATTAATTAGAATCCAAATATCCTTTTTTCAGTGCCCGAAGCATTCAAATATTTTCTTGCCACTTAAATACTCAACAATTCTAAACTTTTGCAACTTTTAAACAAAAATACCGTGTCAGTGGCGTTCATGGAAATTGGTTGTCAAGATCAAGACGGTATTATAGTCGCGGGAATAAAAGCAGCAAGTTAGTTGAGTAAATTTATTGCCTTGTTGAAAAGCCGCGGCAAAATGTCGACTGCTCTTTGCTTTTAAGAAACAAGTTTGGCGTGAGCACAAGGCAAAGTGGGCGGTAAATGCAAATTCGTTGGTAATATACGGTAATAAATTATTATTAACAAGTAAGGGCCATTTGATCACAAAAAGGACCAAAAAAGCCTAAAGGGGAAAATTGAGATTATTGCACAATTATTGACTAGGAAAAAGTCTCATTTTTAACCAAAAGTAAGCTGCTTAAATTTTAGAGTACATAAATAAGTAGACTGGAAAGTTATGAGTCATATATTTAGAAAAGTCCTGAAAATAATTTGTGGGAGTAGAAGTCGAAAAACGTATTTTTTTTATTCACACAATGAATCAGAACGAAATAATCCGCAAATATCCATTACGTCAGATTTTTCGTGCGAGTAAAAAAAAGATTTTTGCTGCAATGTTATCTATTGTGTATTTTTCTTTTATAGTTCACTCTTTCTTTTCTGTTTTCAATTTAAAAAATATACCGTATTTAACTGAGAATAATAAATAATGTTGGCTGATATTATCAGCCTCAATAGACATGAAAGCACATAATGGTAAAACCGTATAAGAGCACTTTAGCTAGCCATTGATTGTTACAAGCAAAGAAATAGCTAAGCGACGGTCAAACTAGTTTTTCGACTTTGATTTCCATCTCTGTTTTCGGCAAGTGGTGTGAACATCAAAGAGCATGGAATGCCAATCGTCCGTTGAGCAATGATCAGCCCAAAATAGAAAACCTTCTAATTCAACGGCGACAATTTTTTTACTATGAGCGGCTATTTGCGTCTATCTTTTCATCTCTAGTATAGCCAAACCTTCAGATATATTCACTTAATTGGCCAATTCATAAATTTAGCTAGACATTGAAGAAAATTAAAACAAAATGTGTTTGCTCTTGCAAAAAACGGTAAGTCTAGCAGCAGGAGTAAAACTAAAAAAGATTTTTAAATATTGAATTAAAAGTTGAGTTGACTTTATTAATATTATTTTATTATTTAACTTATTTTATCCAAAAATCCAAAACTTATTTAATATATTTGGGACTCATGTGGAACGAACAAATCTTTGATGACTATACTAAATTTAAGTTTTATAATCCCAAAAATGCAATTATAACCGGAAAATAAAACCAGAAAAAAACTAAAATATAATAAAATGATGATTGGATTTAGAGTTCATCTCTCGAGTAAATATAACGATATAATAATATTACATGTGTGATGCTGATGCTTTTATCTTAAGGTTTGTGTTCAATGTGAATTTTTCGCTATCATTTGTATTTCTTTTTCCAGTTTGGAAATTGTAGCAAGTCAAGCGACCTGTATTTCGCCAGTTTCTCATTCTTTCCAACAGAATCTCTGAAAACTCTCCTTGAAATCCCCTTCCTTTGTAAATTTCATAATTAAAACTTTCAGAAAAAGCTGCAAATATATGTGTCTCATAAACTTTACAACTCTCATATTATACCGAGTTGAAGCATTTATGAAGAGAAATTATGCTGACAGCATCATTTTGAATACCTTGAGTGACACCTTACATAAGAATTTTACTCTCATTCCACCTGATTGCGATTATGGTAATTCAATACGGGCGCAAGACGGGTCGGTCTCATTCCGCCACCGGCAATGAAATTGTGTCAAAACGTGTAACTTTAAATATCAGTCAGCTTCGCAATGAGTGTCGCGCTCAGAATTCCATTATCGTCGCGCGAAAGAAATACAAAATTAAAAAAGCACACAACACGACTTCTTCTAAAAATAACCAACTTTCTCCCATTCACCGTCGTTTTGCACTTACATAATGTGAAATAGAAAGACTTTCAGCGAGCAGGTTTGCAGCGAAAAAAAAGATTGAAACGCCAAACACGTGATGCATGCAAATATGCGTTAAAAAACTATTGGCCAAAAAAAACCAGACTTGTCTTTCTTGAAAATAAAGTGCTGGAGAAAAGCGTCTGTCGCACTCAAACGACGACAGGGCGACCCTGACGCAAAGCCAGACCGTATAAATTAGATTAATTAATTAGGAGTAACAACTTATGCCGCGTGTTTTCAGTTTTTGGGCATTAAATAGTAACGGTCTTGGCATTAGAATTCATGGTGGAATTCACGTGAGGGAAAATTGGCCTGGTTTATCCATGAATCGCGACACCATTTTTTTTTTTATCTAATAGAATATCTAGTCTAGTCAGACAGTTGCGGTAGCCCACACAAAAAAAAAATAACATTCTTCATAATACTCAAGAAATGGTAAATTGAAAACTGGCACTCAAGGTGGATTTCATAAACAAAAATATCAAGTGAAACTATAAAAAATTTATTTGTCTCTAATTCAAAAATTATATCTATTCAAAATTAAATTATGAGTAAAATTCTGACAATGACTGAGCAAGGGAAATAAATGTTTGAAAAATAATACGATTAAAAATATTAAGATATTTAATAAATACATGCAAAGCAGCATCAAATTTATTTTATTATTGTAAAATGTTAAAAATTCCAGCAATTTTTCTAATCAAAAAGCAGTTTTGTTCGACTTTTGGTTTAAAAGTTTTCTTTCCTTTGGATCTTACTTTAAAATACTTCCAATATTTCCCCATTAAATTCCACTCATACTTTTGATTGAAAGCCAAAACTTAAGGAAGGTTTTATGAAATATTGAAATCGGTCTTCCTTGTTGCAAGTTTTCAAGAAATATTTTAATTTTGTCTTTTGAACTCACTTTCCGCAGTGTTGTATGAGTCCATGCGAAAGAGACGTGATGCTGTCGTTGAGCCTGACGGTCGGTCTGCCCTCCAAGTAGAGCAGCAGATTCTCCAGCGCCATGAACACCAAGAAGTACGGCCATGACTAAAACACATTAAGAAACAAAACATGTCATTAATTAGTAAATATAACGAAAAATTCGCTTTCCTTATACCAAATTTGGTAAAATTCTTGGCGGGTGGCCAATTAAGTGCATATTAGAAATGATAATTTGCAATTCATATTAGTTTAATTTCGTTTTGCGTGAATGTGTTTTTACTAATTTTGGATTCACGTCGCATTTTATTAAGTTATTTTTAGACCGGATAGACGTGATGAGCTTGTCAATTTTTGGAAACTCGATGGAATAAACTCGCTGGCCGCCATCAGGCTGAAAGTAAGGCATGTCGCGGGTAATGTGTGCATTAGTTGCTCGTTATCACCTCAATGTTATCGCACAATACATACCTGGGCTGGACAAGTTGACTGTAAATATATAGGGACGAAAAGTTATAACAAGCCAGCTTAATATATTCTGATGTATTTCGAGATGCATCTCAATTCTAGCAACAACAAGAAAAGTTCGAAACGTCCTGCGATAACTTGAAATTAATTTAAAATTAGAAGTTAAATTATTTTCCCCAGTAAGCCATAAATTAATGGTTTTCCAATTTATTTTTATGCAGCAGTAAAAATAATTTTACCAAATTTTTTTGCCATAAGTTCATTTTAAATTTATAATCAAGCTTCTCTGTGAAATTAATTTGGAACTTAATTCAATTAATTCAGTCAAATTTAAATAAAAAAGAAAATGATCGATTCATCCAAAAGGTATTCTTCTTAAGGCAAAATCACTAAACCATGCAAAAATTGATTAAATTCCAATCAACATTATTTATAAATAAAAAATGATCGATAGAAAAATTTATAATTTTTTGATAAAACAATTCAATATTGATATGACGAAGCAATTTTCTCGTTCTTAAAAATGACGTTTGCTTTCAATCTCGCACATGATTTTTTTGCTCGATGAAATATACAAGGGGATGAAAATATCCACGTCATGACGACGCCGCAGCCTGACTATGCGCCAAGCACATTTTGGCAAAGGTCCAAGTGACCGCGACAAACTTCACAATCGAAGTCGGTACAAGATTCTATAAATAGTTCATAATGAATTGAATTAAACCGTGAGCAAAGTGTGGGAAAGGTTTTCTTTTCGCCGTTAAAAGCGATCGATTTACTCTGAAAACACACAATATGAGGCGGCGGCATTGGTTTCGAGTTACGGCGCAGTTGGAACCCATCTATCTGTCTATCGTCAATTGAGTCATGCATGAAGAGCGAGCGAGTGAGCAGAAGCAAAATAATATTATAATACGATCTTTTGACTTGTGGTGGAGAACCCACGATTTGCGCACCGCAAGGCAGTTTTTTACTCTTAACACGCGTGTGGATTTCTATAGTACAGAGAGGATGAATTATACTTGTGTGTGTTGTCATTACCTCTCATTGTCACTTAAATTACCAGTCATTTATAACTTGTTTTTTTTTGCCGGTTCAGCCAATTCATCACTGAAAAAACTGCGTCTATATTTATTTAATAATATATATTTATAAAAATAAATAAGAAGACTAATATGGACTTGCAGTATACAATTTTTTCATACCATTTCATACTAAGGTAGAATTAATAATTACAATTAAAATATTTAAAATATGAATCACATTCAATATTGTTTAGCTTATTATTATCATTGTTTATTCTGATCCAGTCTTATCATTTTAATTATTTGTTAATTATTATTATTATTATATCTTATTCATTCAACGTTGCATTTTAATACGAGGAAACAATACAAAAGTTAAAAATAGTGATTCTTATTCTGCAATTAATTACTGTGGTTTATTTGGCTGCAAATATTGAAAAACAAACTTAATCACAATAAATGAACTTATGAAATTTAAATTTTGAAAAAAAAATATGAATAAATCCAATGAAAATTTTTTGATTTCCTACCTTGACGAAGAAGTCCGGGACATGCTTGTGGTCAGGGTAGGACGTGTCGAGGGGGTCGACGGCGTAGAAAAAGCGTGCCAAGCCCTGAGTAAGAGCGGCACTCACATCCGTCGCGTTGCCCATGGCGAGCAGCAGCGCTTGTCGTCGTTCTCCGCGCCGGCTCTCTTATTTATGCGCGTGCTGATGGGGGCGGGGGCTTTTCGCCTCGCGCCGCTCGCTCGATCGCTCGCGGTGCTCATCCCGACATCCTCCGCGACGAGTGCATCGGACTCCAGAATTTTCGCCACCGCGATTTTATTCGGCCAATCTTGTACAATCGCCAATTTCATAGCAAGTGGCCAAAAACCGGTCGCATAAATATAGCGTAACGTCTTGAAGACATAAAAAGTTCATTAATAGAGATTAAAACTTCACGAAGGTTCCAATAACTGTTTCTATAATATGTTCGGAACTTCCAGTTTGATTAAAAAAGTAATTCAATATCATTTTACGCATTTAAAAAAAATTTAATTTGCAAACGATCGGTATTTGAAATAAATTTTATTACCAATTGCGTTTTATGTTAATTAATAATTTTTTTTAATTGTTAGGAAGATAATAGAGATACATTATATAATTCTCCATTGTTCTGGACGCATTGAACATAAAATTATGAAAAACTAGGCAAAATCTCTTCGCGTCTGTCATGCGGGAAGCATAACCTATGTTAAGAGCATAATATTTCAGTGATCAAATTTTAACTCATTTTCGCTTGTTATTTTCAACTTATTAATTTAAATTTATTACCTTAAGGTAACATTGCATTATTTAATATATTATAGAAGGTATAGAATTCAATTTAAATTAGCATATGTGATTAAATTAAAATAACTAAATTTAGCTTGTTTTGGCAACAGTTTAGAGAGTATTCAGTGTAATAAAATTTCGAAAAATCCCCTAGGATTAACAAAAGCTTTGAGATTGGGCATGAATAATGTAAAATTTTGAGCACCTCCAGTATCAAACTTTTCTCACATTGCACATTTTCATAAAATGTAAGGTAAAAAGAATGCTAGATTCATCTTAACACAAATAATATGAAGAAGAATAATAATGTTCTAAAAAAGAAATTTATTAATCAAGTTATGATAGAGACGATAATTCAATTCAATTTATTTATTCTCTAACAACAAGTCGAAACAGGAAAAAAGATGCAATTACATTGGGAGAGAATTGGCTAGTAAACAACTTACTAAAATAACTCATAGTAGAATTGCGGAAAGTAAATTTCTTAGTAAGAAAAGAGTTCATTAGAATCTATTGTTGAAAAATTCACTTCAGATCATTATTAAAAAGTGAAAATAAAATAATAGCAGTAACTTTGATGTATATTCAATATAATTATTTTAACAAATCATAAAATATTATTATTACCTTTTTCAATAATAATATTTGGATGTGACATGATAATGCATTTATTTAATAATTTAAAAAATAAACATACAAAGTACATGGAATAAAATACAATTGTAGTTTTTAGGAAATGATGTGAATAAAAAAAAGAAGATGCTACTTTTTTTGCAACAAAGTTGTCCAGGGGGATGTAAATTATTATTGCTGCTCATCGTACGCAGTAATAATTATATCAAGATATAAATTGGCTCTGCAAATCATGCAACTGACTTTACATGCGTAATTATAAACTTCTTATGAAATCGTCCTCATCACATAATAAGCAATGCGTGATAAAATCAGTAAACGAAAAGCGACCAGGTAATTTAATAGCGATACGCCTGTGAAAATAAACATTATTATGGCTCATGAATATGATTGCTTAAGTGGTCCATAAAGTTGTCCGTTGCAAATCGTAAATCTTAAAATCAAATACGATTATTAAAGTCTTGAAAGTGTTAACGACTTTTAGCGGGGATTGCAAATTGTCAGCTGAAAATCTCAATGAATAGTTAATTTTAACCTGATGTAACAAAAACCGGTGGGTTCCAGGAAGAGTGTCGCGCGCACCTGAGCGTTTTGTATGATAATTAGCGACACATACACGATATAGTGTAACCAAAACATCAGAGTTTCATCATTCTGTTTTCGGCCTCGCCAAGGTCGGCTGGCCGCCTCACATTTTATTTATTATATATAAAATTCCCAAATTCTCTTGACCAAGGGCCTACGCAGTTTGGAACAAATCACGCTCCGATCAGCAGGCCGTCTCTTTCTAGTCTGGGCCACGGGACTCCTCGACGACCGCATCAACACTGTGAGTAGAGAAACCCTAAAAACGTGACAATATATCGGATTTCCACAGAAGCTTGTAAAAATTGCGGGTTGTCAAAAACCCTGAACGTTCTATTTGAAATGAGCTCTAACGCGAAGTGACTGACTTTCGCATTGATTGAAATCTGATCCTAAATTAACGACGTGTCTAGCCCTGACCTGACATAAGTTCGAATTCAGTGATTTTCTCCTAATCAATGAGCAATTAAATCATTTTAAATCAGATACATCAATGAATTATTTTCATTTGGCCTAGTTTTATGGAAAATTGTTCTGAAAATAGGAACGTTTTAAAGGAGAGATTTAAATCAGATAGTAGATAAAACTGCAGAAATCCCACGATGGTCTTCAAAATATGGTGGATGAACCTCGGTTTATTGTATTATACTCCAGTTTTTTTTTATAAAAATTATTGGTAAAGTCTTGCCTGAAGTAAAAAATAAGGCAATAATATTTTGCGCTTTCCCACGATTCCCACTACAAAACTGATTATGATGAAGTTTTTTGTTGAATAATGTTTTTCAACTAAAATATTGAATATTGGTGACTCACGAGAAACAAACAATGAAGGAAAATCTGGATTTCCCTATTTGCAATTGAGCAAACTTATTTTTAGTTATTTTGAAGTTTGAAAGTTTTGGTCAAATGAATTTTTTCAGATCTACATAAATGATTTTTCATACCTTTATTGTGCACTATAAATTTGGATATTAAAAATTTTTCAGTTTAAGTTAACTAATAATTAATAAATTACTTGAAATCTTGAATCTAAACCAAAATTACATTTTATCATCACCGAAGCACTCCAAGCAAAATTCATTTAATAAGAATATTGGAGGAGTTTCAATAAATTTATCACATTACATAATATATCATGGTGAAGTCTCATAAGTAAAGAATTAATGTTATTAAAAAATTTTACGTTTTGGACAAAACATCTAAATTAAGGAACCAAATATTTTAAATTTTCCGGTTCATTGGTAGATTATTTTAATTTTGTGAGACTATATTTCATGAACTCCGCAGACAACTTGATTTACAGATGTGATTGACATGATAAAACTCTTGAGAATAATTAAAATTCATGTTCAGCAACTTCCACTTTCTAAAATTTATATTAAATTCAGCGATGAGAAAGATAAGCGGTCATAATTCAACCTTTTCTCCGTGGCTAAAAATAAACGAAGTATAAAAACAGGTTCGCAAAAAGCCACTTTTGTAAAGCACTTATAGTTATTTTTAGCTTTTATCCACGATCACCATACCAACTTCTTTTCTTTCTCATGGAGCAGAAGCATTACATTTTTTTTCGAACCTGCTGCCAAAAGGTGGTATAGCTATTTTAAGCTTGCCTGATATAAATTTTGCCCAAGACAGATTTAAAAATAATCACGCTCGCGTGAGATGTTGCCGCAAACTTGTAATGGCAAACACAAATTTGTCATCCATCGCGACATCCTCGCACATCCATATAAAGTGACGATTTTATATAAAAGACTCCGTTGACTTGCTTAACCTCATAAGTTGTCCTTGATTAGAGTTACAAGGATGGCTGACCTATTACGTAATTATTGAAATAAAGGTTTTTTGTGTGAATTAATATAAATTAAATTTAAATACGTTTTTATTTGGAATCAAAAATAACGAGTAAAAAAAATTGCAGTTATTTTGACAAGGAACCCAATGATTATGTAATTCATTCTCGAAATTTCTTCTCCCTTGCTCTCATTTTGTCATAGTATGCCAACATTTGAAATTCAGCAAAGACTATAATTTATTTTCGTAAATTTGTAACGAAGAATTTTTCAGACTTTTCGTATTGGAAAATAAAAAAATATTTAGCTTGGGGTGGGGGATCATTTGTTAGAAAAAGCGGCACCACCACTAGTAAGCATTTTGCTAAAACTTCTAATATAAAAATGGACCCCATCAGCCGCAATGAGCTTGGTTAACTTTTAACTTAGTTTTGTTTTTAGATTACTTTTAGCAGTTTAAAATTTGTTCCATAATAACAACAATAAAAATGAATTTAGTTACTGGGTGCTAAAACTGTTTGTACTGTTGTTCTGGTAAACTCTTTTCAAATATGTTTTTGCTATAATTCAACAAGAATTGGGAAAATTAACATCCAGCTCTGTTGAAAAGATTTAAGTTTTTTTACTTTATCAGAAGTTTCTCCTCAACGACTAAATTATACAACAATAGGAGCCATTTTCTACAATTGTTGGAAAAAATCCATATCACTATTGTTGTAAGGACATGATTTGACTATGTCTCAAGGATGGGGTGCGATCAATTGTGCTCAAAATTTTAAATTTCAACAAATTTAATGCTGTGAAAATTGTGGCGTAGAGATATCGAGGGACATGCCCATTTAAACCATGCAATGTACCGGATTTCAACAATCGGCAACAATAAAAAAATGCATACTGATTTGACTAGTTTCATAAGCTCCTCCTTAATTCATGTTTTAGGTGTGTCTCAACATGGAGAGATCAATAAACTTGCATCGTAAACTTGAAATTGATTACGACCTAATAGCTTCCTGGTTATTACTTTTGTCAGCTTTGATAAGTTGCAAAAAATAATAATGCGCAGAGAAATCAAGTTAAAACGTATTTTTCATAACTATAAATCTTTTCACAGGCAATAAAAAGGAACCAAAGTGCAGGAGAATCTGTCAGCACATGTTAAATGTGATATTTATGCAGTCACGCCCTAGCAGAGTCAAGAAGGCTTGTGACGTGACAAATATGCATTTTTATGAAACACCGTAAAGAAGAGAGTTGTGATGAGAGCGGTCATCGCGAAACCTGACCTGCCCCATATGCACGTTCATGAAAGTTCTCGACAACTTTAAATAGAAATCAGCTAAAATTACTTCCAGTTATTACGTAAAAAAATGACAGTTAACTGCCAGAAGTAATAAATCTTTCATCAATTATGAACACGTCTCAAAAAAGCTTCTGTGGAAAATAGAGCGTAATTTTTGCGATTAAATAAATTCCCCACCTCTCATTTGACTGTTTTTTCTTTTTTAATTAATTCTTACTTTAAATTGATTCTGACGGAGGATTTTTTCCTGCGTCCTATCGATTCAAAAATTACAGGGAGCTGTTCTTGTTTAGGACATTCAAGAATAAACGTTTCTAGTGACATTTGAGGCTCTGTTCTTGTTTCAAATTTATTTGTTTAATTACAAAAAAATAAGGTTTTTAACCAAATGTCTTCAAAGTCTTTTCTGCAGCTTTGAAAATTAGTGTCCTGTCATAAATCTTTCAATTTGAAAAATATTTCTCGCTATAAAGAATTTATTTTACTTCAATTAAACCTTGCATTTTCACCAAATTCATCGATAGAACCCACGCGGAGTAATTCACATTTTATTTTTTGTACCTCTAAAAATAACCTTGGAATAAATTTATTTGCAACTAAATTTACTTTGAACGTTTAAAACGATGTACAGAGCTTTTATCTTTTTATCCATTCGACTCTTGTTTTTTTTAGCCTTTTAATTGCTTTTCTTGCCTTTAGATGGAAACTGGCAGATTTACATATTCTTCCAGGTGCTATTTTTAAAACTTAAAAAAAAACCAGTATGTTATATAAGCGTCCGATGGATTCGCATCTTGGTACACCATGAGAGAGGATGCATATTAAGCTTGTCCCCATGCTTGTGACAGTTAACTCATGTCGCAGTATAAAATTTAACACGCAAGAGATTCAACTTGACTCCTTTCTTACAACATTATTAAGCTTTAATTTATTATTTTTTTATACATTGTGATGTTGGATTGTGGCGACACCTCTAATTAACTTTTCTTCCCTTCAATGGAAACATGGACAGAGGACCTTCCAAATTCTTTTTTGCACCCTAAAAAAAGTGGTTTCGTTTACTGGGTTAAGGTTTTCAGCGTTTGCTGAAACTAAGCACGGCGACACTTTAAGCTATGGGCGTTATTATATAATTCCTATACCACATATTGAGTGCAAACAAATTTCCACCGGTTCTATATAGTTGTGAAATGATCCTTTTAAGATGCGATTATTTTTAGCGAGTGATCGATTTAGTGGTCTAGCTGGTTGCGCAAAGGTGTTTTTTTATATGTATAATTCATCAGAATTTAATTTTGAATTTTCTTTCTAGCGTATTTTCATTGGAATAAATCGCAGTGTGATGGAAGATTTCATCACAAGCTTGTTTATAAATTTCGTTTTGTTTACGTTGCAAATTTGAGAAATGTGTTACATAATAGTGTAAAAGGACGATCAATGACTCCATATAAACCACGATGTTGTCACCTTAGACAGGATTTCTGAAAACCTCCAAAACAGAAAAAGGAAAGCCTTGGAAATTTGTGTCACGAAAGTAAACAAATAAAAATTGGGATATTTTACTCTAAAGTAGCTTAGTAAAGAAGTCAACGGCAAATTTGACTCAAAGAATATTAAAAAAAAGGTCCATTTTCAGATGTAAATCTTTTTCAATACTTAAAATTCTTCTCGCAGTCTTCAAATTGAGGCCTGCCAAAAATACCAAATCAAACTGTCTAGCAGAATAATAACAGAAGAACGATTAGACAAATCTAACCATTAAAAAAATTTAAAATTTCAGTCTGGTTTTGTTCAACATTTCTATCATAACTTTTAAATTACGCGGTTGTGAATATTTCATAAATAAATAACAGTACAATTTCAAAATTCAATTAAAGTTGGGATTATTTATAAATAAACATATAGTTTTCTAAAAAAAAAAATACAGGCCCATTTTCACGACAAGGGGAAGGTCCCAGTAGCAAGGAAAATTTCATCTCCTGCACCTACGGCGATTCTTGAGAGAACACATCATGCCTGTAATAAAACTTGAAGAATCTCACACGCGGCTGCTGGTCACACCAAACCTTTGATTGCAAATTTTATTACAACTCTTCTAATTATTATTCTATATCACATTCGCAACCGAAGATTCGAAATAATCCATAATTAATGTGGCAAAAATCCAATATTCGCGTTGGACTGATTATTGATTCCTTGCACAAGGATATTCATGCTCGTCACGAATACAAAAATTAAAATGCACCCACGCGTTAATTTTGTTGTTGTTATGTAACAAATTCTCACACATCACCGGCCGGCTTTTTGAGAAAACGAGTTTCGCATGTCACATGATTCAAAAAGTCAAGGGCGATGCAAAAGCTCGCCGCGGTGAATGAGATGCCTGTGTTGGATTATATCAACTATTGCACGCTCTGAAAACTTAATTGAAAAATTCTGAACAGGTTGTACATAAAATCATTCGGGACAGGAGCTCCTTATCAAGAAGATTATTCTCTCGAAAGGGTGACACTCATAGTTCTTGCCTCTCGGTCGCGAATTTGTGTCACCGTTTTTTTTTTTGTGTGTGCCAGAGCTAATTTGACGTTTGTTGTAAAACATTTCCAGCAGAGATATTCCGCCGAGAGGAACCGGTCGACTATAGCAAGACGCCGCATCTCAAGCAGACTGGCAAAATCATGTGACCAGCCAAGAATGCGGCGATCCACGCGATTTTGGCTCAGACTGGCACGACTGTAGAAGTAAGACATATAAATATGTTAGAGAAATAAATAAATAAATAAACTTCCAAACCCTTTGCTGACATGTGAGATTTTTCAGCCGGTTGCTTTTTAAAAATATAAAATTGCCGTAATCGCACGATTCTTGCTTTACATTAATAACTTGCGTCTTTTTGCCTTGGGTTTAAATTGTTCTTTGAAATTTCAGTGAAAATCCAGTATTTTTTTTTATCCATTATAAACTTAACAGTCTGTGAAATTGTTTATGCAAATTGCGAACTAATTTATTGCTCTCGAGCTCTGTGGGCAAGCGAGGTGGAAAGTGTAGATGCTATTTATAATGCAAGCAGTGCCATTTATCTTGCGGAAGATTACTTTAAGCTTTTTAGCCTGATGATGTGTAGCAAGGTTTGCACTTGCGAGGAAGTGGCGAAATAGCAAATGGTACGGTACAGGATGCGATAGACGCAAAGCAGATATTTCATAAAATTAGCACTCGCCGCATACACCGTTTAAACTGTATCATTTTTATTTTCAATATAATAAATTTTCTATTAATGGAAAATAAATTTTATGTCTTATATTTTCTTGCCTAAAATTACAATTGAAAATAAATAATTAGTCACTTTTATTACCGGCAGCTGCATAATAATTAAGGCAATTTCTTTACATACAAAAATGTGGAAAATAATTTTTCTTCTCTTTTCTTTGTTGATAAAAAAAAATGAGAAATTATTCTCTTAAAATAAAGACAATGAATTTAAAACCTTATTTTTTTTAATTAAAAAACAACTAATTTCATATAAAAATAATTTATTTGAGTAATTTGAGTAATTTTTTTTACCATTTTTATCCGCAAAACACAGTCAAATTAATATTTGATGACATTCACTATTTCCCCACGCTTTAAAATATTAAAATGACCTTGTCCGCACTTGACACAGATTAAACCAAACTCGTCCTATTTTAAAGTTAAGAATTTTATTTTCTATATTGATTTCTACGGAATACAAATTAATTCCGAAACTGTACGTTAGAATCCATGTTGAAGAAATTTTAATTGACGGGGCGTTTTCCAAAGAGATCCAGATTATTTTCACTGCATCACATGATCAGAGCCCGAGAAGACCTTGCGAGATTGCTATTAAATTTTTGTAGAGTGTACCAGCAACTTTTCTACTTAATGATTTAAAGCTGAGGGGGGTCTGAAAACTCAGATCGCGCTGCATCTTTTACTTATTTATCTGCTTGAATTATAATCAGATTTAACATGTTAGCAGACGGATCGACTGTTTTGTTCAATTTGCTGATTTGTGAAATGGAAATTGTGAAACTCTAGTGCACCATAGAAGTAATAAAATTAATGAGCCTTTTAAGTAAATCAACTGGCTGTGCATAAAATCATGAGCAATGTGCAATAAGATACTGGTAAGACAGAGAAAGATTGAAAAGCGCAGCGTTTTGTGAGATTGACGTTTTATTAATAATTATCGAGATAAATTCATAATTTCATAAATAGCATAATTCTCATACGCCTCATTATCACAATGAATTGGTGGTGAGTTTTGTTAACCAACAAAAGAAAGAGAGATTTTGATTAAAATCAGAGACCATTAACGTTTTTAGAGCAGAGTTAAAAAAAATGTGCAAATTAGGAATTAATTGTGAGAGACTTATTTAAATACTTTCTAGGCAACATGAATTAACTGCTATTCTTTATAAACAAGAAACGGCAGTAAGAGAGGTTAATTTGTGCCAACTAAATGAAAGCAAGTAATTAATTACTGGGCTGGCCTCTTTTGCACCAATTTTGGCTTTGGAATCTTTAGAGTGTCGCAAATGTCATTTCTTATATTTCGGATTGTCTCGATAGGCTCATCGGTCCAGTTGGTCTCGCTGAGCAAATTGAGAACAGATTCGAGGTCGGAGTCGGGAAAGCCGTCGTCCTCTTGGGCAACCAAAATCGCCTCATACATTTGCTCTGCGGTAACGGCGCGGACGCGAGGAAAGCGATGGCAGAGGAAAGTGACCAAGTACGACAGCGCCAAGTCACTTGCCTACAAAAATTGCTTATTTAAATATCTCTCATGCAAAAAAACTGAACCTTCCTACCTTTTTCTCAGCTCGAATGCCTGCGACCTGACATAACACTGGAATGGCCTCGAGGAGTTTCAGTGGCGCTGAACACCTGGCAGTCTCTTTGGACACCAGTTTCACCAGGTTCAGGGCAAATTCCTCAGGCAGGGTGCCGTCCTGGCCGCACAGAACGCCCGAGTTAAAGAGTCGGTCGAGGAATCGCAGCAGAGGCATGGCAACTCTGTCCTGGCCCTGGTGATCTCCAAAGATTTTCAAGATGCACTGACAGATTCGAGCCAGCTCATCTTGTGGCTGTTGTCGGAGGTAATCAAACAAAGACGAACTTGAGTGTTTCACCTAGAAAAAAAAGTTAATTTTAGTTATAATTCTTGTTTCATTTGATTTGATTTTCACCAGGGATTCTGTGACGCCACCCACACTGGCAACCAGTCCAATCAGCACGTAACCGGTGTATGGAGGAAGTGCTAACATTTGTGTAAAAAGTGGAAAAGTCTGCACTTCGGCGCTCCAGTTGACTTCCTTGCAGGTTTCCAGTGAGAAGATTTGAAGGATTGACTCGAGACAGGGAATTTTTGTGTTGGGAGGAGAGCTGAAAATTAAAGTAAAATTATAATTTGGAAAACAGTTTGACAGTTAAATACCTGTGAATGAGACTGCTGAATACATTTCCAGCCTGCTTCCTGGTCCTGTCGATCCTCTCGATGGCATTTCGAGCCACCTGTCCCACAACGGTGGTCATCAGTTCCTCAGTCAAAACACAAGGCTCGGCTTGCAATACCAACTGGACCGTGCTCTGCAAAAAATATTCAGTAGTTTCAATTTTTTTTTTTATTAGTTTTAAATACCTGAAGGCCAGACATCGAGGCCTCCCTGACCCAAGCTCCAACATCACCTCGGCTGTCTCTGGTATAGTCGTTGAGGCCTTCGATGAAGCGGTGGTAAACCAGACCTGACTGTGTGGGGTACCACCAAGTTTCATCACCTTTTTAAAAGAAAAGCAGGTAAAAAAAAAAAAATAGAAAAATATGAGAATTTACCTTGAGCCAAAGGAGTTGTTCCGACTGAAGCACAAACTGCTGAGAGAGCCGAGAGAGCATCACGCCTGCTCTCAGCCCACTTTGCAGTCTCAACCGTAATCTCAGAGCACTTTGCCAACGCCAAAATCACCGAGGCACTCACACCCTCGAACATAAATCTGGGAAGAGACCCTGTAAAGAAAAATTACAATATCTAAACACATGTTGCGTGTAAAAGTGTTTACCTAAAGCTCTGCAGAATCCCATTCGAGTAGTCTCTGCCTGCAGACTAGTGAGAGAATCCATCAAAATTTTAATCAAGGCCAATTGGCGAGGCAAAATCGAGCCACTGGGGTCTTTGCAGAACTGCTCGCAAAAAGCGGGAAGAGCCTCAACCGATCTTGCTCTGGTCAGTGGGTCTACTTGTTTCATTGAGTCAATGATCACCTTTTGCCAGTCCTCTGTAATTTTAGTTTAGCTGATTAGTTTTTAAAATTATTTCAGATTTCTCACCAAGGACTTGAGTGTGTTCGTGGAAAGGCATTTTAGCAATAGAGGCGTTTTTGATGAAGCTCAGCACTGCCTGCCTCATAAGGTCGCCTCCCATTCCCTGGAACTGACCCCTTTTTCCAATGGAAGTCACCAAGTCTCTGATTTCAGTCAAGACGTTTTCATCTGAAAATATGGTTTTGAAATGTTTTTCAATCAAACAAATTTTCAACATTTACCTAAAACATCAGCTATAGTCTTATCCTGCAGACCTTTAGCAAGACCTGCCAGAACTTCACCAATGGCCGTGATTGACCCATGACGGCTATGCAGATCAATTGATTGCGCCAAACGAATAAACTCGGGCAAAACCACACTGGTAGTGTGTTCTGTAGCCAAGTGCGCCAGTTTATGTAGAGCCTAGGAATTTAAAAGAAAAATTAAAATTTTATAAAATAACATAAATAAATTGAAACATACTTTTGCTGCCAGTTCTCTGATGGAAATGTCCCAGTGGTCAACCTTTTTTTGCAGAAGGTGGTCAATTAATGGCAGGGTGTATTCTTCGAACTGAGCAATCTGGACCCTTTTTAGAAATAAAATCATTAAAGAAGTTTTGATTTGTATCATTAACCATACGAAATTTCCAAGTAGGCGTTATTCCTGATTCCGACTGCAAAGAAGTCGGCCGTTGTGATGATGTCTAGTCCATGAGGAAAAGCTCCCTGTCGGCCGACATTTTCTTGGAAAGCTGCCGATGCTGCTCTCCTGCAGTTGATCTGATTTGAAAATTTTAAATTTCAATTAATGCCTGAGAGGTGTTAACTTTTCAATTGTACCTCTCGGTCAAAAACTGTGACAACAACCAAGGCACTGGCAATGTCATTGATGTACGGTGAGAGGACGTCTTTGTCAAAAGCCCGAGCAAAGGCCCAACAAACGTAGCAGGCTGAATCTCTAATCACAGCTCCGACGGGCAAATTTGCCCGCTTTTCATCAAACGCAAGAGCTTTGAGAACAATAGGCACAACTTCAGGAAGTCGAGTAGGAAGAAGTAAGCCTCGGCGACCTGGAAAATAAAATTCAATACAAAGCTAGGAATGAAAAATATATGAGAAATATGAAGAACCTTTATCTCAAATAAAAAAAATTTGAGTAAATTAAAACTGGAGATATCAGATGAAAATACTTATTCTTTTACTTGATTTTTCCATTAATTTTAAATACGGAAAAACATGTAGAAAATTTCAAATGTCGCATTAAAAAAATTTGTTTGTCAAATAAAGCAAAATAAAGGATTGCTTATTAAATTATTTTTTTCCAAATTTCAACAAACAATAATATTTAAAATATTTTGCCATTATTATTTATAAATTTTTTTTTAATAAAATTTAAAATTGCATACCTAATTCAGCCAGAGCAAGGCATCCTCCGTGCCAGGCATGTGGAACCTCCCGAGCGTTCATCACAGCCAGAACAGATCCAACGACCTCATCTCCCAGTTCTTTGGGCAGACGAACCGTGATTCTGCCAAGACCTTTGGCTGCTGACCACCTGACCACAAGGTCAGAGTGCCTCAAGCCCTGAATCAGCTCTTCAACCACCTCCTCCAATTCATCAGGAACGTCAAAGTCTTCGTCTTCCTGCTCATTCGAAGATGCGTTTTGAGTAGTTTCGGCTTGTTCAACAGTCTTCAGGTTGTCAGCCAAAGATCGACTGCCCCGTTGGTACCTCCAAGGGGCAATTCGAGGCTTCAGATAGGTCAACCCTGTCAGAGTAAATTTTCAGATAAAAATTTGTTGTCAAATTGGATTATTTTACCAATTCTTTGGATCAATTTCATGGCAAATTTGTGAGTGAGGGAGAAAATCTGGTCACGCTTGGTGCACTCCTGAGCCCATCGAAGCATCGGAGTTGCAAAGGGCAAAAGGTCATCCCTCTTGCCATGCTTGAAAATCCAGCAAACAGCAGACAAAACGCCAGCAGGTGGATTTCCTTCCAACTAAAATTTTAATATTGTGAGTGACATTTTATTCATTCATTTTTCAAGAGGAAATTTTGACCTTAGTTGCCCAGTCGAGGAAGCTGCTCAGGTGAAGGTTGGTCACGTCTGACCGGGTCAGGAATCGAGAAGTGAGGAAAGCTGCAGGACGATGACAGGAGTCAAGTACCAACAGATACTGCTTGCAAATGTCCAAAATTCTGAGAAGATTGAAACATATTAATACAAAATAAGTTTATTTTGATAGAATTTATTCACCTCTCCATGGCAGTCTTTCGTCCGTCGGCCTCTTCGGGCGTGAAACTGTCCAGTCGGGACATGTGGAAGGGCATCATGACAATGATGGACAGCCAGAGGAGAAGCATGTGTCTTGTAGCCCATGTGTCCACATCACTTGGGTCTTGCTCGATGAGCATTTTCAGAACTGGCTCCAGGTCAGAAACCTTTAACAATCATGATTTTGGTTAATTTTTTATTTTATATAAGATTGGTTTGAACTAGATTTTTGGAATTTATAATAATTTGAAAAAAAAAGAATAGAATATATATAATTTCAGGAATTTCTTAACCAACCTAATTGAACCAAAATTTATTAAACTTATTTATTTACATTTTTAATTAACGAACATTTTATTTTCTGCTCGAAAATGAAGAAAATAAAATTTAAATTGAAGATTTAACTTAGGTGAAATAAAAAGTTAAGTAAAGTTTGTTGATCTCAAATGAGGCCAAAGTACTACGCAGTGCAATTAACAATTTATTTACGTAAATAATTACTAAATTTCAAAATAAATTTGATAGTTAATTTTTTCACCTCATGAGGAAGCATCCTGGCGACGGTTTTGTAGCCTCGGACGTGGGACACGACGACCAGGTACTTGAAGGCCTCGTTTTTTACTCCGTTCGAAGACTGTCCGTCCTTGACGATGTTGATGAGTCGCTGGAGCATGTCCTCGAGGTTGCTGTCGAGAAGGTGCGGCTGCAGCTGGTACTGGGACAGCAGCTTCGTGAACTGCGTGAGCGCCAGTTCGGCTCGGACGGAGTCGGCGTCGGACACTTCACCGATCAGACGGAAGACCTCCTCCGAGTCGGTGAACGCCTCTTTGGTGCACGCCACCTCCAGGCTGTCCAGGTCTTTGGACGCCAAGTCCTCCGCGCTGCCCAGGATGTGCGACATTTTGCAGTTCTCTTCGGACACTCACCGACGAGTAGGTGGAAAAGTCGCTGGCTTTGAGTTCATTCACACCAAGAAAAACGACTCGCACCTTCGCCTCGAAACCTGTGTGCAACTCAAAATTGTAAACACAAAGGCGACGCCCACATGGTCGACCCGCCGAGTTTGCGCAAAAGCTCATTTCATGTGGTACGCAGACCCGCGATACTCGTGTGACGGGCCAGTTGCATAAACAGTTAGGATGTTAAATATTAATTAGTCGCATTAATTTGTGTCTCTAATCAACATAATTTTATTTGTACCATTTTCAAAGAGAAAATTGACCAATGAAATTTTAAAATTAGGATGTGAAAATGGAAAAATAATTACTCATCATCATTGAAAAGTCAAATTAGTCTTTGCAAAATGGTTGTTTCATTGTCTTCCAAAAATAGCAAAAATTAGTTTCTATTCTTGTAAAGTCTTGTTTTGACAATTCCAATCAAATGTAGCAAAAACCAAAAATTAATGATCTCTTGTTATTTATTTGTTTACGATCACCATACACGAGAAAACAATAATAGTATTTCAAAGGAAAGCTGAATTGCTGTAAAAAAAAAAAAAAAATTTACAGAGGAAAAAAATGAAAAATAGCATGATTGTAATTTTTCCTGAGAATACCACTTAAATTTGTTAATTGAAAAAAACTGATATTATTATGTTTAGGTTTATTTCGCATTAGATTTTGCCTCAGAAAATCACTTTCATTAAATATTTTCTTGATTGAAACATTTATTATTCATTTCTCGGAGATTTCTTTTAAAATAATTAAAGCTGCACTATTTTGCTCTCTTTATCCACTTCCAAGATTCATAGAAATAAAAAAAATTAAAAAAACATTTCACAGCAGTTTCATTCCTAGCATTAGCTCTTCATTTGAAGAATTTCTAGCCGAAAGAAAGTTTCTCAATGTGCCACAGCACACCCACCCTCTCTAATACAAATGTTTGCCGAGCAATGAGGCCGCTTGTTGACTCTTTCGTCAAAAAACCTGTCAGCAAACACACGGCAATTAACGCCGGTGCAACGAGCTAGAGATAACGAAAGGGTGGCAGAAAGTGGCCTTTTATAAAAACGCTGCTACTTTACTCTTTATTCTATTCTATACAAAATAGTGTAACATTCATTTCGCAGAACTATTTAAAAAATTATTGCAAAAATGCAAATGCAGGTTAAAAAACAAACACTTTAACAAGAAACTTTTCACTAAAATCAACATTTATTTTTTTCTTTATTCAGCATTCAAATACATTAAACACAAAACAAAAAATCTAAATATTTTAATAAATTACAACAAAAAAGCAGAAATTATAATTTAGATTCAAGAACTCTTCTGAGAAAAATGACAAACTACATTTAGTTACTGTAGTCGAGTTTAAAACAATGAAGATTATTTTTTACAGTGTCTTATTTAAAAAATAAATATATAATCAGAAATAGTATGATCAAATAAATCTATATCAGATCAAAAAATCATTTTATCAAAAACATCTGTAATTTTTGTTTATGTTTGAGTACATAACATAATTTCAAATACTTGAAACTTTTATAATTTTGGGTGCTTTATTCTAAAACGCAAAGGGGGCTGTGAAAATTTGATCGCTTGCTGATGGTGATGATATTTAATTTAGGGGCGACAACATACGCATCTAAAAGAAGGTCAGCATTGTCATTCTTCCAAACGTAGTCTTTAAGTGAGAAGGGCTCTGGCGAAGTGCACCAGCGTGCGCGCGTACTGTTGATTCTGCTAATTGCAACCCACATCCATACCGGTGCCTCTGATAAGGCTGTTCATGGAATCAGAAATAAAAATTTTAGTGTTTGGGAAAAAATTGTTAAATATTTCAGAAGAAAATTAAGAAAAACAAAAAAAATTTAAAATTAATTTGCGCACTCATATTAGCGAGGCAGAGCTTTTCTTCTAAAGTAGCGATCGAAGCAAGTTTCATTCCTCGAATGCAGCATTGTTTAAAGGCTTCTTCCATGACCACCTGACAATATGAATAATTTAATTACACAATATTCAATAAAGCACTGAGATTCAGTTTCTTTTACAATGGGTTTAAACTGGTAGAACTTTTTGCCGCAAATAACTTCTACGTCCCCACTTGCCACGGCGCAGGTCGCTGCAAAACATTTTGTTGTGAATGTGTGATTTTTTTTCAAATCTTTAAAATTACATTTGCACGCATCAATTTCCGCCTTAAGTACTGGCTATAGTAAATTATTAAATTAAATTTGCAATGTTAGTAGAAAATGGTAAAGGTTGATTTTTAATTTATGCATTTACATCAACAGTGCAGTTAGTGTGTTCGTTGAAGCAAAAAGCATCTGGTGGCATTGGATCATTTTCCTTAAAACAGAAGTTCAAACTTAATTATTGCGATAAAATTTGTTTTATTACAAGTGGTGGTAGCGCTTGGTCCATGCCTGCAACAACGCCTGTTAACACAGCGGGGGCTTTTTCGCCAACGCAGGAAAACATTTTTGAAGCTTTGTCTGTGTCGTTCATTCCAGCTTTAATTAAAAAAAAAACGGATCTTCTCAAAACTGGAACTTCGATATTCAACAAATTCTACCTGTGGAGCTACCGCAATCGTCCCTCACTATGTTAATGTTACTTTGAAGTTCGTTTCTATTTTCACCTGCTTGGTTCTCCATCACTGCCAAAACCTCATTCTCCACAAATTCACCGTTGACCATCTAAAAATTTCGATTTGAAACCAGAAAGGGATAAATAAATTCAAAATCAAGTACCAGGTCAGATTTCTCTGCGACGCAAGTGACAAAGGGCTTTTTATTTCAAAAGGGTGTTGAAAAAGTTATTAAATTAAAAAAAAAATCATAATAAAAAAATTAGAGACAAACTTTTGAATTAGGCGCGGTCATTTGAATTATTGTGTCACTGAGGAGCCTGTCGATTTCACCTGCAGTTTAATAAGTTGTTACGCTTGTTTTCGAAGATAAAAAATCATAAATATGTATACTTTGATTCCATTTGTACACTGAACCGCACTCATCCCTCACCATAGCTCCTGGTGACGGAATGCCATAAGTTTGTCGAGACTTTAACAAAAGAAATATGTCACAACGAACACGGTCTAGCAATAAATAATTAAATTAAACCTCGCAAATGAATCTGAATTTCTTCTGTTCGTTGAAATCAAAAAGCTGTGCGTGCGTTTTGTTCAAGAAAATGGCAACGGCGTTTTCGTTGCCCTGTGCGTTGTCAGGCTGTCCGGACGCCCAAGGCGCGCTCTTGTTTACCCGCCACTGAGGAACATTGCACCAACCGAATTTGCCCTCGCAGCCTTGATCACTTCCGGAGGTCCAGAAAAAATCGCTGTCAGACGTATTTACTATTTTTCGTTCAAAGTTTTTTAAAAATTAATTGCATTTTCTTTTATTAGAACCTTTTATAGCTTTGATCAGAGATTGATATTTGTAAACACTTTCCAGACTCAGCAACTGTAATCCAAACTCGCAACATGCTTGGATGGCGCCTGCAAACTTTTTAATCAGGAATTAAATGATATTTTCTAAAATTAGCTAAATAGCTTTTCATACAGTCTGTGTGTTGTTTGGAAAACTAAACATGTACGTCCGCAGATGTTCTTGAAACCAGGTACCGTGTCGAAATGGTCCTACGGTTTAAATTTTTTTTTGTAAAAATAAACTCTATAGTTGGCATTGATTACTATATAAGAAGTCCCTGTACCCTATAGTAACGTGGATTGACATCTATATTTAAAATAAATCAATGAAAGGATTATTATGCTAAACAAACTTATGTATAAATTTACATTTTTAGCGCATGTAATATTTGGGCAAGCGGGGGCTGAGCATCCTGGAGGTGCTGGAGTTGGTTGCCCCTTAATTATTTGAAAGTAATTTTTCGTAATTAATTTTGAATCTTCTCTTTTTAATTTTTAACCAACCTGGCACGCTAAAAATTGCAAACTAGTGCAAATCCTGTTCGAAAACAGGAAGTCTGCTCTCGTCCTGTTCACTTTCAGGTGCAGGCAGTTTTCAGTGCCATTTCTATTGTCTGGGTTTCCTGCTGCCCATGGTAAATTCACGCCATCCATTAGGACTGTATCGTTTTTCACGCACCATCCAAAATTTCTATCATTAAATCTTAAACCAGATGTCCAGTAATTCGCATTGAATTTCCATTTAGAAACTTTAAAATCATCGATAAATAACATATTATTTCGGAAGATTTGACGAGTAAATTAATTTAACCCATGTTTCGAAAGCACTCAAGCTTGGCAGGCGATTCAAATGTTAGCGGTGCCATTCCGATCCTTGAACAGTTTATCAAGTTCTCCCTCCAAGTGGCCTGGTTGAATTTAAATTTTAACAATGAGCGTCACAGCAGAGTTTTTTTTACCAAGTTCTTTCCCAGCAAAAACTGTTGACCACAAGATTGAACCCAGAAACCATACTTCTTTGGATCTGCGCAGTCATTTTATTTTAAAGAGATAAAGAAAAATATATACTCTCTCCACCTTTCACTGCGTTTTCTGTAGCAAACAATGCTGGCTGCAGAGCGTTTTAATTAAATTTAAATAATTTGTGCAAAATAAACTTCATTTTACATCTGTATCATAAGAAGTACACACTCCTCTTATCAGCTCCTTGAAATTTAGAGAATTCTAATAGATTTAGAGCTCAAAATTTGTTGCAAAAACCTCTTGCGTTGGTGGTTTTGTGGTTGTAGTTGTGGAAGTCGTGGTTGAAGACGATGAAGTAGTTGACTCAGTGGTAGTTGACTCAGTAGTGGTTGACTCAGTAGTAGTTGACTCAGTAGTAGTTGACTCAGTAGTAGTTGACTCAGTAGTAGTTGACTCAGTAGTAGTTGGTTCAATTCTTGGTGGCTCAGTAAAAACCGTTGTTATTGGTTCTGTCATTCTATTGTTCCCGATTTTAAATTCAGACCAAGTTCAATTAAATTTTTTCAAAGCTGACCTCTCCGTCGAAGTTTCTTGTACAAGTTCCGTGATTGCTTCTGTTGTTTCCTTGGATGGAGATGTTAATGCTACAGCACTGCTCAATTCTGATACTTCAGTGAACGGTTCACTTGGTAACTAACAAGATAAGTAAGCAGGAGACATTAAAATATCTTATTTTCTGGTCATTGATTTGATAACGGAGCGCGGACAGGACACTTGTTAATATTTTATTATTTAAAAAAACAACGCACATAAAAAATGAGTGAATTATTTTAATTTTAAAATACATTTTATTTTTAAACTTTACCAAACTGGTTGTTTTGGATGACGTGGTTGTAATATTTGTGCGTGTTAACATGGTGGTCACCGTAACACGTTTTGAGCCCATTCTAAAGCAAGATTCCGTTCCACAGCATTTAATTATCGTTTTCCGTCTAAGACGCGAGTCTGTTAAGTATCAAAAATTATGTCAAGAAAAATTATGTGAAGGTATAATTACTTGACCCTCTTCCGTTTTTTCTTGCAGCTTCCAAGACAAACAAAATCTTATTTTTTAAATTTAATTTTAATGAAACGTAAAATATAATAAATTTTACATTTAAAATAATGAGCGCTGCGATGAAAATATGTTGAACATGCTTGATTATCATTGTTGCAGACAGCAGTGAGTCGAATTGGTTGTAACATATAGACTGATTTTATAGAGAGGAAACAAACGAATTGTATATAAAACCGGATGCAACGCTATATCCATCAGCATCCTGACACTAGCTCATTGGCAGAGAAAAGTTTCCCAACTCTGCAAAACTGCGAACCATTTTGCTTTTTGTAAATTTGTCACGCAATAAAAATAAACGCAACACAGTCATGAAAATAGAGTATTATAATAAATTCATGATCTATTTATTATTTTGACGTTTTCTGTTTGATATTTAGTTTGAAATTGCACTAACAATAAGACGCAAGGGTGGAAGGGCAAATTTCGCCACTTTTATCACACACATACATGTATGTTTAGCGAAATTACTCAATCACGATGGACAAATTATAATTTTTAATATCACCACTATAACTTGCTTTAACGCTAATAGAAACACAAGAAAACTGCGAAACATTTAGTTTGCAATAAAATTTTGTTTTATTGTTGTTTTTCTTACCCATCAATTGCAATAACATTCACGTTTTTATCAGAAATAATCAAATAAGGGTTTATTTTGATTTCAAACATTTTTGTTACATTGAAGTGGTGTTTTTTATTTTTACACTTGTTTGCTTCTTTATTTCCTCTATTTTCAAGGAGGGTTGGATGTTCACAGCCAATTAGTGATTTTGTTTTCTGTTATTTTTTCTTGCCAAAATTGCAAGTGGCCAGTTGGTTTGTATCAAAATATTACGCAATAAGTCAATAAAGAAAATTATGATTTATCCAAAATAAAAAAAAAAAATAAAAAAAAAATTAAAAATAATTGTAGAAAACATTATTTTTCTGATTTCGAACACGAAAGGGAAAAATGGGGTTCAATATTTTAAATCAATAAATATCATGCCGAAACAAGTCCGAATAAAAAAAAAACATTTTTTCATATTTTTTAAAAATTCTAATTATAAACTCTTAAACATTATTTATTAAGGGTTCCTTATTGACGTAGTCAAATGAAGTCAATTTAAAAGTAGATGTTTAATTAAATTCCAATTATTTTCTAACATTTGCCATAAATGGCTCCTGCGGTTCTGTGAAGACTTGGTTTGACAAGCCAGTCAGGAGTCCTTAGTCTTGATATTAATGTTGTTTGAAATTACTCCAAAACACATAGTGGGAAGTGCCAAGCAGTTTGCTTGGCAATGGTGATCATCTTCTTCCGAGGACTGACCAAATACGCGTCAAAAGATGGATCAGCATTGTCGAACACCTTGTCGTATCCATCAAAATAAAAAGGCTCTTGTGAAGTGCACCAGCGTGCGCGGGTACTGTTGATTCTGCTACTCCCCACCCACAACCATTCTCCTGATCCTGGCGTGGCTGAATGTGGCAAAATTGAAAATTAGGACAACTCAGTCAGAAAAAAATATTTATGGTTTGTTTTCAAGTCGCTCCAAAATACATTCTAACAACAGATTTTTACTAATTGTAATGCAACTAGTATCATTTTAAGACTTCATACATTATTTTAAATTTATGATTTCTTGTCTATCTTGATAGATTTTTATGAAATTCTTGCACATTTTTTTTTTTTATTAAATATTGACACTGGGTATTATTAAGTATAAAATTTCATTTTAAGAACTTATAAAAAAAATAATGTATAGACAATATTGCTGTATTGCTAAGAAATCAGTAGACCATCATAACATTCATAAAAAATTCCTTCATTCTATTTAAATTTTATAGGATTTGAATAAATGAATCGCTACAAAAGTTTTACTTCCATCTCTTAAAAAAAAGTTTTTGTTAAAAATGTAAGTGTGGGAAAATATAATGTTGTGTAATAATTTGTTTTGCCAAAATTGATATTTCCGGTTATTTCATTAATAATCATGACGTACTGATATTAGTGAGGCAGTTCAATTCCTCCAAAGTGCCAATCGATACAATTTTCATTCCTTGTTGGCAACAATTTTGAAAGGCCCATTTCAACTCGGTCTGTTATGGAGATTTTAAAAGCACTTGAATTAAACTGATAACTTATTTTAACCCTGGTTTTATCTTGGAAATATCTTTTGCCGCAAATAACTTGCACAAATCCATATCGCAGATCGCAGGACGCTGAAATTATGTTCATTACGACTTCATAATTATATTACTCTGATCAATTTTACAATTGCATGCAGCAATCGTCGCCTTCATTGCATACTTCATTTTTTCATCAATGTTGTTATTACTTGTATTATTTTAAGCACGTGGAGAAAATTATTTTAGTTACGTCAACGTTGCACCCAGTGGACTTGTAGCAGAATGCATCTGGTGGCATAGGATCGTATTCCTTGATAAAAATTTAAATGGAACAATATTTAACAAAAAGGAATTCACATTACCAGTGGAAGCACTTGGCCCACGCCAGAAACGACGTTAGTTAATAAAACTGGCGCTTTTTCGCCAACGCACGAAAACACTTGAGGCGCTTTGTCTGCGTAGTTCATTCCGGCTGCAATTAATTTTTTCTTTCTAATTTCACTTAAAATAAAAGTTGAATTTCTACCAGTAGAGCTGCTACAATCATCCCTGACTATGTGGATGTTGTTTTGAAGCTCGGTTCTATTTTCACCCGCTTGGTTCTCCATTATTGCCAAAACCTCATTCTCCACGAACTCACCGTTGACCAACTAAAAATTGCACTGATTGCAGATCAGCTAAATACTGAATAAAATGATAATGTACCAAATCTGATTTCTCTGCAAGGCAAGTAACGAAGGACTGGAAATAATATGATAATATCTATATATTTAAGCATTTCAAAATTATGATTTGTAAAAATTTGTGATAAATTATATATTTTTAATTTTAAAATTAATCACAAAAAACATTTAAAAGATTGATTAGCTAATTGTATGTTGAATGGAGAAACACATCGATCAGCCATTGAAAGTTGCTCTAGGAAAACGTTACGCAAAGGATATTTCATTATTTTTTCCCTAAATTTCAAACGGTGTCAAGAAAAATCCACATTTCACAGTGGACAATAATATCATCATTTGTTAATTGAAAAAGCAATTGAAAGAAACAAACTAAATTGTGAATTTATAAAAAAAAAATCAAAACAAAACCTTTGAATTTTGTGCTGCGATCTGAATTTTTGTGTCATTGAGGAGCCTGTCAATCTCACCTGTTCCCAAACGTAATTAATTTTCAATCATTTCATCTAAAGATCACAAACTTTGGTTCAATTTGTACACTGATGCGCACTCGTCTCTCACCATGGCACCTCCTGATGGTGAACCATAAGTTAGTCGCGCCTAAAAAAAGTTAAAAAGTGAAAATAATCAAAACCAAAATCTATAGCAAGTGAAACCTCGCAAATGAATCTGAATTTCTCCTGTTCGTTGAAATCAAAAAGCTGTGCGTGCGTTTTGTTCAAGAAAATGGCAACGGCGTTTTCGTTGCCCCGTGCGTTGTCAGGCTGTCCGGACGCCCAAGGCGCGCTTTTGTTTACCCACCACTGAGGAACATTGCACCAACCGAATTTGCCCTCGCAGCCTTGATCACTTCCGGAAGTCCAGAAGAAATCGCTGTCAGATTTATTTTCTATTTTTCGTCAAATGTTTATTACGTTTATTACATAAATCATGTTTCTGTTATATGAACCATTTATTGCATTGATCAGAGATTGATATTTGTAAGCACTTTCCAGACTCAACAAACTCAATCCCAGCTCGCAACAAGCTTGGACGGCGTCTGCAAACTTTTTTATGAAATAAAATTAATTAATATCTTAATTGAACTTGGCTCAATTGCATACGGTTTGCGTATTGTTCGGAAAACTAAACATGTACGCCCGCAGATGCTCTTTAAACCAGCTACCATGGCGATGTGGTCCTAAAATTGAAATTAAAAAAAAAAAGGAAAATATAATAAAATTAAGTTGACGTTGGTTACTTTTTATGAAATCCCTATTCCCCATAGAAACGAGGACTGACATCTAAATATTAGTTTAATTTAAAACTTATTATTGTGTTCAATCTACTTCTATAAATTTACATTTTTGGCGCAGGTCATATTGGGGCAGGTGGGGGCTACGCATGGAGGTGCTGGGGTTGGTTGCCCCTTTATATTATGGTTATGATTTTTCATATATAAAAAAATATGTTTGAAAACTTTTATTTTTGTTCTCTTTTTAGCTCACCTGGCAAGCAACAAATTGCAAACTAGTGCAAATCCGGTCTGAAAACAGGAAGTTCGCGCTCGTCCTGTTCACTTTCAGGTGCAGGCAGTTTTCAGTGCCGTTGCTATTATCTGGGTTTCCTGCTGCCCATGTAAAATTCACGCCATCCATCAGGACTGTCTCGTTTTTCACGCACCATCCAAAATTTCTATCATTAAATCTCAAACCAGACGTCCAGTAATTTGCATTGTATTTCCATTTTGAAACTGTAAAAACGTTACAAAATAATTATTTTGCAACATTTGAAGTGTAAATTAATTTAACCCATGTTTCGAAAGCACTCAAGCTTAGCAGGCGATTCAAAAGTTAGCGGTGCCATTCCGATCCTGGAACAGTTTATCAAGTTCTCCCTCCAAGTGGCCTAGTTGAATTTTTTTAAATTAAAGAGCGTATATACGGCCGGTGGGAAGCGTACCAAGTTCTTTCCCAGCAAAAACTGCTGACCACAAGATTCAATCCAGAAACCATACTTCTTTGGATCTGTGCCATCACTTTTTTTATTTCAAAGTGGGAGAGATATAAACTGTTTTTTAACCTTTCACTACGTTATCTTTGGCAAACAATGTTGGCTGCAAAGCGTTTCAATTAAATTGAAATAATATGTGCAAAATAAATTTAATTTTACGTCTGGATCAAAAGAGGCGCACTCGCCTCTGATGAGCTCCTTAATTAAAATCAAGAGATTTTTGGTGGAATTAAAAGCTCAAAATTTAATGCAAAAAACCTCTTCCGTTGGTGGCCTTGTGGTTGTAATTGTCGTGGTTGGAGACGTTGAAGTAGTTGACTCAGTAGTAATTGGTTCAGTGCTTGGTGGCTCGGTAAAAACAGTTGTTAATTGTTCCGTGGTTCTAACGACACGATTTAAGTATTAGGCAACGTTCAATTAGAATTTTTCCAAATATATCTGACCCTTCAGTCAAAGCCTCTGTGATTGTTTCTTTTGTTTCCTCGGACGGAGATGTTAATGCTACAGTATTGCTGGGTTCTGATACTTCAGTGAACGGTTCACTTGTAAACTATGTTAGGAAAACTTGTAAAAAAAACTTAATTTCCAGACCATATAGAGTATTTTATATTGTAACAGGTAATTTTCAAGAATGCCAAATAAAATTGATAGAATTTTTTTTTACCGCGGTGGACGTTGTGGACATTGCAGATGAGGTGGATGAGCTGTTGTTGCGAGTAACCATCACACTTTTGGAGCTCGTTTTAGTGCAAGATGCCGTTCCACAGCATTTGATTATCAGTTTCCGACTACTTTTAGATCTTTGACGCGATTCTGCTATGCAGATTAGATGAAATTTACTGTTGCAAAAAAGACTCATGTGTCATACTTGAAGTTCCTCCATTTTTCCTGGCACTTTCTACAACGTCAATTAACAAAATCTATTTTCAATTCATAATCAATACCAATTAGTTTTAAAATGAATATTTCTTAACATTGAAAATTATTAGTGCAACGATGAAAATTGCTCTCATCGCTGTGTTTTCTCCCGGATGATGGGCCCTGCAGCATTAAACACGAGCGATGAGAAAAATTTGCTAAATCGGAAACAGCGCGGTTCCCCCCCCCCCCATTATTGTCATCAAAACGTCACACCATGACACCAGTGAGTGGTGAATGTAAGGAAAAGTTAATGAAACAGTGCAAGTGCCCAGTTTTTCATAGTGTCAAAAGAATTTCAAAAGCTTTTGACGCTTAGTGAACAAAAAATTAATTGGTTTCCCTGGCCTCCCTGGGTTTCCCCTTATTCTGAATTAAAATTAAAATTTGAATATAAATTATTTTTGTTCTCTGTCAAGCTTACCTATCATGCGAAGGTTAGCAAGCTAGTGCATACTATACTGTTCGAAAACAGGAAGTTCGCTGTAGTCGTAATCCTATTGCCATTTATCTGTAACTCTACAAAACTGTGAACTATTTACTTTTATGTTTAAAATATGTTTAAACTATTTTTCAAATTATTGATTATTGTTGTTGCTTATTTGTCTAACATATCACATTGTCAAAATTCAATTCTTCATCGCTTTTATTGTATTATGGCCCAATATACAAAATTACACTCATTGCCAGTCGCATATTTGAAAATGAGACAAAGAAGAATAAGAAAAGAAAACCATATCAAAAAATTTGTGTCATGTATGAATGAAAACATGAATAACTTATTATATTAATTTGTTTAGAAAATACACCATAAAAAGTGGGAAGTGAACATAACGTTTTGATTAGCAATTTCATTCATAATAAATACAACTCCGTTTCAAAATAAATATTTCTTTCCACAGGAAATCAATAGCACTGCGATGAAAATTTTACTCATAAATCTAGTTTGCATGATAGACACTACAAAAGGGAACCGGTTGCTTAAACGCAAAAGCTAAAATATTATTTTTCTATAGTCATATCATTTCAATATAATTAAAATATTTTGGGTATGGTAATTGCATTTTATATATTATTTGTATTAAATAATATTTAGTTTATGTAGTATAAATTATTATTTTTTTATAGTGAAACTTATATTAAATTAACAACGAAAATTATAATTAAAATTAGTCGGTAAACATTACAAAGAGTTATTTTTGTCATGTTAGTGTCACACTGCAGCTAAAATCAGCGTGTTTGGCCCATTTTAATTATTTCTATGCTGTCAAGAATGTCAAAGGCCTGAAGCGTTCAAAAAATATAATTCATTAACACGAATATTACGAATCATAATGACCAAAGCTTTGCAATAATGAAATATCACCGAAAATAATAATTTGATATGTTTCACAATCATGTAGCCGCAGGATGTGGAAAAGTACGCGTGACTTTTCCCGGTCAGAATGGCGGAAAAAATTTATAGCTATCATATTGATGCGAGTTTTGCCAAACTAGGTGTTATATAATGATGAAAACAAAACATTTTCAAAAAGTCATCTGCAATCACAACTTTACTATAATTTAAATTATTAATTAATAATTATCAAATTTAATAAAAAAAAAGCATTGGAGAGGAACAAATTTTTAATTTGCACATTTTTGCTGCGAATTTTTTCTGAAACTAGGTTTGACGGATGGTGTATAAATAAATATCCGTCGCAGCTTCTGCTAAATTGCAGAAAAAAAAACGTGAGGCGCATCAAACGGCGTCTCCGTCAGCGGCGGAGAACTTTCGTACATATCAAGATCGTGGCTGGCCAGGAATAACCGACTCTTTATTGGAATAAGCGGCACGACCGCCGCATTCAACTCCAAAAACACATCTTTCAAGAGCACTCTGCTTGATGTACATCGCTCAAGTATGAGAATAATAATCGCTCCTTGTGCGACGCAGACAGAATTTTGTAAAAGTTCAAAATTGATTTGGAAAAAAGGTTAAAATTTGACTAATTCAAAACTTCAGCTGTAAAACGAAATCAATAAAATCAAATCAAATATTTTAAAACACTGATGAAATAATTAAAGTTTAAAAAAAGAATGAAATCCACTTCAATATTTTTCCGAAATAAATTTGTCAATTATAAATTCAACGTTTTCTCTTGATTCTCATAATTTTTAATTTTGATCGTCTCTGTTGTGGCATTTAGGATGAGTTTTTCTGTGTCACGCTGATTGTGAGAGATGCAGCCGGCGGGGGAGACAAAGGGTTAACGAGGCCGCCATCGGCCGGGGCGCCGAGGGGTCAGTGACAGCGGCGGGAAGAACAAGTGGTGCTCGAGGCGGGGGCGGCGCGGGGGTGGCGAGCGTGCGCCGTGAGCGGGAGCACCTTCTTGCCTCGCGCGCGCCAGCATCCCGCCAGGATCAATGATGATGGGCTGGAGCCGACCGACCCTCGATCGCTCGCTCCAAAACACACGCCCCCGCACTGCCGCCGCTTCCTCTGCCACAAACAACCTTTGGTGTCCTTCGGCGGCCAGGGTCGCACCCCTTGCTATGTGAAGCGCCACCCAAAGTCAACGCGACCACAACAGGTACTGAATTTTCAACTATTCGGCCTCTTTCATGGGTTAACTAATGTTCAAAAAGTTTGTTCTTCTACTGGACCAAATTTATTTACAGATTCTTCCATTCATGATTGATTTTATTAACAACAGAAATCAATTCAGAAAACCAAGGTCTTTGTTTCTATACAATTTAAAAAATTAAAATAATTTGCTCTAACACAAAAGAAATACTAAAAATAAAATGTAAACAATAATTTATTCCAAGAATTTTGATTTTTAATACTTTTGAAACTTTTTTGTAGTAATTAATTAGTATTGAAATGTTATTTCTACAGTAAAATAATTTCGTTTGTATGTTTTACGTTGATTATAAATTGCATTTTAAATTAATTTGAAAATATTAAGCCTGCAAAAATTGTATTCAATGGAGCTGTTCTTAAATTCATATAATCTTTCGTGATGTATGGTGGATGCTCTTTGTAAGCAAGGCTGACTTGTGAGTGTGATTTATCGATTGATTGGCGAAGCTGTCACATCACATGCATGCCCACTCGTCTCTGCTCTCTTTCATTCTCTCCGGACTGAACAAAGTAAATTTTGGGCGAAAATGAAGGAAGGGTCCGGCGGCCGAGATTGCTGCCTGGGTCACGCGAGGCCTGCCACTCTGCTCTCTCGGTCTTGAACAAAACGGATCATTTTCGCCAGGGAGGAGCCGCCACGCTTGCTTGTTTAGTTCTGCTTTCGAGGGGTTGAAATGATAACGCACGCAGACGTGTACCTCTATTATTACTCGAGGCCACTCTCGCAAATTGGCTCCCAATCGAGCAATCAATCGCCAAGAGCTTTTCACACAATCCGGCTGTGCCGTTTGAAATAATACAAAAGTTTTAAAGTGGTAGTTTTCTCTTTAACTGATTTTAAACCGATTAAAAGAATTTTTGTTTTAAATTTTGACTCCGAGAAATTTCACCAGCACGATTAGCTGAAGAAGTGTGAAAACAAAGACTCACTTCAGAAAGAGAAAACAATCACTCGGCTCTTTTCTCAGCCGTTTCGTTTTCTTCTCTCTCGCTACAGTTTTTTTAAACAAACAGAAAGCAGACGGGTTTCCATCCATAAATCCACGCGTTTTCGCGAGCCACCGAAGAAGCAAAAGGATTCATTTGCAGCAGTCGGTGTTTTATCTCTATTTCCAAACTGACTCTTGGTATGTGTAGGAGCGAGGAGAATTTCATTTAACAATCCACAAGTACGTCGCTGGATCGGTTCTGGCCTAATGCCAAGTGAGCGAATTTTCGGCGCACATGTGTGTGCATCTGCTGGAGGCAAAGCAATATTGAGTTCTTCGGTGAATAAGGAAAACCACGCTCGTTTCATAGTTTGTTTCTACCTGCCTGATGTAGTGATATCAATTTTGGTTTTGAAATTCCCTCGAAATTTTAATAAAAATGGAGCTTTAAAACAAAAATATTTGAACGGGAATTAAACGATATTTTTTAAAAGGAATAAATAACAGTCTAACAATAAGTTACAAAATTATTTAAAAATAATATTGATTGGCTTTAATTATTAATTACATTAAAATATTATAAAACTGTACTTAAAATAATTCTTCTGTTGAGGCCAAGTTTTATTGCAAAATGAAGATTGGGCTGTCATAGAATTGCTAAAAACATCTGTTAAACCAAACTAAAACAAGAAAAAAAAATTTATTATTTGGGCAACAATTTTTTCAATAAACTTTTATCTTGATTTCAGAATGGACAGAAGAGAGTCTGTAGACGACAGTCTCACAGACCAGGCGGTTCCGATTCCCATTCAAATTTTCCTATGGAGACAGACCAGGTTTTTACAAAAATTATCTTAATATGTTTATATGAAAAATAAAAAACTTAATTTTCAGTCCATTCATCAGACCAAAACTAGGAAAACTCCATGAAACAACGTGCTTGGTAAGTAATTATATTTTTCTTTAATAATCCGCAGAGATGATGCTGTGTATTATAGGGCGACTGTATAAATTCACCAGAGTGTGGATATAACACTTTTTAATTGTAAATAACATTTAATGTTTTCCCAGTAAAACCATCTATATATGAAAAATAACATAATCTTTTGAAAATAATCTCTTCTTTCTCTCTTAAAAATTCAAAAACATTGAAAAATGCCACTTTTTGTTTGTGTTTTCATTTAATTCGGAATTTGAACAGCTGAAGGTCGCGACTTTATCCCGGCCGGGAGTTCTCCGAAAATCAATAAGGAGAGCGGCATTTCCATGCATGCTATCTTTCTCTTTCTCTCCTCGTGACATTTATTTCACCTGCCTACACGGTGGATTCGCGCATACACACGTGTTTGTTCGTTAAATACGCGCGGGCGGCACATTGTTCCTCGTTTTTCTATGTCTATGGATCAGCAGCAGGTCCTTTTGTGCCCTTGTCAGGGCCAGTCCACTGCCTGATACGGATCAGCTTCCCATCAATAACAAACACACGCCAACGCCGCCCCCCCCCCCCCCCCCTGGAAAATTCATCCTCAACTTCGATCGGCCGGGAATAAATCAGATGCAATCCGTGCCGTATTTTATGGTTCCCACAATCCAATCATTTATTAATGAGAATCTTTTTAACGAAAATATAATGTAATAATATGTCCAAAAATTTATTAATTTGAAAATTTTTCTGCTTAAATCTTAATTTTATTTAACTCCAAAAACAATCAACAATATAAAAATAAGTAATAATTTATTGTACTATACTTTATTAATTATTTAACTATTTTGCAAGACCATAGGAACAATATATTTATTTTTTGAAAATTAGCCTCATTGTATATAAATGTGCTACTAATTGTCTGTGCCCGTCTCTCTATTTGCGCTCACTGCAGTTTTGCCAAAATGCACCAGGACATCATGTAAGTCTGCATGCGTATCAAAACTGAACCTGTTTTTTTTTCGGACAAACATCCGCTTTAAATATGTGCAAAATAGCGTAAATTTGCTTCAAAAAATCTGGCAACATAACATAAATTTATTATTATTATTATTATTTTCAAATTGTTGCCTTGTAAATTTTTGCAAGAGTTAAGAAAATCCACCGTCCTCCTTGAGTAGGTCTTTTATAATTGCACTTTCTAATAATAAATCCACTTTATCTTGATCCTTAGGAGCTGAAGGAGGCCTGCAAGGTACGTAAAAAATTCAAGCACACATTCAAGAAAATCTCCCCCTATTTCTTTCCATGATTTTTTTTATCGGAAAAAAGACCCAATCAATCAAATTACGAGAAATACCATTGAATCACGAAAACTCGGCGGCTCATTTGAATGTCTAAAGGAATCGGTGAGCGTGACTGATGATTTTATTGGATTCAACAACCTCCACTTTGAATAAATAGCATTTAGTTTACGGAAAAAAGACTGTAAGAACAAAGGCTAGTCTTACTTGTTGGTATTGAATTCATTTAAATATTTGTAAATATCGAGTAATTCGAGAAATAATTTATTAACTTCTCATTCAAAGGAGGTTTTCTTTGATGAAATAATTTTGCTAATTGAAAAATAGCTCTAATAGTTTTGGCTGATATCTTGATAAAATTAAAGTATTGGAGCAGTAATAATTATTTTATTTATTTTGAAAAAATAAAATCAAAGGGGTTTTCAGCTTCAATTCTGTAGGAAGAGAGCGTAAACCGTTAAAATAAGTCATTGCGGGCAGGCAGTCGAAAATAGCTGCCTGTATAGAGTCTGGTCAGCACGCAGAAAGTCATAAAAAGTTATGACACATGCACACCGCGTGGAGCAGTTAAATTCAAATATGGGACGCATTCGGAGTTCAAATGAGCCGCGCACGGATGGGTGGGATCGCCGCAATAAAAAGGAGCCCTTTTGCCGGTTTGTGTATAAAAATATAAATACGTACACGATTAGATCGAATATGTGCGTGGTGTGCCGTTGGAGGAAAAGCTGCACGAAATATATATAAAATAGAGCACAGCTTTCACTTTTTCACCCCGTAAAATATGTGAATATAAAGTAGTAGTGAAAATTTGATCTATTGAAGATATTTCCACAATCATTCAATCGAAATGTTTTGGCGGAATTCTGATTTTTATTTTACTTCCAGTCCTTTGAAAAAGTTCTGGTGCAAAACATCCAGTTTGGCTTGAGCCCAAGTCTCACCGAAGCCATCAAAGCCGTGCCGAGATGGAAGTTGGTCCAGGCCTCTTTTCCGCACGTCATGCACTGCGCTGCCGCGCTTCTCAGCAACAGGTCAATTTCTTAAATAGTTTTAATAAATTTCATTAAAATTTTTCATTCAAGGCGAGAGAACACAAGTCTGCAGAGTTTGAGCGCCGCCGAGACGAAACTTTTGTACACCCTTCACTGGATCATTTTGGACGCGGCCGAGGAATGTGCCAACGACGAAATGGAGAAAAACGTGTCACGCACTCAAGCGTCAACCGCTCACTATCTGTTTTCCATCCCTTCAATTACAGTAATTTTAAAATTACTTAAACAATAATTTAATTGAAAGAAAATAGGCATTCGATATTAAAAATCTATATTTTATTCAAAAGAAAAATTTTAATCAAGGTTTTTTTCAAGATTTTCAACACTTTTTTATTGGCAATGAGAGAAAAGACTTGTTTATATTTTATTAAAAAAAAATTGATAGTTTGGTAGTAATAATAATATTAATTTAAAAAAATAAAATACAAAATTGAGTCACTTTTTAATTTTTGTTCATATTAATTTCTTATTTTGAATTATTTGTAGCTCCTGAAATTAGTATTTCTAGTAATGATCAGTTTTTTTTAAATAATAATGAAAAAAAAACCCATTTGCAATTAGGGTAAAGACCCTTCTTTACTTCCAGTGCCATCCTCTTTTATCTGAAAATATCCGGATAAAATTTTAACATAATTTTCAGCTCTTTGTGTATCTCTTCGCGCCTCTGTGCCATTTGCTAAAGGAGCACGACCTGCAGTCCTTTCGATTGGAAAACGGAATCAAACTGTGGCAGCCACTGTGGGAGTACAAACACCCCACGGCGAAGTGCTTTGCGGCTCTGTGCAAACCAAGACCCCTCAGCAAAGGTAACGCTTCCACCCAGCACTCAAAGTCATTCGGCGACGTCTTTACCGGAACGAGTAAGCGTCTAATTCAAATTATTTATATTTATAAAATCAAACCCAAAATTTATTGAAGATTCAATAATAAAAAAACAAATTTATATTTATTCACGAAAATAAAGTAATTCAAATTTTCAGGGCGCGCTGCGAGTTTGGAAAGTTCTGACAGTCCAGCAAGTGGACAAAGTGGGACTGAAAGTGCCAAAGATAAGGGAGAAGATGTAAAAACCTTAAATTTAAGCAAAGCATCAAATAATTATTTAATTTTTTTAGAGCCCTTGGTTGTCGTCACCTAAGGAAACCGTCTTTCCGGAAACGATCCCCGAAGAAAGTTCGAGCACAGAGGAAGAACACATGGTTATTTTGAAGCTACCCTCTTTGCCAGACGCAGACGGACTTAACAAAGAGCACTCTGTTTACACAGTAATGAAAAAAAAAAAATTAAGTAAAATCCGCTGAAATTAAACACAAATTGCTTTTTCAGGCTCACCCAAGTCTATTTCAAGTAAAAAGCGTTCCAAAGGAAGTGAAGCAACTGAAGCCTCATCCCAAAGTGTAATTTAATAAAAAATGTTCCAAATATTTTATTAATTAATTTTTTCTTAATTTTAGCCCAACTGAAAGTTTACTGGCTCCACCAGGAGGCATTCCGAGCAAGCAGTTAATTGCTGATTTGACCGCTGCAACTTTTATGGATGTGGCTGTACTGAGGTGCCTCTTCATTTCGCAATGGTGCGAGGAAGGAGTGTATTGGGCTCTGCAGTACCTTTATCACAGGTAAAATACATTCCTGCAGTGATTAATTAATAAAAAAAAATTAAAAAATATTACAATTCTCAGGCTGAGGGAGATAAACGACGAGACTTCGACCCAATTCCAGCCACGAAGGAGGAGCAACTCCCTGCCCATTCCCAAAATCGAAGTGTCAATTTACCAGAGTCCAGAGATGAAGAAGAAAGAATCAAAAGTGCTGGTCGATTACTCGGACGACTCATTCAGTAATTTGATTGAAAATGTTTTAGACAGGAAATAGTAGGATTATTTTATTTTTGTAGCTTCAAAAAAGCAGTGCCTGTCAGACGAAACACCAAACATGAGCCGGAGGTCAAGCGAAAAGGTGAAGAAGAGAACGAAAATCGCCGATTTGCGGGCTTTTGTGGAAACCAAATTGCTTTCAAAGTCGGAGAAAACGTTGGAGAAGATCGGACAGGAGGATGGAAAACTCGATCAGGTAAAATTGAAATATTTTATTATTTAGAATAAATGTCCCTATTTATTAAAAAAATCTATTTGTAAACTTCTGACGTGCAGGTTGCATACTTCCATATTTTGCAGGCGCCTTAAAACTAATCCAATTTATGTTTTAAAAATAATACAAAAAATTATTTTCTATTAGGAACATGCGAGTAGTCTGGACACCGGCGATGACAATTTGGTTCCCCGACCGTGCTCAGCCCTGGCCAAAATCGGTGAGCCTCGATTTGACAATGAGGCAAAATTCATCAAACCAGCTAGCAACCTTGTGAAAGGGAAGAGCATGCCCAGTCTGAGGTAAGAACTAACAAAAATTCGCGGCATAAATCATATTAAACATTCCTACTGATCTATTCTAAGCATGAACTAAAATTTACGCTCTACTGTCACTACTTCCAACTGTAAATAACTCATCAAACTCTGAAAATCACTCAAAATATTACGTCCCTTGAAAAATTGGCTGGAAAATTTTAATGGAAAAAAGTTCAAAATTATATATGAGAAATTGTGAGAGGGTGTCCCCGAAATCGTGGGCAATTCTGGCCCCACTACGCTCTGTCACTTACTGTTTCTCTCTCTCTGTCTGTCCTAGCTGTTTAATAGATGAGTTAGCAAGTGCAGGGTAAGTCATCAACTTCACGCCTCTCTGCTTCTTCAACTTCTTGTATTTGCTTTCTCGCTTCCTCACACTCTGTTTTGATTGGCCCTCTACAACTATGATGTTTCATGCTTTGTCTCGATTGATTTGTTCATTTCGACCACACTCATCATCAGCCAAAAACACACCTACCCATTGCAGTAGATTTCCGCAAACTCGACATTTTTTACATTATTAATTGCAAAATTTACGTTGAGTTTTTCAGTGGAAATTTGAAATCATTTGCGTCGGTAATTAATTTCAGCGAGATGGAAACTGGTGATTTTATTTTGAAATAATTTAAAACTCATAATTTTCAGGTACATTAGCGACCTGAGCCACATGAAACAGATGAAATTACCACAACCGCCGCCGTCGGCCATTCCTCACCCCATAATTACGGTCACCGAACACACGCCAACCCCTTCACCCGACTTCACGCGCAGACAGGAACATGTAATTTTCTTTAGAATTCAAATTAATAATATTTAAAATTTTAAATCTCTTTTTTAGGGCTCAATCGACAGCCAGTTAGACGCCCTAAGTTTGCAGGGACGTCAAGGAGCAGAGAGGAAATCAAGCCTAACCAGATCTCAAACTGATTCTAACATCACGTACTCCAAGGAAGAAACATTAGAGGCACCTGGATCGGCTAAATACATTACAAAAGATGGGGACATAGATTACCAAGTTGTCGTCAAGGTATAAAAAAATAATTAATTACTTATTGTTATATAATTTGGAACTATTTTTGAAGGCTGTTCATGCTGCCTCTCAAAAAGATGGAATTTGCACTTTGAGGGTTTGCGAGGTGATTTTAAATTTGACTGAAATGCTGATGGAACTCGGCGTTTTGAAAACAAGCACCAGACACTTTGAAGGTCTCAATGTCAATAGTGATCCCAAAAGTGAGTTTTAAATTTACAAGTTTCGTTAAAATTTGAGAGGGAACAAAATTTATATTCCACACTAAATTTAATTAAATAAAAAATATACATTTTTCAACATAATATTAATTTAGCAATGACCCCAGCTGCATCTGCGTCACCAATGCCGAGCAACAGTGCCCTCGCTCCAGCTCCGGCGCACTCGGAAGAAAAACCGGAGGAAGAGCAAGTCTCCATAGCGCACACTCTCCTTATGAACTGCGTTGTCAAGTGAAAAATTCCACACAGATAAAAAAAAAAATTGAAATTATTATAATTTTTATCTAGAGTGCTGAAGCAGCTGGGCTGCCCGAACGGTTGCTCTGACAGCCAACGAGGGCCGCCTGCCGACTTCCTGAGGTCTCAGGGTCAGTCGATTCTGTCCAAACTGCACCGCGCCAGTCATAAGCAGTTCACAAGATTCTTCAGGAAATTCGTTCAAGAACAGCCCATCGGCGAGTTGCTCGACTTTTTCCACGCCTACACTGGGTACTGTGTGGACCCTGGCTCTCTCCTTTCACCTCTCAGTACATTTCCATTTTTTAATTGATTCAATTGATTGATTGATTTTCAAAATAGATCAAAAGAGAAGCGCGAGTAAAAGTCCAGACATGAGTTCAAACCAGACGGGTTACGCAAACAACTTTGGGGCCAGTCTTGGCGGCGCTGGCGGAAGAGGCGTCGAGGGGCAAATTTTGAGTTGCGTTTTCAAATGTCTCATTACGAGACTGGTGACCTGCATGAAAGAAATCAAAACGCAAGAACACTTAGTAAGCTTGGCAAATTAATGAAATATTTAGAATTTGAAATTTTTACTAAAATTTTAGGCTCTGTATTGTGACGTGCGTCAGTTTGTTTTGTACATTAAAGAGGCGCACGGAGGTGTTTTCCGGAGGGTGGTTTTGAGTGCTTTGATTGATGCAGCGGTCAGGCCGCACAAGAAGGAACCCGAGCCGCAAACTACCCGCGTTATCAGGTAAATTTTAAATTTTTGGGCCAAATATTTATCCAAAAAATGAGCCAAATTTTCAAATAATTAAATGAACCCAAGAGAAGTGAATAATTTGAAATGTGTTCAATTACACAGGACAGCCAGCCAAATGCAAATTAATGCCGACTCCACGGTTGTAAGTTGAAAAATTACTTCACTAAAAAGCAGCTGAGCAGTGCATATATTATAAATATTGAGTGACTTACTATAGCTGATTGATTGCATTCGTTTTTATCTCAAACCAGAACTTGAGCCCTGTCCTCGAGTTCGTCTGCTGTTGCATATAATTTCAATTTCCTCTCGCTCTTCAGTATTATACATAATTACCATTATTATAATTATGAATAATTTTTCAAATAGAACGCTTTCCCTATTCACTCTGTCTATCTACTCATCTACTCTCTATCCAGTCTCTTTGCCGTTTGTAAAGAATCTTTCTCGTGAATGCGTGCTGATTTCATATAATTTTTCAACTTCCACACCCGATTCGCTTTGCCAACGTTAAAGCTGAGTCAAATCTGTGCCATATTGCAAGAAAAGCTAGCACAATAATCTGCATTTTCCAAATTAAATAAATTATATTTTGCGTGTTCCTATTTTTATCTAAATTTTGGAAAATAATTAATAAACTTTTTTGTGCTTGCTTTCTTGCTTCCCTGAGGCCCCGATAGCCCCCCTCAGTAGCCCCTTGAACAGTTTGAGATCGCCCCCCGTGTGAACTAGAGCTAGCACCATTGTGGGCATGTGTTCAATTTAACAGACATGTCCACGGACCGGCCGAGGACCAGGAGGCGTCCACCTCGAGCGCGGCCGCAGCACCCTCAGAGCCGTCCTGCACTATCCCCGACGAGAACAGAGCAGCTTCCGGAAGAAAGTTCCTTTTTAAAAAGAGGAGCACTTCTTCTACCTGCGCTGTACGGCTCCGTGATATTCATAGGAATTCTCATCTGTTTATATATAAATGTTTCAAAAAAGCCTTGCCGAGAAAAATCTTTCAATCGCTTGGTTATTTTGATTTATTTTTCATGTTTGAGTAGAAATCTTGAGTTTGCCTTTGGTAGAAGTAGCAGTGCATGGTGTGCGCTTTTGTTGTAGTGAGTTTCGGAAAAAAACTGCACAGAAAATGCATTTGACGTCTTATTTGTGAGAAAATGCTGGATTAAAGAATTTTAATCAATTTTTCACATTGAACTGCTTAAAAATTATTCAAAGAATCCAACAGCATTTTCTCACAAAATTATTTTTGTTTGTGGTTTAAAAATTAAGACCTACAATGCGAATAATTTCAGAGCCTGTTGGAAACTGAACTAGCCGAAGAGCCGATTAAGACTCAAAGCCCGTTGAGCAACGTGCGCCGCAAACATCACATTCTCACCCCGCGCCACAGCGAGCGAAATCTCGGAGTCGAATTGCCTGTGCCAAGTCCCTCAGTGAAAGGCGTCCAGAAGGGAGGAAAATTGAGCGCCTGGTTCAAAAGGGATCACTCGAGGACTGAGTCGACGGAGAGTCATGATGGCGGCGACTCGCCCATTGACTCTGGTTTTATCAGACAGTCCTCGCTCGGAATGTACCACTACTCAAAGGGAGCCGGCCGATCTAGCGTTGGGTAATAATTTTTAAATTATTTTTTATTTCTCGTTAATTTATTTAAATTTAATGTTGTTGATCATTTCAGTACCCACGTGGGTCAAACTTTCCAGAAAGCAAGAAGGAAAGTTGAAGACCAGTTGATAAAAATTGGACTGGGAAAGGGGAAGAAAAAAGACGGCGTGATGGAAGAAACGTCCGGCAGTCGTAAGATAAATTATTTAAATTATAATAAAATTTGAAAATAAATAATATTTTAGATTTGAGCCGGAAAAATTCTATGGAGCTTGGTGATCACAGAAGGGAATCAGAATTTGTCGTTTTGAAAGAGAGGAAATTGATTCCCGTTTTGCCCGTTTACAACGGAATGCTGAGATTTTCATTTCTGCTGGAAATTTGTCAGCCAGGGACCGTTCCCGACGCCCAACTGTTGGCAGCTCTTTTGGACTTGGTACTTTGCAAACCAAAAATTGTGATCCATTTTTTGAAGAAATTTCAAATTACAGCCGAATGCACCAGTTGTGTCGAAGGCCTGTCTGCTGCTTGAGTGCTGTTTTTTCGTTCACAACTGCAACAAAGGTCAATGGCCTATGTGGATGCGACTCAACTTTCCAATGTTTCGACCTTCGGTGCCTAGCAGGGGCAGCACGGCCGCTCCGTCGGGCTTGAGGAGGTCGCACATTCTTCAGAGATATGCGGGGAAAATGTTCTATCAATGGGCCGAGGCGATCGGCGCCCGACTCGAGGACATGGTTCACCAGGACAAGCAGCACGTGACCAATGTGGTGGGCATGGTCACTGACGAGACAAAGCAGAAAGAGTTATCTCTTCAGGACGAGGAAGAGGACTTTTTGGATGAGTGTGAGTTTTTTAAAATTTCTTGATTATTTCGAAATATTTAATCATTCCCAAGAAAATGAAATCAACACTCAATAAATTGATTTATTTTTCAAATTGTAATATTTAATTAATTATACTTGGAATACTGAAATTGGGGGATAAACTGGTATATTATAGAAGGATTTAAAGTGCTAAAATTTTCATTTCTAATTACAAGGGTTTCTATAAGAAATTGTTTTTTATCATGATTTTAGAAAACTTCAGAAACGGATATCTAAATTGAAACTTAATTTATTAGAGTTTTATGGAATGAATCTCAGTTTATAGTTAAATTTTTAGTGTTTCAAAATCCTCCTCGTTAATTTTAAGGAACCCACGTAAAATGCCATTATAATTTTTATTTTTAATATTTTTTTCCTAGCGAGTATTGGTCTAATGGGATTGCAATGTCCTTTGGCCTTACGAATGGTTGCTTGCCTGTTGCTTCTTGAAATCACAACCTTCCTGCGCGAAACCTATCAAGCCTTGCCCAAGTCGAGCAGACTGTCAAACAAAGACAGACCGCCAGCAGGATGGGACAAGATTTACAGCAAGGACGCTAACCGGCGCTGGAGCATGGCCCTGTCCTCAATGGGACACTCGCAAACGTCTGCCCAAAGTCTGCAGTCTATTGCCGGAGACAAAGATAACGGTCAGAATTTCGTGCAAAAAAAAAATATTTTCCAAATTATTGATTTCTAAAGAGGGGATTAAAACTTTTCACACCTTAGGTGGCCAAAATTCAGAGCGGAAAATTAGTTTCGTCCTGCACGAGCCGGACAACGAGTCGGAGGGGAGCAGCAATACCACAGTAACAGCACAAGTAATTCAAATCAAATGCAAGACAACGTTAAATTGAATTTTAATCCTAAGGGGGAGGAAGTGGCGGTTGAAGAGAAAAAGAGAGGGTCGGTTGTGGGCACGCCGGCCGCCCCGGCCCCACGGGTGCCTCCGAGCAGACCATACCTGTTGCGTCGAGGCACCAACGCAGGCACCGCAGGCTCCTTCAAACGCAGAAGTCTGAAACTGCGAAGAAACACCAAGGACGCGAGCAGCAAAAGCGAAAACGAAAGCACGGATTGTATGTACAAAAGATGGAAAATTATAAAATTAAATAAAACAATAATTTTTCAGCCGTTTCTGGAAACAATGCTTCGACGGTGCGCCGAACTGATTCAATTCAGTCCAAGCGCAAAGTGAGCTCCATTTCAGACAGGTCGGACACGTCTGACCACGGGGCAGATGGAGCCGGAAGCGGAGGGGAGGAGTCACCGGGGGTGCTCAGTGACGAGCAACCCCCTGAGAGCCCAAGTGATAGTAATGATACAGACGATGGTTGCTGCAGCAAGAATATGCCTTGGATGAAGGTAAAAAAAATACTGATTTTAATTTAAATATAACTTTGAAAAAAAAAATAGCCTTTATAAATTTAAACAGTTTAAAACAAATCAAAAGTGCAACACTGTTTGAAAGGACGATCATTTTTAACTTTTAATTCTTTTCGCAATCTTGGAAAGCAATAGACAAAATAAATTTTTTATTTGGAAGCCAAAATATTCAGCTGACTGACCTGACTGTCTTAAACGATGACCTTTTATTGAGGAAGTGAATTTTTGTTTGAGTTGTAAATCCCATTATAGTCAGGAAAAAATTAAGAAAATTTATATTTTCTGGTAAAATTGTCTTTTTTGGAAATTTTAATTGTAGCATTTTTTTCTGCTCTAAATCGCGAGTGTGGACTTAATTTTTACTAGAAGATTGCAATAAAAATTTAATGATTTCTTTTTCATAGACGGTCGTGCAACTGGCCAACTCGTACAACTTCTACTGCAGCCATCAGGGTTATTGCCACCCCTATTGCTACAGACGTCACATGCGCGCCTGCAACAGACTTGTAAAGTCCGTTCGCAAAGTTTACGGCGAGCAGTTCGGAATCACTGGCGATTACAAAAATCCCTTGATTGAAAAACTAGGCCACCATGAAAAGAAAGACAAGCAGAGAGGGCGCAAAGTTTCCGACCAAACTAGCTCGCAAACGTCACCGATCAGAAGGAAAGACAGTTTGGGCAGAAAGGACAGGTAATCAATTAAAAAAAAATTAAATTAAAAAACCACTTGTATTTTAATTTATATAGGATTGATTTGAAATTCACGCGGGATTCGTCCAGGGATATTGCAGATCAGACTGATAGCGAAAGGGGTAGAGAACCAACGGGGCCACCCCATCCTAGGGATGCGAAAGACGAGCCTCCGATTTTAAAATACATTAAAGCTCATGTAATAACTATAAACTAACTTATTTTTTTGAATAATATTTATTAGAAATTATTTTAGGCGAGATCTCTATTCCATTCGCCACTTTCGGTGTTGCTAAAAGGGGCTGTAATTTTGCACGAGGAAAGCTTCATTGACATTCTGCCGGTCGCGTGGGAACTTCTGCTCGAACCGAGTCAAGAAGTTGCAGCTGCCGCGGCGTCTTTGTTCATTTTGGCCGCTGTTAAGGCGCCAGCCCACGCGTCCAACGTGATGCAGCACTGTTTGCAGCATTCAGACGTGACCACCAGAATTCAAGCCGTTCTGAGGTAGATTTTTAAATTGTAAATATTATTTTTTTTTACAAAAAAATCAATGATAGGTTCCAAGTTCTGTGGAAGTCCCGCTTCCAAGTTTGGCCCAGGATGGAGGAGGGCGCCTATTTGAATTTCAAAGTGCCGCCTCCTGGAATCGAGTTCACGCTGCCCTCGCCGAAAATCGGAATCGAGAGTCTGCCAGTCGTTGACCCACCTTGGATGCCCCAGGTGAAAACTAAAGTTGAAGAAGTGACCATAAGTCAAGAGAGCCATGTAAATTTGTCTCAATTAATATTCTAATCGCATTAAATACAAATGTGCAAATTCAGAGATCGCTGGTGACGGCGACGAAAACGAGGAAGAAGCAGCAAACGGAGCTGATCAAATTGGCTCTTCAAGCCGAAGAGGACAAAAAGCGACAGGAGCGGGAGAACTTTTTGATCACCACCATTCCAATTACATTCCAGGCGGCTTACGAGCCAAGTTTGCATCAGCATGAGGACCATGATGATGGTAATTGACTGATAAATTATATTTGAAATGAAATTTTTTAAACACGCACAAAATATCTTAATTAAGAAAAAAATTATAGGAAGTACAAAATTTTGCTAAATTAGCGAGGAGCTTGCGGCATGAAAACAGAAAATAAATTTACTGAATTATTTCCCAAAAGGTCAACATACATTTTTAGGCCGAGACTTTATATATTTCACTTTGCCAACTTAATTAGGATCGATAAGAACTTGGTTAGGTACAATTTATATTCTGATCAAATAAATTTTCAGATTTGTTTTTAGAAAATCCCCATAACCAACATGTAAATTTTTAAAATTTCATTTCTCCTATTTTGAAAAATGGTGTCTTAAAGCAATTTCTAATGAATACAAAATTTATCATAAATACTAAATAGTAATCAAAGAGTTCCACTTTAAAAAAATTAATTTATTAATTTAATTTTTTTGCAAAAAAAAAAATATAATATTACAATGATTAAATTTTTTTACAGATGAGGAGCAGCAGGACACACAAGCTCGGGCACACACGGTCAGCACCGCACATTCTCTGTTTCCCTCGTGTCTTTGCGCGTCCGTGATTCAAATAATCGGGTTGTTGGACGACGCCGCCGTGGCGCCGGACGGAAGCGCCGTGTACGAGGTGGCCTACCAGGTCATTTGGAACTGTCTAGTCGAGGACAGTGCCCTCTTCCTGCGCTACGTGCTGGAGAGAGTGACCCGCGAAAAGCAAGACTTGATGTTCAAGATTCTGCGTCACCTGATCCGATTTGTGCCAAAGTTGCCGCAGCAGGCGGCGTTCGCCCTTTACAACTACATCATCGGCTACGTCATGTTCTACGTGCGGACGCCGCACGAGGGCGGACAGGAGCTGGTCGGAACTGCCTTGTCCATTTTATGGATGGTATGATGAATAATTTTTATGCTCACGGTGGTAATTGAAGGAAGTTTTCTAAAAGGTGGTTCACAGCGTTCACGGAATTATGTTCAAAGATTTGAAGCAAATTTTGCGAAAGGAACAGTGCGACGCATCAATTTTACTGACAGCAAATGTGCCATCTGCGAAAAAAATTATCGTCCACGGTCCTCAAGGTAAAAAATATGATCTTCAAAATTAATTTAAATTGATTGAAATAATAAAATTTATTAGAGCAAGATGTTGGTGGAATTCCGTCTCAGTTTCCAGTCCAGGAGGACACGCAATTTGTGCAGATTTTGAGAGAGTCTCTGGACTTTTTCGGAATTGACGAGGCAAAGCACAAAGAGTTCTTTTTGGTCGACCACAAAACTCGTAATAAGTTATAATTAATTAAAGCGAATGATATTTAAAATGAATAATTGCAGATCAAATCCACAATCCGAACGCGTACGTGCGGGATTTTTACTTTTTCAAGCGCTCGCAATACCCGCAACTGCAACTTGTGTACATGAAGCCGGAAGAGGCGTACAACGCACTGCAGAAGCAAGCGTTCATCTTGAAATTTGTGGAAATCGGAAAGGTGCTACTCACGTGGGCCATTCTTAAAAACGTCGACATGGTAATTCAATCCGTTTTATCTAAATTACATTAAATTAATTTTATTATTCAAAGGTGGTGCAAAGAGTGGTTTTTCTGCACGAGGAGTTAATGAAACTGCCGTCGTTCCCGAGAAAGGCGCTTGAATCTGAGCTTGATCTTTACAAAGGCGGAGAAATGGGCAAGGTATATTTATCATTTTACAAAATTACATAAAAGTACAAATATTTACTAAAATAGGAACTGCTCGGCTTGGACATGCTGCACAAATTTATGTGGGTTCGTCTGATTGCGAGAATGTTTGAGGCCATGGCCGGAAATTTCGCCTACTCGGGCGACATCCACCTTTTTCTCAACGTGCTGAACGGTTCGATTATTTTGCACAGCGAGTGCGGCTGCATTTTGCGGTACGTAACGGCCACGTACATCAACGCAGCCTTCTACTTCAAGAACATCTTTTCGACCAACGGGTATGTATTTAAAAAAAAAAACAAAAATATGTTTATATTTTGTTATTGAATATTGAATTATTTTTGTCAGATATCTGCTGATCATGCCGACCCTCATGCAAATCTACTCGAACCACCAGACCAACAAGTTGGTCACACGAACCGTTGAATACACGGTCAAGCAATTCTACTTAATGCACCGAAAACCGTTTATATTGCAAATGTTCGGCGCCGTCTCTGCGATTTTGGATACTGATGACGATAGTCAGTTTGGTGACGCGCACAAAGTAAGAAATAATAATAAAAAAGATCGTTTTAATTTCAACAGTTATTATTTTTTTTTGCGTAATTTACATTGACAAAAAAAAAACAATTTTAACTTTTTGATTTTTCTGACAAAATTTGTTACCCTATCCTTTAATTTATTTTTTATTTTTATATTTAAGGTGCAGCCAAACTGCCTATTTAATTTGCTGCTGAGTTTGGAAACGCCATCACCAGATCCTTTGAACATTGGAGAACTGGTCAGAGAGGAAAAGCCGCTGAAAGCGATTGATTTCTGTTATCACGACGAGAATGAAATGGTCACCGTTTTTGACTGCATTTCTCTTTGCGTAATGGTGGTTGCATATTCTGCTGACTCGGTCAGGGGGCAGCAGATGCTGGTAATTTTTTTAGTCTATTTTCTGGTAAATTTCTAATACGAATTTTGCAGATCACTTTGGAAGCAATTTTGCCGTGCTATTTGCAGCATATTCAGCTGCCCTCGTACAAACACAACGGCAAATCTGAAAAGGACATTCTACTGCAGCTCTCCGTTGCAATAAATACTTTGGTCAACAATTGTGAAGGCCTTTCAAAGTACGAAATAGTTTTATTTTTAAGTATATTTATTAATTATTTGGTCTAAACAAAGGAATTATACTGGACCGCAGAAGTCCAGCCCTGACCACAAGGGATCGAGTCAAAGGAATTTCCGAAGTGGGCCATATTCACCTGGCTTTGAATTCGACGAGGACAGTCATTCGAAATACATTAGTGACCATAGTCGAACTCGGCCAGGAAACGAACGAGATCTCGAAGACTCGGAAGTAATTTATTAATTTTAAATTTTACTCAGGAGTACTTTATCTTTATGAAATTTAACTTATTAAGGTTATGCGAAATGAATTTCGACGTCCCAGGGATATTTTGCTGTCCATGGTGGCCGATTTTCTGACCAAATGTTCCGCTCGCTTGATGGAATTGAACAAGAAAACGCAGCAGGAGGGAAAGCCAGTTGAATTAATGGACATAAAAGCACACGTGGTTTGTTATTTTTTCCAAAAAATTTCATTATTTCTGAAAATTAATCTACAGCGTTTGTCGGATATTGCGCATTCCTTGCTGAAAGTTTCCCCGTACGACCCTGATACTATGGGTTGTCGCGGTTTGCAGCGCTATATGAATGAGATTCTGCCCTCGACGGAATGGTCAAATGAGGCTATGCGACCAGCCCTGACAGCAATTCTCAGGCGACTGGACAAAACCTTCAGCAAAATTTACAAGAAACCATCCATCAGGGTAAAACAAAATATTTTCTGCATCAGAATTTTTATAACTGAATTTTTTAATAAAAAAAAATCCAACAGAGACATACAGATTGGGACGCGGCGGCTGGGCTTTTGAAAGGGGTCTACGAAACTATGTCCAAATGCCCTTACATTGTCCACATGCAGCACGTCAAAACTTTGATGAACACATGCCAGGTAATTTTTTCATCACAAATTTCTAACTTAATTAAAAATTGAAATTCAGGCTCTAATTGTGGGAGATGCAGTTTCTACCGGAGTGGTCGAGGGCGTGAGTTCGGCAACGGCGGCTTTGATGAGCCAAGTTCCGCCGCCGCACTTTTGCTCGATTGTGGTGCGACTGATCGCCCTGCAAATTCTCGCCATCGGGGTGAGTTGTCAGCTCCAATTTAACTTCAATGTCCGATCGACATGTACCATAAATAGCTACATCTTGAAACACATTTTCATTATTTTAATGTAGCGACTTTTCAATTAACGGCAATTCATAGCGGTATAACTCGATTTTTCAGGTATTCAGCCACTTGACTATGGTGAGAATTAGCCTGTTTAGAATAATGGACTGATAAATCATAAGAAATATTACTAGAAAATAAATATCTATTACTGATAAATTAACATTCTTGAGATTTGACATTGCTCTCTCATCTGTGACTGACTCAATAATCATTTTTTTGTTCGTGCTACTTTTTTGATACCTGACCGAAACTGTTTCTTGTACAAAAGGAACAGATTCTGGCCTCACAAGTCACCGGACTTTTGAATGTTTTGGTGTTTAGAAATTTTGATGGTTGTCTCTATTGTTAAATTAAATTTATTGGATTCATTCTTAATTGGTGTTCTTTGCCCAACAACCGGAAAAGTCCTTTGGCTTTGAGCCTGATCATGCACAGTTCAATTTTCACCACTGCAAACCTCACGTTTCAGCTCTTGTCATAGTATTTTTCCGAATTACTGATAGAAAAACGTAACTTTGACCAACAACGCTCTTCACCACATCTGTGAACTCTGTCTTTCAAATTTTGTTTACAAATCTTCATAGCCTAACAAACTTTACCATTTTTCTGTGAACCACTGAACTTTCCACCGACTTTACAAAAACTATAGCATACAGCATGTTAATTGATAATTTAATAAGTTTGTTGCTCGAATAGAGTAAAATATCGCATTAATCAGACATCAAAAACCTGCATTTGCAATTTTAGTTCCAATTAGTTTTGCATTTTCAAACTTCATTAGAACTTTTGACGGAACAAAAGATTTGGCATTTCAATGAACCACCATAACAAATACCTGTCTTGTGTGCAAAATGTTTCATGTCCTACTTATTGAACTCTATCATGCTAGAAATCGATTCCAGTTGACACATTACTTAATTAATATCGTGTGTTGTGTCAGCATCTCTATAGCTCACGATAATATTGCAACTTTCTTTCTCACTAAATTTGAAGACCCGCCCGAAATTTTGATTCAAATCTAATCAATATGTGTGAATTTTTAGGAAACTTACTCATTGGAGCAAGTTTGTGGAGGCAATTCGGTATTTCCATCGCACAATAAAACCGAAACGATGCTCATGAATTTGCTCATGCCTCTCTGCATCCGAGTTGGCAGCGGCAGAAAAGGTGAAAAAATTAAGAAAAAAAATATGAATTAATTTTTACTCGCCCCAAATTAGATATGCCACGAATGCGCCAGGCTGACATTTCTTTTGCCCTGACCATTGTTCTGCACGCCCTTCATCCACCTGCGACAAAAACTTCTCCGGTCACGGCTCAAAATATCAAGTCGGCGTCGGAAATGCGCGCCGGAAGCATCACTTTCGGTAGCGGCCGCGACTCTAAAAGACAAACGCCGATTCCAATGTCACTTTTCAAAGTGGCATTTTTGGGTAAATTTGTAAGAAAAGTCGCGAGTTAAAAAATTGAATATTTTTCCAAAGCTTTGAAAACCATGATCGCCTGCTTTGAAACGGAGTTGGTAATGGACTGGCCGCGAATCGCAAGGACCATACAAGAACTTGGTCGCAGAGGAGACTGCAGCCTCCTGTTTTGGACTTTTACTGATTACGTAGTCACGCAGAGGCCACCACTTTACATTTTACTTCATCCTTTCATCCACATGATGGTAAAAAAAATTTATTTCCCGACATTAAAAAAAATGTAAATTGATTTATTTGTACATTTCAGCTTCTAAAGCCTGGCCTCACGGACGCCGAGCGACACCTGCAAAGTCTCATCAAAGACAAACTCGGGTGCACCAACCTCCCACCAAGGAAGGCCAAAGGAGCCGTTTTGGTAGAACTGGCGCACGAAATGAAGGAACTGAAGGAGCAGATGGACGACAGAAGATATGGTAACTCACGAATAAAAACATATATTATGAAAAATGTTTTGCTCACTTTGGAACAGACGAGGGCCGCAAAGGAACCGACCACGGGGACAACATCCCGCCAAGGCCGCACCGGCCGTCAATTATTGAATTGTTCACTGGCGACCTGGCCAGACACCATCACAGGCAGCCAGCAGATAATAGCGGCACCAATTTGGCACCACCTCAGTCTATCCTTCAACGAGGTAAATTAATTTTTCAAATTCAATTCCCTTTGATATTAAAATTGTTGAAGTTGTACAGGATATGTTTTGTAAAAATTGTAGACTATTTTTAAGAGTTTTAATATAAATACGGACCCCCATGCAATCACATTGGCATCAGAATGTATCATAAGCAGGTCACTTCCCTTTTAAATTAAGTATGTATGTACCATATTCCTTTATTTTTTAAATTTTCAAATCCTGAAACCTTCACTTCTAAAGTCGAAACCAAATTTATCATTGTGAACAAATGTCATATATTCATTTGGGGGTGCAGAGGGGAGCGTCAGGTTCTCGCCCTCGTGCGAAAGTGTCGTGACCCCCGAAATCGTGGCAGACGACCAAGCGGCCAACGATGGGGACGAGGAGTCAACTCTGACCCCTCCGACCCCGCAGCCAGAGCACCAGCAGCTGTTGCCGCCGTCCGGGGATGAACACTTTCAAGGTAGCAATCGGTGTCGCCTGCTGATGAACTAGCTTTCAGAAAAATTTCCAATTTTATCAGAAAGATCAATCAAATTAATATATCCACACAAGCAACTAACACTGGTGTACTTTTGTCTCTAATCTAAATGTGGCGCTAGACGTTGCCGGCGTTGCGAATGCGGCCCCCTGAAAGAGCGCTTTTCACCCTGGTGTTTAGTGAACCACCCTTTAGAAATCACAGCATGGCAGATTTATACTAACCGAGTTGAAAATTTTCTCAAGTGCTCAACGATATAACAACAGATTGGCACCGGAGCTGAGCAAAATTTGTGTGTGTTTAAATATTAGTATAAGTGTTAGCACCCGGAAGGCAGGTTACTCAAAAAGCAGCACCTAACTGGAACCCAGTTTAAACATGGCAAATAATTTTAACAAAAGTCGCATTTTCTCTCTTAAGCATGCCGATATTGATGTGCTGTAATGTGATTGCTGCTTGTCAACAGAAAAAAATTATCTTTCAGGCGATATTTTACCAAACAAAACTCTTCATCTTCTGTCTGTGTCCATCTATTTTATGCAAAACAAATTTGTATAAAAAAAATCGCACCCGATTGGTGTTGCATGAATAAAAGCAGCCAGAACTTCAACAATGAAAATGTGTAGGAAAGAGATAATTATTACTGACGTCTAATTGTAAGGTTAGCGCATGTTTGGTGTTGAATGAGAAGCATTATTTTTTTCACTCCATACACTGTAGAAAAAGTAAGAAATTATTAACAAATTGATTGAGATTTAAATTAGATTTATATGAGATAACTTTGATGTTTGATGTTATACTATGTGGGCTCCCATTGTTGTGCATGTTTCAGACCGTACCCGACTCAAAGCCTCAAAACTACGTTTTGTGCCTTCAGTAGAGTTTAGACACACATCAGGTAAATTTCCTCACGTCTTTCTTCTGGTTATGCGCTTTAAAGTTCCAACATTCATGATTCATGCGTTTCATAATTACTTTTGCAAAGATGATCGGTTGCGACTCTGTATATGGATATAAATGAGTCGTCGCCTGTCTCCACTTATATTGGATTTCTATGGGATTGCTCCAAATTGTTGGCAGCTGTTTCTGCTCTTCATGCTTTTTGATCTTTGACTCATTCATTAATTGTTACATTCTCTGTCTCTTTTAAAGCAAAGTATGGCATTTTGAACTCGCATGGTACGTGAGCTTGTGTTCATTATTTGACTCTCTGTCTTTCGAAATTAATGTTGAATATCATCGCATCTTCCAATCACATTAAATATATTCTAAAAAAAATGCACAAGTTGCTAAAAAATGAATATCGAGATTTAAAAAAGGACCTTCAGATGGGTTTCAACCTGCACTTATTTTTTTAATAAATTAAATTGAATTTAGAGTAGATTTTGGTTATGGTTTGTAAATTTAGATATAATACCGCTTTTGTAGAAAATTTAGAATATTCCGCCTGCTTGCCACTCCCTTAGGTAAAATTTTGACATTTTTTTGATCACCAAAACTCCGAAGTCAAGACAAGATGGGAAAAATTTACAAAGAAGTTCTTTTGACGTTGAACTCCTTTTTAGGTGAAACATCTACAACACCCTTGAGCGCCGGAAGTCCAAATGACGAGAGCTCTGGCGAGCACAGCGGACGAAAGCCCCGTCTGCAAAGGTCAAAGGCACAGAGCAGGAAAACGTTCCGTCTGAGAAAAAGCAGGAAATCCAAAATTGAGGTACAATTTTTGCTCTAATAGCCGTTAGCAAATCTATACATTTCCTGTTGGATGTCAGGTTTCCCACATCAAGGTAGACCCCCCGGCCGCAGTGCCCGCCCCAATGGACCTGCAGCAAATGACCCCGCCCTCTAGCGCAACCCTTCCGCCCTGCAGTCCAGCCCTTCAGAGAACCAAATCCAAGCTGTGCCGCGAATTGTCTTACGACGACGACAACTCCATTTCGCAGACTTCCAGCACCTCCGGCTATCGAGAGGCCTACACCGAGCGGTACACCCTTCTGAACGAACTGCCCCCCGTCTTTCCACCCCCACTGGCCTCTCCCGACCATCCCTCGAGCAGCAGTGCTCCGCAAGGAGGCGAGAGTTCCCAGGAGAGCCTCAACAGTGGCGAAGACATGGCCCTGCTGCCGGAACGACCCACTCCGAGAGCGTCGTTGATGGCGCTGTTTGAACACCACCAAGACGAAGACACCCTGTTGTAAAATTAGAATTGAATCCAAAGTTTACACTTTAAACTTAGACCCCACAATTTAAAATTGTTGACTGTTAAAATAACACAAACCTTTTTAGGTATTTGCTTGTGGTTTGGGAAATTTTAGAAATTTACCAGCATAGCTGTGATGGCAAAAAAGAAAATGTAGTCGAGGAAAATGGAAAGAACAAAAAAGTGATGTTAATGCCTATATTGATTCTATGCAGTTGTATGCACACAGCTTGTAAAAGTTGCTTTGCATGTGTTATTATTAAAATAAATTGCACTTGCCCAAAATATATATTATATATTTTTTAATTCTTCACTAACGATACTGATGTTTCTGCTGTTTTAATTTGATGGATTTGTAGAATAAAATAAAATTATGATTTAGAATACTTTGGAAATAATTAAAAAGCTAATAAAAGCTAAAAAATTTGATTTTCCACAAAAACAATGATTTTAATGCATTATCACAAGCATATTAAGATATGACATTTAGAATTTGAATTAAAACAATTAGTCCAGATCTGTCAATTACAAAAAAATTTAAAGAAAAATTATAACTGATTATGTTTCTCGATCTTTCCTACATCATGAACAATGTCTTCTCGCAAGTAGCTAACTATAAAAAAGCACAAAAATGCTAGACTTGAATGAACTTGATCATATAAATGACTGAAACTAATACTGGTCAGATCTTCATTGTCAGTCTCGACGACTGTGAGAGCGTCGGGCGTTGCTTCACTTTTCCCGAATTAGCTTTTGTCGCAGTCACGCCTGATTGCACAATTTTGAATGTCGAAATTGCAAAATATTGCAAAACAAAAGAAAAAGAAAGCACTTATCTTGAAACGCGATTCACTCCATTTCCTTCTCTTCTTTGGCCGACAGGAACAATTTTTGCACAACAGTGGTCACATTGCCTAAAATTTTAAAGTCATATAACTATAAATTTTGCATTTTATTTACTTACCGAGACCTCTGTTGAACCACTTTGGCTTATTCTGCCATTTGACGCCAATTAGGTAGGCAGGAATTCCAGAGAGAGTGATAAGAATTCCCATTCCAGTGTCGAGAGGCTTGTCAAAAATGGGCAGGATAACCAGAAAGGCACAGATGAACACGAATATGATCGGATAGATCACAGAAATCTAAATAACAAAATTGAATTAAGTAACTTCACAAGCTTAATTTAATTATGTATTACGTTGATAGGTCTGTGCATGTCTGGCTTTTTGTGTCTCAACCACAAAATTCCGGCAACAGAGAGCATGATAAAGAAGGATTCAACAAAACTTGAGTAGTTGATCAGTAGGAAAACGTCACTGGTGCAAAGCATGATGAGAGACAGAATATTCTGCAATTATTATTATTATTTTCAAATCCACTGAAAAATTAATCAAATTACCAAAAACACCAACGACGGAGTTGGAGTGAGTCTGTTTATGTTGATGAGAGAGAGCATCGTGGGAAAGTGACCCTGGCGAGCACCAACAAAGCAAAGCCTTGAAGAGGTCATGATGTGGACACTGAGACCCCCAAGGGCAGAGATGGCAACAAAGAGAGGCATAATCCAAGAAATCACACCAAGAACTTGGTCACTAAAAGTCTGGAATTGAAAGGTTTCAAATATGAAATTAATTTTAAATAATTTTGTGACTATTAAGAAAATACTCACAACAGCAATAGCATCAGAGGCGAGAATTTCGGTGGGCGACAAGACAGCCATGTAAGCTACATTGGCCAAGCCATAGATCACGGTTACAAGAGGAAGTGAGATGTAAATTGCTCTTGGCAAATTCCTACAGAAAATTTTATTACATTTTTGTTTAATTCATTCTTGCTAATATTTTCATTGCTCACTTGTAAGGATCTTTCAGCTCTTCTGTCATGAAGTTTAAGTAATTCCATCCAGCATAGGAAAATATTCCCGAATAGAAAGAGGTGGCGATCTGAGCAGCATTCGTAGATGAGTTTTCCCATGGATCAGCAAAGTTTTCATAATTTCCAAGCAGCATGTAGCTGATTCCAGCAACTATAATTAAAACCAACGCAGCTATTTTTGCAAACATGAAGCCATCCTGCAGCTTGGTTGTCAATCTCACATTGAAGCAATTGATAAATGTCAAAAGACCTGCATTCAGATTTAATTAATCAAATTTTTATTTTCTTATTATCAATCCAACTTACTAATTGCAGCTCCTGCAACTAATCTGACGGCAAAGTCAGGACTTTTGCAGTCCGGGAAAAATGGTTTGATCACATAATTGGCAAAGGTAAGTCCCATGATTGCATTGGTCGTTGGTCTAAATTAAAGCCAGATTTTTAATTATTTCCAACAAAGAAATAGAGGCTGGCGACTTACACAAAAATAATGTTTGCTGCCCACAAATACAAAAACGCTGGCAAAGGGCCAAAAGCTTCATGTATGTAGGCGTAGTCACCTCCTGACTTGGGAATCGAAGTTCCCAGCTCCGCATAGCAAAGGGCACCAATCATCGAAAGCAAACCACATGAGCACCAAACCAAAAGAGAAGCTCCGACCGAGCCAGCCGACTCCAAAACACCTTTGGGGGTGATGAAAATTCCTGGCAAAATAAATGCAAATATTTTAGGAGAATATATTTATAAGTATTGAAATTTTATTTATTACCGGAGCCAAAAATTATTCCAAGAATAATCGCAACGCCTTCCAGCAGTCCCAGCTGCTTTTTCATCCGAACCCTCTCGTCCTTGTTTTTGGCGTCTGTGCTGCCAATAAGGGACATCTCAGTGCCCGAAGGTGACACAAGATCGTTGTTTGCCATGGTCTGAGTCCTTTCCAAAAGTGATCAAGCAGGAAGATGTGGATATTTTTCATCCGAGTATTTTGGTAAGATTTAATCTGGTGTGCAGACAAAATTTTTCTGCACAGCGTAGTCCTTAAAAGATAATTTCATAAAATTATGCACAATAAATTAGAAAATATGCATTTAATAGAACCCTTACAGTTTGCAATGATTACTGAGCGCCTCAAATTAAGCCATTAGAACCACGTGGATCTCAGTCCGTCGTCTAGGATTGTAAATAAAGGCAATAAAATGCTTCCTCGTTATCTTTGCCGGCGAAAACACTGACCTAAGACAACAACAAAGTCTCCTCGAAATGCGCTGCAAAGTGAACTTTGCAAAATTCGATCCCGCCGGCGAATCTTATGCAATTCACTTTCTTATTTCATGCTCGGAAATATTCAATGTTTTTCTTTTGGATTAGGGGTGGCTTGAACACATGGCTCGGGAACAAAAGAGTGGAGTGGGGGCGGCGTTCGTTCATTCACCTCCCGGCACCCTCTCGTCTCGTCTACAAGATGAGGGAGACACCTTGCGTCGAAGCAGGAAACACGGCAATAAGGTAAAAGCGGAGCGGGAAGGGGTGGGGGTCGTGAAATTTTGTTAAGAAGTGTGTGCAGTGCGCAGCGCACTTCTGCTGCAGTTTCTGCACGTTTTTGCAAGTTTGTAAGAATTGTAAGAGTAAGAAGTTCTTGTGAGTAGTGATTGACGCGAATGGATTGGAAATTGGAAAGGAAGAAATTTTCGGAGGAAGGAATTAAGGACAGGAAGTCTGCCTGCTCGTTCGTTTCAAACCCACATGCCCTTCGTCTAGCCCTTTTTTGAGGACGCATTGTTTATTGTTTGAGACGCGCCGTTGAGCGTTTGCAGGGTAAGGTCAAAGGTCATGAAAGACAAGGATTGTGTGGATTGTGAGGAATTTTTATAACCATCTTATATCCATCTTATATACAGGGCCACACACTAAACGCACGTTCTGACTTGTAAACAATTTGTAATTTTATCAAAGTGAGGAATGTAAAAAAATTTATAAAAAGAGCTGCATTTTAATGCATTACAACTTAAAATAATAATAATAAATATGTAAATAGATAAATTATTATGCAGAGACCTTATTGTTTGTTTATTATATCGATTATATCTTAATCGTTGACACACATATGTTCATATATGTAATTAAATTTTGACACCAAATAATCTTTATAATTTAATTTAATTTAATGAAAACATAATTGATATTTCAATATAATTTCGCACTTTCAGCAGCATGGACTACTCAAAAGGAAGAAGTTACAAGTTAAGTCGCTTTTTATTTGGTGACGGATCCTCAAGCAAAGAAAATGTACCAGCCTCTCTAGCACAAGCCGGAAAACCTCAGAATCCTTCCAGCTCCAGTTTGCTTACGAGGAGAGTCACCTATCCCAATGCCAGCGGAAAATTGGTATTTATAATTATTTTAAATTTCTAGTGACATAAATAAGTTAAAGTAAATGTTTTTTAAAGACTAGTCTAGTCGTCGAAGAGAAGCCAAGTGATGCTGCAAAGAATCCCCGCCGCGAAGGCAGTTTTGATTCTTTTCGAAAGCCTTTGGCCAACCTGAATTCACTCAACACCAATTTGCAACACATCTTTCACAGCAAACACACTGAATTCAGCAGCAAGACCAGGTCAAATTCTCTGAATTGTGGAAATGAGGCAGGGTCTTCGGACGCAAGTTTTAGTGTAGGTTTTTTCCATTTTTTTTCCTTCTTTTTCAATAACGAATAAATTGTATTGAATTTTGTTTAAAAAAATAGGACTCGTCCGACTTGATTGATTTATCCCAGGATCAAACAGCATTCTTTGATAGTTCTTCCACATGTGACCTGTTCTCATGCAGCCTTCAGGATCAACTGCTTTATTCAACAACATACCTACAGGTATAGTATTATACATTATTTAATTATCACAATTTAGAGTGGTGCAAAATCCAGGAAAGTGTTGAGCTGCAGCTTCTTGATCATCACGAGAGAAAAGCAAATATCTTCACCAGCAGCTTGACAAGAAATGAGCATAAAATGAGAATACTTGTGGTTGACTGGATTTTTACCATTCAGGTATTTAATGAAGCCATTTTTATTTTTAAATTAATATATTTTTGTGTGTCTTCAGGGATATTTCAATTTGCCTGACATGGTCTCCCACATTGCTATCCAGATCTTCGATCAAGTCATGCAGGAGATGGAAATTTCAGAGAAAGAAATGCAACTTGTTGGAGGAGCTGCCTTTTGGCTTGCATCTAAAATGGAGGCTAACGGAGAAAGTGTATCAGTAATATAATTATATCAATGATTGGATTAGGTGAATAATTTTATATTTTGATTTATAGGGCAATAGAATGAAGAGGGTCATCGGAAAAACCTGCTCTGTAGCAAAACTGAAATCTGCTGAATTTGTTGTCTTCAAAAGGTTAAATTACTGCATCCCTCGAGACAGCGCTCTCAGTATTCACACCTATCAGCTGCATTCACTAAGATCCTATTTCCCTGTGGTAAAAAGATATAATTTATATTATTTTATATTAAATTTATTCTAAATTAAATTTTCTTTTATTAGGATGATGAGTTGCAAATGATTGGTCAGTATGCCTTGGAGACTTCGATGCTCTCATTGACTATGTCTCTTGGCGGATACACTGTAATGGCCAGCTCTGCCACAATCTGTGCAATTTTGATCTGTGGCCACACACTTTCTGGTATTTTTAGTTCATTTTAAATTAATTGCAACATTTTTACATGTTAGAAGTTTTAGATGTACTTTGGAATTTCTATTCAAGGAATGATTCGTCTTTTGCGCCTTTAGAGGATGCCATTAAGGGATCGTTGGTTACACTCCACAAGTTGATGGACCTTCAAAAGCTCAAGCATAATGGAGGTAATTTGTGGCTGAAATTTGGAGCCGAGGAAAAAATGAAAATTGCACTGAATCCAAAGCTCTCAGCTGAAAATATTTCCAAGATTTTGCAAACATGCCTGTGGTTTGCTAAAAAGTAGGGGATTTTCACAACGCAAATTAGTATTATCTGTAAATTATTTTTTATCGCCCCTGGTTAAATTTAGAAATCTGACTGGAATTTTATAGTTGGAAAAATATCAAAAATTTTAATGTGCGGAGTGTTGCTGCTTCATTTTTAAATTTTTATGTCTTAATGTCATTGTATATAAAATTAGAATACAAAAGCACATAATTTATCATGAATAATTTTATAAGAAAAAAAAATAATTCATATATATATTTTAAAGATCTAATAATTTAGAATTATTGATAAAGAATTTTGTATTTGTAATTAAAATTTTGGAAACAAAAAGAAAGATCGTGAAAGAAAGATAATTGCGATGATTGTAAGAAAATGTTTTTGGTATATCATATTAAAATATGTGCAATAAATTTAGAGAAATAATTTAATTCATTGTATATATTGATGCATTTTTTGAAGTTCAAATTGAAATAATTGCTACGACTCATAGATGGCGCGCAATGCATTGGTCCAAAGCTTATGTAATTTTGATCTGCATAGCAAAACACAAACATGGTCTGCTGTTGATCAATGAATTACACACTCTGTGAACTTTACTTGGCTGAACTTATGGATTTGTGGGTTGCTCATGGAGGAACACTAAATTGTCATTTAACGACTGAAATGTCAAATTTCTACTAATTTCAACCACGTTTTAACTCGGCTCCCGTGGAATTTAAAAACGTAAGAAGACAAACACACAAGCAAGCAGCCATGGCTTCGAATAAAACTCTGAAACTCGGCATCGACCATCCGTCTTTGCCCGAACACTCTGAATTCATAACTTTGGATTTTGGTCCATTTGAAACTGTTCATCAATGGAAACAACTGCCAGAATGCGACGAGTTTGTTGGATGCAGGTGCGAATAAAAACTCAATATTATTGTGGATTTGTGGAAGCAAAATTTACATTTAACAAATTAATTACAGGAGGAGCAAGCACACAGTTGTCGCCTACAAAGATGCAATTTACGTGTTTGGTGGTGACAACGGAAAGACGATGTTGAATGATTTGCTTCGTTTTGACATCAGAGAGCAGTCATGGGGAAGAGCTTTTTCCATAGGGCAGCCCCCTGCCCCTCGATACCATCATTCGGCAGTGGTATGCAATTTAATATTTTGTAATCATCATTTTTGAATTAAACAATATGATACATTATACGACTAAATTTTTCAATTTTAGGTCTTTGAATCTTCAATGTTCATATTTGGTGGCTACACTGGAGATATCCACTCAAACTCGAATCTCACCAACAAAAATGATCTGTTTGAATACAAGTTCCAAAATGGACAATGGGTTGAATGGAAGTTTACTGGAAGGTATGAACTATAAAGGCTTAAAATTTCTTCTGAGAATAATATGAGATAATATGTTATTGCTAAATTATAGGACACCAGTTCCAAGATCAGCGCATGGAGCTGCAGTTTTTGAGACAAAGCTGTGGGTTTTTGCTGGCTACGATGGAAATGCAAGGCTGAATGATATGTGGACAATTTCTCTGCAGGTCTGCTCTTTTTTCAATCTATAAATTTTTTATATTTGATTACTTCAACTTAATCATTCAATTTCAGTCTGGTGATGCCAGAGTGTGGGAGAAAATTGACCAGGTCGGAGCCTGTCCTCCGACGTGCTGCAACTTTCCAGTGGCTGTGGCTAGAGACTCCATGTTTGTCTTCAGTGGTCAGAGTGGTGCCAAAATTACCAACAGCCTCTTTCAGTTCCACTTCAAAACAAAATGGTTTGTTAATTACTCTTTTAAAACTCTCGTCTTAAAATAAAAATTACAGTTGGACACGAATCTCTACTGAGCATTTGCTGCGGGGAGTTCCTCCACCTCCAGCTCGGCGCTATGGCCACACTATGGTGGCCTACGACAGACACCTCTATGTCTTCGGTGGTGCAGCAGACTCAACTTTGCCCTCCGACTTGCACTGCTTTGATTTGGACACTCAGTCTTGGGCAGTTGTTCCTCCTTCTCCTGGCAGCTCAGTGCCCTCAGGCCGACTATTTCACGCAGCTGCTGGCTTAGGTTCGGCCATGTATGTTTTCGGAGGCACTGTTGACAACAACGTTCGAAGTGGAGAAATGTACAGATTCCAAGTAGGAAAATTAATTTTAATAAATAATTCAAATATCATAATTTCATTACATGCTTCTAGTTTTCGAGCTATCCTCAGTGTACCTTGACCTCGGATTTAGCAGGCCTGCTTGAGTCTCAACAATTCTGCGATTTGAAATTTATCGTTGGGCCCGAAGAGGAGGGAATTTTGGCTCACACAGCCCTAGTGGTAGCCAGATCGCAGTGGCTTCGGGCTAGAGTGAGGCATGCAAAAGATAGCAGAGACCGTCATTTAGAGGAGGTACTTCACATGATTTGTTCTTTTGAATAAAATTTTACAAATGCACTGGATTTTGACAGGTATTTGGGACAACGAATGTTCCCCATCAAGACATTCCACTTCTGGAAGTGAAACTCAAAGATGCGTCTCCACCTGCTTTTCGAATGGTCCTCAATTATGTTTACACCGACTGCATGGATCCAGCTAAGAAAAGTATGAATGGAATAATATCAAGATATGTTACAACAATACTAAGGAAATAATTTATTTTTAGTTGAGGATCCTCAAAGCAGTGAGATAGTTGTACTCATGATGGACGTCTATCGACTTGCAGATCAAGTAACAAATTTTAAAGCTTGCGGAAGGTTTAATTATTAAAATTTGTGATTTAGTTTCATATGCGCAAACTGGAGCAGTTGTGCCTCCACTATTTGGAGTGCACAATCAATACAAAAAATGTGCTTGAGGCGCTTTGCAATGCAGCGCAATTGAAACTCTACGTCATTAAAGAATTTTGCCTAAAATTCGTTGTCAAAGAGACAAACTACAGCCAAATTGTAATGAGCCGCGAGTTTGAGAATCTGGAACGAGGTCTGATGGTGGAAATCATTAGGCGGAAGCAATCACCTCCAGTGTGCTGCATAGCCCCACCAGTTTGTTGTGCTCAACCAGAACATGCTTCTGAGCAGACAGGTATATTTATATCCTGTTTATTCTAAATTTGATTCAGTAAACATATTTCACTTGCTAAAGGCTTCTCAATTGTCTCAACCCTGGAGCAAGATTTGGAACATCTGCTTACAACAACAGGCCGAGAATTCTGTGACATTACCCTGCAACTGGATGGCACCTCCATCCCAGCACACAAATCAATTTTGGCTGCTCGCTGCACCTATTTCGAGGCCATGTTCAGATCCTTCATGCCAGTGGATGGAATTGTTCACGTAATTTAGTTTCTTAACCAATAGAAATCTTAAATTAAAAAGTTAATCAAAAACTAGGTCCAAATTGGTGACATGATTCCATCCAGACAAAGTTTTGACTCACTCTTGCGCTATATTTACTACGGCCATGTTGATATGCCTCCCGAGGACTCCCTGTACCTTTTTAGTGCCACATACTATTATGGATTTACCAACAACCGACTTCAGGTACTGCAATAATTTAAAAATGCACTCAAAATTAAATTTTCATGTTCTAGGCATTCTGTAAACACAATTTGGAAATGAATGTGACATCCGAGAATGTGGTGCAAATTCTGGAAGCAGCTGAGCGAATCCAAGCTCTTGACATGAAGAAATACGCTCTGGCTTTGATAGTCCAGAACTTTGGAAAGGTTTGTGGTTCACCTTTTAAATTAAAGAATTTATTTGCTAGTATGAAACAAAACTCAGGTTGCCCGGATGTCGCAAGTAAGGCAGCTGAGTCGTGAGTTGCTGCTGGACATCATCGACACCTTGGCAGAAGAATTCACTGACAGGAAACTTACTACGGACAAGTCTACGCACAGCCTTGGGTCAGACATATGACTATAGGAGATTGCCCTCGAGCATAGACACAATGAGTTATACCAGCTTTTGTTGATAGCTATGGCTCACCTTCTCTATCTATGACCTGCATTTAATTATTTAGACACCGCTGTGATTATTTTTTGAAACCTTTAAATCTATTGATGTTATAAATGAATCTCTCTTTGAATGAATCTGCATAACTATAATCAAATGTTAACTATTTGTGATTAGCAAATTATACAAAAAGTACTGGAATTAAAGATATGAAATTAAACAGAAGATGTGATACTCTTTTTTTGTTTAATCTTACCATTTAAAATATTGACAAAGCCAAATATATTTGAGAGTTATCTCTATTATTATTACATTTGATTTCTCGGAGCAAGAAAGGAGAAACAAGTTAATTTTAAACTCAGTCAGTCTCACTGGTTTGTCGCTGGAGCTGGAGGACTGTTGGATGGGGCCTCTGACTCGTGTTTGCTTTCCAGGCTGAATGGCGGAATACGACAATCGAACATGTATCCATCACTTCTTTCCATTCTAAAAGTACCCCTGGAAGAATTACAAGTCAATAATTTGCGGTAAATTTCATTAATCTATAATTAATTACCACATGTGTCCTGAGGGTGCCTGAAGAGAAACATGACTTGAATATTGAAAAGCTGGAAGGGCTGCCGAAAGAAGGGGCTCCTGTCCTACGACGCCTCGACCACGCACTGTCTCCAAAGTTCCAGACAGACTGAATATGCGCCAGTGACGTTCACGCAGCTGAACAGGCAGAGGGCCTAGATTCTCCAACCTGATGCAATAGCGCCACTAAGGAACGTTAATTTTATTATGTGATTTATTACAAATGAGGTTAAGATTTATATATTTGAATGAAATTAAGAGCAACGATTAAAAAAAAAATAATAATAATAATTCGCCGCAGTGAGTCATTACTATTCAAAAAAGAATTTGTAAATTGTTAGAAATCTATGCGACGTTTATTCAAACGATCTGAATTTGATTTAAAGACAAATTAAAAAATTCCTCTGTTGCATTTCTTGGCTAAGAATTATCTTACCCAGTAAACATTAGATGTTTGTGTAATTCTACAGCCCATATAGAAGGGTATCACTGTTACCCTCACACCCTCTGTTGTTTCTTTATGTACATCTGAAAGTTCCAGCCAAGGATGATTCTTTCGCTGCCAAGCAATTAAAGTCTGCTGAGCTCCAAACGGAGGATCTGAAGAAAAATGATTGGTGATTATGATAAATAACCTTATTATTATATTGATTTGAAAAATAGTCCACTCTGAAAGCTAAAAATAACAAACCTCTGTTTGGCACTGGTGCAAGAAACTTGTCAAAGAGTTCATGCTGTAAAGGAGGTTGGGTGCTTGTTTCACTTGCTGTGTACGGAAGAATGTCTTCGTGAGCAACGTAGTCTAGTCCAGGGATTGCATACAAACTACGTGCACTATCTTGATGGCCTAAAAACGTTACTGCTTCCGTTTGTGCCCTCTGGAATAAAATAAAATTAACCAATTTGAGCAATAAGCAATAAGTATTGGTCATTTTTCCGTTTACAATGTATGGGCAGTCGCGGGCGTCAATCAGAACTTGATAGTACGTGTGAGTTCGTCCTTTGACTTCTCTCGAAGCCTGTTGCTGATTCAGATTCTCCACAGGGTCTCCAGGTCTGAGATTTAGAAAAAAAAAATTATAATCAAAACTTAAATTAGTGAAACCAATGTACTTTTCTTTTTTGTTGTTGAGATCTCGGTCATAGACTCTGGCCAACCAGGGGAACAGAATCACTCCCCTGTAGCCAAAAACCCTGTGCAAAAACAGCTGCCCGGTCTCGTAGGCGCCCTTTTCCTTTGGGTTCTCCAACTTTCCAACCTCGGCCAACCTAAAGATATAAAAAGTTTTATACTTTCATCGTTCTGAATTGCGCCAAACAAGGGTATTTGAAGGGTATGCCAGCGCAACAGTCAACAAAGTCGCTTTAATATGAAGAAAATTGCGAAAAATGGCTCACCTCGTCGAGTACTTTCTGGCCGATTGGATTGGGACGTCTACGCAGTGGATCCGCAGCAAAATGCCGCGAGAGCTGCGGACACTGTTGATTAGACACTTAATCATTCTTCCATCCTTTTCGTCAGCAGTTGGTTGCAAAATAAAATGTTCCTAGTTATAAATAAGTAATTGTAAGTTGTCTTCGACAGCCGCACGGAACCAAAAACAACACAGGGGAGTGACGACAAGACTCGGTTTTTAGAATAAAAATCGGTATACCAAAAAATAGAATAACCGGTTTGTATTCCATAAGTAGTATGCAAATTATTTTCAAGCTACCGGTTATTTAATGATAACCGGTAATTAGTAAGAAAAATTCGGCGGGATGAATTAATGCATTAAATTTGGCTCTTTTATTTCTACGAAAGTTTATGGCTAAAATGAACCTTTTTTAACAACATTCTGATTTATAATGATTACAATAATATAAAAACAATAATGCGTATAAGCATTATTTAAATTGCGTTATGTTTATCAACTCCATGTGATTTTGTTTATCAATTTTATTTTTATTGTTTTACTATTAATGAGCCCATTTTCGTCTCATTCTAGTTTCTTAAATATTTGTAAAAAAAAACTCTTTCTCGTAATTTTTAAATTAAATAGTGATATATAAGCGCTATGATAAATTTGAGAGTAATTTTTATTTAACTATTATTTAATAATGGAAACGCACCTCTAAGAATTTAATTAAATGCTCAAATATGTATCATTCATTATTATATTATTTCTTATTTCTTGTGGATCTACTTAGTTGCAAATAAGTGTCTATCTCTATTTAATTTACTTCTCATTTAATGCTCTGCTGTTGTGTCGGTGATCAAACAGCCTTTGGAGTCTAACGTCAGAGGTCATGCGATTCAACTCGGAGCCACCGACCAACAATCAAGTCAGATAAAAGCGGATGATACAGTTATATTTTCGTTCACAGCCAAACAAAACACGCCAACTTTGCTGCTTCTCTTTCAGTGGCGCCTCTCATTCATTTTTCAGTTGCCATTATATCACGATGGTGCACATAGACAAAATAATAATATTTTTTCCGTTGCTTTTAGCAACTCAAGTTTGGGGCGCCGCGGTCACCTTCAGCGAAAATGACATTGCGGCGCCGACACGGCAGGACTTCTGCAAGCAAAACCTGTCGCCGCAAGTCGTGAACGAAATTCAGTCGTACGCACCGATCGCCAGGAAAATCATCAAATTCGTCACGGAGGGCAAATACAAGGGAAGGACGTGGACGAAATTGGCCGAGTTCGTGGACAAGTTTGGCTCCAGAATTGCGGGTTCGAAAAATTTGGAGAATGCGATCGACTTCATGCTGGACGAGTTGAAAAAAGAGGGACTGGAAAATGTTCACGGCGAGGAAGCGCAAGTCCCGCACTGGGTCAGGTGCGTGTATAAAACACTCAAATGAAAAATTATTACAATAAATTAAAAATTTAACTCATCTAAAAAAAAGAGGAAAGGAACACGCTGAATTGATCGAGCCCAGAAAGCAAAATTTACCAATTTTAGGACTGGGTAGCAGCGTTGCAACCCCAAAGTCCGGAATTACAGCAGAACTTTTAGTCGTGGACAGTTTTGATGAGCTTCAAAGGAATAAAAACTTGGTATGAGGTTTTAATTTTTAATTATGATATAAAAAAAATTAATAATTCTAATTCTGATTTTTTTTCTAGGCAAGCGGAAAAATTGTTGTTTTTAATGAAAACTACACATCTTATGGGGATAGCGTGCAATACAGAGATTATGCTGCAGTTGAAGCAGCCAAACTTGGTGGAGTTGCAACTTTGGTCAGGTAAAAAGTCTCATATACATATTTTAGAATTTTCAGTCATGTGTAAATTTTTTTAAGTGTTCAAAAGAAAATAACTGCATAGCTATTTTTAAACCATTAAATTTGCAGTTAATTTAAAATTTACAGAAAAAAATTGGATACATACAAAATTTAATCCAATTCCCTAACTAAAGCATGACATATTTTAATTAAGGTCTGTTACACCATTTTCAATTTCGAGCCCTCACACTGGCTGGCAGGATTACGATGCAAATGTTACAAAAATTCCCACCGCCAGCATCACCGTGGAAGACGCCGAAATGCTCTCAAGAATGTTCAAGCGAGGTACTTATGTTAAAGACTATAGACCTAATAAAAATAAATTTTTGTATAAATTAAAGGAGACAAGTTGAAAGTGCGTTTGTACATGGAGGCGCAAAATCTTCCACCGGCAACTTCACGCAACACTGTTGCGGAAATCAGAGGCAAAACTAATCCCGAAGAAGTGGTCGTCGTTTCTGGACATTTAGACAGTTGGGATGTTGGACAGGGAGCGATGGACGACGGAGGCGGCGCTTTTGTTTCGTGGGTCAGTTTGGCGGCTATTAAAAAACTGGGACTCACGCCGAGGAGGACGCTCAGGGCGATTCTGTGGACGGCGGAGGAGGAAGGATTGGTTGGAGCTTTTGTAAGTTGATCTATTTATTATTCCGAGATATTCTTTTACACATTGATAAAAATTGAAAATGAAAATGCATATAGGCAATCTGTACAACACTGACGCACTGCCGGTGGCTTGCGCCAGTGATTCAAGTTTATCAATTAGTATTATTATTCATTATTGTTCCTAAACATTTATTTTAATGTATTATTTATTTTTTCATTTAATTAATTTTATAAAAAATTAATAATTAAAAATTTCTACGCAGGCTTACGTAAAGGCTCACAAATCAGATCAGGGAAAACTGGACTTCGTGATGGAGTCTGATGAGGGCACCTTCACACCCCACGGCCTTTCATTTTCCGGCTCAAAGATGGGAGGTTGCATTTTGCAGGAAATTTTGAAGCTGACTGCCAGCATTAACACTACTAATTACGAAACACCGCAAGTACATTTACAAAAATATTTAGAGAACATTTAATTAATAAAGTCGCATTTGGTTACAGGATGGAGGCCCAGACATTAAACTTTGGACCTCCAAAGGAGTGCCAGGCGCCAGTTTGATCAACTCGAACGAAAGATACTTTTGGTTTCACCACTCCGCTGGGGACATGATGACGGTTGAAGATCCAAGAGCTTTGGACTTGTGCACCGCGCTGTGGGCTGTTGCTTCTTATGTAGTGGCGGATTTGAGTTTCACGATTCCAAGACAATAGCACGACGAATCAAATAATTGCACACATTTCTACATAAATAAAATTTCAATACGTTAATAAAATATACTGACATGCTTATTTGAATAAAATAATATGTAACATAAACTTTTTAAAACATCAAATAATAATAAAAAATTAATATAAAAAAATGTGAGAAACAGGAAAAAGCTAGGCAATGAATAAAACGTGAAAAATCCTCAACCGCCGTGACCAACGCGATAAAGTCAACTTGCCGCTTTGGCGAACAAACAATTCGCCTGTCGCGGTCGTTAACTCGCTGACATTCACACTGGGCTGCATCAAAAAGTGATACGGTCCAGTGGCAGGTGGATCGAATTGGCGGCGAGCAGCGTGCGCGGGCACACGCTCGCCCTTGAGGTCGGCGGCGAGCGATTAATCTAGTTTTCACGCGAGTGTCACTCGAACGAGCACCACTGGAACGTCTAGCCGAGCTCAACATGCAAATCAGCGTGCGCTGCAGACGGAAGCAGGAGTAAAAAGAAAAAAGGCTCAGATCCGAGATGCTCGGAAGTCGTCGGCGATTGGTCGGGGAATCGCAAAGAGCGTCCTGAACAAAGACAGGACACACTTTAGAGCAAAAATCGGCCGGCGTAATGCAAGGCCGGCTCTAATCGAAGGCTTTATTTTACGCTGCATTTTTGCCGGTGGCCACCCTATTTAAGCCCAGGTGCCAACCGCTCGGGCTGACAGATCATGTTGAGCTCCGTATTGGTGCAGCTGGCGGTGTGCTCGGCCGCGGCCTGGGCTTCGGCAGTCCTGCCGCCCCTGCCGGTCGACTTTTACCCGGTGGTGGATGATGCGTACCTGGCCACTCCGGAGGTGGCCCCGGTTGTTCCTCAGGTGGCACCAGTTCCCATCGGATACTCCGGAGAGCAAAAGTTCAAGGGATACGAAGACGCTGGAGCGCGCGCCACCGACGGCCAATTTTCCTCCGGAGGCCGCCAGTCCGGTTACCTCGACGAAGAGTCGCGCAAGGGCAGCAAAGGCCGCGAGTCTCAGGAGAACTACGACCAAAGTCAGCGATCGCAACACAAGAATCAGCAGGACCAGGGCTACTACGGCGACCTGTCTGGATTCCGAAGTGGCTACGAGGACGGAAGGAATTACCAGGGCGGACAGAAATTTGGCCAGCAGGCCAGAAATAGCCTCGGCCTGGGCAACAGGGGCGGCCACAAAAAGGGACACACCACCACCGGGTTCACCAATTCGTACCACAAGGACGAGACGGGGAAGAAGTCTGAGTTCTATGACAGCTCGGACGACGAGGGCGGAAGTTATTTGTTCAGGGGTCAGGACCAAGCGTTTGACGGACAAGGTGCCAATGCCTACCAGGGTGGATACAACAATAATATATACAGGTAAAATTTACTAATTTTAATATGGTTAAATTATTTTAATGTTAACTGTTTTTTTTATTAAGTTTCCAACTATTTTGAATTGTTTTTATTATTAATAATTTTATTTTAATAATATCGATATCAGATCGATATAATAAAAAGTATTTTAATATTACATAAAATTACTTATTAAGTGCAATAAATAATTTTTGGTAGCTACAGTTGAATGATAAAATAAAATAATTGCCTTAATACGTGCATCAATGAATATGAATCATCTTAAAAGTTAATTAATCATTAATATCTTGCTGCAATGATTGGAAGTTTAGAATAATTGTCATTGGTAATAGAAATTAGATGAAATAAAATATAAAGAAAATTTAAGGGGGCTGAAGTATCTAAACAAGGAAAAATAATTAATTCTTTCAATTTCAAGGAACGACAATCGAGGCAAGCAGGGTCACTACGGCAGCGGTCTGAACCTGGCCGACAACAAAGGTCACAGGAACGATTACGGAAGACAAGAGTATTACGATCAGAACAGAAATTACGGCCACAAAGCCGGTCAGCAAGAAGCAAAGCAGCTAGGTGGCGGCTACTATGACAGAGGCGACAGGTACTCATCCGGAGGTGGTAGCAGCGGCCACTCGACCGGAGGCGGCACTCCCGGTTTCTATGGAGGGGCGACGGCCTCTGGCACCCTTGGCTATCACAGAGGTCACAGTGCAGCACCCTATCCATACTATTGAACAAAAGGTAGAGTTTACTTTTAAACCATTTAGGAAATCTTGCCTGTCTAATTTTTTATGCTAATTAATAGGCACCTTTCTAGGAATTTCATGGTGGCTAATTTTATTCCAGGTTGTTTCTAGAGACGCCCAACGCGCAAAAGTGTGCCGCGCCGACTGGCCAATGTCACGCATTGGAAAAATTTGCACTTGACACACACGCAGCAGTACTGAGAAATTACGACGTGCACACCCTGTAATTTATACGTCCAATCAAATAAATCTGGCTCGCCGCTTGTTGCGAGTGAAAAATTTATGCTCAATTTTTTGTACATTTTTTTGCATGCACCACTGTTAAAGCATAAATCAATTTGAGAAACTTTTAGCACTGAGATAATTATTATTTGATCACTTATTTGGTTAAAACTTTGGCCCCAACAAATTATTTTTAAACGAGCTAAATAATTTATGTTATGAAATATTTTAATTTATCGGGCGTTGCGATTTGCGCAATGAAAATAAATTTATGATTGTCGCTCAAAGACTTTATGCCCTGTGAGGGCCATTAATTTAGCAGTAATTAGCACGTTATATCTCTGTGAAGCATCAATATTTAAAAAACACACCATAAAGCCTGTCCAGATGAATATTAAAAGGCGTCGGCGAATTGAAACCAATTCAATTAGTCACGTCTTTTTCTTGGCGCATTATCTAAAATAAAATCTTGGAGCCGCGATTGGCGTTTTGGCACACATCTGTGGCGCCTCCCTTGAGTTTCTTGTCTTTTGAAAATTAACCACACACCAAACTGATAATTATCGCCTCTGATCTTTTAATTGAACAAAGCTGCTTTTGAATAACAGAGCTTTGAGAGAACTGAAATAAAAGGGCTCAAAATAAGAATCCATATGTACAAATTGAATCAGCAACTCAATTTTAATTTTTTTTTTGAGTAACTGTAAATAAAACTTTGCTCTGATTTAAGGTTTCAAAAATAATGCTATTATAATTCAGTTTAAGATTTGTAATATTTAAAAACTAAATATAAATTTTGGTAAAATTTGGGAAAATCGGCGAAATTGTGATGAGATATAACAAGAGAATAATATTTTTTTTTTTAAATTTTTTTTATATTCTAAAAGATTATCACTTTTTTTATGAATACCAGCTGTTAAAAATGGTTTACAACTTCGGTCCTATAAAGAGTAAAAATATACTATCCAGAATAAGCTGGTGAATTATTTTCATAAAATTATAATCAAAGGAGGCACGCACATTGCGTGGTTCTTCAAACATCCTTGCAGTAGCATGTGTGTATAATTTCGAATTGACAGATCGGTAGGAGGTTTTTTTTTGGTCCTAATAAGGAAGCCGCACGCATGTTTGGCATGTCAAATTGAGGCGAGATCCGCCGCTGGATCCGCGCGCACAGCGACTTTTATTGAAAGAGAGGAGGAGGTCCAACCCAGTCGCGGCCGAGCTGCAGTTTCAATTAGCCTCCGCTAGGCTCCAAGAAGAGACAACTCGCGGCTTTCTTCTCTCGCTCTCGCGAACGACGGACGGACGGATTGACTCTCTGTCAGTGTTGGAGAACGTGTAGGACGAAGAAAGCACCACGCTCGCTCTCTTTGCGGAAAAAAAAGAAGAAACGAAAACGTCGAAATGATCGCGATGCACTTTGACATGTTTGCCAGACAAGAGTTCGGTGAAACGTGACACCTCTGGCAGGACTGAACAACGAAAAAGGTTAGAGAGAGAATTATTTTGCACTTCTAAAAGAAATCTAAAAAATTTGCGTTGATTTGCACATTAGTCACATATTTGACATTTCTCGTTACAAATTTGGAATTTGAACAATCCAAAGAGGTTTTTTTTTGTTAAGGGAAGATTATCGAAAACCAATAATATTTGAGCTATTCGGCATTTTATATTTCACTATATTTGATAATATAACAATTAATATTTTTTTTTTTAAATAATTTTGCAACAAAAACTATTGCTAATTTTTTATTTAGACACTTTCAAAAAATATCACAAAATCAATTATGTAAAATCTAGACACATACTATGCAAATAAAAACTTAAAAATAATAAAATTACTCCTAGCTGTCAAGTCTGTCACAAACAAACACAATATTTGCATTTTTTGTTCTAGAGTAAAATAATAATTAGCATACATAATTAGTTATTTTTGCGATGGCCAACATTTGAGCGTTTTAAAATTGTTTGATAATTCTTTCAATTAAAGTCACAGAGAAAAAAATTTCAAAATTTATAAATTATTATTTTTACATTCCTTGTTTAAAAAAAGTAAATTATTATTTTTTTGAGCATTTAATTTTAAATTTTATACTTGATTAAATAATTTTATTTAAAATATACTAATAATTTTATTGCACCAAACTATTATTAATTGTTTCCTGGACTGTTTTTATTTATTCCTTAATTGATTTTGTGCTAAAACAAAATAAATAATTATTTATTTTGTTTTAGCACAAAATCAATATAAAAGCTCATGAATATTGCAGCATTGTTGGTTTGAAAATGTAAAACATTAATACCATTATGACGTCTTCGCCATCTTGATAAATTCCTTTTCTTTTCAATGATATAATTTGAAATAATTGAACTTTGACACTTAATAGATTTTAAAATTATTTACTCAAACTTGTTTGTTTTAACAGTAATGAACAAAATTGCAAAAATTGCTTTGCAAGCAAAAAAGTTAACATGCTTTTGATGATTAACGAATTCGCTTAACTAATTGTAAATCAAATAGGTGCTAATTTCGTCCACCACTCAGCAAATCGGTGCCGTCGGTGCTTGGCCGTGTTTCATAAATACCTGCTGCCGTACTAATGACTTTTTACTACTGACAATAGAGACACGGCCGATTACGATTCATTTTCGCACTAGGGCCGCTCGCTCTCTTTCATTATTTTGTATCGTGACTCGGCTTGGCAAAGAGTGGCCTACGTGACTGCTGTGGCTGTTTTGTTGCTGAAATTTTCTCTGTTGCACTTTTTATATCGACCGTTTGGTCAGGGCAGCTTCATACGTAAAAGCAGCAAGACGAGTACACATTCATTTCGTTTATTATCTCGCAGACTGTACCCAGAGGGACGGTGCCATAAACTACAATAATAACAGTTAAAAAGGGAAAAGCACTTAAGTAAATCAAAACACGAAGCATAAAATTTCAAGTTGAAAAGCTTTTTCTTTGAAAAGAGATGTGCTGGATTTTCCAACTTTGATGGTTTCCTTGAAAGCAAAAGAACTAGACGAGCTTAAAAATAATTAATACATGAAATTTATATTTAATTTGGTTAAACTTTGGTTCAATTTAATAAATTATTTAACTAACTTAAATTTAAAATTTCTGTTATCTTAATTGAAACTATTTGCGTAAAAATAAAATCATTTTAAAGTTGTCTGATTGTAGCTTTTTTATAAACTGTATCTTCATCTGAAGCTACAAAGATTGATCCTGGAGATATCAAATTTTTTATTTCACTTTCACACTCGCGGCCACACAAGACGACAATTCTTAAAATTTTATTGTCATATATCACGCAGTCTATGCTCTCCTTGCGCAAAGTACATTATTTTGAGAGTAATAATTCAAGAGTAAATAAAAAAACCAGCTCAAAGATCAAGATTTCTTTCTCCCTCGTCTGTGTAAACGTCTCACGTATCAGCCCAATTCATTTCTGCCAAAAAACCCGTATCTTCACTCTTTTGTGTAGCCGGTCATCAATCTTGAAAAAAAAAAGAAAACAGAGCAGACGTCGCGTGAAGTAACAGCATTTTAAAATTTTGTGTCGCCCCACACACAGAACATTATGCAAAGTGCTTTTTACAAGATCAAGTTCAAGAGCCGGGCGAGATTACTCGCACGAGATTATAGTCTGAATTATTATAATTTGCCCCAACGCGTTTCGGCCGATGGGAAGGTCTATCCGGTGCTCGCGTCATCTTTTCTAACACACAGGATCCTGTGACCAAAATGTGTCGATCGTTCAACCTGCCCCATCGTTCATATTGGAGGTGTAGAAAGAATGCGGCATTTGGCAAGCTATAGAGTTGCACACAATTGCGGCCAGTACAAATTATAATCAGGCCAACTTTCAACGGTAAAAAATAAGAGTAAAATAATGTGAACTTTGTCAGAAAATCTGCTAAATTAAAAAAATAAATTTCTGTGTGCAAGTCTGTTTTGGAAATAATATTTAATTTTTCGCTATCATGGTTTTCCTAATTAATTTGTAAAGTTTGTTGCCTTTAATTAAATATATTTTAAATAAAAATTTTTATAAATTTAATAAATATTTTTCAGTTTTCATATTTTGTGATGTAAATTTGAATTGTCTGATTTTTTCTGGTGGCCAACACTTTGAACTCTACAAATAGTAACTATTTAACCTTGATTAAAGTAAAGGGCGATTGACGTCTGCGGCTTTTTTTCCAAGCAACAAGAAAATAGCGCACTTGAAGTGCATGTTCGCCCCGGCTCTTAATTTATTTAGCCCTGTCTCGGCCGGTGTAAACAAGACGCGCTTGTAATGATATATCTCCTGGAGCCGAACAACAAGAGACTCCGAAAAAGATATAGGATCGCTGGTTGCCATTAAAGGTTGCAATCTGGACGTGCAACTTTTTGGGGTACTCGCCCAGGTGGGTGTGCGGTTGAGATGCGGCGCACTTGTGTTTTTATTTTTAATGAGGTCCTTTTATCCTCATCGGCTGAGAGCCGTTATGCGCGACAGTAAAAGACTCTTTGCGGCCCATTCTATCCGTAAGTGCAATTATGTGTATGTGCGCGGTTTTGCGTCCGAGCGCTACATTGCAGCCGGACGGTGTTTTTTGTTAATTATCTGCTGGGAGGTGAAACTACTTGGATGATCGAACAGAGCTTTCTGCGTGTATCTGTGAAAGTAATTCAGAAAATTAAAACACGGGAGAAATACTTGCTGGTTATCTTGATGGAATTTATTATAAAAGATTCTGCTTTGCAGTTTTAAACCTGCATGAGGCACGCCATTCATTACCTTATGTCTGCTTATATCTCGAATCAATCACATAATTGTATTTTGGGAATTAAAATATAAAGAATTGTGGTGGATATGTGAAATTAGCTACAAAAAAAACTTCAAGGAAAGTCTATTGTGTGAAATGAATTTTTGAATTAATTATAATAAGACATAAGGAAATCGACTTATTTAAAAAAAATATATATTGTACTTAATAATCTACATTATTTTGGTACATTTTCTGAAAATTATCTGTAATAATATAAGAAAATCTATCAAATAAATAATAAAATTCAATTAATAAATATTTTTTTTTAAATGTTGATGAAATTGTTAAATTTTGTCTGACAAATATGTTATAAACATATGCGTTGTAACATTTTTGTAAAAAAATATTTAGTTAACAGTGAATTCAGTAAATAAAATTTTTAAATTATCTAACGGAATAAATTGATTCTATGTTGGTAACTCTATTAATTTATTAAATTTAACATTTCAAAATAAAATAACTAGATAGTTGAACAGGGATTTAACAACTCAACTTGCAATTAATAGTTCACGCAGCTAGTATTTAATATATGTTTTATTATTTTATATTAAAAAAATGCCTCTTAAAATACCACCTAAACAGTTAAATTATGCGATGCATAATTTTGTAGCACGTCAAATCAATCACAGCCGTTACAGCACAATCGCCACTCGTGAACAATAGACGAATGTTAGAGGAGTTGCTGACATAAATATTCTGCGCTACGCAAATCCCGTCATGCTTTTCTGTAATTCTAATTCGTGGCTCGCGAATAGTGAATGAGAACTGAACAGATAAATTATTCAACGTGCATGAAAAAAAGTCTCTTGTGTTTGAGCACACGCCGATTTCGGGGCGCAGGTGGATCGCGGCGTCTCTTCATTTAAGAGTTTTTTATTATATCTTTGAGAAATGACGTGCGTACCTCAAGTACAAGTTTTGTCGCATTGAAACAACAATGCTCAAGCCTTTTGCAGGCGAAATATGCCACAATTCCAGGAGTGCGTCGCCGTCGGCGGCGGCACTTTCATGGCCTCACTCACTTTCCTTGGCGGTTCAACAGATCTGAAGATAAAAAAAGCTTGGAAGGCGAGCTAGACAGAGACAACTGTCTGCTCATCCTCCATAGCTCATAAATATTTATCCGCCCCGGGGAGACGCTCCATTTGTCAAACAGGGCTGAATTTTTCTGTGTTTGTTCTACTTAACTATTTTAAGTAGGGAATATAATATTATTTTTCGTCACTTTTACTACTTACGCGACTTGGGAGGCAAACGAGTCTTTTTATCGCCACTAGTAGAATTTGAAAATCGCCACGCTGCGAATATTTATTCCAAAAAGGGCGAAATTTATTGCCACCGGTCGAGGTAAACTGATAGTCTAAAAAAGTATCTGAGCATTTCTTAACTTATGCAAATATCAAGCACAATAAAACGACTTGCGTGGTTGGAGCAGGACAAACAAATAATAATTTGAGTATATTTGATCTTGTTGGGAAACAGGACGTTCAACGTCGGAGGCAATTTAATGGACGCGCAGACAGTTGGATTTGTATTATTGCAATCCGATACTGGTAAATCGGCACAAGCTTCATCTTCCATGTCACCGCCTCGTCGCAGATGTTTACATCCCAGTAAATAAAATGAAAAGCTGCAACGCTTTTGTTTAATCCGAGTGCATGATCTTGGAAGTCCTTTTAAACACGCCATTGTTTTAATTTCAATCCAACGCGAGGTTTAAGTTACGCACATCGATTTCGATATTGGAAAAGGGAATACGCCTTCCTTTTATCAGCTCAAGTGGCCATATACTTAAGCCTCGAAGTGCTGCTTAAGTTGCAAAAGTTTCCGAGATACCTTTTTTTGTTCTTTTGAAGTTCTTTAATCCTCTCTCTTTCAAAGTCGTTCTTTCCTTTCTTGTTGAAAGCGGCCACAGAGCTTATACGCAACCGATTGAATAAATAAAATACTTTTTCCTTGAAAATTTTTTTTGTCGCTTTTGTAAAGAAGTTATAAAGAGTATAATGAGTGAAATATGCATATTCATAACTATCTAATTTAAATTTTGAATATCTTCCAAGAAATTAGGGTGTTTACACTCTTCAAATTAACGCCCATTAGGGGAAACATTCACGCGTGTGCTGTTTTGCACATTTTCTCGGAAATAAGTTGTCTGACGCAAGCGTTTCACTTATATAGAGTAAAACATTCAAAAGTCCAAAGACACAAAACACCTTAATTCCATTTTCGGCTTAATTGCTGCAACAATTAAAAATTTTAATATTATAATGAAGCTGGGAATATCTCTAGGCAAAAAAAGGCTGAGGGTTTTGGGAATTAAACCACGGATGTAATTCAAAGCCTTTGGCTTTAGTAATCTTTTGATTTAATTTATTTTATGATTAAATAATTCAAATATTTTGATCTGTTCTAAGCGTTACTTTAGGGGTTAATTGCAAATCAAAATATCAACAATAAAACCAAATTCTTTTATAATAAACTAAATTATTGGTAAAATTAAATCCCCTATTATTTTATAAAAAAATCCATACGGGAATTTTTTTGTAAACTTTTTATGTCATGATTTTTTTTTTTTAAATTTGTAACTATGTCTGGGTTAAAAAGAAAAGGAACATTTAGCAACAATGCACATTTTGTGTTTTTATTATTTAGTTTCAAATCATGTTTATTATTTAATGTTATATGATTTGACTTTGCGCACATCTGCAAATTTATTCTTCTTTTTATTTTTAATAATTTATTTGTTTTCCTTTTGCAAAAAGATGCATCAAATTTCCACGTTTGTAAGTTTACTATACACCATTGGTATTATGAATTTGTTACTATGTTGCTGATTAAAAAAAAAACTTATTTTGGCTTCTTTGATCTGTTTTCAGATAAATGTTCATGATGACGTTAGCCGGATTGGTGTTGCTGGCGGCCGCCCTGGCCGTGGCATCGCCGCCCTGTCCGAAGGGTCACGGCTTTTGGGACATGAGTGGGCAAAAGTGCACCCAGTGCACCGTGTGCGCGCACAACGAAGTGGTGCTGCTGCCGTGCCAGCCTTACAAAGACACAATGTGCGGGCCCATTTCGGCGCTCAACATCAACTGGCCGTGGCAACGGCCGTCCGGCGGCCACAGCAGCAGGGCGACCACCACCACCTCCACCTTCGCTCCCTCGACTCGATATTTCTTCACGAAGAAAATGCGCCCCCTGGCCCGAAAGGTGACCATGACGAAAACCACCCCGACCATGACCTCTTCGAGCACCTCCACCACCCCTATCCCGGAGGTCACGACAGAAACGGCGACGACTGAGACGGAGGTGGTCAAAGAGGTGGAACAAGTGACCACGTCTCCCATGTTATCCTCGAGCACCGAGGCCAGTAGCTTCAGTTGGACGGAGAGTTCCTCGGAGGCGACGACCAAGGTGTCCGCGCAACCCTTCCTGGCCACCGAAACGTCCGTCGAGTGGGACTGGCAGGCCCTGGCGCTCGCCGTCACCATTGCCACGTTTGTGGTGCTGCTCGTGGTCTTTGCCGTGTACGCGGCCGTACACGCGAGAAGAGCCACCGCACGTAGGAGGCGACTGCAGAAAGGTAGGCAGCACACAGTGCTTTCCATCCCTTGCATCAGACCGCTCTTCCTTTGGTTCCTTTTCGACTACGATTTATTTTTAGAAACTTAAATTATCAGTAACTAATTTCCAATAATATTGTTAAAATTTTTACTTTAGAATAAAATATAGCAATTAATCTTATTTTTTCTTCATCATTTTATTTCCTTTCAATTAAAAAAAAAAATAGCATAAGAATTCCTTTGAGTAAACACTTCATTCAAAATTAGTTCGTTTTAGAAATCTTGTTTCTCTCACTTTAATTTATCTCGGGAGGGATTTAACAGTCAAATATGTTTGTTTTCTTTATTTAAATCAAGTTCTTAATGTAATTTAGCTTGGCCATTTTTCCAAATGAAATAAAATTAAGCGAATTTGGACTATGGAAATCAGCTGGAAGTATATATTATTTTATTATTGATAAAAAAAAACAAACAAGGTACAGGGCATCAAGCTTGAAAATAATTTGAACAATTTATTTTCATAATTCCAAACCCATTACAGAGTTTCCGTTGGTAATCCGTTCGTAAAAACTGGATTTCCTTCCGTTTCCCATTAACAGCTTAATAAAAGTGCGGACGAAGGCCTTTCAAACAATCCTCTTCGAACTTTAACGACTGGGCTGCTGGAAGATTTCATTATAAAAAAAAAGGCGCGCCCAAAGATGTGGGTGGTATTTTTCGTTTTTTTTTTATGCCCGTGTGACTTTGGATTTGTTTCGAATAAAAAAGGAAAGGCACCTGAACCACGTCTCTTGACGCCGAGCCACGTGGAATGCATCTCGTTTCCGTGCTGGTGTAAAGAGCGACGACACGTTTGTAGTCATTAATAACCATGGGGTTGGGACCCGAGATGTTGGCGGCGTTGACAGTGACAGATCTTCACGCCCCCGTTACTAATAGTTTTTGCGTGTAAGTAAGTGGATGGGAAAGGAAAAGGAATGACTCGAATTATTTTCCGCGGTCTATTTCCGATTCCAAATGAAAAAAAAAAAAATAGTACGCAGACAGAGACGCATTTGGAAGAAATTAAAAGGAGAAGTACTTAAAAAGTTGGCATTTGTTAATGTGAAGGTGTGAGAAGATGTTTCAATTGCTAACAGAAACGCAATTCAAAATTCAAACAGGGAGGAAATTAGGATTTTAAAGATTTTTCTGAAAAAGGGGAAAATGAAAATTAGAATATTGATTATGAGCAGATTAGGACATCAAATATTTTTAATTTTGTTTTGCTAGATTGATTGGGATATTTTGGGATTATTTGAAGTTGATCAAGTGAAATTTTTATTATAAATAAAATTTTAATTTTTTCATTTTACAAAGAAAAAAGGAGAAAAATACTTAAATTCCAAAGTAAAAATTATATAAAAAGGTTTTAATTAATCTGGCTGATCTTAATACTTTTTATTATAAAATGTTGTATATATTATTGTGGCTTTTTTATTCAATTTTGTAATCAAAATTTTTTGATGCTCTCAAATTGAATTAGATTAATATTAATATTTATTGACAAGGAAATCCATTAAAGGATTCGTTAAGCGCGCTGATTCCTAATAGAGAATTTCATTCACAACTTCCATTCCAAACGTATGCAAAGGAAGTCGACTAATCGGAAGTTCGTCCTCCAAACCAATTTAAACTAACGCAACGTACACTTGTGAGCTATAATATTCCGTCTAACAGTTAGAAACGTCGCGTCGGACAAAATTAAAAGTGGCACGAGTGGCATATCAAAAAGCAGCAGCGAGTGGCGAAAAGGCCTACGCGACCGGTGGCGCATCTCACACCCATCAACAGGCAGCCGTACAATCCATCAATTTGGCGAATTCGGATAGACAAAGGGTCATAGAAGCGCAGTGTGTGCGAGAGCCATGTGCTGCGTGAGGCGGATATATACGCAGAAATTGGAGGCGACGGCGCGAGCCACCCATTCAATATAACAGGAGGCACAACCCGCGCCTCGGCTGCGCACACAAACCAATAATATCAAACGGACCCCAGTCTTTCTTTGTTTTCTCTCTCATTTGGTCGCATGTCACGCCGAATCCGAACTTCCTGCTGCCGGCTCTCTCTCTCTCTCTCTCCCTGCGCTTATACCTGCGAGCGGATCGAACACGCACTTCTTATATTATTTTTTTCCCAACCACCGCGACCACAGGCTAATTTCACCGACTATAACAAATGCGCAAAGTCCTCTTCTCGCGCCTCTCTAAATCTCTAATGAACCCCCTTGCACGAGCCACAGACCGTTTATTTTCGCGCGATGACGCCACTGGTGGTGCTCATTGTCAGACATGCTGCTGCTGTTGATGGAAACGTTGATTTTGGCACGTCCCCACCCCCGCTGCCAATAATTATGTCACGAGCAAAGTCACGGCCAAATTTGCCCTTGGTCATGTTTGGATTAAACAAAATCATTTAAATACATTAAGGCTACTATTTTATGTCTATGGTGATAAAGCTTAAAAGTAAAGAAAAATAATAATAAATAAACGTTTATAATTTTTGTAAAAACATTATTTATTAAATATTTATGTAATATATTTATTTAATTTTTTTATTCTTTATTTTATTTATAAATAAATAGTGAATTTTTATGATTTTATTAAAATGTCCTATTATTATAAACAATTTTACTATTTTCATTACTTTGCGTATTTTTTGTTAAAGTAATTTGCCAATGCTGCATTTTTGAGTAATTAAGAACGCCACTTATGGAATTTGAATTTGTATCCTGTCACTGCGTGTGCATTAAATAAAATTAAACTATCAATTTTCATTAATTAAACTATATATGGCTCTTTAAAAAATAAATGCGTATATATAGGCTAATCTAAGCTTTGCAAAATGCTGTAAAGAATATAAAAAATATAATTTTTAAATCAAAATTTAATGAATAATAATTGATGAATATTGAAAATCCTGAATTAATTAAATTTCCACAACAAAACTTAAGTGCAGTTTTTGAAAAATTCTAATTGTAAGAAATATTTATGGATTGCATGATTCCATAATATAGTTTTATTTCAGGAAATTGAGAAACACTCCTTTGCATTGGGTCGATTGGCTGTAATTTCAAATTTTTTTAATCTATTAAAAGAAGGTTTTTATTGCGAGAATTTGAGAGCACATTAAAATACATTGATTTTCCAAATCAGGACGTCTTCTGGCAACCGTACACGCAGTTTGCATTATGTTAATCACCGATGCGCTTCTGCGGAGGAGGTGTGTGTGTGTGCATGATTGACACCACGTACGCACCTGCACATAACATTATCATACTCTCTTTTATTGCTTCCATTCTGAACGATTTACTTAGCACAAAACGCTGTATGAGGAAGTGGAAGTGCTTTTACGCGCACATGCATTGATTCGGAACGACGAGTGAAAAACGGTCAATTTTTGGCACGTTGAGTTTTATTATAGTATTTATTTGCAACGGGATGCTGCACGTTTGGATTGGGAATTGCACAATTTACGTGGCATTGGCGTCGCACGCACCGGCTCATAAATTTCACTCGCTGTGACGGTTATTGCGTGCATTTATTCTCCTCAAGTGCTGGACTTCATGGAAGTCTGAAAATATAATGTGTTGGCGCTCAGGAAATGAATTAAATTGCACAATGTCAATACAAATGCAAACAGTTTTCAACATTGAGAAACACCTTCTTTGATGCATAATTCAGTGCCTTTTAGCCCTGCGCTTGTTGCATTTCCCATCACGCGTGGAGAGGAGTTTGTGTTTCTTCGGGGGAGCAAAAAAAGTGAACATCAAAGTCAGAATGATCGAATGTTGTCTGTGCTAATGACTATGCTCTTTTGAAAAACACAAAGTGGAGAGCAACCAGAAGCATCATTTGCCGAGAGGAGATTAAGAGGATTTGAATGTAGTAAGCTAGTCGCTTCTAGAAGCGTGTGTTGAGAGACTATTAATTAGGGAGATGTTTCCGTTTGGAAAGGGCGGAACTGTTCTGTGGGTTTGAAGGGCCTCCCATGGCATGAATTAAAAATTTGCCAAAAACAAAAAACGATTTATAAGATTTAGAGAAAAGTTGTGGAATTGGTTAAAAGTTTTTTTTCTGTAATAAAATTTAATCACCTTTATTTTTAAGATTTTTTGCTTAAACATGAATTTGCCCCTGGAATTTTACTTGGAGCTTCAAAAGGAATAATAATTGTTCTTAGATTTTACATGAAATATATTGCAAAAAAATTCACCTCTGAAAATAATTGAGCAGCATCTATAGCCGTGTTTAAAATCACACGTTTTTTGCAGTACATAAGTATTACTGTTGTTTGAACTGATTGAGGATAATCATACTTCATACCATCAATAATGTGCAAAATTGTTTCAATATAACAAGGTTAGAAGATTGGCAGAGCCTGCAGGCGTTGTCGGCACTTTATCGAGAGTAATTTTCATGACACGCAGAATTGAGCCATTACAATATATTACATGCGCCCTGGCACAAAAAGTGCCAAAATTTCAAGGACAACCAAATTACACACGCTAAACTCAGTCTAATTGCAGCTAATTTGATAAACAAGTCTGGGGCTAGACCAATAACTCATTATTCAGCACCTCACGTCAAATGTAATGAGCCTTAATTTGCAGACGTCACCGTTAAAAAAATCAACTTGTTTCCATATGCAAATTGCCTCTTTTTGCACTGGACGCATTAAACACCCAGCCTGAGACGATAATGAAATTATTACACGTCTCCTTATCGACATTGATTCGGCGATTGCGAATCAAAGGGACCGGACGTGCTCGAGAGAGAGCAAAAGGCGAGGCATTGAATTCGCATGAGGACCGACGCCTGCAATTATGTCGTTTATTATTGCACAACGAGAGTCCAAAGAATGAACTGGGCGTTGTGAAAAGTGCACCGTCACTCTCAAGAGAAGAAGTTTCGTTGTTATGAGAAAAGAAGAAAAAAAACAGATCGAATGTATGCAAATGAGGGACCCAGTGCGTGGCTGA